TCTAGATAGAGTTCTGAAAATTTTCTGAAATTCTTGAATTTTTTTAATTTTTTATAAACTACTTTTATGTTAAAACATCTGATAATTTCAAAAACTTACCTTATCAAAATTTTGAAACCTAAATTTTCCTGGATTTTTTCTGAAGGAAAATTCAGAATTTTTGAGCTGAAAATTTTTTGAAAAAATTTTTTAGCCAAGAGAAAATTTCTAGGATTCTGAAAATCCTCGAAATTCTTGAATTTTTTTGATTTTCGTTAAATTCTTCAATGTTAACATCTGATAATTTCAAAACTTTCCTTATCAAAATTTTGAAACCTAAATTTTCCTGGATTTTTTCTGAAGGAAAATTCAGAATTTTTTGAGCTGAAAATTTTTTGAAAAAATTTTTTTAGCCAAGAGAAAATTTCTAGGATTCTGAAAATCCTCGAAATTCTTGAATTTTTTTGATCTTGGTTAAATCCTCTATTTTTAACATCTGATAATTTCAAAACTTACCTTATCAAAATTTTGAAACCTATTTTTTCCTGGTTTTTTTCTGAAGGAAAATTCAGAATTTTTGAGCTCAAATTTCCTGATAAAAATGTTTCAAGCTAAAAAATCCAGAATTCTGAAAATTCTCTGAAATTCTTGAATTTTTTTGATTTTAGTTAAATCCTCAATTGTTAACATCTGATAATGTCAGAACTTACCTTATCAAAATTTTGATACCTAAATTTTCCTGGATTTTTTCTGAAGGAAAATTCAGAATTTTTGAGCTGAAAAATTTCTGAAAAAAATATTTTGTTTTTAGCCAAGTTCTGAAACAGAAAATTCGAAATTTGAGAAAATTTCTAGAATTCTGAAAATCCTCTAAAATTTCTGAATTTTAATAATATTTGTGGCATACCTAACATCTAATAATTTAAAAACTCAGTCTATAAAAAAAATTTGAAACCTAAATTTTCCTGGATTTTTTCTGAAGGAAAATTTAGAATTTTTGAGCTGAAAAATTTCTGAAAAAACTATTTTGTTTTTAGTCAAAAGAAAATTTCTAGAATTCTGAAAATCCTCGAAATTCTTGAATTTTTTTGATTTTAGTTAAATCCTCAATTGTTAACATCTGATAATTTCAAAACTTTCCTTATCAAAATTTTGAAACCCAAATTTTCCTGGATTTTTTCTGAAGGAAAATTCAGAATTTTTGAGCTGAAAAATTTCTGAAAAAAATATTTTGGTTTTAGCCAAGTTCTGAAACAGAAAATTCGAAATTTGAGAAAATTTCTAGAATTCTGAAAATCCTCTAAAATTTCTGAATTTTAATAATATTTGTGGCATACCTAACATCTAATAATTTAAAAACTCAGTCTATAAAAAAAATTTGAAACCTAATTTTTACTGGTTTTTTCTGAAGGAGAATTTAGAATTTTTGAGCTGAAAAATTTCTGAAAAAAATATTTTGGTTTTAGCCAAGAGAAAATTTCCAGAATTCTGAAAATCCTCGAAATTCTTGAATTTTTTTTGATTTTAGTTAAATCCTTAATTGTTAACATCTGATAATGTCAAAACTTACCTTATCAAAATTTTGAAACCTAAATTTTCCTGGTTTTTTCTTGTAAGGGAGAAATTCTGGAAATCTAGGCTTTTTGAGACTTCAGGGCTTATTATAGGCTTCTGAGGCCATTAAGGCTTTTGAGGCCCTTAAGGCTTCCAAAGCCCTTAAGGCTTCTAAGGCTTTTAAGGCTTCTAAAGCCTTTAAGGCTCTCAGAGCTTTCAGAAGAATTCCAGTTTTCCCAGAATTTTTTTCTGAAAAAAATATAATTACGGAACTTCACGGCCTGCGGAACAACTGACTTTTTTTCAGTTCCGCGCACACACACATTTTTTCGCTCTCCTAACAGCAAAACATTTAATGAATAAAATATGACACAGAAATGCAGGGGTCTCTCTACTCTTGTTGTTTTTTTCCCCCACAGCTTCACACTTTTTTACGACCAGGCTTTCTGGGCTTTTAGGCTTTACTAGGCTTCTGAGGGCTTTTGGGGGCTTTTCAGGGCCTTTTCCGGCCCTTTTGAAGCTCCTAAGGCTTCACCAGGCTTCTGAGAGGCTTTTGAGGGCTTTTCAAGATTCTTTGGGCTTTTTCAGATCTTTTTAGGCTATTTCTAGGCTTTTTTAGGCTTCTGGGGACTTATAGGGAATCTTAAGGGCTTCTAAAAGCTTCTGAAGATCTAACTAGGCTTTCCAGGCTTCCTTAAGGCTTTCCATGGCTATTTTAGGCCCATTTTAGGCCCATTCCAGGCCAATTTTAGGCTTGTACAACCAAATTTTCAATTGTTTTTGACCACAAAAAATAATAAATAATCCGCGCATTGCAAAATGGATTAGCCGCCAAAAAAATTTTTTTGCCCAGAGTTTTTTCTAACTTTTTTTATGGGAAAACATGAACTTTTTATTGGTGCTGGGATTATTTTTTCATAAATTTTATGTGAAAATTTTATTTTTTTCAAAATTTAATTTAAGTTTGAGCCACGTGGATTTCCAAAACTCGAAAATTCAAATTTGAAATTTTTTCTGTTCCGGAATAATTAAAATGTTTTACACCCACTTATCCTCCAGAAAAAAGTGTCACATTCATGAATTTGCACTTTTTTCCTGCGCTGAGCACTTTTCGAAGGAAATTAATTTGAATTTTATCGCTTTTATTTTTTGGAGTCGGAAAAAAAACAAACGTGGATTTTTTAATCCTGAATTGGAGGGGTTCCCAAATTTTTGGTCCGAATTTCAAGCTCCTGAATTCTGAGCCCCCAAGTTTCCACGGGTTCTGAAGGTTTCCAAATTCCAAAATGAAAAATTCTTGCCCAAAAAGCTCGTCCTGAATTTTTTATGAAAGTTTTTTGCCCTCACAATATTTTTTCTGTTGTGTGTTCTGCTGGATTTTTGAGTCTAAAATTGGAAGCCAGAATTTCAGGCTGAAAATTTTTAAAGTCTGGAAATCCACGTGGATTTTTGGGTTTCAGATTGTTGGGTCCAAAAATCCACGTTGATTTTTCGCTCTCAAAATCCAAGGTGATCCAAATTTTTTTCTGGAATTCTAAATTTTTGCTAGATATTTTTTATTGAATTGAATTCAGACCTTCTTCAGATTTCGAAAGTTTAGAAGTTCCAAATTTGTAGGTCCACGAAATCCACGTGGATTCTTCAGTGTCTAGATCCAAATTTTTCTGCACCCTAAAAATAGTTTCCGAATTTCTAGGTTCTCAGAAATCCACGTGGATTTTTCGCTCTCAAAATCCAAGTTGATCCAAACTTTTTTTTTTTGGAATTCTAATTTTTGCTAGATATTTTTTGAATTGAATTCAGAGCTTCTTCAGATTTCGAAAGTTTAGAAGTTCCAAATTTCTAGGCTTCCCGAAATCCCAAATTTTTTTTGTTTTGAATTTTCCTCGATTTTTTCTGAATCCTAATTTGCACCCTAAAACTAGTTTCCGAATTTCTAGGTTCTCAGAAATCCACGTGGATTTTTCGCTCTCAAAATCCAAGTTGATCCAAATTTTTTTCTGGAATTCTAAATTTTGCTAGATTTTTTTTGATTGAATTCAGAGCTTCTCATTCAACTTCTGGATTCCGGGCTTATCCCTCAATTCTACGTGGATTCTGAATTTTTTGGCTCAATCCAAATCCATCCTAAAAATAGAGTGACCACTCGTCAAAAATCATTCAGCCTAACCCGAACAAAAAAAATTACTAAAAGTTTCTTTTTTCTTCTCCTCTCCTTTCATATGTCATACCTTCTTCTTCGTATTTTCTCCACACTGACTGAATACATGCTTTTTTCATGTCAGCCTTTCTATTTTTCTTAATCGCCTTCTTGCCTTCGTTTTTCACATCGTTTTTGCTGCTTTTAATTCTTCTGTTGTTGCAATACTTTTGCTAAAAAGGTTAACAACCTCTTTTTGTTCACTTTTTTCTGTACGAAATTTGCGGAAAAATGGGTTTGGAGAATGAAAAAATGAGATTTTTGAGCGTCTGGAACACCAAAATCCACGTGGAAATTTTTCCAAAACTTGAAATAGGGCTCTAAAGTTTTCTGAACCGCATCCACGTGGCATTTTTTTTGGATTGCTCATATTAGCCACAAATTTTTGGCCTGAAAATTGATTTAGGGATTGCTCATGTTAACCAAAATTTTTTTGACCTAAAGCATTGCACATTTTTTTGCGAATATGGAAAAATCTTGAATCCACGTGGCATATTTTGACACTTCAAAGCGGGTTCTCAATTTTCTGAACGCTTGAAATCCACGTGGAACTTTTCAGACTTTTTTAGGATTCCTGAAATCCACGTGGCACTTTTTTCCGATTGCTCATGTTAACAACGAATTTTTAGCCTGAAAATTTTGGGATTGCTCATGCTAATCAATTTTTTTTACCTAAAAATCTCATTTTTTTGCGAATCTGGAAAAATCTGGAATTTTCGGAAGTCTGGAATCCACGTGGCAAAAATCTGAAATTTTTTGAACCTCTGAAATCCACGTGGAATTTTTTTCAGAAAAAAAAAATCATTTCTCATTTTTTATTGCCCCACGTGGCACCTGAATTTTTCAGAATTTGTGTTTTTTCGCTATTGCTCATGTTAACCAGAAATTTTGGATCGCAAAAGTTCAAAGATTGCTCAAAAAAAATTTTTTTTCTCAATTTTTTGCCAAAATTTGTAGATTGCTCATGTTAAATAATTTTTCAAATAATTTATTTCTTGTAATTCTCAATTTTCTTCTGAATTTTTCTCCTGAATTTTTTTTCAAAATCAATTTTGCAGATCTCTCCTCAACCAGTCCAAAAAATCCAACCAGCCAATCAAAAAATCCACCCCAAAAAATGTCAAAAATCTAAAAATTCCCCCAAAAATTCACATTTCATTCAGAAATCCCTGCGAAAAATCGCAAAATGAATCAAATAACGCGACATTTGCGAAATGTCGCGCGACGAAAATCGCAAATTCCAAAAAAATTTCAAATTTTCCTCCTGATGTTTTTACTGGTTTTGGAAGCGGCTGGCAAAGAGGACGGTAAGATTTCGGGTAAAAATGAAGAGAATTCCTATGCGGAAGCGGAAGCGGAAGAATTCGAAGATTTGTCCGAATTCCACGCGGAAGACAATGACGTGGAATTGTCGATTGTTCCGCGTGAATCCGGAATTCCGCTTGTCCGCCACGATGAGTACAGTAGTAATTTATTGTATGCGGAAGCGTATCAGAGTTATATTCAGGCGTTGGCTTGTGAGTTTGGTTTCAATTTTCGAGCATTGCTCATGTTAACCAATTTTTTTGACCTAAAAAATTGAGGATTGCTCATGTTAACATAAAGCTGAACATTAGAGTTTTTCAGAAATATTTGAGCATTGCTCATGTTAATTAAAAATTTCTAAATTTAGGTGTTGCTCATATTAGCCAGGAATTTTCAGCCTGAAAATTTAGGGATTGCTCATGTTAAGATTAAGCTGAAAATTACAAATTTTCAGAAAAAACTATGCATTGCTCATGTTAATTAAAAAAAAATTCTAAATTTAGGGATTGCTCATCTTAGCAAGAAATTTTCAGCCTGAAAATTTCTAAATTTAGAAATTGCTCATGTTAACATCAAGCTGAAAATTACAGATTTTAAGAAATATTTGAGCATTGCTCATGTTAGCTCCTAACATGAGCAATCCAAATTTGAGTGTTTTTTGATTTCCGGGGGCTGATCTTTCAACTCGCCTCCAGATTTTTTCCATATTTTTCACGCATCAAAAAATTTGTTTGGGATTTTTTTTTGGATTTTGTGGGTGAAAAATATTTTGAAAAAAATGGGGATTTGGCAAAATTCCGAGAAATGAACAAAATTTTAAAAATATCTTACTTAAAATTATTTTTCACGTGACCCAATTTTTTCCACATTTTTTTCGCTGGCAAAATTAATTTTTGCTCATTTTTAAATCTCGAAAAAAATTCGGAAAGGTGAGTTTTGGGTTTTCAAAATCCACGTGGCTTTTTGGAGCAAAGAACTCTGAAACTTGAGCATTTTGAGCACATATTCGACAAGTTTCAGAGCATTTTAGGGCTCAAAATTCTCCAAATTTTCAGCCGAGCACATCAGATTCCACGTGGTTTCTGGCGTATTTTTTGAGCTCGAAATGCTCGGAACCTTGTCAAATTTGCTCTCAAAATGCTCCAAATTTAAAATTGGAGCATTTTGAGCAGAAATTCAAAAAGTTTCAGAGCATTTTTGGGCTCAAAATGCTCCAAAAACCATGTGGATTCTGATAAATTTCAAACTGAACAGAAATTTGGAGCATTTTCAGCACAATGTCAATACGTTTCAGAGCATTTTTGGGCTCAAAAAGCTCCAAAAACCACGTGGATTCTGATAAATTTCAAACTGACTAGAAATTTGGAGCATTTTCAGCAAAAAATGCTCCGAAACCAGTCAAATTTAGGCTCAAAATGCTCCAAATTTTCAGCCAAACATTTTTCAAATCACCGAAAAAATTTCTTCAGACCCGGCCCGTCTCGTAGTCCGCCCCGACTCCTCCACCGTCGCCATCGAATCCAAAATCTCATTTTTCTGCCGCGCCGATGGAAATCCGCTTCCCAGTGTAATCTGGAGAATCAACGGAAAATCGATAAATGATCATCATCGGATATCGATCAAGAGTCTATCTACAGGATTATCAACGCTCAGAATCGAAAATGTGACCAAAGATGACAATGGCACCGTAATCAGTTGCTCCGCGGATAACGGAGTGGCGAATCCGGTGGTCGCGGAAGCGGTATTGACCGTTATTTCGCGCGACAAACTTCCGCATGGCTTTCCGCAAATCGATCAACACCCCACCTTGAAATCCGTGGAGCAAGGAAAAACCGCCTTCGTATCCTGTAAAGTTAGCGGTGATCCACGTGCAAAAGTCTTATGGCTCAGGGATCTGATTCCGATTGATGTTCGATCTGATGGCCGATATTCCATCGCAACCATCGGAAATCCTGGAGCTCTGATGATTCAGCAGGCGAGAGAGGATGATCAGGGAAAATATGAGTGTATTGCAAGAAATTCGCTGGGCGTTGCTCATTCTAAAGCTGCTAATTTGTATGTTAAAGGTTAGTTTTGGGGGAGAGGGGGGGGAAGTTTTGGGGAGCTCTTATATTTTTTTATTCGTGGCCAAGGTTTGTGAATTTATTTTGTGATTGTCTGGTTTCTGAAAACTTTTTGAGTTTCGAATTTTCGCGCCGAAATTTTTTAATTCAAAATTTCATTTTTCGCGCCAATTTCGAGCTACAGTAATCTGGTATTTTTAGCACCAAAGTTTAAGAATTCAAAAAAAAATTGAAAATTCAAAAATGTGATTTTTGGCGCCATTTTTCGAGCTACAGTAATTCTCAATTTTCGCCGCCAAATTTTGAAAATTCAATTTGTTTTGTGAACCAGAATTTCAAACCTATAAAAAATACGTTTCAAAATTTTCATAATAAATTTGATTTACAAAAACAAAATTGTTGGATGTAATTAATTTTTTCAAAAAAAAAATATTTATTTTATTCTTCCCGCCATTTTTCGAGCTACAGTAACTCTCTATTTTTAGCACCGAAATTTAAAAATTCGAAAATTCTAGTTCTGGTGTGAAATTTGAAATTCTGAAACCTTAAAAATTTTATTCCCGAAAAAAATACGTTCCAAAATTTCCATTAAAAATTCGATTTACAAAAACAAAATTGTTGGAAATTTTTAGAAAAATCTCTGAGAATTTCAGAAAAAAATCTTCCAAACAAAAAAAATTCCCCTACATTTTCACCCGCTACACTTAGCCCATCTCTTCTTCCACCACTAAATTATGCATAGCCTTGCGGGGTTCCTCTTTTTTCCTCTCGAAAAATACACATCAAATTTGCATTAGTTCAATTCCCAACACCCAATTATTCGGAGACACAAAGTGTTTCAATTCAAAAAAAGTATGGGGAAATTTTTTGCCACGTGAATTCTGAATTTCTGAAAATTTGAGAATCTGGAATTTTTTTTTGAAGTTCTAGAAATGTTGCCACGTGGCTTCTAATTTTCTGAAATTTGAGAATCTGGAATCTTTGGATCATTTTTGAATCTGAAAATTTGATTTCTTCTGTCACGTGGATTTTAAGCTTCTGAAAAGTTACAAATAACTTCTGCCACGTGGATTCTGAATTTCTGAAAATCTGAAAACGTGGATTTTTTTTTGAAATTCTAGAAATGTTGCCACGTGGATTTTAAGCTTCTGAAAATCGTGAAATCTGGTCGAAAAATTTTAAATTCTGAAATTTTCTTTTTGAAATCAAAAAAGTTTCACAATTTTTTTGTCACTTGGATTTTCCTAACTCAAATTTTCTTTTAACATTTTTTTACATTTCCAAAAATCTGGCTCCAAAAATTTATTAGTGCTCCTCAGCAGCTCCAGAAAAACATATGTTCTCTTGCTGATCTGCGAAAAATGAATAAAATGGTCAATTTGGCGCCACACAAAACCCATAACTCATAATAGCACAATTTCGTGGTGACACACATGTTATCTCGTGCTCTTGTTGTGGCTCCAAATTTATTGCACCACAGAAGCTGAGCTTCGAAACCCTGGGCTCCACGGGTCAAAGTTTATTACATTTCTCGAGCGATTTTATTGTTTTTTCCAGCTTCTCCTAGTTCTTCTTATTTGCCCCCGGCCACACCATGAAAACTTTTTACGAAATATTTATTTTTGAAAAATTTTGTTTTGAAATTTTTTTGGAGACCAGATTTGAAGAATTTTGTTTGTTTTTTGGGATTTTTTTAGGTCCGGGAAATTGTTTCTGCTCAATTTGAAAATTCAAAAAATTCGATTCTATTTTTACCTTTTTTCTGAGAACTTTTTTTGGGATTTTTTAGGTCCGGGAAATATTTTTTCTCAAAATTGCTTTTTCAAAATAAAATTGGGTGCTTAATTTTTTTTTCAAAAATTTCAACAATTTAATTTCTGGAAAGTTTTCAGCGAAAAATTCATTTTGAATTTTTTTTCTCGAAAAAAAAACATTTTGAGATTCAAAAATCCACGTGGCAACTAAAAAATGAATTCAAAAGTACAGTATTTTTCCCCAGTCGCTGCGAGACCCTCCGATGAAAAGCACATTTGATTTTGTTTCTCTGGATGATGTTGAGAAGAGGTTAAAGACGCAGAGGATGAGGGAAAACAGTGGGATTCTAATGCATTGTCCTGATTCTAAATCTAAAACTCTGCGTCTCTAACTCCAACAGAGAAAGAGAGTCAAGAGGGTCTCGCAGCGATTGGGGAAGGGTACTGTACTTGAGGGGGAGAATCTCTGCGTCTCTAACCCAAATTTTAAAGTTTGAATGTTTTCCAAGATTCTTGAAATTTTTGAAATCCCAAAATTAAATCTAGGGGTCACTAAAACCTAAGCCTCCCTATAATAAATCGTAATAATAATGACCTGATACACTTTTTATCACTTTTTGTTCATTTATATTTTCGGGGGGCCCTCATAAATCTCAACACCTCTCGAGCCTTCTGCTGCCCGTGTTCATCTCTTCTTTTTTCTTAAATATTTTGACTACTCTTCTTCGTTTTCTACTCACTTAACCGGTTGATTTACGACAAGAGGAAGTATTTAGGTGTTCAGAAGCGCGCGCGGAAAAAAAGTTTTCTTCTTTGTTTTTTTTTTGGACCGAATTATTTATGAACTTTACTACTTGAGTTGAGAGAAGAGTTGAGGTTGTGAAAAATCTGAATTTCAAAAATTTGATTTTTTCTCAGCCACGTGGATTTAGGTCTGAAAATTAGGGGATTTTTCTGACAAATTTTCTGAAGTTTTGAAGTTTCTTAAATATTTTTTTGACAATTTTTTTTCAAAAATCCACGTGTAATTTTTTTTGCCACGTGAAGTTTTTTTTTCAAAAAATTCCAGACACGTGGATTTATACTTTGAAACTTCTGAAATTTTGCCACGTGGATTTTTTTTTTCAGAATTTTCAAAAATCCCAGAGAACAATATGATCCTCAAAATTTGTAAATCCAAAAAAGTTATCCTAAATTCCTGCCACGTGGATTTTTTTATAGAAACATTCAGAATGCAGATTTTTAGAATGCTCCTGAAATTCTAAAATGTGCGTTTTCAGGCTCAAATCCGACTCTAACATGAGCAATGCTGAATTTAAGCAGCTAGGCCCTAGAAAATTAGACAAAATTTTTTTCAAAAATTCTGGATTTTTTAGGCTGTTAAAAAAAACTCTCAAAATTCCTGCCACGTGGTTTTCTGACAATTTCAAAATTCAAATTTCTATTTAAATTTTTGTACCTGCCACGTGGATTTTTCAAATTTCGAAAAAGTCTGAAACTGAAATCTTCATTGATTTTTTTAATTTCAAATTTCTAGAAATTTTTTATTCAAAAAATTAACCCCTAAAATTCCTGTGGATTTTTTGCAACTTCAAAATTCAAATTTCTGAAATTTTGTGCTCTGAATTTCTTGCCACGTGGATTTCTGGAAATTTCGAAGCTCAAATTTCTGAAATTTTATGCCCTGAATTTCTTGCCACGTGGATTTCTGGAAATTTCGAAACTCAAAATTCTTTTCTAAACCCAACTTATCCCAAATTCCTGCCACGTGGATTTTTCAAACTTCGAAGAAGTCAGAAAAATTCATAAACAACCTAGACTTTTGCGAAATCAATTAACGGCTTGCGCGTAAAATGTTTATTTTATTTTATGGTTTTTGCCCCAAACATTTTCATTTCATTTTATCCATTATTCATCCTTTTCTTCTTCACTTTTGCGAGGAAAAAAAAGAAATCCTGAAATAATTTTTCACCTCAAAAATGATTGATTAGAAATGTTCGGAAGCAAATTTTCCGACTGATATACTTTTTTTTTTGGTTTGAAACAAAATTTTTTGATCTACACGCAGCGCGTGACCGCAACGCGTCCAACTACATTCATTTCCTGATTTTTTTCGCAACTAATATAAAAATGTGTGTATATTTTTCCACCCATCTGGTCAAGTATCTTTTTTTTCCGTATGTATTATTTTTTTTTCTAATCTGATCAATCATAGATTCAATAGAGCAGAAAAAAGGTCGTTTTTCATTTGTATCTTTTTCTGGACCCAAATTTTTTTTTAATGTTTTCGAAAAAAAAAGTCCAAACTCCCACTTAATCTTAATTTGGCTCATTCATTTCGAATCAAGCCTCTCTGTTTTATCTGACTTTAGAATCTTTTCTACAAATCGCATTTTTTGGTGGCATTTTTGTGGCCAAAAATTCTAGAATTCAAAATTTTGAGCATTTGAGAATTTAGAATTTCTTAACTTTATTTTTCAAATATATTTGACTGAGTATCTAATGTGGTACGCAGCCAAATTTGAACCTTTGAATACTTTTCACATGAAGAAGAATCCACGTGGCAATAATTGAAAATGAATTTGAAAATTCAAAATTCAAAAAAAAAAATTGAAAAAAAAAATCTGACTTTCAAAAATTGTATTTTTTCTTAGCCACGTGGGTTTGGGTCTGAAACTTGGGGGATTTTTCCGACACATTTTTGATGAAAAAAATTCATGTGGAATTTAGAATTTACAGAAAATCTGAAAATTCTGGCTTTTTCACAGGCAAAAATTCAAATTTCAGATTTTTTTCGAAAATTTGAAACTCCAAAACTTGGAAAAATTGTTGCCACGTGGATTTTTTGATAGAAAAATTCAAAATGCAGCTTTTTTCGAAAAAAATGTTTTTTTTTTTGAAAATTTCCAAGGAATCAGAATTCAGAATTTGAAAATGGCCCCAAAATTTCGAAAAAAAAAAGTTTTCACAAGAAAATTTTGATGAATTCCACGTGGCAAAGCATTCTATGAATTTTTAAAATCCAAATTTTCAAACTCAAATTTTCAACTGCAAAAAGTACACCTGCTCTTTTTTTCAATCTGTATGAATTGCCAATTTTTTTTTGTTTATCTGACCTCTCTTTCTCCCCAAAATCACTCCAATAAATCTTCGTTATTTTCCACGTGTAATTTGTCTAACTATAGTCGATTTGCAATTTATCACCTACTTTTTCTCTTATTTTTTTCTTTTTTCTGAACCTCAAATATCAATTTATCTCTTTTTCCCCGGAAATTTTCATTTTTATTGGGCGAAAAAGAAGATGCTCTTTTTATTTTCTCATGAACAAAAAAGATTTTTGTGGGATTTTTGGGGCCAATTTCCTGTTTTTTTCTGTTCTGTGTTTGCTTTTTGGATTAAGTTAGCCTAAATTCGGGGGAGATTTTACGATTTTTTATAACTAAATTAAGGAATTTGCTTAATTAAATTTATTTTGAAGAACACTTTTGGTTCAATTTTTGATTTAATTTTTTTTTTTTAAATTTTGCCACGTGGATTTTTTTTCCTGAAAAATTTGGAAATTTTTTTTGAGAATTTCAGAATCTGAAAAAAAATTTTCAACATTTTTGGAATTTTGGTATTGATTGGGATTGCTCATGTTAATCTTAGAAAACACTGAAAATAATGGGATTGCTCATGTTAAACTCAAAATCACAGTAAATTTAGGAAACATAGGGATTGCTCATGTTAAGCTTAGAAATTCTAAAAGTTCGAAATTCATTTGAAACTCAAAATTATAGTAAAATTTAGAAGATTTGGAAAAATCAGGGATTGCTCATGCTACACTCAATTTTGACAAAAAATTACGAAAACATAGAGATTGCTCATGTTAAGCTTAGAAAACACTGCGAATGACGGGATTGCTCATCTTAGGCTGAAAAATGAGAGATTTTGATTGCGCCTTCAAATCGAGCCAAAAATTCAAATTCAAAACATTTTGACTGAAAATTTTGTCCAAAAAACTAAGGATTGCTCATGTTAAACTCAGAAATTCAAAAAATCTGGGATTGCTCATGTTAAGCTCAAAAAACACTAAAAATATTTGGATTGCTCATATTAGACTGAAAAATCAGAGATTTTGATTGCACCTTCAAATTGCGCTAAAAATTCAAATTCAAAAAATTTTGAGTGAAAAGTTTGTCCAAAAAAATTCTCAAAAATTATTTTGCTAAATTTTTCAAATCAAAAAGTTCCCGAAAAAATTCTGATTTTTTTCTCTTTTCTGAATTTAGGCTATCTTGAATTTAGTGTAATTCGAAAATTTTCTTCCGAAAACCTTGTTTCTTTTTCACTATAACCAGATTATTTTCTCACATTTTGCTAATTTGATTTAAATTTTCTCGTGTCCTCTTCTGAATTTTCGAGAACACTTTAGATTCCTCGATTTTTCAGACGTCATGAAATAGAAAAAATGCAAATTTTTCTCATATTTTTATTATTGTTGGCCACAAAGTGTGGCGCATTTTTGCAAAACACTTTGCCACTTTCGATTTTCAAAAATCTTGACACTTCTTCCACGTCGCCTGATGTTTTGGAGAAGATTCATGTTGGAGCCGAAGCCACGAATAAAAATCCTATGGGAGCGGGAGGTTCAGATTTTTACAGGGGGGATGGTTATGACGTGGCACCTCTTCTGAGATCTGAAATTAATTTCAGAAGCCACTAATGTCCCCAGAATCCCAACTAAAATTGATTTTCAGTCCGTCGAGTGCCCCCGTATTTTTCGGTGAAGCTGGAACGAGAATATGTGGTTGGAATGGGTGGAAGTATCAATTTGACGTGTGTTGCTGTCGGATATCCGTGGCCAAGGGTTTTTTGGAAGAAGACTGATCAGCGTGAGTTTTTTGGGCTTTTGAACGCGTTGCGGTCATGCGCTGCGTGTTAAAAAATCCTGGAAAATTATACGTTTCAAAATTTTTTCAAAGAGATTTGCCATTTTTTCATGAATAATATTGAATTTTCCCTTCTTCTCAAAAAAAAATCCAAAAATTCCCGAATTCCAGAAGTCATTGATGATCCCTCAACGGCTCCAATGACAAAAAATGTGCTGACCTTGACGAACGTCGAAGTCACCGAGAACTTCACCTGTGTCGCTGTCAGCAATCTTGGAAACATCGAGGCTACCACCACAGTAATCGTGAAAGATCTCCCACCACCACCGATTGATATTATGGTGTCGTCTGTCACTTCGGAATCGGTTGTCATCACTTGGAAACCGCCCAATTATAATGAGCCGATTAATAAATATATTGTGAAGTTTAGATTGAAGTGAGTTAAGGGGATGTTTTGGGTGGTTTGGCATGGTGTGAGGAATTTTTGTTTTGATCTACCAAGCTGAAAATCCACGTGGCATAAATTCCAGAACCTCTGGAATATCTGAAAATGATTATTTTGTTCTGAAGATCTCAAATTCCACGTGGCACAATTCTAGCACCTCTGAAAAAAATTCTGGTACAAAAAATAGCACTGTTGAAATTTGGATTCTGGAATTTTCAAACTTAAAATCCACGTGGAAAACTATTTTCCTAGTGCTGGAATTCCACGTGGCACAATTTTAGAAGCTCTGAAAATTTTGGAGATAAAATTTATATAACTGAAATTTGGAATCTAGATTTTTCAGACCAAAAATATTCCACGTGGCAAAGATTTTTTCTGGAGCTGAAAATTCCAAGTGGCAAAATTCCAGAAATCCTGGAAAGTTCCGGAAAAAAATTATAAAACTGAAATCTGGAAGCTAGAAGTTTCTGCTCTGAAATTCCACGTGGCATAACTTTGGAAATCGTAAAATATTTGGAGCAAAAATTTATGTAGCTGAACTTTGGAAACTAGAATTTTCAGATCAAAAAATTCCATGTGGAAAATTCCAGAATATTTTAGAACTCCTCAAATTTTTGATTCAGAATTTATTGAATTTTTGAAGCTCCCCTGCCACGTGGCAAATTTGAGAATTTTTAATTTGGAAACTAGAGTTTTCAGCTCAAAATTCCACGTGGCACAATTTTAGAACTTCTGAAATTTTTGATTCAGAATGTCTTGAATTTTTGAAGCTCCCCTGCCACGTGGCAAAAAAAATCTGAAATTTTTAGTTCAAAAATTCTACTGCTGAAATTTGCAATCTGAATTTAACCGCCCTGATTCAAAAATTCCACGTGGCAAAATCCCTAACTCAATTAACTTATGCTAACTCTATTCCAGCATGTTGTGTGATTTTTCAGATCTCCCGAAAATCTACTCTCCAACGAAAAGGATTTGGATGATGAAGAGTAAGCATGATTGATTTTTTTCAGCTTTCCCATTTTCTGAAATCTCTGAAAACCAATTTTATTTCAGATATGCTGAAAAAGGTCGCTGGAAATCGCTGGAAACTCTCGACACAAGTGTTGTGATTGGAAATCTGGTGGCTTTTCAAACCTACGAGTTCACTGTTCAAAGTGGCTCGGATATCGTTGGCCCAGGCCAGCCCAGTATATCTGTAGAGGCCCAAACAATGACGAGTCCACCCTCAACTCCTCCCGCAAATCCACAAGCCCGTTCTTTGAGTCGAGATTCGATTTTGGTCAAGTGGGGACCTTCGGAGCAGCCCAACGGAGTTGTCACCGGATATAAAGTGTATTATGTTTTGGCGGACGATTCGGTGGTGGTGGTCTCGAAGCGATTTGATGAGAAGTGGAATTTGCATGAGGCGAAGGCTGATGAATTTATGACTACGATTTATGGATTGCAACCGGATTCCAGATATTTTTTGAGGGTTTTGGCCAGCAATTCGGAAGGAGATTCACCGCCTTCTGAAGTTGTGACGGTTTCGACGCGGCAAGGAAGTTAGTTTGATTTTTGAGGGGATTCTGAACTTCTAACCTGAAGGTTTCTGGGATTTCTGATGTAGCTGTATTTTGTTAAGGACTAGGAAAAGCTTCAAAATCCATATATATTTTTTGATCTACATTTTTTTAGAGTACTGTAGATTATTCCTCAGATTTCTTATCTGAAAAAAAAATCTGGAAAAATATTTTTGACGTGACCTAGAAAATAGAATTTTTTTGCTCACGGAAAAGCCAGTTTTTTAGCCAGTTCAAAAATTGCTGGAAATTGAAAGTGCCAGTTCTAAATATTAGATTTACCGTAAGTCTAGCAATTTCCCTAAATCTTCAAATTTATGGCACAATTTCAAAAAAATCTAGTTTCAAATAAGAAGTTCTTGAACATCTAGCCCCTGCCACGTGGCAAACTAATCAACAAATGATTTTTTTTCCAGTTCCCGGTCAACCAGCTCTCCTCAAAGTGCGTGCTCTCGACTCGCGCCGCATCCAACTCGGCTGGGACAAACCGCTGTTCTCGTCGCCAATCAGCGGCTACACGGTGCGATACAACACGACTGATGGGGAAAAAGAGCTGACAATCACTTCGCCACACGAAAAACATGTGATCACTGGATTGCAACCGGATAAATATTATGGTTTTAGGTAGGAAATGGGCTTCCCAGAAAAAAAAAAAGAAAAAAATTGGTCGCCGGGTGGGGGTCGAACCCTGGTCTTGCGATTCGTAGGCAAAAAGCCATACCACTCGGCCAAGCAGCCGCTTTTCTCTTTGCCGAAAATTATCATATTTAAATGCGCCTCGATTTCAGAGTTGCTGCATATTCGGACCGAGGTCAAGGAGAGTTCACCGAGCCAATCGTCACCAAAACCATAGCCTCAAGTGAGTTAGCCTAAATAGTTTTGTAATTGTTGTGTTGTGTTTAGTCCCCATTGCGGCGCCCACAATTCTCCACGTATCTGCCACGTCATCGCGGAGTGTTGAAGTGAAATGGAAGGGTCCGGAAGGCAAGGGATTGAATGGTGGAACTCTCACCGCGTACCGCATCGCCTACCGGAAAATCAATAGCGGAAAGCCGGCAACGCGGAAAGATTCGGAGGATTATGATGAAGAGGATGAAGAGGAAGAGGAGCGAAATTCTCCCGAAGCCCCGAAATTTTTTGTTGTTCGCGCCGAGACCACAAAACATCAATTGACCGATTTGCAACCGTACTCCACGTATCAGATTACGGTTGCCGCGTCGACAATTGATGGTTATGGTCCGGATAGTGCGCCGGTGAATGTTGTGAAGACTTTGGAAGATGGTTAGTTGGTTGAAAAATTAAATTTGGGATGATTTCAGGTGGCAAAGATGAGGAAAATAGTCATAGTGGTGGGTTTTAGACGTTGTTTTTGTGAGGAAAATTTTTAGCAGGTCCAATATAGCCAGGTTTACTTTTGCAAAAATTATATGCGGCACTTGCATTTAGACCACGCCCACTTTTTGAAAAAAGTTTTTTTTAAGCAAAAAATGTCGTTAAGCGCGTTGCGGTCTGCGATGCGTATTTTGAAGTTTCGATTAAACACGCAGCGCTTGACCGCAACGCGTCTGAAGACATGTGTGCAGTTGAAATAACATTTTTTAAATTCCCCGCTTCTCAAAAGTGTTTTTGACTGAAAGCGAGGTTTGAATTCGCATCACATATGTCGTTGTACGCGTCGCGGTCGAGCGCTGCGTTTCATTCAATAAAAAACCCGCAGCGCTTGACCGCAAAGCGTCTAAAGACATTTGTGCAGCCGAAAACCCCCCAGAAATTTCCCAAGAACATAAATCAAGCCTGAATTAAATAGGTTGGGAAGATTTTGTTCTTTCAGTTTTCCACCACTAATCCCTCTCCCCCTAGGCAGATGTTTTTCCCCCCACTATTTTTGTTTTTGAACAATTCTGTGACCGCCAAACACGACCACTTATTATTTTCTTGTCACTTTTCATCAAATCAAAAAAAAAGTGATTTTGGATTTTTTCGCAGACATGATAATATATGGGTTTGACTTGATTCATTCATTTTTCAATATGCAAATTCCATTTTTTTTCTCTCAAAACATAGGTTGAATCCACTAGGGATTGGGTTCACATAAATCCGAATCGCTTTAGATCGAGAATCAGAGATAAGACAAGTCGGAGGGAAATTATTAAAAGCAGAAGGCGCTTTTTGATTTATGTACTATTTCTTTAAGACTAGACTACTTAGGAGGAAGATCCAAATGAACATATGTTCGAAAATTGACTGCTGGACATTATTTTTTATGTTTATGTTTATTGTTTTGGTTACTTTGGGCTTTTGAAAATGTCGTTGTACGCGTTGCGGTCACGCGCTGCGTGTTTGAAACAAAGGAAACGCGCAGCGCGTGGCCGCAACGACACGCATTCTCAGAAACAACCAAATTTGATGATTTTTTTTGTTCACACAAAAAAAATTTTTGGATCACGCGAAAAAAATATTTTTCGATTTTTGTTTTTTTTCAACCAATTACACCCGAAATTTCTGGTATTTCAGTTCGTGGCACACCTCGGCCAATCAGTGGCTGGCCAGAGTACAACTTCTGAAAAAATCTGAATTTCAGTTTTTAGAGGTCAAAAACTAAAAATAAAATAACAGTGTTTAGAGGACAAAAACTGAACAATTCGCAATTTTCATACTGTAAAAAATTAGCGTACAATGTTTTATTTTGAAAATCACGATTTTTGCGGAGGTGTGGTTTGTGGTTAGAATGAGATTGGAATGGATCTTAAAATGATAGCAAAATCAATTTCATTCGAAACTGACAGTTCATATGAAACTTGTGAGCTGGAAACAGTCGTGAAGACTTTCTCCAGAACAAGTTTTAAGTTAAAATTGGTCCAGAATTCAAAGTTTTAGGCGTATTGTTTCCTAAATCGGTAGAAAACACGTTTTCAACAAAATCTTTTGAATTCTGACCCAAATTGCAAAAAAAAAAGTTCAAAGCAAGAAAAATTATTTATTTGCAGTTATATTAATTGAAAATCCATCGTTCATCCTGAAATTCTAGCGATAGTCATACAATTTTGAACGCCAGCTCTCCAAAATCGTTGAATTCTAGATGAAGCGGAAAACCAACCCTGAAAAAAATGAAAGAATTAGATTAGCTAGGCGAATTTATTAATTACCGTAGTTCCAGTTGAGGCGAAACATCTGTTGTACTGTAGAAGCGAAATCTGAGAAGAAAACTTGAATTATTATTTTGTTAACTCACCACTTCCCGAATGCAAATAATTATTAATGACGGAACAAAAACGAGAAAAACAAGAGAAAAGGCCGCCACGTATTGCCACGTATATGACAAAAAATACGTGGCAAGATTTTTATCAGGTTGAAAAAAAAACAAAAATCGAAAAAAAAATCTTTTCCGCGTGATCCAAAAAAAATCATCAAATTTGGTTGTTTGGGAGAATAGTACTGCCGCAACGCGTACGACGACATCTATCAATATGTTAATCAACTTTTAGAGCTCTTATAAGCTGGCTCACAGGTTAATTTAGGTTCTACAATATTTTTTGAGCTTCCCCAAACAATTTTTCCCCGTACTTTTTCTCATGAATTTTATCCCAACATGAAAGTATCAAATTACCCCCGAAAAAAATCTGTTCCTCATTGACCCAACCAAGCAACAAAAAAACACATGTCTCATCTCATCCCCACCAAAAAGGACCCTCGAGAAGCAAAGTATTCATAATTGTGAATATTTTATACTCGCTAGATATATACCATATGATACATCTCGTATTCTTCTTCTCCCCTTCTGCTCTTCTTCTTTTGCTCTTCAAATATTCTCACGGGCTGTTTTCGCTTCGATCGAAATATTCGTGGTGGTGACCCAGCCACCCCCTATTGAGTTACATATTGGATATTCTCGCCATTTTTAGTAATATTTTGATAAAAAAGTGTTTTTTCTTGCCGCCATCGCTTTTTTTCTCATCTCATGCGCAAGCGCTGTGTTGTTGACAGGTCGTATTTATCAATATTTGTATTTGCGACCAATTGACCGCACGAAAATTGCTTGTGATAATGCATATTTTTGCTTTGAAGTGTAGAAAACTGAAAAAAATGAAAGTAAAAATGAAAGCGCGCTCTAGCGCACTCACCCCGCCAACTGTTTTTTCAAAATTTTACTTTCATTTTTTCGCATTTTTTTTGCGTTTCCCCCCGTTTTTTCCCAACACATTGATACATTTCGGCACCTTGTCTCTAGAGAACAATAGAACCAGTCCCATTAAGTTGCGCAACTGTCCTTCCACGCCGCCATCACCATTCTATTTCCCACACCACCTTCCTCTCCCCCTTTTTCCTTTATCGATCGATTGTATGATTATTATGTGTGCTGTGCATTTGTCCTCTCCACTGACTGATGACACATTCCTTATTTAGTCATCGCTCTCTCTTATTTTCGCATACTATCTCGGTAGATTGGGTGTAGACACCATTTTTTTGCGCTTTTTTGTGTCTTGCATGGATCATTTGATTTTTCATATCATATATGGTCGTTTTTACATTGAAATGTCCGGTTCTTTTTCTTCCAATGCTTATTAGTGGAAAGTGTAACTTTTGCCTTCAACAACAACAAAAAGAAACTAAAAAATAATCCGTTTTCAATTCTCACGCCTCGTGGAAACGTATTTTTTCACAACAATAAGTTAGTTTCCCCGAAGTACACATAATTGTTTTTGATTTTCTTCGCTCTTTTGAAAAAAAGTCGCGAATTTTTTCGCGCGAGCCGCGTTTCAATTGGCTCTTATTATTTGTGTGAGCACCTCTGGCTGCCCAGGCAAAAAGGCACTTGTGTGACCTGGACTGGCGACAATTTGACAAATGGTCATTTTACCCATCTCACCTTTTTTTCTGAATTGACAGGTTATTTATTGCTTTTTGCGCGGGGCAGATATCTGATGGTGAACTTTTTGAAATTAATTGTGTCACTGATTTTTCGGACCACTAGAAAAACTGCGATTTTTGATGAAATATGATTTTTTTTAGTATATTATGACCTGCTTATTATGATCCCGCGGTCAATAACGACTTATCTCAACTCTGATATATGAGTTATGACGTGGCAAAGTTTGAAATTATTTGAAAAACCGCGAGCTTTTTGATATCTTATATCATTGTAACGTGTACGAAATGATATAAAATAACGAAAAGCTTTTTTCTAACTTTGCCACGTCATAGCTCATATTTAGAGTTGAGATAAGTGGTTTTTGACAACGGGATCATGATCAGCTGGTCAAAATCCACTTTGTTGGACCAAAAAGCACTTCTTTCCGCCAAAACCCTCATTATTCACTCAAAAAGTTGTGTCCATGTCCAACCACCCACAATATTACGCAACAATCAAAAAGTAACATACAAATTACTCGTCAACCCATCATATAATATATTATTTATAACCAATAATAATAACTAAGCCTCATTTTATTCCATCCTCCACTTGACCAATGTCCCTGGAAAGACCCCCCCTTTTCGGATAATCGGATTTCCCTGCACGTCTCTCCAACTTTCTTAATTTTATCTAATGCACGCGCGGACCACCCAAGAAGAAGAAGGCTAAATTAATTACACTTGAAATGAGAAAGGACTTTTTTTCCTCTTCCTTTTTCACCCCGGCGCTTCCTCAATATAAATGAGAAGTAAATATCGAAATTTGTGAACATGTGTCACTTTTTCTCTTTGTTTTCGCCCCAAATTTGGTTAGAATTAGTAAATTAAAAAATAATGGGAGATAATTTGGGAACCCCTTTTTGCATTCTTTACCACAAAATTGAACGAAATACCTTTATGAATGACCTTTTCGCGCGCCACCTACAACAAAACCGATAAAATATTCAAAGATGTGGTTTTTTCGCGCGCGGTGGTCGTCACCAGCGAAGTTTTTTTTGCCCCCAGAGGAAAACGAGAGGTATTCATCTATTTCTCCCCTTTCGTTTCTCCTTCGTACATACATATATACCCTCCACTTTTCCTATCAAATTGACATATTGTTTTGCTTTTTCTGCCAAAGCTTCTTGCAACTCTTATACGACATGTTTGAGGTGGATTACTGAGATTTTTCGCATTGAATGGAGTGGATTTGGATTTGTTGCAAGTTTTCTGAGAGAATGGATATTTTTGATAGTGGATTTAGATTTTTTAAAGTTTTGAGTCGGGCAGGCGTACCAAATTTTCTTAACAATTACTTAAAAGTTATTTTTGGTACGGCCCAAGCTTTCTAGATTTTTGGATGAATTTTGAATCTTACCAAGGGTCGAATTCATAAACCTGGTACACCGAAAATTATTTGAAAAATATTGGGTGTACCAAAAATTGCTTAACATTTTTGGTACGACCAAATTTTTTAAAAAGTAGTTTTTGGTACGGCCCAAGTTTTCTAGATTTTCTGGTGAATTTTGAATCGTACCAAATGGGGTATAAAACCTGGTATATTAAAAATTATTTGAAAAAAATTAGGTGTACGAAAAATTGCTTAACATTTTTGGTACGATAAAATTTTCTTCATTAATATTTCAGTATGCCACGAAAATGCTCTGTGAGCCCAAGAAAAAATTCCCGGTGACTAGGATGTGAAGCTCCTGGTCCTCCAGGTGTTTTTGAGTTTCCGGAGCTTTTTGTGACTTTGTTTTCTCAAAAATTTCACAACTTCTTCTCAGATTGTGAAATTTGAGGTTTTCCACATTTCAATCATTTCGCTCCACTTTATTTCTTAAGCTAAACAAACACCACCACCACCACACGAAAAAACCCATATTTCATCTCACCACATCCACACTTATGCACATTTTTCCAGAAAAATGGAGCAGGTGCATTTTGCACCATTTATCACACCCCTAATAAAATGCCTCGCCGTTTTTTGTCCCAGCTTTTTTTTTTTGATTGGCTTCTCTTATTTTTTTTGTTAGGATTAGTAGTGTGAGTGACCTTGTGCCTTAGAAATAAGGCGCAAGCAACATTTTTTTTCGCGGCTGCCTCGTTTTTTCTCCGTTTGCACATTATTCATGATTCGGTTCATTCAACACTTCCAATGTTTTTTCTTTTTTCGCTTCCTTTTTGGAGTATCTTTTTCTTTTTTTAGGGGGAAAAAGTTGATTTTGAACACACATTCAAGTGTTTTGTTGGTTTTTTCCGCCTCCCAGAGCACCAGTTTTGTTTCTATGAAGTTACTTTTTTCGAAGAGAAAAGTTGTCGGCTGAAAATCTTTCAGAAAAAACATCATTTTTAACCTCCCATGGGAGATTTCCTAATGAAAAACATGCTGATTTTCACCTGCTGATAATAATAACGCTATTAGAAACAGTAGATTTGTTTACCACCCTAAAACTTTGTTCCCAAGCAATTTTCACATAGATAACGGTGTATTTAGTTTGATTTTTATATTCTACTGTCGTTTTTTAGAAAGCGTGTACCTTTAAACTGTGTTACAATGGTTTTTGATTTGCAGTGAGTTGTTTTTTCCCCAAAAATTCCGTGAATCTCACGAAAAACACTCAAAATCTTGTGTCTAAAAAGTTACATGACTCGTGTCTTCATCGAAAGTCAGTGCTCAAATTGAATATTCATGCAACATCTCTCTCATTCTCCACGAGTTTTTTGCTTTTCTTTCTCCTCTCTCGGAAAAATTGACGATTATATGAAGCGGCAAAATTGGATGAAGTGGTCTATTGCCTGAAATTTTTTTTTTTCTGTGCCTCCACCCTCGTCGTCGTCGTTTTTTTTGCCGAGAGAGAGAGAAGGGGATGTTTTTGTTGTGTCCGCGTTTCAATGAGACGAGAATTGGAAATTATTTTCCAGTGACTTTTTTGTGGGGAAGCGATTTTTGAAACCTGAAAATCGTACGTTTCAAATTTATTTCATCCTTTTTCGAACGTGTTTCAGAATTAATCTCTCAACTCCGCTCTTTGGAAAAAAAATATTCGAATTTCAAACTGAATTTTGGTACACAGAAAAAATAACCCCCCCTTTTTTAACTGTTTTTCAGTCTGGGGGGGGGTCATATTTTTTTGCTAGGTCTGAAATTATATCTGAAAATGATGCTATTCACGCAGATCACGATTTTCTGCACTGAAAAACTCCTAAATCTCGATTTTTGAATAATTTCTGGCATAATTTGAAATTTTCTGCGAATATTTATCCAAAAAGAAACATTCTTTCTTCGAAAAACAGCACATTTTCTTTGGAATTATAAGTCGTATTTTATTATTAGTGCACATGGTGTAGAGTGTAGTACATATAAATGTCCATTCATGTCCACCATGCTCATTATAATTTCTTTTTCTCCTCCGCGAGCTCTCCTTTTTGTTGTCGGCATAGTGTGTCATTTGCAGCCAGGAGGTGGTGAAATTTGAGCAAAAACTACTGCTGTCCCTTTAAAGTGGATAGATTTGAGATGACTATGATCCATCATTTTGATGTGTGTGTTTTGTGGCTAAAAAATCGTCCGAAATTTTCCTAAATTGCGACATTTTTTTTGTCTGCGCTCTCTCGATTTCACGTTGTCTCTTCTGTTCTCTTATCAGAGGGTAACATGAGCAATGTATGAATTTCTATGAAGTTTTTCCATCCGATAAAACTAGATTTTTTCCGAGCCCAGATGTTTTACGTTTATTTGTGCTGCCGAATTTGATTAAAACTTTTTCCTCGTGTGTTTTTTTTGCTGCTCCCCTGCTCCCAACTAATCTAATCTAATATTATTTTTTCGCACCATTTTTTTGCTCATTTCGTATTTTTTCCGCATCTTCTTCTTCTCATCATTATTGTTTTTTTCTGAATTTTAGCCATCACTGTGTGAATGTCGTAGAAAACAAATTGCGCAGCCAAAAAAATACACTAAAATTAATATGGTGGATAGGTTATTTTTAATTTTGCTGGCTATATTGGACACTGGAGTTTTGGGCGCCCAGCAGCAGAAAGGTTTGACCAGGGGGAAAGGTTTTTAAAGCCTAATATTTTCTAATTTTGAAATAATTTCCAGTTCCATCCGCCCCACAATCATTTCAAGCAGAGCTCAGCAGTGCAACTTCGGTGAGTTTTTTGAATTTTTCGAAAAAAAATGGGTCTGGGGTGGGTTTGATCCCCAGACCGCTTAGCTGGTAGGCAACACGTTTACCGGCTGAGCTATATTTGGATGTCTAAGTTTTGGGACAAGGGAAGTGAACTTTTGATGAAACCAATCGAAATACACCAAATCTAGCATGCTGATCACGATTCCGAAGTCAAAAATTGCCACAAATGCCTGTGAGCAATTTTCTGGAGCTCCAAAGTTGGAATTGAGTTTTGGTTTTTGCTCATTTTCAATATAAAACCTTATTCATGTTATAAAAATTGATTTTCCACCCAGAAACATGATGAAAATGAGCAAAAACCAAAACTCAATTCTAACTTTCGAGCTCCAGAAAAGTGCTCACAGGCATTTTTGGCAATTTTTGACTTCGGATTCGTGATCAGCATAGTCTGTTTGGTATATTTCGATATGTTTCATCAAAAGTTCAACACCTGACTTTATGCACTTCCCTTGTGAGCTATTTGAGCACGAGTTGAAATTTTGGCCTGAATCTTGTAGTGCTAATGAAAAATTGTTGTAAAATTCAGGTGAAACTAACATGGGAGGCGCCAAAACACGAAAATGGAGCAGTCATCGGTTTCTACCTTCACTTTGACAAAATGCTGAATGGTGAACCAGTGATTGATTCGAAAAAACGCATCATAATGATAAAAGATGCAAAAAAACGCGACTACGAAATGGAATCACTCGACCCGAACACTGAATACTCGTTCCGATTAAACGCCTTCAATCGACTCGGCGACGGTGAATTCAGCGAGCGACGAAGTGTTGTGACGCAAGGAATTGCGCCATTGGCACCGGAAATTGTCGCGGTATCGTTGGATCAAGATGAGCCGCCGGTTGTTGCGCGAATTGAGTGGAAGACGCCGAGATCTAGACCGAATGAGACGCCGATTGATAAATATAATCTGGTTTTAAGGCCGCAAGGATATTCGGATGGTTTTGTTTTGAAGAAGACGGTTGAGGGAGCGGAGAAATCGACGACTATTTCGGGATTGTGTGAGTTTTTTGAAGAGGAATAGATTCTGTCTTGTAAACTGTGGAATTTTAGTCGTTGAAAAATTTTATTTTGGCCTGAAAAAGCCTTCAAAATGTTTGAAATCAAGTTTTTTTGACGTAGAAAAATTGACACGATTTTGCTCCAAAATCATCAAAAATGTGAAAAATTCCCGAAAATCCTCAAATTATAAGGTAGATTTGTTTTTTTTTGACATTTTTCGAAGAATATATAGATTTTTCAGTAATTTTAGATGATTTTCTTATGAAAAATAGCTCCCCGAAAAAAATACGTTTCAAAATTTATTTATCAATTTTTTCCGACAATTTTTTCTCGATTCACACATGTTCAATTTTTTAGCGTAAATTTTCTAAGCAAAAATTAACTCCAATAATTCTACGTTTCAAAAATTTTAAATCTGATTTTTTATTTCTCTTTTTCGTTTCTTTAATACATCGATCTTCAGAAAAAAATAGATTTTTTCTTTGAAATCATCAAAAATATGAAAAATCAGTTTTTTAATGTCAGAATCTTTCTCTTATTATAGGGTAGATTTGTTTTTGGCTAATTTTCCTTTTTTTGTCTTGGAAAAATATAGATTTTTCAGTAATTCTGGATGATTTTCTTATGAAAAATAGCTTCCCCGAAAAAATACGTTTCAAAAATTATTTATAAAATTTTTCCGACAATTTTTTCTCGATTCACACATGTTCAAGTTGAACGAAAATGATGCAATGCGCCTTTAAATAAAACTGAAATCGGTGTCGCCTGCTATGACAAAATGGCTTAACCGAAAAAAAATATGATTAGATATTCGAAATCTACGTATTCGCATTTAGTTGAATAACTATGCGCCGATTCACCAAACACCCTAGGAAAAAAGTCATCATCGCTTCGAGATATCGCTCGTAAAAAACATTATGTTCCTTTAAAATTCTACCGTAACATGACAAATAAAGAGTGTGAAACACGGAGAGAGTGCGAGAGAAAAAAAAGGAAAATCTGCATACACACAGGTACGCAGAGTGTTTGCAAACAGTAAGACTCATTGCACCGTTTGAACGTGTGTGGATTTCAAAATGTTGAATTTGATTTGAAAAATTTTTAGCGTAAAATAATCAAAAATATGAAAAATCAGTTTTTTAATGTCAGAATCTATCTCTAATTATAGGGTATATTTGTTTTTGGCTAATTTTCCTTTTTTGTCTTGGAAAAATATAGATTTTCAGTAATTTTGGATGATTTTCTTATGAAAAAAAGCTCCCCGAAAAAATACGTTTCAAAAATTATGTATCAATTTTTTGGAGTACATTTTTTCGTTGTTTCCAAAAACATTTTATTTATAAAATAAAAAATTCCCAGTTCCACTTCAAAATTATCCGACATTTTTGTTCCAGTAATGGGTGTTGTATACGATGTTCTGCTATCCGCCGAAAATCGCGAAGGTCACTCTCAAAACGCCACCGAAACCATCGCAACTCCAGTCGGAATACCCGAAGGCGAACCAATCAATGTGCAATACGAAATTGCGGACGGAAAGGTTGGTTGGGCTATTTTATTTCACTTTTTTTGCTGGAAAAAAAGTTTTTATTGTCGTGTTGAATGGGATGGGAAAACGATGAACATATGAGCGTTCAGTTGAAAAATTTTCAATTTTTTTCGAAAACTATAATAATAATGAGAATAGCTTTATTTATATTTTTTCTAGCAAATTTCGAAATTTTTTGTGGAATGGTGGGAATTTTCAACCCTTAGGTGTTTTTTTACCCAAAAATCTTTTTTTTTCTTCAGATTGTGGTCTCTTGGCGCCCACCGGCTGAACAGCAGAGAAATGGAAACATTACGTCCTACAAGGCTGTTTTGACACCAATGGATGCGAGTTCGGAGAGATTTGAGAAAACGGTGAGAATTTTTGGGGGTTTTGGTGAAAATTTGGTGTTTTCTAGTGAATGTTTCGATCAAAAATACCTAGGATTCAATTTTTGAGAAATTTTGAGTTTTTCAGTAGATTTTGACCTGCTGATCATTTTCCAGTTGTCGAAAATGACTTAGCTCAACTCTGAAGCGAGTTATGACGTGGCAAAGTTGAAAAGCTGTCTTTGAAAAAAAAATCTTCAAAACACATTTTTGAAATGGCTTTCAAAATTTGAACAAAGTAATTTTGTACATTTTTGGTCCAGCTAATATTCCGTGACCACAAATTACTTAGCTCAACTATGGGTTATGACGTGGCAATGTTTTTTTTCTCAGAAAATGGGTTTTGCGCCTCGATTTTGAAGTTTGAACTTTGCCACGTCATAACTCCCTTCAGAGTTGAGCTAAGTAATTTTTTACACCGGGATCATGATCAGCTGGTTGAAATTTACTAGACAACATCGTAACGCAAAAATGCTCTGAAATTAACCCGCGCTTTCTTCAAAAAATTTTTTCTCAACAAAAAATAAACAAAAATGATGTATCTGACAGCCTGAAATTAGTTTCATTTAATTCTCGCAGCCAGCCAGCTTTTCCTCGTTTTTTAGTTTTTTTTTTCTCGCCTCAATAATTAGTAGTTTGGCGCAGTCAACAGCGCGTGTAAAAATGCACATCTTCCTGTTCTTTTTTGGTGCCTAACCAAAAAGCTATAAGGACATTTTCGTCGTTCTGTTGAGAAATAATAAATAATGTGGATTTTGTTGAGCTCGTCATCATTTTTATGCACAAAATTTTTCGTCTTCCTGTGAATTATTTTTTCTTTTCGGCATTATTATTTGGTTTTCGCACAGAAATTGTAGTCAGATGAATTGATTTCTTGCTTACCAAACAAGCTTCTCAGCACATTTTTTTTTCTTGAAACGTATTTTTTTCATGCTTTTCACATAGTTTTTTTTCGGCCGCTTTCTTTTTCTTCCAACATATTTTTTTGTTGTGTTGCTGAAGAGCCTAGTTAGTTTTTTCTTGCATTTTTTTGGAAGAAAAAGAAGAACACAACAATTTGTTCAATTTTTCTTTCTGAATACCTAGTTATCGATTTTTCTCGACAAGTTCTTCTAGCCAATTAAAGTCAATTCAAATTTTTTTTCAAAAAATTGTTTTTTTCTAGATTCAATCGCCACACACTTCTGCCACATTTGAAGTCAACGTTCAAAGAGCGTATTTGTTCAAAGTTGCGGCGTCGACAATGAAAGGATCGGGACCGTATTCGCCAGTTTTGACGATGAATCCGGATTTGACAGGTTAGTTGAGAGGGTTTTTGAAAGTTAAACCGTGAAAAATGCTCAAAAATGAGCCAAGAAACATTGAAAATGGTCAAAATTGAGTCTAAAACAGTGAATTTGCTCAATTTTGAGTGATTTTTCTGCACAAAAATTCGCACACACGGGGAAATTTGCATAATAAACAAGCTATGGTGTTTTTACACCTGCCAGCGCGCATTTTTCATTTTTTTTCCCCCTCATTTTTTTTGGTTTTCACCTGAAATATATCAAGTTTGTTCGGAAGCTTGATATATTATGAATGAGCATTTTTTATTAAATTTTTCGCCGCCCAACGTCCTCTCGAAAGTTGGGTACTTGACTCGAAGGAGCACCCGATTTTCTAGATTTTTCAAAGATATTCAGCCATGATGTTTGGGCTCTTGGAGCACAAAAGTCAAAGTTTTCCTCTCTGGAAGCATGTTGTTGGTCTTTCATTGTACACTTCTTTTGTTTTTTTCTACTCGAAATTTCGTATAGATATAATTTCTGTTGAGAATTCCAATTATTTCTCGCCCTCACCTTTATCTAGGAAATTAAGTGAGTAACTTTTTGTCGGCGCCGAGATGAATAATGGGAAATTTTTTCAATTTCCCGTCTCTTCCTATCCTTCACATTTTTGCTATTTATGTTGTCTAAGTCGAAAAGTCAAGCCAAGTTAGTTCAACTTGGCGTGAAAATTGGAGCAAAAAATGTGTGCACTCCCTCTTTTTTTTTTGGGGCTTTTACTCATTTTTTTATCGATTCAGGTTTTTTGCCATATTTTTCCAGCAAGTGAATAAGTAAGAATAATCCAATTTCCCCGGGCCTCGCTGGAATTTTCTCTACGTCGCAACACACACTTTTTTTTCTAATAAATTCGAATTAGTTGACAGAGATCTTTTTAATCTGTCTTGACATGGCACATTTTCTGCGCTTTTCGTTTATTTTTCTTTCGAAATTTGGCTAGTTTCCGGTGAAACATAAAGCAACACAAAAAAAAAGAAAGGCTATTTTGGTTTTTGAAATTCTACACCGTTTACGCCTCACTTCATTTTTTCTCGACATGTTTTTTTTTTTGACATGGCATAACATCAACAATAAATATGCTAATAACTTTTTCTGGTTATGAGCCTATTACATTGTTTTAGTTATTTGATTTTTTCTCCTCCCATTCTTCTTTAGTTTTTTTCCTCGTCATCATCATAAAAGTCTTAACCTAACCCACATCAAAAATGTATAGGAAATAATTCTTGGATCTCTCCCACAGAAAGATGAGTTTTTGATGCATTTATGAGTGAGTTTCTTAAGAATATCCCTATCCAACCCGTCACACGGATTATTTTGCCTTGTAAGCTCTGTGCTCTCTAATTAATTTTTGTTATGCTATTTTGTGCATTTCACACATCGAAACCTTTCAAAACTTCCAGAATTTCCATTTTGAATCTGTTCTATTCGTAGTAAAAATATCAAAAAAAATTTTAGTCGAGCCCAGAACACGGATTAATAATAGGGGGAGCTGGAGGATTAGGATTTTTCGCGACAATTTTTTGTGGCCAGTACTAAAAGCAGGAAAGCCAAAAAACATCGTTTTGGCGCCTATTTTTATAAATAATAACTTTGGCCAGAAATAATTGTGCGCGCCTATTTTATTTTGTGGGTGGAATTTTTCTTTTTTCTCCTCTAAGAATGTAAGTTTTTCAAAAAAAGAAAAAAAGTTGACGTCAATAAATTTTTAGAATGTTTTTTTACTAGTTGTCATAGATTTTTTCGGCCAAGAGTACTTTTCTGAAATATTTCCGCCCCAGTCTTTTGTTCATTTATTATTAGAGGAGAATCAAATTTCCCCTCTCTTTCCCCTTCTTTTTTTCGACATTTTCACCTCATCTTCGCTCATTAGTATTATTAGTATTGGTATTATCTATTGATCTATTTAGCTTGTTTTTTTTAAAGAATGGATGGAGAGGAAGAATACAGCTATTCAGAATATGGGCAAACATCGAGTGAAAAACCGGAAATCATTTCGACTACCTTGGACCCGCTGGGACATTTGATAAATCCGGTCAAATGTAAAACTGGATTATCGGTGAGACTTGAAGAGTTGTTGAATAATTTGTCGTCGGGATGGAAATATCATGTGTCGAATACTGATGGAGTTAAAGAAGCTTGGGAGTTGCTGCAGAATTCGACGAATGTGCTTTGTGAAGAGATGAAAGGTATTGTAAACTTAGAAATTTTGTAGACTACAAGTTTCCGCGCAGCGGCGAAGTTACTCTAACACTTAACGATTAAAAAAACCACTTTTAAGCTGATTTGGTCCAATTTACCTTTTTATGTTTGCCCAAATCGAAAATTGCTCCAAAGCTCTGGAAATTTGAAGCGATTTTCGTGTTAGCTGTTTTTGTTCTGTATACACAGCTGTTTGTTCTTCACAGCTTTTTTTTGTTCAGAGATTTTCCGATTTTTTTCGTAATTGACCTCGGATTTTTGTTTTCTCTGGAAAAAACCGAAAACAAATGTCATCTCGTTTTTTCGAAACAAATAAGATTGAAATCTGTTGTTTTTTCACACCATTAGACTTCCTCCCCTTGTTATTTTTTCTTTCTCTCTGCAAAGCCAGCTACACAAAACCGAACGATTTCTCCTCCTTGAACTAATCCCATCTCGTCATTCATTTTTTGTGTGTGTTGTTGTTAGCGGTGTTGATTAGTTAGAAGTGCAACCCGACACAACGCGCAAAAAATAAGGAGAAAAAGTTTTGTGAAGCGTGGCGGCGCGGCGGGGGAATTAATCATGTCGAGTTGAGAGAAGCCCATTTTTTGTGGTCCCTCCTCGCCCAACATCTTTTTGTTCTTCTCGCTCTCATCTACTAATTATCTATCTGACTATATCTAGAAGCTGAAAAAACATGTATTCTATAATGTATGTGCCACGTGTCAAAAGAGCTAGCCGAGGAAAGGATAAACAATTGAAGGATCAGAAGAAGAAGCAGAAGAAGCAGATGACGATTTCGAAACAGGCACAACAGAAAAGGATTGAGCAGGATGGTGAATTTTTTTGGATTGTTTTAGTCTTGTAGCTGGAACTTAGGCCTGTGCCGGAGAATTTTGAATGAATTCTGGATTTTCTCTAATTTCTAATCAAAAATTATTTTTTTGAGGCTTAAATTGAGAATTCTGAGATTTTTTTCGATGTTTTTTGATTTCCATTTCGAAAATTCTGAATTTGGAAGATATCTACAGAACTTTTGAACGGTGTAAACTGTTTTCAACTCTAGAAAATTCATTTTTTTTTCGTAATTTCAAATTTTGAGATTTCGAAAATTTTTCAGTTGAACAAGATTTTTAACTACAGACAATTCAAAATTCAATTTGAAACTGAAATTCTGAACTTTGAGATTACGAAAATTTTCCAGTTCAATTTTTTTTCCGCTTTTCCGCTTCTCACTTTCCGCACAGGCCTGTTGAGTACCATTAGCTCCATTAAATCCCCAATCTTGAAAACCCACACCCGCCCTTTTTGTTTGTTTTTTTCAGTTCAAACGAATTTTAATTAGTCACTGGGAAATTTTTCTCCACATAGAATTTAAGAAAATTTCTATTTTTGCTCGAAATTTTCAAAACTTGGGTGTGGTTTTGACTGGTAGAAGGAGGATGACGTGGTTTTTATCCCGAAATACCGGATATTTACGGCGATTTATGTGAGAACGCATAATTCATTCCGAATTTTTCTAGCCATTCCATGTAACAAGATTAAAAAATTTTCGTCGCATCTCGTTTTCCTCTTTTATAGAAAGCGAAAAGGAATGAATTCGATTTTCTGTCATTCACCACGAATTTTCAGAGCTTCCCTTTCCGCTCTCGGCTCAATTTTTTTGTTCGAGTTATGTCAAAAGACATTTTGCTCAAATAGTTCAAACCAATTTTTTATTGTGTTTGGAGAAAATCCCTGAAAAAGGAGATGAAGAAAAAATAATAAATAAAATATTTTGCATTTGTCATTCATTCACATTCCACAGAAGAAAAAACGACATGAGCCCCGTTTTTTTTCTTTTTTCTTTCTTAGTTTTGGATGTGCAAAAAGTGCATTCCTTTCTTTATAACGACAAAAAGTTGTGCAAAAAAAAAAACTATGTCGTAATTTTTTATTCAGCAATTAAATTGAGCCCTTCCCCCTTTCTTCCGGTTGACAATCTTGTTAATTCAATTTCCAAGAAAAATTCGCTCTCTCCTCTTTTTTTCTATCGCGTTTTTTCGTCCTCCTTCTACCTAGCTATAAGTTTTTTCTGAAAAGCTAGGTGAATTTTTGTAGAATTTGTTGTAACTTCGGATTTTGGCGAAACGCCGGTGTATCCCATGGCTGAGCTACCGGCGAATCATGAGATCTCCACGGCCGATGTGTATTCTGCGATTCTACATCAAGCTCCGGGACCTATGGAGCATCCGATTTCGGCGAAACTTTCGGCAATCTCTCAGCGGATATCGCCAATTATTATTCCGTCTAGTACCACCACGACAACAACAGCTACCACATTAATAGTCGATGTCACAATTCCCTTCATGACAACCGGATGGACACAAATACACGCACTCAATAGTTTGTTTATGGGCGAAAATATCCCCGCGGGCGAAATTCATTTTTACTCCCCAAAAAAAATATTACTTGTAACATAAAAGTGCTTCCACTCAAATTTCATGTGGATTCTGAATTCTTTCACACGGAAAAACATTAGCGAATTAAACGAGCACTTGTGGGGTGGGTGAAACATAAGAAGAGAGGGGACAAATAAAAAAAAGCACATATAGAGTAGTATTAAGGGGGGAAAGTTGAGGAAGCAAAGCAAGGGGCGGAGTAAGCTTGCTTTTGATACGTTTTGTTGTGTTCCGGAAGACGGCCGAGAAAGGAGAAAATTACCCCCTGCATCATTTTTCTCCGCGCATTTTTTTATTATTCACTAGCATATATGTATGTATTAAATACCTGAAATTATGTGGAGATGATGAATTATTTGTGGATTTTTGTCTTGCTGCACGCGACGACTCTAGCCTTTTTTCCCGACGAATCACTCAGATACCTGAGTTTTTCTAAACCTTTACCACAAAAAGTGAGATCGAGGCTACCGTCGTTGACTAGTGGTGGTTTCTTTGGTGCCGAAAGCGCTATGCGTAGAACTGAGGAGCTAAAAAAGCCCCCGACTCTGCGGAGCTCGGCGAATTTTAAGGAGAAGAATATTTTTGCGGCTATTGTGCATGGGCTACTCAAAAATGAGACCACGACGATGGGGTTGTGTGAGTTTTGGGGAGTCTGGGAAATTGTCTGAATCGGACCGCAGGCTAGACAAAATCGGTCCCAATTACCCCAAATTTTTCCAACAAAAAAGAACACAAATCGCTGTTTTCCTGTGTGCGCGAAAAGGGAAATATGGCGAAAAACTTGGTGAAAATACCAAACCCTACGCGCAAAAAAGAAAAAAGCTAGCCTACGGTATTTTCCAGGACCTACATGTCCAAAAATATACGTTTCAAAATTATTATTGAATCTTTGGAATCGTTTATCAAGCGATTCGAGCGTTATTTTGTTCCGTAGAAAAAATATAAAAATATCCATTCTTGTTAGAAATTCATGAAATTTTTGCGAATTTTTTCCAGCTGTCATCGGACCACCGACAAATGTTCAAGCTGAAGCACTCTCCAATTCATCTGTTGTTGTGCAATGGGATTTTGAATCTGTACAGGTGGGCTATTCTATTTTTTTCTCGGCTTCATTTTTCCCAACAAAAAAAAATGGGGACCTCTTTTGTTTTCTTCCCAATTGAATTGTGTTATTTTTACCCTCTTTTTTTTTCTCGTTGAAAAAAATATATATACGAAAAAGCAAAAAAAGAGTCAGATTTGTGTCAAAAACAACGAGTCAAGGGGGAAAATGAGACATTTGGGAAATTCGAGATTTTTTTCCAGGCCGACTCGTTTGTTGTGAAATATAGTCATGAGCCGGAGGTCAATAAGAAGGGAACGGCAATCTCGCAACAAGTTGATGGAACGGCGAGAAGTGTCAAGATTCATGGGCTCGTCTCCAATAAGCCATATAGTTTTTGTGTGTTGGCTGTGAAGAATAATGTGAGTTTGGAGAGATTTGCGAGATTTTGATACTAAATAAGCCTGTTATTAATTTTGGAATGGAAATCTGGAAAATTTGGCTGAAATTTTTAGATTTTCTGTGAAATTTGGGATTTAGAGATATCCCATAAGCATAATTTCCAGCTTTTTCATCCTGAACATAATGATAGGCTTATCTGATATCCCTAAAACCCCAATTTCATGAAAATTCAATTTTTAGAGCTTAAATGTTATGTAAATTCTGGAAATTTCAGGTTTTTCATAAAATTTGGGTTTGAAATATACTAAATAAACCTATAATTAATTTTGATGAAAATCTGGAATTCCAGGCTTCTGGAGTACTTTTTGAACTCTATTTTTTTTAGGAAAAATCTGAAAATTTCAGATTTTCTAGTAGTAGATAAGGCTAGACTTCAAATTAGGCTCAAAATCTACCCTCCGAGCTCAAATTTTATGTGAATTCTGAAAATTTCAGGTTTTTCATGAAATTTGGGTTTGAAAGATACTAAATAAGCCTAGAATTAATTTTAGGATACAAATCTGGGATTCCAGGCTTCTGGAAATCCCAGATTTGTTTTTACCCCAATTTTTAGGGAAAAATTCTGAAATTTTGAGATTTTTCATGAAATTTGGGTTCAATTTTAGGATGAAAATCTGGGATTTAAGCTCAGAAATATCAAATTTGATCAAAATCTTATATTTCTTCAGAGACAAGGTCAATGCTCAGAACCACCATTTGTTATGAATCAAGTCCGACCCGAATACATTGTTCAAAATTTCCGAGTTCTCTGGAAAACTGGTCAATCGGTAAAATTGGCGTGGGACTACAACGGGCCGCGAAATGTCCAGTTCTATTTGAATCACGCCGGACACAAGGATTATTATACTCAAGAATTGACGCTGAAAACGCTGACGACACCCGGCTACGAGACTACGGTAGATGGCACAAGTCGCGAATATTTGTGGCAACAATTGAGACCGTATATGAAGTATAAATTTGAGATTGGTGTGAAATTGGATGCGCCAGGAGGCCGCAAGTATTGGCCCGTGGAGGTGCATACGCAGACGGAAGCCACAGCTCCGCCATATGTTGAAGCACCGATGCTTGCCGAAGGCGGAAGTGATATGCCTGGACAAAGATCTATCAGATTGAAACCGTCTTCGGAAGAGTATGGAGAGATTAGGGAATATTATTTGATTGTTGTACCCGCAAATTATTCACAGGTTTGGGTTTTGGGGGATTTTTTGAGCCTAGATTGTCTTATACAAAAATCATTGCTTTTGAAACAGGGAAATTTTATACAAAATCTGAAAAATTTATTATTTTCAAGTTTTCGGAAAAAAATTATATGAAATTTTTGAAACAGTGGAATTTTTCATTTTTTCGAAAATTTGAAATTTTATCAACAAAAGTTTTGAGAATCAATCAAATTCCAGGCAAGAGTTATAGGAAAATTTTGAAACAGTCAAATTTTCAAATTTTAAAAAGTTATCTAGTAAAAAATGGAATAAAAAATCGATAATAAATTTCTGAAAGTTCGAGATCAATTTTTTTTTTGAAAAGCGAATTTCTGACAAGAAAGGCAAAAATTTGGAAATAGCCTCTCAATTTTTTTCAATTCAGATTTTCGAGCCCCAAAATGCCATATCGAATTTATGGTTTTTGAAGTTTTAGAAAAATATTTAACAAATGAAAACTTTCATTTTGTTTTCGAAAATAACTTATGGAGCGAATTTTTTTTAAATATACAGTTTGGAAATTATTTATGAAATTCCAGAAAAATTATATTAATATTTTGAAACAGTGAGATTTTTCTGGAAATCCAAGATTACTTTTATCAATCCCAAAAACTGTTGAAACGTAAAAGATCTAGAAAAAATGGTTTGGGGATCAAAAATCCAAATTAATTTCTGATTTTTCCTCCAGGATGCCATCGTCAATCTGAATCGCGAGCAACTCGACGCGGCCACGAATTTCAAACGCACCAACGTCGCCAAAATCTCAGTGTCACCAGCGAAACGACTCAAGCGAAAATCGGCGCATTTCCATGAGGATTACCAACCGGAGGTATGTATTTTTCATGTTTTTTTTGGATTTAATAATTTTTTTTTGTATTTCCAGACCAAACGTCATAAACGAGCCGATGTGAATTTCCCGGGAGTTTACGTAACTGCAAAATTGTCGTCGAATGAAGTGAAGAGAAGATTCAATCAAGGACAGCCTTTTGTTGTTGGAGACTCGCAGGTTTGTCGTTTTTTCCGCTTCCGCAAGCTTCCGGAAAGCCCAAACTTATTAGAAAAACAAAAATAAATGTGCCCAATTATTCAGTCACGCTAGAGAAACTTTTTGGCTATTTATTTTATTTTTCCTCTTTTCTTCTTTTGCCGAAGCAAAAAATTGGAAAATAGAGAGATATTAGTTTTTCAAGTGGATTTTTCCATTTTAGAACCCCGTTTTTTCTATACGAAAATATTATTTTTATTGTATTTTTTCACACGAGCGAAAACCTTTTTGTCTTTCTGTTTTCTGTTTTTTCTCCCGGCACAGATTAAAATCGAAACTTTTTTACCGAAATTTTGCGGAAATTTTGGCTCAAAACAAACAGAGCACACTTTTCTGTTTGTGTGTTTTTGGCTCGAGTGAGCACATTTTTTCTCTGGGGTGCGCGAAACTTGGATGTAGTTATGAGGTGGCAAAATTTGGTGGATTTGCCACGTCATAGCTTTTTTTTGACTGCTGGAATCACAGATTTTTATGAATTCTATTGAATTTTTGGGCCCAAAAGATAAACTATTCCTAAAATCCTGAAATTCACATGAAATATAATTATGACGTGGCAAAATAGGAATTTTTGAGAAAAATCTGGGGTTCAGGAGATTCAGAAGTATTTTTTGAATAAAAAAATAAAAGCTCAGATTTTTTGCCACGTCATAACTATCTTTTGAGTTTCTCAGAATTTTTTTTTGAATCATTTTTGGCAAATTTCGAATTCTCAAGTCCAAATCTAAATTTTGGCACAATGCCCAAGAGATAAATTATTTCAAAAATGCTAAATTTCACATATAGTTATGACGTGGCAAAATCCAGAATCTAGAAGTTTTTTCTGAAATTTTTGCTAGAATCAGAGGATTTTTAATTCTAAAAATTCTTTTGTTTTTTTGAAAATTGCCACGTCATAATAATATTTTAAGCGTCCCAATTTTTAAAATTAATTTTTCAAAATTGTTATGACGTGGAAAAATCCAGAATCTAGAAGTTTTGAATGAATTTCCTGAATTCTGAAATTTTTGGTAAAATCATATTCTAAAAAAAATTTTTTTTTGAAAATTGCCACGTCAATCCCTCCTAAATTTCACAAAATTCCAGACGTATGAAGGATTTGTGAACTACCCGCTGGAACAAAATCAACAATATCGCCTAATGATGCGAGCCTTCGCCAAAACTGACGCGCGCCCCAAAAACTCGCTGGAACAACGTCCGCCAATGGGCGAAAGCCTCGACAATCTCTACAAAGACTCGCCGCTCTCCGAAGCCTTTACGACGCGCGGCGGCCTCCGCGCGGCAACCGGACAAAAATCATCGCCATGGCTCGGCGCGTGTATCGCCTTCCTGGTGCTCTTTTCCATTGTCGCCATGCTCATTTGCTGGTGGTTGAGATGTAATAAGAAATCGGCGGGAAGACATCCGAGACATGGAAGTATTACGAAAGTTGCGCTAACTGGAAATGGTATTATGAATGGGATGAATGGAGAGACGAGTAAATTGCTGAATAATGGAAATTGTGAATCGATAAATTATGGAAGACAGGGTGGACAGGTTATGAATCCGTATGATACGATGGATTTATACCCGCTGCCTGCTGTTAGACATGTTCCAGTTCCTGTGCCGCTTCCTAGTCTCCCAAATGTTGGAGGAATCAATATCCAATCAACCAATAATGTTACACATCCATCGATTCCGATTGCTGAACTTGCGAATCATATCGAAAGGCTCAGGCAGAACAACAATCAGGGTTTCCAGAATGAATTTGAATCGGTTGAAACTGGCCAAACCTTCACGTGGGAGCATAGTTCTGCTGAATGCAACAAGCATAAAAATCGATATGCAAATGTGGCCGCCTATGATCATACCAGGGTGGTTTTGTCGAATGATGATTATATCAATGCGAACTATATTGATGGATATGATAAGTCGAAGAGTTATATTGCAACGCAGGGACCGTTGCCGGAGACTTTTGCTGGTGAGTTGGGGGATTTGGGCTGGGAAAATTTGGACATTTTTTTTCTTAGAAATTTGATTCAAAAATTATCTGGAATTCCAAAAAAACAGTTTTTTTTGCAAATTTGTGGCGAATTTCAAGGTTTTCAAAAAATCCTGATTTTTCTGTTGAAATTTTAAGGTTATTGCTCATATTTAAAGTTATAAGGCGAATTTCGAGGTTTTCTGAAAAAATACGATTTTCTGTTGAAATTTTAAGATGTTTTTCTCAAAAAAATTTTTTTTTTGAATTCATAAAAACGCTTTCAGAAAATCTGTTAACTGAACAATGATCTGGAAATCTGAAAATCGAGTTTTTTGCGTCATTGCTCATATTAATTTCATCTGAGTTTGAGCAGAAATTAGATCTGAAAAATTTTTTTTCGGAATTTTAGGTCATTGCTCATATTAAAAGGCGGATTTCAAGGTTTTCTGTAAATCCTGATTTTTTGTTGAAATCCTAAAAATTCTGAGTTTTTGATTCAGAATTATTTGGATCTGAAAATGAAGCTAATATGAGCAATGAAGCAAAATTTAAAAAAAATGTGAATTTTCCATCTTTTCCACCTTTAAAAAAAATCAGGTCCATAAGAATTTCACGAAGTAGCTTAATATAAGCAATCTGTTGTTTTTGCCACGTCATAACCATAATTTTTGCAGATTTCTGGCGAATGGTTTGGGAAGAAGGAAGTGCGACAATCGTAATGCTGACAAATCTCGAAGAACGAAGTCGAATCAAATGCGATCAATATTGGCCATCAAGAGGCAGTGCAACCTATGGTGAAGTTATCGTAACTCTTTTGGAATCTGTCACACTTGCACATTACACAATGCGAACGATGAGATTACAAGTGGCTGGAGAACCGGAGATTCGAGAGATCAAACATTTGCAATATACAGCTTGGCCAGATCATGGTGTTCCTGATCATCCGACGCCATTTTTGATTTTCTTGAAAAGAGTTAAGACGTTGAATCCCGTAGATGCTGGACCGATTATTTCGCATTGTAGTGCTGGAATAGGTCGAACTGGTGCATTTATTGTCATTGATTGTATGCTCGAAAGATTGAGATATGAGAATACGGTAGATATTTATGGATGTGTGACTGCTCTTCGAGCACAAAGAAGCTATATGGTGCAGACGGAAGAGCAATACATATTCATTCATGACGCGGTTTTGGATGCGGTGAATTCGGGATCGACGGAAGTTCCCGCTTCGCGACTACATCAACATGTTCAAGCGCTCATGCAGCCGACTGTTGATGGAATGAGTGGAATTGATATGGAATTTCGACATTTGACGACGTTGAAATGGACCAATAATCGATGCCAGATTGCGAATCTACCGGTGAATCGGCCGAAGAATCGAGTGTTGAGCTCGGTTCCGTATGATTCGAATCGAGTGATTTTGCAAATGATTCCTGGAATTGATGGAAGTGATTATATTAATGCGTCGTGGATTGATGGATATAAGTGAGTTTGCGGGGAACTTTTTGGGAAAAATTGCAAAAATTGATAATTTTGAGTCCAAACATGGTTATTTTTTGACTAGTATGAGCAATGCTCCATTTTTTTTCGGGAAAATCGATAATTTAATGTCCAAACATGATTATTTTTAGACTTATATGAGCAATGCTTCATTTTTCGGAAAATTCGATATTTTTGAGTCCAAACATGGTTATTTTTAGACTTATATGAGCAATGCTCCATTTTTTCGAAAAAATTGCAAAAATTCGATAATTTTGAGTCCAAACATGGTTATTTTTTGACTAATATGAGCAATGCTCCAATTTTCGATGAAAATTGCAAAAAATCGATAATTTTTGAGTCCAAACATGGTTATTTTTTGACTAGTATGAGCAATGCTCCAATTTTCGATGAAAATTGCAAAAAAATCGATAATTTTTAAGACTAACATGAGCAATGCTTTGCTTTGTCAAAATTTTTTTCTCACTCATTTTTTTTATTTTCTCACACATTTTTCCACGAAAAATCGATTTTTTTTTCGAAATTATGGAAATTCCACGTCATAGTTCAAGCTTTCCAACATTTTTTCCCCAAAAATATTTATTTTCAAAAATTTAAATTGAAAAAGTTTGCCACGTGGAAAATTTTGAAAAAAAATTGATTTCTGGCTAATCTAGAAATTTAGGATGATTTTTTTAATCTGAAATTCCACGTATATTTAAAAATTCAAGAAGTTTTGTTTTCTAAATTTGACAGCCGAAACAAAATGGTTATCTGAAAATTTAACAAATTTTTTTCTAAATTTTTTCTAAGTGAATTTTTTTATCTGAAATCTGAAAAATAGTTCAAATTCCCACGTCAAAATTACTACACCAGCTTCATTTTCAACAAAAAATCCACTCAAATTCATTTTTTTTTTGCAGAGAACGCGGTGCCTACATGGCAATGCAAGCGCCTCTCAACGAAACCGCCGCCGATTTCTGGCGAGCCATCTGGGAACATCAATGCTCGATGATTGTGATGCTCGTAAACACGTGGGAACGTGGACAAGAACAATCGAGCGAATATTGGCCATTGGAGACTGGAGTACAAGTCGGAAAATTGGTAGTTGAACCGATTGCTGAATACAATATGGAACATTATATTTTGAGAGAGTTTCGGTTGACCGATTTCCAGGTTGGTTCATTTTTTTGGATTCCTCGTGAAATTTTGACCCGGAATAATGTAAAAATCGATAGATTTTCACTAGCGGGATCGAACCCGTCACCTCTAGATTGATAGAATGACCTCTAACCGGCTGAGCCAATTTTTAGCAGGGTGAAAGGTTGCGGGTTCGATTCCTCGCGCTGGCGAGCTTTTTTTTATGTTTTGGGGTTCTGAAAATTCACATGGGGAATTTTGAATAATTTTTGGAATTTCCCATATGGATTTTCAGATTCCTCGTGAAATTCTAGCCCGAAAATGTATAAAAATCAAAAAAATTTGACAAATTTTTACTAGCGGGATCGAACCCGTCACCTCTAGATTGATAAATTGACCGCTAACCAGCTGAGCCAATTTTTGGCCGGGCGAAAGGTCGCATGTTCGATTCCTCGCGCTGGGCGTAGAATTTTTCGGGGATTTTGGAAATCCACTTGGCGAAAGCTGGGAATTCTTGAAAAATCCATTGTTTTTCCAGACCAATGAATCTCGAACTGTTCGACACTTTCAATTCATCGAATGGCCCGAATACGGTAGACCGGATAGCGCAGAGCATTTCATCGATTTCGTCTCACAAGTTCATCGAGCCTATTCGCAATTCGGTGTCAGTGGACCCATCACAGTACACTGTACGTCGGGAGCCGGAAGAACGGCGGTTTTCATTTCGCTGGCTATTATTTTGGACAGAATGCGCGCTGAACATGTTGTTGATGTTTTTACGACTGTGAGTTGTTTTTTTGGGGGTTTTTCTGGTGGATTTTGACCCTCTGAAGAGAGTTATGACGTGGCTCTCAATTTCCAGCCAAAAATCGTGAAATTCTGAAAAAAGTTGAACATTTTTGATCAAGTTTTTGAGCTAAAAAATTAATTTACTGAAAATGCTAATTTTCAGCGCGAAAAATTGATCTGGAAAATTTTTTGAGCCAAGATATGAAAATTATGACCTCCCGGGAGCACTTTTGTGCAGAAAACACTTTATGGATCAAGTTTTTGAGCTGAAATGATGAATTCACTGAAAATGGGTATTTTCAGCGTTTTCAGCGCGAAAAATTGAATCAATCAACCTAAGAGTTAAGCTAACTTTTCTGAGAATCTCTAGCATTTTAGAAAAAAAACCTTTGAATTTGCCACGTCATAACTCTCTTCAGAGTTGAGCTAACCAGCTCTAAATCTACTACTAGTGAAAAAAATCAGAATTAATTTTTTTTTGCAGGTCAAACTTCTTCGGACCGAACGTCAAAATATGATTCAGGACAATGAGCAATATCAATTCTTATATCAGGCAACTTTTGAATATCTCGCCTCCTATGATAATTTTGTGCAGTAAATTCCGGTTTTTTCCTTTGCCTGCAAATATCTAATTATGTTTTTCAAATTTTTACTTCACCAAACATCAAACTCGGGTTTTTCATCTCATCAAAACGTGTATCATTTTTTACTCCCCAATTTATTGTAACTCTCTCTCTCTCTCTCTCTAAATAATCGCTCACTTTTTTACTGTATTTTGTTTGTAAATACAAGTTAATAATTTATATGATTTTTGAAATATTTTGTGTAATAAAATGTTATTTTTATAAAGTATCGGATTTCGTGTAAATATTTATATTTATAGGAAAAATTATCGATTGGTTTTAAACCGCTATTTTTAAAGATTCAGAAAAACTAGGTTGTCCGGGAGAAATACACAAAAGGATATTTTGGAGTTTTAGGCCGTGGAAACCTAGGCCACGCGTTTGTTTATTTTTTTCATTTCGTTTGCATTTTGCAGAAAGAAATGCTGAAAAATCAGCAAAATGGGATATTTGTAAGGACGACGCTGGATTTTAAGAAGGATTTGAGGTAAGTCACCAAGTTACCTTCCCTCCCCATTAAAAGCTTTGAGAAATTTGCAGATGTCAAAAGCTCACCGCACTTTCACATGTTTTTGTGAAAAATGGCGAAATGTTGGCGGCGATCAGTGATCGATTGCTTTTACGACAATCCGTATCGAATTCCGAACGACCGCAAGAACTTGCGCTGCCGATTCAAGCGCCCGACGCAATTCAACACGTGCATCTCGCATTTTCCGGATTCCATGCGCTGGTTTCCACGAGGCAGGGCAACAATTTCTATATTCATATGAAAACGAGCACGGTGCATCATATAAAGAAGCTGAAGACGCAAATAACAGCGGTTGGGTGGAATCCGGAATTTCTCAAAGAATCTGAAACCGGATCGATTTTGTTGGGGACATCACAAGGGGGAATCATTGAATTATCGATTACTAGCACGGGAATTGTTAATGTGCTCAAAGAATTGACCCCACAGCTCCAGGCTCAAGGGAGTGAGCAAAAGCTGAGTGCGCAAGGCTCGCCAATCTCTGAAATTCAACTGTTTGTGGCCGACGATGATCCGAAGGCCAAAAAATGGCTTGTAATAATCACACAATCTTCAAGAATCGTCCTACAATCTGCAGTTTTGGAGCAAATTGTGCAAAGAGCATCAGGATTCACCAGCTCTGCATCACTTCAAAGTGGATTTATGAGTTTGCAAGAGATGCCTACGACAATGTTCCACACGTTATTTCAATCAAAGGATGCGAATTGTCATGTGATAAATGCGACAAAACTCACCGAGAAGTTCAAAAATCGGGCGAGTCTAGTGTTCTATCCGGAAAACGCGGAGCCTAAACGATACGCGTGGATTTCGCCGGATGGAGTTACGATCGGAAAAGTGGATGTTTTTGCCGAGAGAATTCAGGATGTGCTGATTGAGGAGATGAATTTGGAACATCGATTGATTGAGGGCAGATGGGAATCACCGTTGGGCGCAGTTTTGACCGATTATCATGTGATTTTGGCGTTTTCGACGAGGGTTTTGGCGATTTCTCTGTTGACGCCCAATAATGTGGTTTTTGAGGATGTTTGGGGAGCTGTGAGTGTTTTGGGGAACTTTTTTTTGTGAATCTTAAGCTACTTAGAGTTTCTAGAAGTTTTTGTGATGAAAATGAGCATTTCCAGCGTTTTCAGCGCGAAAGATATGAAAATGATAACCTCCCGGGAGCATTTTTGGGCTGAAAATGACGAATTCACTGAAAATGGGTATTTTCAGCGTTTTCAGCGCGAAAAATTGAAATTTTTGAGCCAAGATATGAAAATGATAACCTCCCGGTAGCACTTTTGTGCAGAAAACATTTTCTGGATCAAGTTTTTGGGCTGAAAATGATGCATTTACTGAAAATGGGTATTTTCAGCGTTTTAAGCGCGAAAAATTGAATCAATCAACCTAAGCTAACTTTTCTGAAAATCTCTAGCATTTTAGAAAAAAAACCTTTGAATTTGCCACGTCATAACTCTCTTCAGAGTTGAGCTAACTAGTTTTTGACAACAGGAATATGATCAGCACCTTAAAATCCACCAAAAAAATATTTTTCCAGGAATTCGGTCAAGCTCTCGGGCTCTCATCTGATCCATCTTCCGAATTCATGTGGCTCTACACATCCACTGGCTTCACAATGAAATATCGATCGAACGATGAGGCGAGATATGTTTGGCGAAAATATTTGGAGCGGCGAGAATATGCGAGAGCTCTGCAAATTGCTCGAACACGAATTTCGATCGAACCAGAAGCCTATGAATTGGTGTTGAGAAAACAGGCCGATTGGTATATTGAGGAGAAAAAGTTGGTTTTTTTGGGGGGAAAATTCTCAAATTTTCTCAAAATAATTTTTCTAGTATATTTTGACCAGCTAATCATGATCCAGTTGTCAGAAATTAGTTAGCTCAACTCTAAATTGAGTTATGACTTGGCAAAGTTTCGGATGATATGAGCAATGCTTTTGTTTAATAAAAAATCTATAAATTCGAAAAATTTCAGCATTTTTGATAATCTGAAGTTTTCTTGAAATTTTCAGAATTATAATAAAAATGTATAAATTTTTAGCTGAAAATCCTATAATTCTGAAAATTTCAAAATTATTTTAATATTCTAGAATATTGAAAAGCCACGTGGCAAAGTTTTGGGAACTCTACAAAGCTAGTATGAGCAATGATTTTGTATAATAAAAAAAATGAAAATTTATAAATTTTGAGCTGAAAATCTAGAATTCTGAAAATTTCAAGAAAACTTCAGAAGATGAAAAAGCCACGTTGCAAATTTGTTCTGTTTAGAAAAAGAGAAGAATTGAGCTTTTCTTCAATTTTTAGCTGAAAATCCTATAATTCTGAAAATTTCAAAATTATTTTAATATTCTAGAATATTGAAAAGCCACGTGGCAAAGTTTTGGGAACTCTACAAAGCTAGTATGAGCAATGATTTTGTATAATAAAAAAAATGAAAATTTATAAATTTTGAGCTGAAAATCTAGAATTCTGAAAATTTCAAGAAAACTTCAGAAGATGAAAAAGCCACGTGGCAAATTTGTTTTGTTTAGAAAAAGAGAAAAATTGAGCTTTTCTTCAATTTTTAACTGAAAATCCTATAATTCTGAAAATTTCAAGACAAAAATTCCACGTGGCAAAAAATCATAAATATGAAAAATTGAATTTTGAAGAGTTGAGCTAAGTGGTTTCTGACAACGGGATCATGATCAGCGCCTTAAAATCTATGAGAAAAATTTTTCTGAAAGTCGCCAGGTGGGCTCGAACCCGTGACCTCCAAGCTAGCGATCTAGGCATTAACCAGCTACACCGTTTTTGCGCCCCGGCTCCGCGCGGAGCTGATTTTTAGTGCATTTTGATCAGCAGCTCAAAATCTACCAGAGAATTCTGAAATAAAAAAAAAATCTTCCAGCTACACCGCCGCCGCTGAAATCCTCGCCCAATCCAGCGAACCCTTCGAAAGCATCGTCCTAAAATTCCTGACCAACGCCGACGAGCGAAAAATGGGCCTAAAAACGCTACTCGACAAAAAATTGGAAAAACTCACGCGCAGTGAGGACAAAATGCGACGCGACGCCTTGGTTCTCTGGCTCTTCGAAATCCAGTTAAGCGAACTCGCCGAAATGCGAAGAAGTAAGGGAAAAGAGGCGGAAATCAAGGATACAGTGGATCATGTTCAACGATATTTCGTCAGGAAACATGTTTTTGAGTCAATTCAGAATAATACTGAAGCGGTTTATCGAATTTGCATCTCTCATGTTGATTTTGACATGCAATTGTATATTGCAAACACTGTGAAGGACACCAGAACCATTGTGAATATTCTAATGCTCCGCGAGCAATATGTCGAAGTTCTTGATGTGCTCAGAACTTGTCCTGTGGAAGATCTAGCTTATGAGATGGCTCCGCTGTTAATTGAGCATATTCCAAAGCAACTTATCGGGTTTTTTGTGCAAAATATTGATCGGATTCGGCCGGAAAAGCTCACAAGTACTTTGGCTTTGTGTATGAAGAATCAGGAGATGGCGATTGCTGCTATCAAATATCTAGAGATTATTATGAGCTCTTCAAGGCATAGATTATCCAAATTCTTGCACAATTTATTTATCCAACTCATGGCCAAGTTCCGCGCGGAAAAGCTCATTTTATACCTGAAAAACTACGGGCTCCACAGGGACAATCTTCCCTATGAATTCGATTTTGCGATGAGAACTTGTGAGCAATACGAGATCAATGATTGCATCATTCACCTGTTTTGCGTTGCGGAAATGTACGCGGAAGCGGTTGAAAAAGCGCTGCGCGTTGATGTGGAACTGGCGAAGAGGTGCGCAAGAATGATGGATGCGGAAGAAGGGTTTTTTGGCGGGGATGAGGAGGAGGAGATGGGAGCGGTGGATTTGGAGAGGAAGAAAAGGATTTGGATGAAGATTGGTGAGTTTTTTGGGCTCTGAGGGATTTTCTGGGCTTTCCAGGCTTCTAAAAAAGTTTTCTAGACCTTCTACAAAGTCCAGAAGAAGTTCAGGACTTTTAAAAAATTCAGAAAATTTCCCTGGGTCTTCTAAAAGAGGTCGAGATCTTTAGAAAAATCTGGAAAACCTATTGGGCTCTCCAGAAATGCTCCTAGGCCTTCTAGAATATTTTTCAGGCTTTGAAGAAAATCTGGAAGAGCTTTTGGGCTTTCCAAAAATGCTCCAATGCTTTTCAGAAATTTGAAAATTGATCCTGGGCTTTCTAGATCTTCTGGATGATTTTCCAAGATTCTACAAAATCCAGAAGAACTTCTAGATTTACTAAAAGCTTTTCAAGATTCAGAAACATCTTCTGGACCTTCTAGAATATTTTCCAAGCCTCCTGAAATTTTATAAACATAATCTGGACCTTCTAGATAATCTTCCAGGCTTCTGAAACTTAGAAAATCTACTAGGAAATTTTGAATTCTAAAAAATTCGTGCTATTTTTTTCCTTGAAAGAAAATTTCTCAAATTTTAGCGCCATTTGTTTCTACCGGAAATTTGAATTTTCAAAACCGCTAAATTAAATTTTTTCGATTTTTTGCAACCCGAAAATATATGTTTCAAGATTTTCTGATAGAAAAATTGAGATTCGCAGTTTTCAGTTAAATCTTCTCATCCATTTTCATTATCACACAGTGGAATAAAATAAAAATTTGAAACTTTACATATTTTCGAGAAAAAAATTGAATTTGAATTCTAAAAATTTCGCGCTATTCTTTGTACCAACAAAAATGGGTCTTCAAAAATTCAGAAAATCTTCTAGACACATCAAAAAAATTACCAGCTCTTGAAACAATTCAGATTTTCCAGACTTCAATAAAATCCAGATGAATTCCCGGGTTTTTTAAGATTAAGAACGTCTTCTAGATGTAGTTTTCTAGATCTTTTAGAATTTACCCACCCCTTGAAAATCCTAAATTTTCCAGCAAAACACACAATCTCCACTGAAAAAGATGATATTCCAAAATGCATCAACCTTATCAAAGAATCGAATGATATTCTAACAATTCAAGACATTCTTCCACTTTTCCCCGAATTCACCAAAGTCGATCATTTCAAAGAAGCTCTAGTTGAATACCTTCGAAAACATTCGAAGAAAATCGAAAAACTTCAAGATTCCATGAAAGATGCGACTGAAACTGCAGCTGAAATTCGCGAGAAAACTGAGAAGCTCAAAAATCGCGTGACGATTATCAAACCAGGCGATATTTGTGCTCATTGTGCACGGCCTTTGGTTGGCCGCCCGTTTTTTGTGCATGCTTGCCGTCATTTTTTCCACAGGGATTGTCTGGAACTCGCGATTGTGCCGTTTTTATGCGATGAGCAACGAAATTTGTTGAAGAAATTGAGCGCGGAAGAGACGCGGATTTGCGCGCAAATCGAAGCGGAAATCAAAGTGGGCAATAAGAATGAGGCGTTGGTCAAAGAGAAGATTTATGAGAAGGTGGCGAAAAGTATCTCGAAGGTTATTGGAACTGATTGTCCGTTGTGTGGAAATTCGGCGATTTTGTGAGTTTTTGAGGGGGGTTTTGGTGACAAAAACGTGGATTTTTGAGGCCAAAAATAAAAGCTTCTGGAAAATTAGAAGTACTGTCTTATAGAACTACACAAATTTTTGTCCGCTCACATTTTTTTTGCAGAAAAAACTGTGAGTTCTTTGATTTTCTCGGCATTTTTTTGAAGCTTAATATAAAAATTTTTAGGGCTGATTCACGAACGAAAAAAATGTTAAAAAATGTTTTTTTAACATTGAAAGATCAATTCACGAAAAGTCAAAAAATGTCGAAAAAACATTGTAGGTTGAAATTAGTTTTTCGAGTTTTTCAGCCAAAAATGATGACAAATCTATATTTTTTAAGCTTCTGGAGTAATTTCTGATGAAAATAAACTTCGAGAACCCTTCATCAAAATTCAAAATTTTTTCATTTTACGAAAAATCAGCAAAACCTTCTGGAAAGTGAATTCCAAGATCAATTTTCATCAGAAATTACTCCAAAAGCTTGAAAAATATCGATTTGTCATCATTTTTGGATGAAAAACTCGAAAAACTAATGTTGACCTACAATGTTTTTTCGACATTTTTTGACTTTTCGTGAATTGATCTTTCGATGTTAAAAAAAACATTTTAAACATTTTTTTCTTTCGTGAATCAGCCCTTTTTCTTTAATTGAAATTTATTTTGACTGTGAAAACATATGAAAATTTGGAAACGTCTTTTTTCGAGGCAAGCATTTTCAAGAAATTTGAAAAAAAAATTCTCTCAGCTCAAATTCAGTTATGACGTGGCAAATTTTCAAACTTGAAATCCGATTTTTTTCCAGACAAATCGACGAACCATTTTTATCCGATGAACAATTTGCGGAGGAGGAAAATTCGTGGCTCATATGAAATTGTAAATATATTTTTTTGAATTTGAATTTTTAATAGCCTGTGATATATTAATTTATAATTTGCCATAAAGTGCCTAATTTATTGATTTTTTTTTCGAACTTTTTTCTAGTTATCATAAGTTGAATCTCATCAAAAGTTATCTGATCTTCTAGATTTTTTTCAGAAAAATCTAAACTTCAGAAATGGCAAATCAACAACACTGGAAACACATTTGGCCGTCGGCCAACATTCTAGCCGATTTCATTTTCTGCAATCAGGAATTGGTCAAAAATCGCCGGATTTTGGAGATTGGCTCAGGAGCGACGGGGGTTTGCGGATTGACGGCGGCGAAAATTGGAGCCGCGCATGTTTGGCTCAGCGATCATCCTGAGCAACAAGTTGCCTTGGAGACATTGAAGGAGAATGTGGAGAATAATGGAGTTGGTGGAAATTGTGAGATTTTGGTGAGTTAATATGAGCAATGCTCAATTTTTTGTGAAAACCTCAAATTTTTCTGTATAATATGAGCAATCCTATGATTTTCCGAAAAAAATAACATGAGCAATGCTCAATTTTTTGGAGAATCTCAAGTTTTTACACTATAATATGAGCAATCTTATGAATTTCGAGGAAATAACCTGAGCAATGCTCAATTTTTGGAAATCCTCATATTTTTACACTATAATATGAGCAATCTTATGATTTTTGAGGAAATGCTCAATTTTTTAAAAAACCGCAAATTTTTACACTATAATATGAGCAATCTTATGATTTTTCGAGGTTAACATGAGCAATGCTCAATTTTTTTGGGAATACCTCGAATTTTTGCAGTATAACATGAGCCTAAGTTATGGCGTGGCAAAATCGTGAAAATTTTGAAATTTTTAGCCACTGAAAATGCCACGTGGCAAATTCTTCAAAAATTACCTGAGCAATGTTGAAAATCTCTAGAAAATTTTATGTCCGAAATTCCAAATGCTAACCTGAGCAATCCGCAAAAAAATCAATGATCCCGCATTTTTCAGGGCCTCGACTGGGACAATCCAAAAAGCATCGAAAATTTCCTCACCACCACCCAAAACCTGGATCTCACCATAGCTTCTGATGTGTTTTTCGACCCCTCCACATTCCAAGGACTTACCCGAACTTTTTCGCAAATTTTGGAAAGATTTCCCCAATCTCAAATCTGGTTCGCTTATCAGGAAAGAGAGTTTAGTAGTTTTTTTTTCTTTTCAAAAACATTTTCTTCAAATTTCTGTCAAAAAAGTTAGATATGCAGGTTTTTCTATCGTACTCTTTAGCATGTTCCTTTAATCTTTGTAGTTTTTTCTTCACTTTCATTTTTTTCTTATCTTATCAATTTTTTTTCTTCTGATTTCTGGCCAATTTTTTGTTTTTTTCCAGTGACAATTGGACAACTGCAGAGCTTTTTGAGAAAAGTGGACTACACTCTAGTTTGATCCGGAAGACTCAAGCCGACGCACATACGATTCAATTGATTTCGGTGGTCTTGAAGCGAGCGAGAATGAAGTGGTACGGTGGAATTGAGGGGTGAGTGGGAATTTGAAATTTTTGAAAAATTTGTGGATTTTGAGCTGCTGATCCAGTTGTCAGAAATTAGTTAGCTCAAGTCTGAAGAGAGTTATGACGTGGCAATAAAACAATTATAGATTTTCAGCTGAAAATCTATAATTCTGAAGCATTGCTCATGTTAAACCCTTGAAAATTCAGATTTTTGAGTCTTTCAATATGAAAAACATCAAAAATCGATTTGTTTTTGGGTCTCGCAGCGATCCAGACTACTGTAGACACCTTTAAAATCGCATTTTGAGCAGTGAATGTTCTACAGTACTCCTGGGTTTCAGAAAAATTGATTTTGGGTCGCGAAACGATCTACAGTAGTCTTGAAGCTTCAAAATCAGATTCATGAATTTTTGCCACGTCATAACTCACTTCAGAGTTGAGCTAACTAGTTTTTTGACACCTGGATCATGATCAGCAGGTCAAAATTTACTAGAAAAAATATATTTCAAAAGAAATCTCGATTTTCCAGAGGCGGAACCGCTTCAAAACTCGTCTTCATCGATGAAACCGGCGAAAAACGCATCTGGTCTGAATCGATCGGCACAAATTACTATCTACAAGGCGTGGAAAAAGTCGGGGACCACGTTGCGGAATGGATCCGCCGCATCGCCGCGGAAAACCGCGTGCTTCTTCCGCTCGAGTCGCTAGGAATGGGTCTTTCCGGAGCGGAAGACGCGAGCATCAATGAGACTTTTTGCCAATATTTGAGGGATAATCATGGAGATATTGCGAGAAATGTGCATTTAGAGTCGGATGCGGTTTGTACGGTCGCAGCGAATTTTGATGAACGTAAGCGGATTGGATTTTTGGATTCTCCATAAAATTCTACCCCGGAAACGTATAAAAATCAAAATTTTGCACTAAATTTCACTAGCGGGATCGAACCCGCCACCTCTAGATCACTAAATGCATCTCTAACCGACTGAGCCAATTTTTTGCGAGATGAAAGGTCGCGGGTTCGATTCTTCGCGCAGGCGAAGTTTTTTATATGTTTCTTGGGTAGAATTTCATGGCGAGTCTGAAAATCCACGTGGCATCGGCTGAAAATCCAGTTTTCTCCTAGAAAATCCGATTTTTTTTTGCAGAAGGCATTGTTCTGATTGCTGGAACTGGTTCATCGTGCAGAATGTTGATGAAAAATGGTGAAGTGAAAGGTGTTGGTGGATGGGGACATTCGATTGGTGATGGTGGAAGTGCATATTGGATTGCGAATCGAGCGATTCGAACACTTTTTGATGATGATGATGGATTGGAGAAGGCCAAGTTTGGTGTAGAGAAGATTCGAGAACTTTTGTGTGATGTGAGTTTTTTTCTAAAAATTTTGAAAATTTTTAATTTTTGTGTGCTGTGAGTTTTTTAAGATAAAAAATCCCAAAAAAATACGTTTCAAAATTTTATTTTATAAAAAAAATTCGAAATTGGTTGTTAATATTTAGTTTCTAAAATAAATGGAAGCAAAAATTGAATTTATTCCTAAAGCAATGTTGGGATATAGCAATGTTGGGATATATTAGATCTATCAAAAATTCTGAAATTGATGAACGCTCCAAAATGAGCTCTGGAGATTTTCAGAGATTTTTAAAAGACCTAGAAGAATCTAGAAGGCTCAGAACATTTTTATTGATTTTTTTTTAGAAGATTTGGAAATTCTATAAGGGTTTTCTGATTTTTAAAAACCTTGTGAAGAATTCTTGAAGATCTGGAAAGTGTTCTGAACATTCTTGAAGATCTGAAAATCCTAGAACATCTAGAAGGTTTTTCTAAAGTTCCTAGAAGTGCTGAGAAGCCCCGGAACATTTTTCTAAATTTCTAAAATATCCCCAACTCTTTTTGAAGCCCCAGAAAATTTTCTAGATTTTCCAGAATATTTTGTCAAATTTCTAGAAGCTCTGGAAAGTCTAAAAGTGTTTTTCTAGAATTTTTAGAAGTTCGGAAAAGTTTCAGAAGGTTCAGAAAATTTTACTGAATTTTTAAAAGCCCCAAAAAATTTTCTAGATTTTCCAGAATATTTTGTAAAATTTCTAGAAGCTCTGGAAAGCCTAAAAGTGTATTTCTAAAATAAGTAGAAGCTCGGAAAACTTTCAGAAGGTTCAGAAAATATTACTGAATTTTTAAAAGATCCTATAAGGCTTTGCTGATTCTCAGAAGCTTTGGAAACAATTCCAGAAGCCTCAGAAAATTCTAGAAGTCTTGGGACAACTTCTGAAGTCCTTAACATCCCGTGAAATCTAAATCCGTACTTATTTCAGCACTTCAAAATCGCCGACAAAATCGGAATTCTCGATTTTCTCTACCACAAATTCGAAAAGCACACCATCGCCCAATTCACCAAAACGCTCTCTGAAAATCCGGAAGATCCACAAATTGCTGAAATTTTCAAAGATGCTGGAATTATCATCGCAAAACACGTGGCAGCTATCAGTAAACATTTGGATTCAGAAGATCGCAAAGAATTATCGATTGTTTTGGTTGGAAGTGTATTCAAGTCATGGAATCTGTTGAAATCTGGATTTGTTGAGGAATTGAAGAGAGCTTCTGATGGAATTCGAAGAGTTAGGCTATATCTACCGTCTGAAAATCCGGCTGTTGGTGCAGCTGTTTTTGCGGCGCATTTGCTTTGTGCCACGAGAATCGAGCATGCGAAAAATAAACAAATTTGTGATGTTATTGAAATTGTATGAATTTTTTGAAATTGATTGTGAGTTTTTTTTTGGAATTTTGAATTTCAGGGAAATTTGGCTGAAAATTTTAGCAAATTTGAAAAATCATTTTGAAGCCCTTGAAATTCTGCACAAAATGAAATTGGGTCTAAAATTTTTTAGAGCTGAAATTTGGCTGAAAATCTAGCTTGAAATAATTTTGCAAAATTCCAGCTTTTTCAAGCTGGATTTTCAGCCAAATTTGAAATTTCAGATCTGAAAATAGTGAATTTCAAATGCATTATTTTGAAGCTCTTGAAATTCTGCACAAAATGAAATTAGATCTGAAATTTTTTAGAGCTGAAACTTGGCTAAAAATCTGGAAATTTTGATCATTACTCATTCTAGCTGGTTTTTCAGCCAAATTTGAAATTTCAGATCTGAAATTAAATTTTGAATACACCATTTTGAAGCCCTTGAAATTCTCTACAAGTTGAAATTAGGTCTAAAGTTTTTTAGAGTTGAAATTTGGCTGAAAATCTAGCTTGAAATAATTTTGCAAAATTGCAGCTTTTTCAAGCTGGATTTTCAGCCAAATTTGAAATTTCAGATCTGAAAATAGTGAATTTCAAATGCATTATTTTGAAGCTCTTGAAATTCTGCACAAAATGAAATTAGGTCTGAAATTTTTTAGAGCTGAAACTTGGCTAAAAATCTGGAAATTTTGATCATTACTCATTCTAGCTGGTTTTTCAGCTAAATTTGAAATTTCAGATCTGAAATTAAATTTTGAATACACCATTTTGAAGCCCTTGAAATTCTCTACAAGTTGAAATTAGGTCTAAAGTTTTTTAGAGCTGAAATTTGGCTGAAAATCTAGCTTGAAATAATTTTGCATAATTTCAGCTTTTTCTAGCTGGATTTTCAGCCAAATTTCAGATTTGAAAATTGTTTTTCTCCTAGACCTCCTAGTATCTCCCTCCCAATTAATTTCTAGTTCTCCCTAAAAAAAATTCCAATTCCAATTCAAAAGAAGCCACACACAAGGCTTCCTGTAGTTAATTGGATCGAAATTTGATATTTTCCCAAGTTCCTGGCAATTTTCCAGGTCCAAACCAAAAAATCTGGCTAATTTTCACTGGCGGGATCGAACCCGCCACCTCTAGATCGCTAAATTCATCTCTAACCGGCTGAGCTAGATTTTCTCCAGGTGCAAGGTCGCGGGTTCGATTCCCCGCGCCGGCGAAATTTTTTATATGTTCCTAGGGTAGAATTTCACGGCGAATCTGAAAATCCACGTGGCATTGGCTGAAAATCCAGTTTAACCCGGAGTTTCCTGTAGTAAATTGGATCGAAACCCAATAGTCAAGAAGATCTTCCAGAAATTGGACACCTTTCCAGAATTTTTCGAAAAAAAGGCAAACAAAAGCAAATATTTCTGTTTTTCCGGTCATCCTCCCTTCTTTTTTTCCTCTTTTTTCTCCCAATATAATTTTTATTTCATTTATAATTATACCTTTTCTCAATTATTATGCAATTTTCACTTATTTTTCACCTAAGCCAGTTATATTTACGGTAATTATTAGAGAATTGAGAAAATTTCTCAGGTTTTTTTTTCAAGCTGGATTTTCAGCCAAATTTCAGACCTAATTTCAGCTTGTAGAGAATTTCAAGCGCTTCAAAATGGTATATTCAAAATTTTATTTTAATTTTTTTAAATTCTGAAATTTGGTCTCAAAAGCTGAAATTTTCAGAATTTTCAAAATTCATTTTCAGCCAAATTTCAGCTTCCTAAAATTTCAGACATAATTTCAGCTTGTTAATTTCAAGGGCTTCAAAGTTGTGTTTTCAAAAATTTAATTTGAAATCTGAAATTTGGCTGAAAATCCAGCTAATATGAGCAATTTTCCTGAATTGAGAAGAAGTATAATTATTTACAATTAGATGAGAATCAAAACATTTTTGACATTTCTAATCTAGAGTAAATAAAAAAAATGTCAAACTTTTTGTTTTCCGCGCACGCGGTAAACAAAAATGACGCGGAAAGGTTTCCGCGTTTTCCAAAAAAAAATTATTTTTCCTTTTTTTTCTTGAGAAACTGCGAGATTTAATTGTAATTGTCCTGGTAATTTTCGTCATTTTTGACCTTGTTTTTGAGAATTTTGCGCGCCCCCCAAAAAAAATCCACAACTCAAATATTTTATTTTTTTTTCTTCTTTTTGACCGCAACACCTTTAATCCCATATTGTTTTACTTTTTTCCCCCCATTTTCTTGTCTTGTTTATTCTTCTTTACACTTTTTGTCACGAATTTGATGTCTTTTTGAATTCAAATTTAGCTGAAAAAGCTGAAAATCTGATTGTTTCAGACTGGATTTTCAGCCAAAAAAGAAATTTCAGATCTGAAAATAGTGAATTTTGAGCACACCATTTTGAAGCCCGTGAAATTCTCTACAAAGTGAATTAGGTCTGAAATTTTCAAATGCTGAAATTTGGCTGAAAAAAATAGGTTTTAATAAATTTCAAAATTTCTGAAAATTTCAGTTTTTCACACACAATTTTCAGCCAAATTTCAGATCTGGAATTAAATTTGAAAACATCATTTTGAAGCTCTTAAAATTCTCTACAAACTGAATTAGGTCTAAAATTTCAAAAAGCTGAAACTTGGCTTGAAATAATTTTGCAAAATTTAAGTTTTTCAATCTGTATTTTCAGCCAAATGTGGAATTTCAGATCTGAAAATTGTGAATTTTGAAAACACCATTTTGAAGCTCTTTAAATTCTCTACAAGCTCAAATTAGGTCTGAAATTTTCAAAAGCTGAAATTTGGCTGAAAATCTAGGTTTTAATAAATTTCAAAATTTCTGAAAATTTCAGCTTTTCAGACTTAATTTTGGTTTTCAAAAAAAGTATTTTCTCAAAAATTCCAAAATTTTGAAGCTACAGTAATCTCAATCTACAGTACCCCTCAAAAAATTCAAAATTTTCATTTTTTCTCTCGAAAATTCCACCCAAATCCCATATCAATACATTCATATTTATTACCTCCCAACACAAATTTTTTTACACTTTTTTTGTTTGAAAACTGGTTTTGGCGGGTTAACCCCTCTCGCATCGGATTACTGTAGATTTGAGTCGATTTTTTTCATATTCATTTTATTTATTTTTATTTATTTACACAGAAGCAATGTTCCATGAAAATGGTTATAGTTTAAGTGTTTTCAAGGACTTTTTTAGCTTCTTTTGAAAAAAAAAATTTTTTTATTTAGGTTATGCCTTTTTTTCATATCTAGACGCTGATTTTTGACAATTGGGGTCTCTAGGCTCGGCTGCTTGAAAACGGGGTTCTCTAGGCTCCGCTACTTGCCACGGTGGATCTGTAGACGCAGGTCCTAGACAACTAGGTCTTCAAGGCTGTGCTACTTGAGAATTAGGTTCTCTAGACGCGCCTGCTTGAGAACTAGGCCTTCTAAGCTTGACAATTAGGCTCTCAAGCTCTAAAGTCATATTTTTTCTGAAAATTTCCAACCTCAAAAATGTACGTTTCAAAATTTTCATATAAAATTTGAGCTCAAAAAATAAAATGATTTCTTATGTATTTGGACAATTAAATTTAAATTCAATGTTTCTTTCAAAAAAAAACTATTTTTTCCACGTCATTACAAAAATGTTTCTCTTGAATAAAGTATGAGTCATGACCTTTCTCTCTTTATTTTAAAAATGAAAATAAATTTTTTGTTTGTTTGTTTGTTTGGCAAACTGGAATTTAGAAAGTTATTTCCAAAAAAAATATTTAAACTGAAGAAAAATGTGACAAATCATTTCAGAAATGCTCCGATTGTTGATCTTCTTCTTATCGCTCGTTTCAACTACAGTATACTCGATAACCTGCACATCTTGCGAATTCCGACTTTTGCCACCGCATAGCACCAATTGTGATGAGACTTGTGAAGGCGATGTGTGTTTTATAGGTGGGTGAAATTTTCAGACAGATTTTCAGCTTCTAGAGAATCTCGAGAGCTTCAAAATCTGAAATTTTTTCCCTTTCGTTTTCTGTCCAGAAAAAAGAAAAACAAATATCTTGACGAACTTGTTTTGGACTTGTTTTTTAATGTCTTTTTTTGGATTTTGCAAATTTATTTACTCTAACTTCTGGAGACTTGAAAAATCCCCTGAATTTGACCCTACAGTAACCTCCAAAACTAGACTGTAGTTCAATAAATTAAAATCTACATGATTTTTGATGCCCGAAATTTTAATGAGCACTGAACTTTTTGTTTTGAAGTTAAGCCTATTACTGTAATTCTATTTTCGGCATAAAAAAGGCCCAGGAGATTATCTAGTTCAAAAATCCAAGAATTTTGGTCCGAAATGAAGACTGGAGAAAATCTGGAAGGCCTAGGAAATTTCTGAAATTTCCTGGGAGCCCGGAAGAAATTTAGAAAGCCTGGAAAAAATCTGGAAAGTTCAGGAGACTTCTGAAATTTTTCAAAAAGCTTAGAAATATTCTATAAGGTCTAGAAAATTTTTCTGAAGCTTCTAGAAGCCCGAAAAAAATTCTGGAGGGCTCAGGAGACTTCTGAACCTTCTAAAGGTTTTCAAAAAGTCTGGAAGCCTTTTTAGAGAATCCCAAAAGGCCTAGGCTTTTTGAGAAAGCCTGGAACATTTTCTGAAAAGCCCAAAAGATCTACAACATTTTTCCAATCTTGAAAATCCCCCAAAAAACAATAATCAAGCTCATTTTCAATTCCCAATCTAACCTATAATTTAAAAAAAAGCTATTTTTTTTGCAGTCGTCAACAAATATTTTAATGGCACAATCAACGCGGGTTGTATGCATTTACGAGAAGGTGACGAATTCCTCAACAAATCTGTCTGCCAAAGATTACCGTATGATAATAGATGTGCTTGTAACACGGGAGATAGATGTAATGATCCAAAAGTCAAACTGTTCACTTATAAATTCACTGAGGAACCGGTGTTGGTGGATTATCAATGGTTGCCGCAAATTCAACCGCCGATGCCGACTTGTGAGTTGGATTTGGGGTGGGATTCTGAAGTTCAGAAGTCCTAATTTCAATTTTGAATGGTTTTTCTGAAGATCGGAAATTTGAAATTCCAAATTTGGACACTGAAAAGGGTTTCTAAAGTTCAAAAGTCTTTTAAATAGTTTTTCTGAAGTTCAAAATTCAGATCGGAAATATGAAATTCCAAATTTTGAATCCGAAAAGGGTTTCTGAAGTTTGGAAGTCTTATGTTCACTTTTGAATATATTTTCAGAATTTAGGAATATTTTTAGTTTCAAATAGTTTTTTTTTCTGATGTTCAGAATTCAGATTTTAAAACTCAATTTTTTCATCGGAAATTTGATATTCCAAATTTTGAATCTGAAAATGGATTCTGAAGTTCAGAAGACCCAGGTTCACAGATTCTGAATCTAAATTTCTTCTGAATTTCAGCACATAATTTTATCTGAACGCTCTTTTTCCCGAACTCAAAACAAATTTCATTTCGAAAAATTTCCGGAATTTTTTTCGAGGTTGAAATTTCTATTTTTTTTTATTTTTGGAATTGTGATTTTTATTTATTTTCGATATTTTTGGTTTAATTTTCAAAATTCTCTAAAACTTTCCTCAAAATCTTTAACTTTCAGTCCAACCAATCGAAGAAATCCTAAATCCTGAAAACGCCACAGAAATCGAGGAAAATACAGTAACCGAAAATGCCACGATTATTTTGTAAGTTTCAGAATTTCCCTCGAATTTTCATTCATAAATCCCATTTTTTCCAGAAGAAATGAAGACGAACTTACTGTCACCACAAGTGTTGGACTAAACATCGGTGAAAAATCAGAAGATGTTCCTACAGTAACCCAAACTACAACGAGTACTGTACCATCTGTGAAGCCTACAAGAGTTATCGGAAGTATTGAGATGACAAAAGCTAACGAGGAAGCCACGCCCACTTTTGCCACGTCATCATCATCGAAAAATGTTATTACTAGTGATTCGAAAGTTCCAGATTCTTCGAATTCTCTATCATTGCTCATATCAGCTTTTATTGTGATTTTAGCGATTTTTGTCTGAAATTTCCCGGATTTCCAGATTTCCAGTATCATTCCATGTACATATTGAGCCATATATAAGTATTCCCCTTCCCCCGGTTTTTTTGTTGGTCGCGCTTTATTTTTTATAGAACAGAAAAAAATGAAAACATTTTTATTTAGCCGATTTTTCGTAGGTTTTAGCCGCAGCCGCCGGTTTTTCGAGCTTCTTTTTTTCCTTCTTCTTTCCTTTCTCCATTTTTATGCTCAAATTTTGCGGTGCCGATGTCGGCAAATGTTTCTTCAATATTTTGCGGCTTTCGACCTGAGTGTCCTCCAACTCCAGCGATTCATTCTGAAAATTTCACTGTTGACATCTCAATTTTGAGGTTTAGCGGTTTAAATTAAATATTTTGTTGAGTTGAACGTGTGTTTTCAAAAAGGAAACTTAAACAACAGAATATTTACGGATCCACGTTCCACTAAAATAAAAAAAACCTAAATTCAGTAGACTACAGTAACCTCATTTTTTTTCTACAGTAATCTCATTTTCAAAAACATATTTTTCAACTCACCAGTTTGGTTTCCAAAGACACTTTGTTTCGCTTGTGAATTGATTCTGCATGTCTCATCTTTTTTATATGTGCCATTATTTTTTTGTCGTGGGCTTCATATTCCTTATCTTTTTCAGCGAAAACATCAATCAAATGATCATTTTTCAATTCTTCATGCTTCTTTTCTTTTTTTTCTTTTTTCTGTTCATTTTTCAATTTTTCCTTCTTCTTCTCTTCAACCGCCCTCTTTTTCTTTTCTTTCGTCCTTTTCTCCTCTTTTCCTCTTTCTTCATTTCCTTTTCCTTCTTTCTTCTCATTTTTCTTTTCTTCCTTTTTCTCTTCTTTTTTAGCTAGAATTTCTTTATATTGGGATGTTGTTACAACCATTATGATGAATATAAATTGATAAGAAATGAATAGTTTTTGAAAAATTATCTAGTTTTTTTTCATAAGAAGACGTCATCATAAAAATGTCACGTTAAAAAAATCCGCCCACTTTTCTTTTCTTTTTTTTTCGTTTTTTTCACAGACAATTCAAATCAAAAGCAAAAATTAACGACTTAAAGGCAACCAATTGAGCTAAAAATTTTCACAGCTCTACTTCAAGATGTTTCGCAGGGTTCGAAGACCTAAAAGCCTCCAATAAAGACCGTTTTAAGGGAAATAAAGACCTAGGTCTATAGAGCTGTGAAAATTTTTTAGCTCAATCGGTTGCCTTTAAGTTGTTAATTTTTGCTTTTGATTTGAATTGTCTGTGAAAAAAACGAAAAAAAAAAGAAAAAAGATGAGTGCGTGTTGCATACGGTTTGTTCAACGGGTGCGAAACTGGTGATTGACCGGAGACTGACCGGTTCAAAACGGAAGTTTTTGATTTTTGCTTAGGAACTACATAAACTCGAACAAGTTTTTCAATCAATCATTTATGTGGGTCTAAAATAATAATAAAATTAATTTTCCATTGATTTGTCCTCGTTTTTGAGTGGCTTTGAGTCGTTGAGGAGTTGGAGTCGAGCTGATTGGAGGGCGGCGGAAGACATCTGTAAAATAGTAGTTATTCGTGGCGAAAATCAATTTTGAAGAATATTATCTTCTGAAATCTAGTTCTTTTCTAACCTAATACCGAAAAAAATGATTAGAAAAATTTCGACTTATAAACTGGAGGAAAATGAAAACGTCTTTTCCCCCCAGAATACAACTTTTTCATAAAAGTTGAAAGAAAATAACTTATTTTCGAAAAAAACACTCGCGAAGTCGTTTCTCAATAATATAATGATACACATGGTTTCAGTTAAGATTTGTGTGGTAAATATTAGATAACCTAGAATTTCAACGAAATTGTTTTTTCGGTAAAAATTCTGAACTTTGAGATAAAAAGACGATGCGTTCTAAGTACTTTATTTTGTAAAAGCCAGTTTCAATTTGTTGAGAATCAGAAAATAGAGCTAGGTAAATTTTTGACAAGAGTTTTACAAACACTTACCAGAAAATCGCTCCAATTTTGTCCAATCAATTGCTGAACGGCCAACATCCATCTTCTATTTGTCGAATCAAAGTCAGGCGATCAAAAATTATCCTCCGAATTCGTAGAGTGCGGTCTTGTCTCTTGAGAGCATAGACAACATCCATTGCGGTGACAGTCTTTCTCTTGGCATGTTCACAATAGGTGACAGCAACACGGATAACGTTCTCAAGGGAAACCGTGAGAACTTAACGAGTCTCTTCGTAGATCAATCCGGAATTACGTCTGATTTCTCCTATGCGGCAGATTTATAGAGCTGAAAACAGTTTTCTTTTATGAAGAGTATTATTTTCTAAAAAAAAACTAACCTGGTAGGATAGGAAGTGTCGACTATTCTCGGCGATCGAACCATTTTCGAATACCAATCTGAAAAACTGATGTTTTGCAGAAAATGTAGGGCGAAGGAACAAACCACGAGTAGCTTGTTAAGATAATAACGGAGAATAGATAATCTAAAAGTAACCGCTTCATAACAATTTTAGAAGCAACCAAACTTTAAAATATACTAGACAAAAGAAAATCCCTCTCGAATCCCATTTTTCAACATTTCATGAAAATTGTTCGAGAATTCACAACCCAAAACAGTTAAAATCACTACTTATACTCATCTAAGACCCTATTTCCAGTTAATAACTCGAAAAAACCCCGGAAAAACACGAAAAACTGAAGAAAAACATGAAAATAGGAGAAAGAAAACACATTTTCGAAATGAAAACAAAAAGAAAAAACGATGACGCTTGTCATTTTTTCGAGACCCAGCACACAAATTGTGTTTGTGCGCCTTGAAACTACAGTACTTTTTTCTTTTTTTTCTATTCTTTGCTTTGTGAAAGAGTTAGATTCTTGGCGTTTTAGACTTTTATTTCCGATAAAAGAAAACGTGGAGTGTTCGAAGATGAGAATATCAAGAAAATAAAAGATTATTGATGCATTTTTGGTTGTTCCAAGTGTTGAGTTATGAATAAACGAATAAAAAAAACTTGAAGGGGTCTTTAACCCGAAGGGCCCTCCGGATAGAAAAACATGTATGATATATATACATATATATATGAATAAATTAGAGTTAGTGTATATTGCTACTCACAATCAGATAAAATCTCTCGTTTTCTATAGTATTTAGTTTGCTGTTGAACATTTTATCTGTAGAAAATTGGTTATTCACAAATTGCTTAATTAGTGCCCTTATTCTCGTAGAAAATTCCCATTCTCATCCTTGTGAATCTGTGCACCATTTTTTAATTAATTTCCTTAAATTCTATAATGCTTTCAATAAATTAAAACGACTGAAAGTTGGAAAGTTTATTGGAATTGAAACAAATGAACAATTAAGGATTGAGCTATTTGTCATATGTTTGTGGGGTCTCTGGAGTGAGTTGCACAAATGTGATTTCCAATCCTTCTGAGACAACGCAAACAGCCGCCGAATTGTCCCGAAAAAACTGTCACACATTTCGACCCGCATGAAATTCATAGCCGTTACGAACCACTTGATGAGCTCGTATGTCCAATTTGTCCAAAACTTCTTCCACAACATCCGGACCAAAAGTGAATGCATTTCCACCACGCTCACTCGGCCGACAGCCTTCATGATCATCGCTTGGATCCGACCACATCAAATCCATCTCTAAGCGATCTTCTCCCGGATCTCCATTCACTGGTCGACAATTTTTCAAGTCTTTCAGAGTTTCGATACGAGGCCACAAATATTGATAGGTCCATTCAATTCCAACATCCGACCTTTATTCATGAATGTTTTTCGCGAACTGAAATTCCAAATTTTATTTTGTTGTTTCACACCAACTCCAAACTCACATATAATTCGAAGTATATCCATTGCTGTGACAGATTTTGTCAATCCTTTGGATAGAAGGATGAGCATAATCATTTTTTCAGCGAACTGAATATTATCATCATTGGATTTCGATGCGAAAAAGCGATCTCTTTCTATTTTCGAAACGAGACTTTCCATTGGAAATGCATGTTCATAATCTTGGTCGAAATTTTCAGATTTTGCAGTAATTTCAGATTTAGCAGATTTTCCAGCTGACAGTTTGATAGAATATTGGTGAAGATTTTTAGAACACCAAATTTTAATGACAATATTTCTTTCTTTTATACGAAAATAACTCAAAAAAAGGTCACGCTTCATATGTTATGATAACTCACATTCTTATAAAATTTAGACCGTTCATTTTTTAAGGAACATTTCAAAGAAATTTTATCAAATAGTTTAAAAACAAACAATTTTTTCCGAAGTGTTTTTAAAAATGTGTCTTATATTTCATAGTTTAGTTCAGAGAAATTAGAGAGCGTAAAATGTTTCATTCTCTGACTTTTTCCACCTTTTTGTCTGAAATAAAATATCTAAAATTTATTGCATTTGAAAGTGATTTTTTAATAACTCTTCAATTATTTTGATGTGAGTACTCAATCGATAGAAAATTTCGAAAAAAAAATCTTTAAAAAATCTCCCAAATCCCTCAAAAACCCAAGAAACTCGAATTTCAGCCAAAAATTGAATGATCCAGAGTTGGAAAAACGGAATTGGTTGTTAACATTTTATGAATTTAGATTGTTGAGCAACTTCCAGCACTCAATCGATCGAAAATTGGTTATTCACAAATTGCTTAATTAGTGCCCTTATTCTCGTAGAAAATTCCCATTCTCATCATCCTTGTGAATCTGTGCACCATTTTTTAATTGATTTCCTTAAATTCTATAATGCTTTCAATAAATTAAAACGACTGGAAGTTGGAAAGTTTATTGGAATACAAATGAAATGAACAATTAAGGATTGTCATATGTTTGAGGGGTCTCTGGAGTGAGTTGCACAAATGTGATTTCCAATCCTTCTGAGACAACGCAAACAGCCGCCGAATTGTCCCGAAAAAACTGTCACACATTTTCGACCCGCATGAAATTCATAGCCGTTACGAACCACTTGATGAGCTCGTATGTACAATTTGTCCAAAACTTCTTCCACAACATCCGGACCAAAAATGAATGCATTGCCACCACGCTCACTCGGCCGACAGCCTTCATGATCATCGCTTGGATCCGACCACATCAAATCCATCTCTAAGCAATCTTCTCGCGGATCTCCATTCACTGGTCGACAGTTTTTCAAGTCTTCCAGAGTTTCAATACGAGGGCTTATTCCACCATGCATACAGAGAATTCGTGTGCCGATGAGAGCAGTAAGTGGCATTGCTGTCATCATTTCTCCATTTTCATTAAGTCGATGTATAAGTTCATCATAGAAGCCAAAGCCGCTATTCATTGCCAATGGTTTCGAAATCGAATAAGGTCGCCATATTGTCCATGAATATCCCCACAAATGTTGATAGGTCCTTTCAACTCCAACATCCGTTACTTTGCTTCGAGTTATCCGGTTCCGGATCTTCTTCCGATTTTGAGTCATCTGTCACAGTGACATTTTGATATCCATTGCGCAGGCCCTGTCCTCTGGCGATTTTCTGAAAAATTATTTCTTTTTTTTTTGATGTCAAATAATTCTAACTCACTCTTCTTGCTTTTTTCGTTTCTTTGTTTTCTAGGTCCTTTCAACTCCAACATCCGTTACTTTGCTTCGAGTTATCCGGTTCCGGATCTTCTTCCGATTTTGAGTCATCTGTCACAGTGACATTTTGATATCCATTGCGCAGGCCCTGTCCTCTGGCGATTTTCTGAAAAATTATTATTTTTTTTTTTTGATGTAAAATAATTCTAACTCACTCTTCTTGCTTTTCTTTCTTTGCTCGGCACACTTCGCGGAAATACCTTTTTCTTCTTTCCATTCTTCTTTCGTTTCTTTGTTTTCACGCTCAGATTTTGCGGTGCCGATGTCGGCAAATGTTTCTTCAATATTTTGCGGCTTTCGACCTGTGTGTCTTCGAGCTCCAATGATTCATCCTGAAAATTTCACTGTTGACATCTCAATTTTGAGGTTTAGCGGTTTGAGGTAGTAAATTAAATATTTTGTTGAGTTGAACGTGTGTTTTCGAAAAAACATATTTTTTAACTCACGAGTTTGGTGTCCAAATGAGGTGAGGTGAGGTGAAATGCAGATATTATTGATAAAATAGTTGATGAATATAAATTAATAAGAAATGAATATTTTTGAAAAATTATCTAGTTTTTTTTCATAAGAAGACGTCATCATAAAAATGTCACGTTAAAAATAAATAAATAATAATAATAATTTGTTTCGACAATTTATCAATTTTCCAGATTGAAAACATGACCAAGATGAACACTTTTGAATCACAAAGTGAAGAAACTGATGAAGATTGTGCCAACGACAATGATGGAATTGAAAAAAATTTGGAGTGGAACACATTTCTCAGATTATTTTGAAGGTAATTTGAATTGAGATAAGTGCAACATTATGAATAAGAAGGAATGTCTTTTGATGTTCCCATATCAGCTTTTGTTGTTATTTCATCATTAGTGATTTGAAACTTTGTCTAAATTCCCAGAAAATATTTTCAATATCATTCCATGTACATTTTTGTTGGTCGCGCTTTCTTTTTCCCAAATATTTTTACAGAACAAAAAAATGAAACATTTTTTACTTATCCGCTTTGTCGTCCGCTTTTCCGCTTGCTGCCGCAGCTGCCGCCGCGTTTTCCTCGGCGATTTGTTGACGAGCGGCGAGTTTTGAGAGAAGTGGTGCGGCTGGATGACGAGCTGTGTCGGCCTGGAAATTTTCAGTATTCTGGGACTTCTGGAGGCTGTAAGGGAATTCAGAAATTGTTCTGAAAATTCTGGAATGTCTTCTGAAGGTTCAAAGTAACTTCTGGGACTTCTGAATTCTTTCCGGTATTCTGAAAAATTTTCTAGATCTTCTGAATTATGAAAAATTAGAAAAATTTTCCAGTTTTCTAGAAGTTCAGAAATCCTTCTAGACATTGTAGATTATTTTCTAGGCTCCCAGGAACTTCAGAAAATTTTTCCGAGCTTCTAAAAATTCAGAAATTTCTCTTGATCTTCTAGAATTTCAGCCGGATTCCCAGGAAATTCCAGAACTTTTCCCGTTTTCTAAAAAATCTGAAAATCCTCCTAGACCTTCAAAAATGTGTTCAGAAAATTCTTGGAGCTTTTTTTCGTTTTCAAAACTCAAAGTCTCGAAGTTCCTTGCGAAATGAAATTTTTTTGTAGTCAGAACTACATTTTTTTTGTGATTTTCTAGGCTGCCTAGATTTTTTCCCGGACTTTTAAAAAATCTGAAAAATCTTCTAGAATTTCAGCCGTGCTCCTAAAAATTTCAGAAAATGCCCTAGGCTTTCTAAATAATTTCCAGACCTCTGAAAAAAATTTCAGAAAAAATTTCCTACCTGTGAAAATCTTCGCATGTTGGAAGGAAGTAAATGCAACGGATTCGTCTCAATTGTTAGCGAGTGACGATGTCTGAAAATTTTAATTTCAGATTTTTTTTTTAATTTGGAAATTGAGACAGTGTTCTAGAGCTCAACGCGCTGATCAAAATGCTCTAAAAAAATTACAATAGTTCCCAGTGGGGCTCGAACCCACGACCCTCCAACTAGAGATGTAGACACTTACCGCCTACACCATCTTGCGGCCAAGTTTCTCGGCTCAGGAATGGGCTAGGAAGCTGATTTTTAGAGCATTCTGCTCAACTCGGCGAGCTCTAAAAGACCTGCTGAAAAAATTTCAGCCAAAAAAATTACCCCATATTGTAGGCTCCAGTTGGTGGTTGCTCTTGTTGAGGAGACGCCATTTTTTTTTTTGCTTTTTTCTGAAAAATTGATTTTGCTTCTCATTTTTTCGAGCGAGCAAAACTTAATTAAGTAAGACGCGAAACCAAATGAAATGCGAAAAAAATCAAAACAAATTTTTTCCTCAACCAAAAAAAGAAGAAAAAATTTGCAGAGCCCAACCAAAAATTGTTATTTTCTGAGCATTCATAATTTTTCAATGGCCGGATGGATTTTTGATCTATTTGGGCTCTTTTGCTGCAAGAAGCCATTAGATTTTATTAAAAATAGGAAAAATGTGTGTACATTAGCGGAATTATTATGAGCTAGAAAATGAAACGCGGCGGAAAAATGAAATAATATAAACGAAACTCGAGACCGCAGACTAAAAATAGATATTTATAATATAAATTACTCATATTATATTATTTCCCGAAAAAAAAAAGTAATTTCTCGGCCCAAAAAAATGTGGAGGCGATTAAAAAATTCATGATGATTGAGCACCACTCTTTCTCTCTCCATTCAACAAAAACAACATGTTTTCTGCGCTCCATTTTCAGAAGCCACGCCCTTCTCTGGCTCCGCCTAATTTTTTTCGAAAAAAAACTGAAACGGAAATTTGTTGCCCCAGGCAACAAATCTAATCCAATTTCAGCCAGCGCAGTTATTTTTAGAGCGCTTTTTCGAAAAATTAAAAAAAAAAAATCTGCGTTCGGGGGGAATCGAACCCCCGTCGAATGCTTGGAAGGCATCCATGCTGACCATTACACCACGAACGCGACGGGAGAGCGATGGGAAAATTTTAGAGATATTTTCGCATCGCAAAAAAAATCGGGAGAGAGTGTGTGGGAGATGTGGAGACGCAGACAAACACTAATAATTATTTATAGCAATTTCAGAGTCAGAAAAAAGTGGGGGAGAAATCTGAAAGAGCTATTTCTATCTCTTCTCTTTTTTTTCTCAATGAATATTCAGCCTTCGGCGAAATTTGTGAAGAACTTTGAGGTTTTATTTGAGGGGAGCGGACGAAAAATAGAGAAAAAAAACATATAAACATAGCATAACACGAAAGTTCATCTGATTTTTGACACGGCGAAAAATGAGGGGGAAGAAAAATTGGGTTTTTCGAGCAATTCAAAATTTTGATCTACAGTAACCCAGAAAGATTGCGAATTTTGATCCACGGAATCTTAAAAATGCACTTTTTCCTTGAAAAAACATGTAAGCTTATTATTTTCAGAGAGCTAGAAAAAAATCTAATGAATAATTAATGATATTTATTTCATCCACCTCCAATTTTGTCTGTGTATAGTTCAAAAAAGGCGAAGAATCGCGTGATATGCGCGATTTTTTCTTCTGCTCAGCTGCTCAGAGAAAAAAAACAACAAGAAGAAGAAATATCTAGAAGGAGAAATATATTATTATATATATTCTTTTGATAGCGAAAAAAAATTGAAACAGAAAATTTATGAGATTAAAAATATATAATCCTTTTTTACGACTTCTTGGAATGAACTTTTTGTTATAAAAAAAATTCTGGAACCTTTTTCTGATTTTTTTGGAGCACTCAGAATTTCTCCCGAGCTTCTGAAAGCTTCAGAAGTCTCCCAGGATCTCCAGAATTTTTCCCAGATCTTCTGAAAGCTTCAGAAGCCTCCCAAGATCTCCAGAATTTTCCCCGAGCTTCTGAAAATTTCAGAAGTCTCCCAGGATCTCCAGAATTTTTCCCGAGCTTCTGAAAGCTTCAGAAGCCTCCTAGGATCTTCAGAAGTTTTCCCAAGCTTCTTGAAGCTTCAGAAGCCTCCCAGGATCTCCAAAACATTTTCCCGAGCTTCTGGGAGCTTCAGAAGCCCTCAGAAAGCTCTAGAATCCATAAAAAGATTAGCTAGAATATTTGAAACACAAAAAAACGTTAATCTAATCCGTGTGCCATTAGTTTCTTTTTTTACGATTTCTTCGGAATGATTAATATGAGCAATAAAAGATTTAAGAGATCAAAATTCAGAAACGTTTTTCTGTTGTTTTGTGTTGTCTTTTTTTTTGGTTGTTGAATTGAATTGAAAGCGGAACTTGGCATCGCGTTTCCACGAATTTCCGACAACTTCAAAAGATGCGCGAGAAAATGAGCACAAAAAAAATAATTGGCAGAGCAAAATGAAATTGAAAAGTAAAAAAAGGATTAGAGACATTTTTCGGTGGGTTATATGAGTTCTCGGAAAAAAATGTGCACATTTTTTTTTTCTGGATAAATATATATTTATAAAAATTGAAAAGGGAGTTCTCGGATTTTTGATCAGCGAGAGGAAATTAGACTACGGTTTTTGGTGTTTGAAAGTCATTTTGTTTTTGATCTACTAGATTTTACACGTGGCAATTTGAAGGGTTACTGTAGATTTCTAGGCTTTTTGGAACTCTCAAAATTATTCTAAATTTCAGAATTTGAAATTTGGAATTTTTTTTCAAAATTTCAAAAAAATATTCTGCCACGTGGATTTAGCTTCAAAAAAGGTCACCGCAGCAAATGCGCCCCAAAGAACAAAAATTCAAATTTCAATGTTTCTTGGCGGGAACCCAGAAAATCGCAACTTATTGCTCATATTTTACACATTGCTCATATTATTTTCCAGGCAAAAAATAATGTTCTAAAATTTTAAAATTAAATTGAATTTGGGGAATGCGAAATTTGGAACAGTTGACAGTAACTCAGGAATTTTAATCTGGAACTACAGTAATCTGTGGAAGCACCTGGACTACTGTAGTTTTCAAATTTTGGAAATTGATACAGTAACCCTAGAAAAATCCTTTTTTTCTGAATGATCTCTGGAAAATGATGTTTTTTTTCTAACAATGAGGGGATTACTGTAGATTTCCCAGAAATTGTTTTTTATTGAATGAAATCATTTTGATCTTTCAAAATTTCAGCAGAAAATACTCAATTTCAAAAAAAATTTGAATAAAAAAAATCCAGCTTCAAATTTTTGCAATTTTTCAGCGGGAGTCCCCAAAAATCCCCATTGCTCATATTATTTTTTCCAGGCAAAAAATGAATGCAACAACAAGTTCTCCTTCTCCTCATTTTTCTTGTGAGCTCCGAGAAAAAAATTTAGGTGTCGCTGCTCGGCGGAAAATAAATTTACACATGCTTTCAAACATATGTCCCATGGGTGTTATTTTGCCTCGGGGCGGGTTATATGACAAAAAACCCGACTGACTCTCAAAAAGAAGAAGAAGCTTCTCCTTCGGAGCAGTAGCAGCACCTCATAAAAATCCCATTTGCTTTTACTTAGCCTAACTCTCGTTTTGGAGTACGATGAAGATGGTGATCATCATTTTTGGAAGAATATAGAAGAAAAAAATGTGGAAGCTGTTTTTGGTGCTGGTTGGGAGTACGGTAGCTGCGTGTCTAAATACGAATGTCCAAGACCTACCCCGCTGGAAATCTGAGCCGCCGCTTCCGGAAATAAATTTTGAGCCGCTTCCGGAAAATCCGGTGAATGGGTGTATTTTGCGGTGTAAGGATCATCATATGAGAGAGGTGAGTTAGTTGGGCCTAGAAAATTTGAATTTGGGATTCTAGGCCATGTAGGTTTATTTTTTCAGATGGACAATGAATGGTCCGACGATTTCACCCTTCCACTTTTCAATTTTCTCAAAAAAACTGGCAACGAAACCGCAGCTTTTATAAAGCTTCAGGAAATTTGCAGAAGTAATAAAGTTATGGAAGAGTGTTTGAGGAATTGTAATCAATCGCAAGAAGCTTCGATTATTATGGCAGCTATTAGATCGTGGCATAATTCGTGTATGAATTTGGAGGGTTAGTGTAGGTTTTCAAAAAAAAAAGTTTTGCGCGCACCGGGTGTCGAACCTGAGGCAAAACTTTAAGAGGAAAGCGCGTTTACCACTCGGCCACGCGGACGTTCCTATACCACGAGAAAATTTCGTTGAAAACAACCGCGTTGCAGAAATTCGCGAGCAATTCCCTTGCTGGAAGGAAAATGGCGAACGATTATCAGGAGGTTGTCACCTTCAAAACATCCGGCTACAACATGACATGCAACTTTTTGCCCAAAATCAAAGCCAGCAAAACGTGGAGAATATTTGTTTGGATATGGAACAGTTTGGAAATTGTTTTTCGCAAGAACACGGAAAATATTGTGGATATCGCAGTCAAATTGTAAGTTTTAGCATTGGATTTTCGATTTTTCATTGAAAAATTTGCAGATAATTGATAATTTGAATGCCGTGAATAAAGAGACGCTTTTGAAAATGATAAAAATCAAATGGAACAATATTCCACCTGCTTGTAATATTCCTACTCCCTCTCGTCGTTCTGCAGATTACATATATAATTCTGTATCTCGCAATTCGTTTAGTTTTATAGTAATTTACGTGATTTTGTGTTTCTTTCAATAAATAAATTAAATTTGAACCTGCCGCTGTCGCATGGCCTAGAAAACCAAACATCGTGGCGAGACTCAACGGCCACGAAAATGTGTGCGTCTTTTTACGCTGACAAATATTTGAATTTTTCTTTTTGTTTTTTCTCTCTGTTTTTTGTCAGCAAAGCGTTTATTAAAAGTTCTTCAAAGTTTCAGATATGGTTGCTGAAAAAGTAGAAGTGTATCTCACAACAAAACAGAATGCCGCAAAAGGAGCTATCGCTGATGATTGGAAGAATTTGCATGACAATTATGTGAAAAAGTGAGTTGTTTTGAAAACTTCGAAAAAAACTGGGAATTTATTTTTCAGACTCTGGCATCAATTGACAATTCTCACCAAGACATTGGTGAATAAACCAGCATTTACCGCGAATTTGAATCTTGAAGAGTTCTACGACAATTTTATTAGTGAATTCGAGTTGAGAATCAATGCATTGAGATTGGTTGAGATTGCAATTCCAATCGCTAAATATATTCATAACAAGGATAAGAAGAAGGGAATCGAATTCTTGCAAAAAATTCAAAAAGTTGTCGCAAAAGACCGAATCGCTGTGGCAAGACTTCATACCGGAGAAATTGAATTGCGTCTTTCTCACAAGGGCAAAAACGATCAAATCGTTGATTTGAAAGCGATTCGAGATCAAATCGACTCAACACAAAAAGAAGTTGACACACTTATCGGAGTCACCGAAGTTCACGCACCATTCTACAAAGTCTCATCGCTTTACCTCAGAGAAGTTGGAGATTTTGCTGGTTATTATCGTGAAGCTCTTCGCTATTTGGGAGTTGAAGATGTTAACAAATTATCGAAAGAGGAGAAGCAAATACAAGCAGTTTTGATTGGTTTCGCTGCATTGCTCGGGCAAAATGTTCATAACTTCGGGGAACTTTTGGCTCATCCAATTTTGAAATCATTGGATGGAACCGGCGAAAAATGGCTCGTTGATGTATTGCTCGCCTTCAACAGTGGGGATCTTCCAAAATTCTACTCTTTGGAATCACAATGGGGAGGATGGGATGATTTGAAGAAACAGAAAGATTTCCTTATTGCTAAAATTCGACTTATGGCTGTTATGGATGTGAGTAGTTTTTATTTTTAAAATATCTGAATTTTTCCAATCTCAAAAAAATTCAGATCGCGTTAGCTCGCCCATCAAAAGGAAGAAACATCAATTTCAAAGAGATCGCCGAAAAGTGTCAAATTCCAGTGGACGAAGTTGAATTTTTGGTGATGAAAGCGTTGAGCAAAGATTTGATCCGTGGAGATATTAATCAAGTCGAACAACTTGTTCGTGTCACATGGGTTCAGCCAAGAGTTCTCGATAATTCTCAAATTCTTCAAATGTCCGCCCGAATTGCCGAATGGAGAAAAGACGTGTCTTCGATGGAGAATATTGTCAGCTCTCAAGCGCGCGAAATTCTGACTCAAAATTAAATAACTTATTTATTTTTTCCTTCCTTCCCACCATTTTTTATTTATTTATTCATCCTTATTCTTCTCAAAAATCCCGCGTGTGCATACAAAAATAAATTTTATTTGTCTTTTTCAACTTTTTTTGATTGTGAATAGAATTGGAAAATGTTTTGATACTAACATTTTATATATTTTTGATTGTGAGGTTTTTTAATCAAAAATAATTAAAATCTAGCTTTAATGTGCATCGACGGCGAAAAAAAAGTGGCTGTTGTGGATAAAGTGTTGGTTTTCATGATCGATTTGAAAAAACAAACACCTCCCGTGCAAATGGGAGTTGGAGCAGGATTTGGAACTGTCACTGGATATTTTTTGACAAAAGGAGGTCGTGTAGTTGCAGCAACTGTTGGAATATCTTTCCTCCTTGCACAATATGGTATACACAAGGGATATATCACACTGAATGAATCGAAAATCAAACGGGATTTGAATAAATTGAAGAAACAAGTTTCGGACAGGTAAAATTCGAATTTATCGATAAGAAAATTCATTTATTTATTGTTTTCAGAGCTTCGAATCTTCCAGTTCTCTCAACTTTCACAGAAGACACCTTCTTTTACGATAATCGTTGGATTTTTGGCGGATTTGCAGCGGGAATGCTTATTGGTTTCAGTTTGGCGTAATTTCAATTATCAGCATAATATTCACCATATTCTCTTGTAGTCCCTCTATTTAGTCAAAATGTACAAAAATCAACTAATTTGTGAATAAACATGTTTCCAGTGAAAAAATAAAAGTAAAACAACGTGACTCCGCTGCATTACGTGTTGCCCGTTGTTTAACACGCGCTAAAATATTTTTATTTCTTGCTTTTTTCGCAGGCCTTTTGCGATTTCTGTTTTTCACAGTGAAAAAGTTTACAGAAAAAAAAAAATAGAATGGGTGCTGGACAATCGACTGCAGCTGGACAATCGACTGCCAAGGTAAAAATCTAGAAGAAATCTTGAAATATGAGATTTTTCAGGTTCAAGATGTTGGGACTCCTGAAGAAAGAGCTCAAAGAATTCGAGCCGCGCAACATGCAATGGCTGCAGCTGGTAAGGGTTATGGGAGGGCTTGGAAAATTTTTGAAGATTGTTTTCTTGTAAATTTGTGAGCTATGACGTCACTTTTGAAAAAATGATGCAAAATTTTGAAAAATTCCAGGAACCGAATGTCCTCTCACACCAGAACAACGTGCTGCAGCAGCCGCTGTTTCTTCAGAAAACTGCGGAGAAGGTGGATGTCCAGTCGGAGCCGACGGAAAAATGAGCCCCTTCAACAACGAACTCGAACATCCCAATCAAAAACCAGCTCCGGATCAACCATTCGCGTTGCCAACAAAACGCGAAAAATCGACAATTCCACGCGCCGGAACCGAAGATACTTGGACCTATCCAAGCCCACAAATGTTCTGGAATGCGATGCTGAAAAAGGGGTGGAGATGGCAAGATGATCAATTGAGTCAAAAAGATATGGGAAATATTATTAGTATTCATAATGCGAATAATGAAGAGGCTTGGAAAGAGGTTATGAAGTGGGAAAATCTTCTTCACCCGTAAGTTATTGGAGAAAATTCAAAAAAAATAATTTTCTTTCAGAGAATGCGCGAATCCAAAGCTTAAAAGTTTCAAAGGAGACGCAAAAAATATCTCGCCACGTGCCAAATTTCGCAAATTATTCCTTGGCTATGATTATCCTTTCGATAGACACGACTGGATTGTTGATAGATGTGGAATGAAAGAAGTAAGATCTTGTTTGAAGATCTAATAGAAATCCCAAATGTTTCCAGGTTCAATACGTAATCGATTATTATGACGGCGGCGCTGTTGATCCACAATCAAAACTATTCACAATTCTCGACGTTCGACCCGCAATGAATGATATTTCGAATATCTGGGATCGTATGGTTGTTGCTTACTGGCGCTTTAAATTTGAGACCCTAGGATTCACACCGAATTTGCCGATTCCACCAACTGAAGGACACAGTGTCAATCACTAAAAATTTAAACTTTAATAATCATTTTAGCATCTCTGTTTTTCCTTTAGATTAGAATACCCAGCTGTTATTCGTTTTCCCCCATGCCTTATGAATATGAAATTTCTTTCAACTATTTTTTCATGAATCAATTTTTGTGTTTCTTCTTTTACGTGGATGTCCCGTTTGAATGTTTATTTTTTTCAAAAAACAAAAACAAAGGAAAAATTCAGATGTTGAGTCGAATCACATTGCTCACAAAAAGTTTGTAAGTTTCATTCAAAAATTTGGGAAAAATGAAAAAATGATAGAAAATCATGTTTTTTGAGCCAAAACTCATGGAAATTGACACAGAATTGACCTAGAATCAAATTTTCAAAGAAAAAATGGGAAATTTTATAGAAAATCATGCTTTTGAGTCAAAATTTATGAAAATTGACCTAGAATTAAAATTTCAAAGAAAAATTGGAACATTTGATGAAAAATCATGTTTTTGGGCTTAAATTCATGGAAATCGACCCAAAACTGACCTGAAATTAAATTCTAAAAAAAATCCAGGAAAACGAACATTGTGCAAAGAGGTTTCGCTTCAGTGAGAGATGAAAAATCGCAGCGAAGAATCGGTTGGTGGCTGATGGGATGTGCTGGAATGTGTTATGGAGCTGTGGCGATTGGTGGAGTCACTAGGTATTTAGCCTAACTTGACCCCCTGGAATCGAAAAAAAATCATATTTTTCAGATTAACAGAATCTGGATTGAGTATGGTGAATTGGGATCTGTTTAAAACTATGAAGCCGCCATTTAATCAGAAAGAATGGGAAGCGGAATTTGAGAAATACAAAGCTTATCCGGAATATAAATAGTGAGGTTTTCAAAATTGCAGAGAACATTTACTGATATGAGACGTGGCGGAACTTTGGGAGCTGAAAACTAGCTTCAAAATGATTTTCATGCAAATCTGATTTTGTTCAGAAGAACATCAGTAGAATTCAGAAGCAGATTTTGAATTCTACTGATGTAATCGAATCTTCTGAACAATATCAGATTTGCATGAAAATCATTTTGAAGCTAATTTTCAGCTCTCAAAGTCTGCCACGTCATAACTCACATTTAAAAAAAAATGTTTTCTGCAATTTTGAACAAGTGATCAGCAAAATTTCCCAATAAAACCATTTTCCAGCAAGTCTTCGAGCCATGAAATGACACTCAACGAATTCAAATTCATTTGGAGTATGGAATACGGTCATCGAATGTGGGGTCGAGCCATCGGCCTAGTCTTCTTGATCCCTTGCGCATATTTCTGGGCTCGCGGAAGATTCAGCACACCAATGAAGAAACGCATGGGTTTGGCGACGGTTTTGTTGTTGGCGCAAGGTGGAATTGGTTGGTGGATGGTGAAATCGGGGTTGGATCCGTCGAACAATTCGTCGGATATTCCGCGCGTTTCACAATATCGATTGGCGACGCATTTAACGATGGCGTTCTTCTTGTATTCGGTGTTCTTTTATAATGGTTTGACGCATTTGCTTAAACCCAATGATGTGAGTTTTTTTTGGGTTGAAAAAGGTGAAAAATACAGAAAAAGGTCCTGGGCTTTTTGAAAAAGCTTTTAAAAATATTATTTCTATATTTTCGAATTTTTTCCAGGCTCCAGAACCTTCTAGATAATTTTCCGATTTTTCTGAAGATTTGGAAAACTTTCTAGGGCTTCTAGAATCCAGAATAAAACGTTAAAATTTTCCCGGCTTCTGAAAAATATCCCGGAGCTTCTAGAAATTCAGAATAATCTCCAAAGCCTTCTAGATAATTTTCTGATTTTTTTGAAGATTTGGAAAAATTCCTAGGGTTTCTAGAATCCAGAAAAAAACGTTCTAGAATTTTCCCGGGTTTCTGAAGATTCAGAAAAATCTTCTAGGCTTTCTGGATCATTCTCTAAACTTCTGAAGATTCAGAAAATGTTCTTGAGCTTCTGAAAAATCTTCTAGGCCTTCTAGAAATTCAGAATAATCTCTGAGCCTTCTAGATAATTTTCCAAACTTCTATAAAATTCAAAAAAAAATTATCCCAGGTTTTCTGAGGCTCTCATAAATTCAGAAAAAAATTCCTAGGGCTTCTAGATCTTTTTCCGAATTTCTGCAGATTCAGAATAATTTTCATAACCTTCTAGATCATTTTTCGGATTTCTGGAGCTTCTAAAAAACATTCCTAGACTTCCGAAAATTTAGGAAATCCTCCTGGTCTTTCTGGAATTTTTTTCAAACTTCTATAAAATTCAGAAAATTCTCCAAGGCTTCTAAAATCCTCCTAGGCATTCTGAATAATTCAGAAATTACAAATCTCTATTTTCCAGCTCTCAAAAGTGCCGGGAAAACTCGGAGCTCTCCGCGGTCTCACTCACTCCTCAAAACTTCTCGTCTTCACCACCGCCATAATGGGCGCTTTTGTCGCCGGTCTCGACGCGGGACTCGTCTACAATTCCTGGCCAAAATTCGCCGACAAATGGATTCCCGAAAATATGCTCTCGCGCTCGCCGGCCTGGAAGAACTTTTTCGAAAACGACGTGACCGTACAATTTGTGCACCGCAATTTGGCCTATCTCACAACTGCCACGATTTTGGCCACATTTTTGGCGGGACGAAGAATGGCGTTGCCGAGGAGAACGAGATGGGCGCTGAATTTGTCGGTGGCTGCTGTTTTTGGACAAGCCGCGCTGGGTGTCACGACTTTGGTGAGTATTTTTGGAGGCTGCGGGAATTTTGACTCAAAATTTTGAAAAAATACCAGAAAACCATATTTTCTATTTGAAAAATGATCATTTTTACTTAATCAGAATTGAAAAAATTTGAATTTTAAAAATCGCCCGCCAAAAACCGGGTGTAAACGCGGAGCATCGTTACAATTTCAAATATTTTTTTGAATTTTGGAAAATCCTGAATTTTAATGGAAAATTGAGCTGAAACAGTATTTATTGATCGAATTTTTTGAACAGAAAATTTGCTGCCGAAAATCTAGGTGTAAACGCGGAGCCTCGTTGTAAATTAAAAATTTCTAGGCTAAAGTTCGGTTTTTTTTAATGGAAAACAATAAAAAATTCAGAAAAAATGCTCAAAAACCTCATTTTCTAGTGGAAAATTGAACATTGTTTAATTAGAATCGAATAAAATTCGAATTTTGAAAAAATCCCTCGCCAAAAATCTTGGTGTAAACGCGGAGCCTCGTTTCCCAACCGCGTTTTTTTTCCAGATAAATTATGTGCCAGTCTGGCTGGCTGCTTGTCATCAATCTGGATCAATGGCTCTACTCTCTTGTGTACTTTGGCTAAGTCACGAACTCCGAAGGATTCCCAAATAATTTATTTATTGATTTTTCCCTAGATCTATCTATCTAGCCTAGAATTTTGTTATTGCTTCGCATTGTTACAACATGAAACTGATTTTTTTCTGTCCCTCCGAATGCGATTTTTTCGGCAGCCCGATTTGACGCACGATTTTCTGGTAAGTCGGATTGTTCGGATCGCTGACGGCGAATTTGTGAAGTTGCTGACGAACAGCTGATTCTTCGCCATTTTTGTACAACTTCAACATCAGATCTTTGCCGATACTTCGAACTTGAGGATCCGAGATTTGAATGCATTTTGTGGCGAATGATGAAGTTGCGATGGATGTTAGACTTCTGGAATATTTGGAGTTTTATTCGGAATTTCTGTGGAAGTTTGAGATTCGGATTCCCGGAGATTCAAATTTTCCAAATGGTCTACCTTAAGTCTAACATTTAGCCTAAGCCTAAGGTAGGTTTAGGGTCAAAGTTAAGCTTAAGCCTAAGCCCAGGTTTCCCCTAAGCCTAACAATTAGCCTAAGCCTAAGGTTGTGTCTTAGGCTTAGGGTAATAGTTTGGCTCAAGCCTAAGCCCAAGTTTTCCCCTAAGCCTAAGGTTGTGCTTTAGGCTTAGGCTAACTGTTAGGCTTAAGCCTAAGCCCAATGTCAAAAAAAAACGCACATCTCATCATTCGGAACACCGTGCAATATCACCAAAACATCCACCAAAATCGCACGACCTTTCAAATTTTTCGAATTCGCAGCCGCCAACAACTTCGAGACGTACGATTTGGCAACAAATTTGAGTTTCGACGCATCGCGAAATGTTTTCATGGTATCATTCACCAGACGTTTGTCACTTGCGATAACTCGCAACGCAAAAATATCGATTGATTCGGCGGCGACACGTGGCATCAGTTTCTCCAGGTGTAAATCAGGAATTATTGATGTGCAAAAATGATGCCAGAGCAATAAAACATCACGGTAAACTACGTAGAGTGGATCTTTGAGCAAATGAGCAATGAGGTAATTTATGCTCTCGAAGTTTGAGTGTAGATAATCTTGGGACATTTGATCTACCCGCTCGCGAATCTCATTGATAGACTCTTTACGATTCTCGAAATGTTTGGAATAGATTTTTGCGATTGTTGGAAGTCCGAAGATCGAGATTGAAGTTCGGACATTTGCTCGACCATCCGGTGGAATCATCTCGAGAACTTGATGTTCGCTGAGATCTTGGACATCTGAGGAGGATCTGAATTGCTCGGGATCAGGAGCAGCTGGATCTTGAGTAGATGTTCTGCGAAGTGCTGCTGGAACAATCATATTTTCCTTCTCCAGGAATTTGTTGGGAACACCTGAAGATCTTCGAGATGAAGTAGATCTTCGAGATGAAGATGTTGATGGAGTTATGACAGCCCGTGAAGAATTCGAGCTCGAGCTAGATCTTCGAGTTTCCGATGTTATTGGTCGAGAGCGCTTTGATCTAGACGAGCTAGATTTCCTCGTCGATCCAGTAAGTGTATCCCTAGGTGCCATCAGATATGTATGAGAAGGATCGGAAGGCACTTCAGTTGGAGAAAGATCTACAGGTTTGTAGAGTTTCGGCTTCACTGGAGGCTTCTCATCAACATCGACAAATAGATTTTTTTGGTCGATGAATTTCGTCGGTGGTTTTCATAGTGTTGTCAAGAAGTCGAGGCTCGATGGATGCGATTATGGTAGATCGCAGCATTGTTATCTCGTCCTGCAGATCTATTGCTCTTTGATAATCACCGTCTTGAACAGCGTCGGATTTATCGTTTTCTAGTTCTTCCATCTCTTTTGTGGATTTTTTGAGTTGTCGGATGGATAGTTGAGCGGATTTTGCCAGTTGGAAATCTTCGTTCTGGAAAAATTTGGTTTTTGTGGAGCGTTCAAGAAGTTCTAGAAATTCTGAAGTTTGTAGAAGTCTGGGAAAACATCTAGAAGTTCTGGAAAGTTTGTAGAAGTTCAGGAAAATGCTATAAATTCAGAAATATTTTTCTGAGTTTCATAAAAGTCCAGGAAAGTTCTAGAAAGTTTTCTGATGTTTTTAGAAGTTCGGAAAAATTCTAGAAACCTTTGACTAATATTCTGAAATTCAGGAAAAATTCCAGAAGATCTAGAATATTTCTCTGGAGTTTCTAGAGGTTCTGGAAAACGTTTAGAAGCTCTTGGAGCTACTTCTGAATTTCATAAAAGTCCAGGAAAGTTCTAGAAAGCTCTGGGACATTTTTAGAAGTTCAGGGAAAATTCTAGAAGCTCTGGAACGTTTTTTTTTTCGTTGTAGAAGTCCAGAAGATCTATAATAGTTTTCCGAAGATCAAAAATTAATTCAGAAGATCTAGAAAAATTTTAATCCAAGATTTTTCTGACTTACCGCAACTGCAATTTGTTTATTCTTCTCAATCGCCTCAATCATTGCCTCCAACTCCTTGGAATATTTCCGATCCGGAATTTTATCATTAATAACACCTTCCACCGGATTTTCGCCAGTCGGAAGATATTTCCCAAACAATTTCACATCAATCAATCCAACTTGAACATCAGGATTTCCTAGATCTTCATCTTCATACGGCTCATAAATATGGAACACCAGGAAATCGCATTTCTCATCCAAAAATATGTTTTTTAATTCGAAACTTGAGGTGGGTTTTTTGAAAATCACTTCTCCAATGAATTGCGATGAGAAAATCGCGATTTTTCGAGGAACATAGATGTTGTGAGCAACGATTTCGATTTTCTCGATTTCACTGAACTTCGAGAGAGCAAGCTTGAGTTCTAGGGGATATTTTGGATTCCTGAAAAAAATTTTGGTTGATAAATTTATGAATTTATTTAGCCTAACTCACTTCTCACTGATCCACTCTTTTTCAATCAATAAACTTCGCTCCGGATTCGATTTTCCTGACAAACTTTCAACTTTGTATTCAAGTTGCATGATTTTTATTTGAAAAAAAAGAAAAGGATTTTTTGCAGCTATGTTTATGTGGAAAAAACTAGGGAAACTGTAACCGGGGTTACATGTATTATTCATGCAAAAATTCCAAATTTAGTAACAAAAAGGGGAATATTCCAAGAGAACTACAACAATTTATTTTCTAGAAACTTTAGAAAGTTTCGGAAACAACCCTTTAAAAAATAGGAAAAAATTGTTTTTTCATCGACGTGAACGTGAAAGTTCCACGTGGAAAAAATATGCGAATTGTAGTTTTCATTTTCGGATTAAAAAAAATCATCGTAAAAAATTTATGGCGACGAGTTAGACCAAGTATTTCACATTTCAATTACTCTTCAGCTTGCTTCTCACACATAACACTTTGCTTAAATTGCATTCTATAATTACCAATTCCTCTATGCTTCAAATCTCCACGTTTGTGTTCCTTCCGTTCTGAAAATAAATTCATTTAAGCTTCAAAAAGCATTAAATTTTTGTTAACTTACTTGTTTCGCCATCCCATTCGTATTCTTCTTGTTGAGTTTTACACTGAAAATTCAAATTGATTATTTTAAAACTTGAGATGAAATTCTTCATTTCAAACTTACTCCAAGAGGTGTCATACATTGAACCCATGCATCACAAGTGACATTACATCCTTTCTCCTTTCGAATATCATAGACTCGTGTATATTCCTCCTCATCGTCCCATCTTGTCAAACTTGCATGGTGCTCATTTTTACACCATTTTTTCGCATCTTCAAAGTTCATAAACTATAAAAAAAATTGTTTTGCCTTCAACAATATAGAAATCCTCACCGATCCAGTGACTTCTTCGAGATGAAAATATCTATGACAAACACTTGTATCGTCTTTTCGATCATACAAATTCCAGTGACGTGGGCATTTTTCCACTGGACGGTAAACATCTTTTTCATATTGTATGCCGCAAAAGAATTGGACTGTGAAGAGCAAAACGGAATGATTCGAAGTTGAGACCGCTGAAAAAGTGGATTATTCAAAATCAATTATTATATTGGGGCTGGGGAACTGCCGGTTTTCCGGCTCTGTTTTTCTGAGTTCATTTATTCACTTTACTGGCTCCGGATAATAAATGAACGACCAATTTTTTGGTTGATATTCAGAATTCCATTTTGATGAATAGTCACTTTCTAAGAGATTTGAAACTTCTCTACAGGTTTTTCCAGTCTGCAAACAATTATAAATATTTAGGATATTTTTCTCTAGATTAGGTACTTGCATCATGTTTGTTGATATAAAACACCCTCCATTTCCAATTTTTGTACTTGTCCTCGTAACTACAATAGACAAATGGGCCGAAAGCGCGAACAAATGATGATTTGACTTCTTTCGAAAGCATTCGGATGTTGTTAGGTTTCAGATTGAGAAAAGTTCCATCGGCAGTTCCAAGAATTGCTTTCATCGAACTCTCGCAAACATCGTCATTGGTAAACGGATAACCTTTGATGTTTCTGAAGAGAAAAATGTTAGATTAGACCATAATTATGAAAAATCGTACTTTGGTGTATAGTGCGAAGCAGTTCTCCAAACAGCCCATGCACCAACCAATTGTGTTGGATGGTATAATACTCCAAGTTGATTCGCTTTCACATTAAAACTCAAAATAGTTTCAGGTGGTTTATACATACAAATTACAAATGATTTTTTATCCGAATCCAATTCGATAATTGAATTTGGACCGACATCATAATGAACACCGAATTTGAACAGAATCACATAATTTCTGTGCGTTGTTATCGCTTGCTCGACTTCAACAAATTGACTCGATTGTTTGATATGTTCTTCAGGTTGAAGAAAATACATTGACAAATCCTCCATATTTGCTATAAAAAATCATACATCTACGTTCGGACAAATTTACTCACCTTCCATCAATTCTCCAATATGTTTCGAAGGCATTCGGAGAATCTCAGCATTAAGATTCTGACAGGCTTCTCTCGCTCCTTTATAATCATAAAGACCAACAAGTTGTTGATAGCACATTCCACGAATTTGTACAAAACCATTTTTGCATTGATAAACATTCTCGAATGTACACGACACTTTGTTGTCGATAACATCGTAGTCGACTAAAGCATGAATTGCCCATCTATTGCAATATGGGAGAGCATCTTCCTGTAATTAGTTATATTTTAATTCTTTGGCTGATCTGGTGGGCACTCACCTTTTTTCCCGCTGGAAAATCCAACAAAACTTGGCATTTGTCACCAGCTGGAAGAGCAACCACATTTCCCGAATCATCTGTCTCAAGTGTCGAAGTGGTTGCTTTCCCATTCATTCGATTGCAATAAGAATGGAAACTTTCGTCTCGAATTTGTTGAATTGAGCATTTGACGAAAACTAATAGAAGCAGAAGCTTTCCGATCTTTTTCATAATCTGATTAGATTTGAAAGGGCAAAAAAATCAAACTGATTGTTTTTTCTACTTTTGTTGTTTTGAGCTTTCTCATTAATTGGAACACGTTTCACGTGGCTTTGCAAAAACAAAATCAGGGAACCTTTTTTACTCAACACTTCAAATCATGATTTAATTTTTAGTGGACCTGTTAAAAAAATAAAGATGAGCTCAAATAAATTTTTAACACTGTTAAAAAAAAAGATGAGCTCTAATAAATTTTAACACTGTTAAAAAAATAAAGATGAGCTCAAATAAATTTTAACACTGTTAAAAAAATAAAAATGAGCTCAAATAAATTTTAACACTGTTAAAAAAATTAAATTCTGCGTGACCCAATTTTTTCCCCGAAGAAAAAAAAAGTAAAAGGGCGCCCCTCTCGGTCAAAAGTTCAGTTTGAATTTGGGGAGCATGAGCAAATTGCGAGCTCCTCGTCTACTGTTTCTTCTACTCCTTGCCGTTTTGGTCAAAATTTCCTGGCAATTTGTCAGAGATGAGAGTTTTCTGCGTTTTTGTGAGACTGCTGGATCAACACGAAAACTAACTTTGGTGCAAGATGCGAAAAGTGTCGAAGCTGACACTTGCGAAGTTTTATGGAAACAATTTCCGGCGTCCAGTGATGTGAGTTTGATATTTTCCTAGTGAATTTTTCCTACAGTATTCTGATTTTATGAAAATGATAAATTGATTGCAGGAAGAAGCGAAAATGTATTGCAAGAACTGGGGACCATACAGTCTTCTGGACTACAAAATGGAAGACGGCAAAACATGGTGCAAATATGAGAATATTTACTCCTGCGACACTGGCTACACTCAAATCAATGGACTTTGCTACAAACGAATGGGACACGTAAAAGTGGTGGAAAATGAAGGAGCAAAAGCGATTTGCGAAAAAGAATCTCGTGTCAATCGTCGTGGAAAAACTGTCAAAAGTGAGGTGATCAAATTGTACGATCTTGATTTGATTCGTTTGATCGAAGCATTTTTCGCGGATATCACTCAATTTTTGGTGCAAAATAATGATGTGCTTGACGAATATGTGGAGTTTGATGGAGGAGATTCGAAATCGAATCATCATTCGAGATATATTGTTGCTGTTGGCACTGCTACTCATTATAATGTTGGACCTGGCACATTGATTCGATTGTCTGCAACTAGTACTTCGAGAATTCCAAGCCAGGTTTTCTGCCAATATCAGCCTGATGAAACACCGCTTAGCTTTGGTGTTAAAGGTAAACCAGATTTTCCTGTAGATCACGAAAATACACATGAAAACTGGAAAATTCCGAGATTTTCATGATGAAATTTGTGATCTAGAAAAGTTGAATGTTTTCAAAAACCCTCCAATTTTGCAGCCAGAATGATTGTGCCATATTATTATCCAAGTGTTCGAAATGGACCAATGACTGCTTGGCGAACTGCCAATCATTATAGTTTGATGAGACATGGTCGTGGTGTACACCCAGTCGATTTGTGCAGCAAATCTTTGAGTGCAATCACTGGTTCGGATGGCGGAGATGTTTGGAATGCGACGATTGTCAATGCTGCAAGATTGACAACTGAATTCAAAAATGAGTTTGTCAAATCTTATGCACCAGTTTATCATTGTTGCTATTCATATTATCATTTTTATGATGAAGATCACAAATACACAAAATATGGGGAGGCGGAGAGACATGTGTATTTGTCAAGAGATTACTCGGACAAAATTTGCTATGCAAAACCTGAGGTCAACAATGATTTCTCGATTCGAAAAACTTATGTTGGATGTAAAGGGGAATTGCAAAGAGACACTGTTAGATCTGAAAGCTCTTTCATTTTTACACCTGAGAAAATGTAAGTTAAATTGTTCTTGGGGTGTTAGAATTCTTGATTTTTCTTTTTTCTGGAACCTCAATTGTTTCGATTCTTCAAATTAATCTGTTTTTTTTGTTAATTTTTGATTCCCGAGCAAAATATGAATTCCCGAATCCGACGAATTTAGGGTAGATCACGAATTTCCGCGTGAAGAGTGCAAAAGTTGAGAATTTCATGGTGAAAATTGTGATCTCCATAAAAAACTGGTCCAGAACTTCAAGTTCCGAGCCTTCCGACATAGTAGATTTTTCCAGACACCAGATTCTGATTATTTCAGGAACGACCTCGACATCACCGAACAAAACCAGCGCGTCAACGATGCTCCACTTCTCTGCTCAATCTACTATCGCCTCAGCGACAAACCCACCAAATGTTTGTCCGGTTGGATTCCGCACACGCGCAAAAATGGGCAGAATGTTTGTTTTGGTGGTCACATTCCACAATTTATGTCCTATTCCAATGCCACCCAATGGTGTCGCACATTGGGCGGCGAGCTTGCCACATTTTCCGATCAAGATGAGATTAAAATCATTCACTCGATCGCTGCACCGCATATTCATTCGGTTTGGATTGGTATGAGAGCTCAACCGGATTGCGCAGCAAGATCCACAAATCGAGATGGCCATTGTGGTCTATTGAATGTGAGATTTTTATTTGATTCCAACATTTCTATTTTTTGCAGTATGGATTCTGGGATAACGAATACGGAGATAGTTCGAAAGAAGTTATGGAACTAGTTGCTGCTACCTGGGAGCCTAGTGATGATGATCAAGTTAAAGAACATCAATGTGTTCAGTATTATCCGAAACGCAAAACTATTTACGACTATTATTGTAGTGGAACAAGGGATGCGGCCTATCCAATGTGTATTTCGGGCTATCAATTGTACGATTGATAATGCGCATTGATTGAACTTACTTGTGAATAAAGCTTTTGTATGGGGGATCTTTGACATCATACATTGATTTGTGTAATTATCGAGGAGGATTTCAAAATTTTTTCAAAAGCCAAAATACACTTAAACTCTGAAAGTCTTAATTTTTGTAAGCCAACAGGTTTGCGCAATAAAAATGCTACAAAGTCATGAAAGTTCCTGGTTGATGATTTTTTTGTGAAAATAAGAAAATATGCGAGAATATTCGATCAAACAAATCAAATCACATTTTGGGAACACTATAAAATATCAGAAAAATCGAGAGAAAATCAAAATTCAATCATGAAGTTCCTCATTCTTCATGTTCTTCTCGCCATCTTCGCCTTTTCGAAATGCCAACCTCCCAATGCTACTGAAGAGACAAGAAATTTTGTCAAAACCTTCGAAGCCAAAATCAGTGCTTTGCTGGCTGCTAAAAACTTTGATGGTCTTTCAAAGTACATTGCTGAGAAACTAACATTTGGTGTCAATGGTGTGAGCGGATATACAAGACAAGAATTCATCGATTATTTGAAAAATGGAACATTTGTTATGTTCAATGGATTTGATCCCAAAGATTTACTGGATGATATACATATTCAAAGTGATGAAATGTTTGTTTCTAGAAGTTGGATAACTGGCAAAACTGAACGAAGATTGTACTATGCGCTAGAAGAACACGATGGAACCGAGTTTGGCCGTCTTTTTAGTCGGTATTTTGAGTGGAGTCAAAAAGCACCTGACTTTTTTTGATGGAAATAAAGAAGTGTTCAACATTTTTTTGTTTCTATGTTGTGGATAAATCCAATCCATAGATTAGACCTCAGTTTTCCTGAATCTTCTGGAGATTTTTTCAAAACTTGGAGCCCCTCTAAACTCAAAAAATGAGCACATCAAAAGTATAGCAATTGAGAACCCTAAATATTCTACAAAAAAAGTTTATTGATTTTAGTTCAGAGAAGCGGTTCACTTTCCCATTGTGATTTTAAGTTGATCTTGATCGAACAGTTGTTTTAAATCCAGGCTTATTCGCTATCTTTGACATCATATCTACATTGATTTGTGTAATTATCGAGGAGGATTTCAAAATTCAAAAACACATCTAAAATTTGCTAAAAATCTTCAATTCTGTAAGCATTAATAACAAATTCTACAAAACAAGCCTCAATTTCGCAGCCTATTAAATTTTGTTCCAGACAAAATACTTCAGAAAAAATTTAATCACAGAAATGTTTCCACTTTCTCACGTGAACTTTCATCATGCCACGTACATTACCCGTTCATTTTTCAAAAAAAAAATCATTATTATTTTTTTCTCTGGCTTGAAAAAGAACAATGAAACGGTTGGATTTACAAGGAATTCGTGGAATAGCAATTCTGGCGGTTCTAGGATTCCACTTTTTCCCCAAAATCTTTCCAAATGGATATTTGGGTGTTGATCAGTGAGTTTCCAAGCTTTTCTAGCTTTCTCCAAAAAAAACCTTCCAGATTCTTTGTGCTCTCTGGATTTCTCATGTGCATGTTACTATCAAAAAGCGAGAAAACTGAACAATCAACTCTTTCAATGATCCAAAATTTCTATATCCGTCGATTCCGCCGAATTCTTCCACTATACTATCTCATCATTTTTATCTCTCTTATATTTCTCTACGCCATTTTTCCTGATTCCGCAATCGTCATCAATGAAAAATCAGCAAAACAAGCCATGATGTTCCTATCAAATCGTTTGAAAACCGACGAAGAAAGCTATTTCGAAATGCTTTCGATTGCTGTTGATATTTTCACACATACCTGGTCACTTTCAGTCGAAATTCAATTTTATTTACTGGCCCCCTTAATATTCCTAATTCCTTCAAGAATCGCGTCAATGGTTTATTTATCGATCGGAAGTTTGATCTATTTTTATCAACTTCCACCGAGTTTCACGTTTATCAATGTTTTTTCGAGGATTTGGCAATTTTTAGCGGGAATGATGGCGTTTATTTTGTGTTGTGAAAATTCTATGCAAGAAAATGCGTATAAATTATTGGAAGAAGGTGAAGATATTGTGGAGAACTGCGAGAAATCGGATGATTCGAAAAATCCATTGAGATTTTTTAAACCTTGCTCGAAAATTAGTATGGTTTTGACGGTTTCGGTGATTTTGGTAAACTTCAATGTGTTCACTTTGCCCGCGGATTTTGTGAGGTATTTTTCGAAATTCTCAAAGGGTTTCTAAAAAATAAATTTGAATTTTCGACGTTTTGGGCTAATTTCAGACCTATCATCACATTTCTAACCACCGCAATTATAATCTTCTCAAATAGTGAAAACAACAAACTTCTTTCAAACAATATTCTAACATATATTGGTGATATATCCTATTCATTATATTTAATCCATTGGCCAATTTATGCTTATTGGAAGTTGACACAAAATGAAAATATATTAATGTTGATTGTCGCAATAATATTATCAATTGCTTCGGCGGCTCTTGTGTATAATTATTTTGAAAAATGGTATACAGTTTTGTCAAATCGGAATGTTGCGATACTGTCGGCTATTTTATTGATAGGAAATGTGATGATTTTACATCATGAAACTATCAATGAACATCTTGAAGATCAAAAAAATGTGCTGCACAATTTCACAAGTCTCGATGGAATTATTGACAACTTGACACTAGAAGACGCTCAAAAAATCAACTATGATTGGAACATCAATGACAATAATAATTTGATAACCAATCTTTGCAATTACACTTCTACACCACCATTTGGTTGGTGTAACATGACTGGATTGGATCAAAATGACAATAAGAAATATAAAATAATGGTTTTGGGTAATAGTTGGGCGGCGAATCATGCGAAAATTCTTCATCAAGAATGTGGATATAAAGCGAGGATTATGATAATTGGTGCGAAGTATGGGTGTGAACCTCTGTATCCGTCGGATAAGGCTGAGAGGTGTTACAAAGATATTGATGATTTTAAAAAACATATTGAAGATTTTCAACCGGATTATGCTTTTCATATCACACGGTAATTTTTTTTTGATCTTAACTTAACAATTTATGGATTCTATTTTAGGTTTTTTGCATATGGTGTTGGACCATTTAACGGTGATTTTGCAAACGATGAGATTTACCAAACCATGTTGAATAATGTTAAATTCTACACGAAATATATCAAGAAAAAGTTTTATATTCTCGATGCGATTCCCAGAGCAAAAAATCTCTTTAATCTCGTAGAATTTATGAAAATGAATTTGACAAATTTGGAGATTGATGTGAGTTTAGTAACCAAATAGTTTTATTTTTTCAAAAATCGGTCTTTTATAGGACAAAATCACTGACTTGCAAGATTATGAAACAGCGCGGGTGAGATATCATCAGTTAGTCAAAGATTGCGGTGAAAAATGTGAATTGTTTGATTATGTGCCGAAATTTTATCAAAAAGCCACGAAACATTGGCGATTTTTTGATGATCGTGGATTTGAATATTTAACTTCAGCCAATCATTTGTCGTTTCATGGTTTGGAACTTGTTAGAGATGTTGTTCGAGATGTTTGTCAGAAGTTATGATGGAATTTTTGGAATTATAAATGTATTATTAGTATTTAACATAGATATAAAACTGGTTTTTTATTTGTAACACAAAATAGAAAAAAATGAATTTATTTATTTATTGACTTTTGCAACGACACTCCGGCTTGCCCGTTGTTTAGCACAACACGAGAATACTTTCATTTTTCGTTTTTTTTCGCTGGGTTTTCGGGTTTCCGAGGAAAATCAGTGGATTTCAGTCAACAATTGAATTTTTAGATGTTCTACAAGGCTGGAATTATCGCCTCCAACGGAAAATTCAAGGATTATCGAAGAAAGGTGGGTTTTTACTAGAGAAACACTGTTTCCATTGAAATGTTTGAGTTTTCAGGGTCAAAATTGATTTTAAATGTGAGAAGAACGATTATTGGTTGATGTTGAAGCGATATTCGATGGGAAATTGACGAAATTTGAGATTGCCGCATGATTTTTATGTCAAATGAAAAAAATAGCTGGACAATTGTTGTGAGAAACAGGTATGGAGTTAGCAGAACTCAATGGTACATGAAAAATTCAAATTTTCTGATTTTCAGCTTGAATTATTGATGGAGAACTGGATTTTAATGTCAATAACGTGGGAATCTTGGAGGATTTCGGATTTTGATTGGGATTTTCTAATTTTTGATGATTTTTGTGTGAAATAGAAGCGATTGGTGAGTTTTTTGGGGAGGGATTTCGGAAAAATTGAAAAAATCGATGAAAAATTCTGTAAAATTGGGAAAAAAATGAAAATTGTGAAAAAAATCTTTAAAAATTGAAAAAAATTAAACATATTATTGTAATCTATTTGTTTCTGAAACTCAACAGTTATTCAACATTCAATATTTATAAACAAATTCAAGTATCCCGTTCTAAAACCATATCCGAAAATCTAACATTCAAATTTTTCTTTAATATAAGTTCCATTTTGCTTTAATTTCATTTCCCGGTATTGTGGTGACCAATTTAATGCATCTTCCGAAATTCCATTTGTTTCTCCTTCTCGAATCATTTGACGCAAACATATTATTGGACCAAAATCAAAGTTATCAAGAACTTTGTTTGCTAAAAAACAGTTTAGTCAGAAAAGTTAGAATTAAAAAAGTATGTTTCCCACCTGAAATTTGATTACTATTCGAAAAATCTTGCAAATATTCAACTCCTATAATACATATCGAATGTCTCTTCATTTTTGATTTACAATTCTTATCATATCCATCAGGTCCATTAAAATTCCAATCAGTTTGTCTTGTCAAATTATCCAGTTGTAATTTTGTGCAATTCGAAGTCATTTGTCCTTCAAGTCCCAAATAATTCTCATACAAAGTTGGAATTAACATTTCATCAACTCCATACAATTCTTTATTGTCGAATAAATCCAATATTGGATCCAAATTCAATTTATCGAAAAGTGAATCGACAAATGTTTTCGACAAAAATACTTCATTCAGTCCTTTACGAATTGTCAAAGGTGTATGTAAAATTCTATCTGGCACTCCTTTTTCTGCAAAAAAATATCTATATTATTCATTTTTCAAAAAGTTTTGAATTACCATTTTTGAAAAGCTTCAAACCAGCTGGTGTCCAATTTGCATCTTCTTTATATCTGTGTTTGTATCCATATTCCAAACCCATAATACTTGTATAATTCAACATTTCACTAAGGTCGGATAATTGTTCAGATGATTTGAGAACTATATCATAATTCTGAATACATTCCATTTTTTTTCAAAAAAAAGTTATAAATAATTTCTAACCTGTAAGAGTAAAGTATGATACCAGGTTCGATTCAAAATCAATTTGAGACAATCAAAATGAGCTCTATCTTGAAAATGACCCGCCGAATCAAATGAATATTTCATCGGGTTTATTATAATATTTGGTAGACACTTTGAGAGCGATAGCATATTTTCAGAAAGTCGATGAACTGTTTTAAAATCAATTGAAAAACAATAAGAATTATCTGGATGATAATTTAAAGAAATAAGACTTTCTTGAAATTCATAAAGCTGGAAAATTATGTTTTTTTTTCTTAAGAACATAACAAATACTCACAGTAAATATATTTCTGACAAAAGCGATTGGTCTTTCGAGTTTTGAAAATGATGGAATATCTCCACGTATTCTTGTTTTAATATTTTCACAATCCATTGGAAGTTTCAAAAGCTTTTCGCGTTCGAGTTTCAATCTTCCATTGTTCACATAACTCTCGATAGCATCTTTTGAGCCATTCGTTATTTGAGAACAATTCAAAAATCGCGATTCATCTCTGAAAAAACAACAAATAAATCCCGGCTTGTCAAATATTCCAAGCTTACTTTGTAAAATAAAAATCTGCATAATTTTCGAATTTTTGAGTAACGAACGGTTTTATCAGCATTTCTTTAAACGATTTAAAATTCCCCATTTTCTGAAAATATTATAGATTTTGTAGAGTTGAATTTAAGTTCGTCGCAACTCACTTTTTCACTTTTCACATGAAATAAAATAACATAACACAAAGCCATTCCACAAATGAAAATTAAAGCATTTTTGAGTCTACTTGAATCCTTGATTCTCATGATACCATTTGGAACATATTCCTTTATCTCATCTTCGGATAATAACTTATATCGACTGTTTGACATATTTTCTTGTAAATCTTTAGGTTTGGGATTACAAGAATAAAAATGTAGCAAAATGAACTATATTTTCCAACCTGTTTTCCTGCCTGCCACGTATTCTGCCACGAGTACACGTTTCACGTAATCTAAATTGTTTTTTCAATCTCATCTTTTTTCTTCACTAAATTTCCAAAAAAAAAGAAATAATATATTTTCTCGAATTAAAAAAACGTGCCGTACCTTGCCAAACAAATCGGTCCGAATCAGAGTTTCTTAAACCCTATCCAAAAATCTGACAAACAAATTTTTCTTTATATAATAATTAACTTTTTGGACGAAAAAATGGTCGAAACACAACTGGCGTTTTAGAGGCCAAAAACTGACGAATTCAGAGTTTTCAGAGGTTAAAAACTGAAAAATTCATATATTTTGAAAAATTTAGCGTACAATTTTTTATTTTGGAAAACACGATTTTTACCGAAGTGTGGGTCGAAATTCGGAGGGTTTCATAGTTCGAGATTGATGCATTCTGTATAATCAAAGGCATAAAATTTGGGAACCCTAAATATTCTACAAAAAAGTTTATTGATTCGAGTTAAGAGAAGCAGTTCACTTTCGCCTTGTGATTTTAAGTTGATCTTGGTCTTCCAGTAGAAGTTTGTAGAAATTCAGGAAATTTCTAGAAATTTTGAAAATAACTCCAGAAGTTCATGAGATTTTTCAGAAATTTCTGAGAAGGCCTGGAAAACTTCTAGGAGATCTAGGAGAATTTTCTGAACTTTGTATAAGTCCAGGAAAGTTCTAGAAAGCTCCGAGAAGTTTTCTAAAGTTTTTAGAAGTTCGGAAAAATTCTAGAAGCTCTGAAAAGTTTTCTGAAATTTTTAGAAGTTCAGGAAAAATTCTAGAAGCTCTGGAACGGTTTTTTTCTTTGCAGAAGTCCAGAAGATCTAGAATATTTTTCTGAAGATTAAAAAATAATCCAGAAGATCTAGAAAATTTTTAGAGAGCCCGAAATAAATCCAGACAATCTCCAAGATTTTTCTGACTTACAGCGCCTCAATCATTGCCTCCAACTCATTCGAATATTTCCGATCCGGAATTTTATCATTAATAACACCTTCAGGTGGATTTTCCCCAGTCGGAAGATATTTCCCAAACAATTTCACATCGATCAATCCAACTTGAACATCAGGATTCCCTAGATCTTCATCTTCATACGGTTCATAAATATGGAACACCAGGAAATCGCATTTCTCATCCAAAAATATGTTTTTTAATTCGAAACTTGAGGTGGGTTTTTTGAAAATCACTTCTCCAATGAATTGCGATGAGAAAATCGCGATTTTTCGAGGAACATAGATGTTGTGAGCAACGATTTCGATTTTTGCAGCTATGTTTATGTGGAAAAAACTAGGGAAACTGTAACCGGGATTACGTGTATTATTCATGCAAAAATTCCAAATTTAGTAACAAAAAAAAACAAGAAATATTGTCCAAAAGAACTACACAATTTGATGGAAGTTTTCCAGTCAAAATTTCAGAGTCAATTTTGTTTTTCTTCTTTGTTTTTTTCAAAGAATAATGCCCATGATTTATTCTACAAAAGGAGACGAGTAATATTCTGACACGGGGGACTTATTCATAACCGACATCCATGACACAGTAGTACGGTTTTCTCTTCCCACAGCTGAAAAAAAAGATTTTCGGAACTCGAATTTTTTTCTGAAGTCCCGTTCCAAAAAAAATATATTTCACTTACTCCACATCATTCAATACATTCTCGTGGAGCTGGATACAATACTCATTTTGGGCTTCATTGTCCGGATTATGCCCTACCCAACCTGACGCGATAACTTTTCTGGTTTTGTCCGAATAGTCTTCAAAACCAGGACTGTCCCAGTACATCAACTGAAAAATGTCAGAAAATCAGTAGAAACTGACATTTTCAGTCATTTCCTGTTAACTTACATTTTCTTTTGAACATTATCCACTAGGAGTAGAGCGTGGACAATTGGTTTTCTTTTCGAGCTCCAATCCACGGCGAGGCATCAACATTTCTAAGAAAATCGTATTCTTCTTTAGATGTGAAAGTTGATAATTGTGCGCCTTGCAATCCACACAATTTTTGAGCATCGTCATAATTTCTCTGAAATTAAAGTGAATTATTTGAAAAGGTTTCGCATAAACTTACTTGAACTGTAAACATATTATGACAAACAATTCGTTCATTTTCTCTTTGATACATTTTCCATCCATCTGGACATTTGGTTCTCACTCTGATATTTTCGAAATAAATTGAGCAGAGATGTGGAGCATCTTGACGATTGAACACTTCAACATTATCAATACCACTTCTGAAAATTCATGCTTATTTCCTTTTTTTTTCGAATAAACGTACACTGGTTCAGAGAACAACAAAAATGTGCCAACTCTTTCTCTGCATAAATACGAGTGATATTGAGGTGAAAAACTATAGAGAGCTGAACTCATGTGTGGAAGTTTGGTGTTTTGGTTACACACAAATGGCGAGTAACTTTTGGAAAAATGCAGAATAATTGAGTAATGATCATAATGCCAACCACGGTCATAGTAAGATGGCACATCATAACAACAAAGATATGATGGTGAATAAGCTTTGATGAACGATTCCTTGACAGCATCATCTTCTCGCAAAATTTTCATATTGTCTTTAGTTGGATTGAAAACATCGATTTCAGTATTGCCCGCAATCGCAGCCATTGATTTTTGACATTGATTGATGGCAAAAGATTTGTCTTGATTTTGAGTCCTACAAAAAAAATACTAGTTACGACGCGAGTTTACATTTTTAGCGAACACACCAATAATTGTATGATCCCGAAGTGCGCCAAACGGTCAAATCTCCTCTTTGCAGAGTTGGATAATAATATTTTGCCAATTTTTTGGCATTGTATCCAAAACTGTTTGGTGTTTCTTCGGCTCGATAATGACACATAGCTTGAGCACGATGATTTTTCGGCATTTTTATCAATGAATTTGGTCCGACATTATAAAAGGTTGCCATTCCATAAACAATCGCATAATTTTCACTATCACCTTCGTAATCGATTTGATCTTTGTAATCATCTCTTGGCTGAATCCAGATTGATCGCATCTCTTCAAAATAAACTGAAAAAATTCGATTCGAATTTGGATAGATAGATCAAGAAAACTATTTACATTCAAATATGCGAATCAAATCTTCATCAAAAAGATCAACAATTGCGCTGGTGACTTCTTTTCCAGATATTTCCAGCTTGGTTTTTTGAGACTTGCATTTTTTCTCGGCATCCTCATACGAGATAAGCTTATCCGACATAACTCGATAACAATATCCGTTTATTTGAGTATAATCCGGTCGACAGGTATACACATTTTCATATGTACATTCAGCCTTCTTGTTAATGTTGACTTCAAAAGCTTTCAGAGGGTATGGTGCTTTGATTTTGCAAACTTGTTCAACCTCATCCTAAAAAAAACAATTCATTTTCCTAATCTACAGTACTTTACTCACATTGTTTGTGAGAATATTCCAAGTCACTCTGCATGTCATACCATTCAAATTGTTTCCAGTAGTAGTGGTGACTCCACCGCCGACTTTCCCGCAGAATCTTACGAAGCTTTCATCGCGAATACTCGATTGCAAAGTGAGTGCAAAAAGTACATAGAGTAGGATGATTTTTAGGGCATCCATTTAGAAACAAACACTGATTTTTTCTCTCTCCAACTTCTTTTAAATACTCATTGCCACGTCTCATGTCAACGTGGCACGTGAAATAAATCTTTTTTATATAAATTTGCATTATTCAATCATTCACAATGCTCCGGAAGAAATTCTCTTTTCCAACTCCAATTATCAAAAAAATTCTCGGTTTTCGAATCGAAAGTGTTTTGCAGGCAATATTGAATATTTATTTTCGTTGAGATCGCATAAAGTTTGAATTTTCAGTGAGCTCGGTGCATCTATCAATTCACATATTTTGTTGTCCGTTTTGTTGACGACTCCCAAAACTGAAAGAAAAAAGGTTTTCCGTTAACGGTTGAATAAAACAATGAGAAATAAAAATAGACATGCAAGTTCGCCCTAACGAACAAGACAGTTCGTGTAGTCCTCCCGGACAATCTTCAAATTTTTTAATTTCTTTCCTTCAAACTTTTTTCACTAGGGCACAGAGCTCTCTAGAGTGTAATTTACTACTCGAAAAATTTCGCGCATTTTTTGAGACCTGACACGATCTTAGGGGTGGGACTAAAATCTACGAAATTCAACGCAAAAACGAGAGATTTAGAGAAAAATTATTTTTGATCTACCCAAAAATTAATTAAAAATTTGAGGTCTAGCGATTTGAGGTTTACACCCTGTGTAGGGGGCCCTGCAGGAAAGTTTTATTGGGCGTATCTCTATGAATCTGATAAATTTACTTTCATGGAGAGAAATTTCAAGGGTTCCCGAGCTAAAACCCCAGATAAACAGAACCTCATTCAAATGCCTGCGCTTCCTTAACAAAATACCAGGTTAGAAAAAGTCCATCCTGGTCCCCCCAATCCCGATTTCCGGGTTCCCCTGGAAAAAAAGAAAATGAAAAAATTTTGCCAAATCGCCAATAGAATTGCACGGTTGCGTCATGGTATTTGCACACATTTTGAAGTAATTTATTTTTCGCGTTTTTTTATACGGAAGATTTCCAGTTTGTCCTTCTACAAACATCAAAACTTTAAGTACTGTTTAAAAAAGTGATTTTGAACTTTATCTAATTGTAAGTATAACACTTGAAAAATCAGTCTGTAAATTACTTAAGTTCCTACTCAGATGAAGCCGTCGACAAATCGACGACGAATCGTCTGCCAATCGTAAGTTCATCGGCGAAAATAGTGTGTGTTTCCCGGAAACACAGAAGAAAAAGTTTCAGGCGTCTAATCAGAAGTTAGTCACTTATTAGTCGCCTGATACTTTTTCGTTTGCGTCTTCAAAAATACACACTATTTCGAAAATTTCGCCAAAGAACTTGCGACTAACTGAGGATTGGTCAAAGATTAGTCGTCGGCTTTCTCTGAGTTACTAATTGTCAGAATTTTTTCATTAAAAAAAAGAAAATATAAAAAATATTTTCAGCGTGAACGTGAAAATTCCACATCTACAATTTAATTTGTGACAATAATGTGCTCATTCCAAGCTGGCGTCAAGAAAGAATGATGTTCGAAAACATGCAACACCTGAAAATCCTGATTGTGGCGATGTTTGTGATGTTTATGACGATTTCTCTCAATAAATTTGAGTTTTATGAAAAGGTTAGCGTTTTATTATTAAAAAATCAATAAAATTTGAGCATTTTTACAGACGGAACCTCGAAAATATTTGACAATTGATTTCAAAACTTTTGATGAAAATGGATTGGCAGATATTTTGTTTGAAGTGTTGGCTTTGTATGGAATTGCGAAGCGAAACAATCGAATTCCGTTTATTGAAACTTCGAGACAATTTATTGTTGAAAAACGACTAAACAACACTTTCCCTGGAATTTTGGCCAAACTTCATAAAATGGAAAGTAATATCGATGAAAGAATTGAGATAATTCCATTTCAAACAACTTGCTGTTCTTATATCAAACAACGTTTCAACAATTCGATTGATTTTTTGAAATTGGATGGAATGTTTTTTCAAAGTTTCAAATATTTCGATGAATTTCGTGATGAAATTCGAGATTTATTGATTCCTCCAAAGAAATACATGGAAATTGCACAATCTTATATGAAATCAGAGGATTTCGAATCATTTAATATTTGTGCTCATATTGAAAATAAAGATATGACTGATATTCGACATGATTCAACAAATTCAACTTTTATTATTGGAGCATTGAATTTATTGATTGATACATATAAATGTGAACATGAAAATATTTCAATTATTTTAATCGGAAATGATGAAGATTTTGCAACAACTGAAATTGTTTCGAAAATGGAAATAAATATGAAAATTCTTCCAAAATCGGATCCGGAAATATATTTAGCATTTTCGAGAAAATATTGTGATGTTGTTTTGATTTCTGCACCATCTTCAACATTTGGCTGGTGGTTTGGATATTTATCAAAAACTGGAAATGCTGTGTATTATCAGGATATAAAACAAACAAACGATAAGATTGCTAAAATTATGATTCAACAAGATTTTTATCCAAATTATTGGATTAAATTGAAAACTGATCAATTGACTGCAAAAGTTCGTCGTTATTGATTTTTATTTTATTTATTCATTATTTTATTTTTTTAGTTTTCAAATATGAAAAACATAAATCCATGAGCATTTTAACAGCTACTAAATTTTTTGAGACAAAAATTGATAGTTCTCATATAACACCAATCAGAAGTAAAATTAAGGAGATCTGTTCAGAAATGTATTTTGAAATATTTTCCAATTCTTTAGCATCAAGCAAAAATCAATCTTGAATTCCAAGTTTTTGACAAAATGCTTGATTTCTTTGGAAAATTCAAGACAGATATCTTTGAAATTCTAGAAGGCTCATATCTCTATGTGAGTTTGTATGTATCTACAGTAATCTTCCACGAAAGTCGATGATATATGTCCACGTATTCTTCTAAATTTCTCATAAAAATTATGGAATTTAAATTGATATAATGTGGAATTTTCAATCAAAACGCCCGCGTTTCCTTTTTTCAACGTCACAAGTCGAAAAAAAGTTCCAAATCGACAAAAATTCCGATTTTCTCCGCCCATTTTTCATCTCAAAAACTAATAAAATAATTATATTAATGTAATTTGATAGTATAAAAACAACAATGTTTTTTTGAAAAAAAATCATCATTCAAAAAATGAAACTTGAAATTGTTTCATTTGTTGTGTGCCTTTTGTTCGGATTTGGATTTTGTTCTCATCAAACTTGTCCGATGAGAAGTAAAATCGGATGTGATAAAGGATTCACATACTTTCAACGAAACCCAACGGAGAAAAACAATTTCACTTCTGAATGGTGTTTGGGAGTGTTTCCTCAAAAACATGTGACTGAGTGCGAAGGTAGTGAGATTTGTCAAAATCTTGGAGCAACCATTTCAATGTTCGAAAATGAAGAGGAATTCAAAGGTATGAAATATTTCTTTATGTTTTCCAAATATAATTTATAGAAATCGATGTGAATAAATACATTTATGTCTTCATTGATGGATATCGTATGCAAAGATGCCACGATCGTTCAAGTTATCGTGAATGGAAATGTCAACCATTGAGAGTAATTTCCAGAACAATTTAATTGCAGTATTTATTAACTTGTTTTCAGTCTTTCCAATTCCGAAGCAGTGCAACCGATCCAACTTTCACACTTTCCAACTGGAGAGCAGATGATCCAAACTATTTCGAGGGAAAATCTCCAAGCACGGATCACTGTATTTCGTTTTCTCGTGCTGGAACAATTGATATTGATTGTCTAGGTCATGAAGACATCAACTATGTCCTGTGTGGGAAACCACCTAGTCATCAGTATTATTAATTGAACTACACATTAATAAAACGTTTGCATTTCAAAAGTGTTTAAAAATTGCAGCAGCAAATGATAAATTCTGCTTCCCACTGTGTGGTTAAAGACACAAGAGCACCTAGAAATGAACAGAACATGAGTTTGTTATTCTTTCATAACACCTTTCAAGTAATCAGAATTCTTAAAAATCAAGAAAAAATTTTGAGTCTGGCAAAAGTGAAAAAAACAAAATAATTGTTTTTGAAATCGCTCAGGCGACGGGATTTTCGAAAGAGTTTGCACACAACGAAGCAATAGAGGGCACATGCTGTTTTTGTCGTTTGAAAATAAATGCGGGAAATCTGTTTTTTCCAGTGGTTCTTGTGTCTTTAAATTATTATGGCGGTGACGCCCGAAATGTTCATGAACAAGTTAACCATGTCCGAGCTTTCTGTCGAAAAATCGAAAAAATCCGAAGTTTCAGTTGAAATTGAAGAACTTCCTTTAACTTCAAGAAGAGATGTTTGATATTTTCACTAGAAACATTGTTTTCCTTAGAAAATATCATATTAAGCCCTGAAACTAAAAAAAAAACTGAAGATTTTACGCCGTTCTATGTTTGCGAAGACCTTCGTGCTAGAAAAAGATTTTTGATTTCAAAACACGTTATTATCAAGTTTACATGCACAGCTCTTGTAGAGGAAAAATTGCTACATTTTTGTTATTATAAGCAAAAGATTGGGATGACCCAACTGTCAAAAAACTCACCTAAAGATGAATAACTCTTTTACCACTATTTATGAAACACCCTGTATAATTCAGAATTTTGACATAACATTCAACTGTATCTAATAATTTTATGGGTGCGCGTTTTTTCTCGTGAACTATTCAATTTCTTTTTTTTTTCACCAGTTTTTTGACCCATCGCCTCCTCCCAATTGAAAAATCGAAAGACTTTTGAAATGCAAACGTTTTATTAATGTGTAGTTCAATTAATAATACTGATGACTAGGTGGTTTCCCACACAGGACATGGTTAATTTGTTCATGACCTTTACAACCAACATCAATTGTTCCATCAGCAGAAAACGAAATACAATGTTGCTCGTCTTCAGGTTTTCCCTCGAAATAGTTTGGATCATCTGCTCTCCAGTTGGAAAGTGTGAAAGTTGGATCGGTTGCACTGCTTCGGAATTGGAAAGACTGAAAACAAGTTAATAAATACTGCATTTAAATTGTTCTGGAAATTACTCTCAATGGTTGACATTTCCATTCACGATAACTTGAACGATCGTGGCATCTTTGCATACGATATCCATCAATGAAGACATAAATGTATTTATTCACATCGATTTCTATAAATTATATTTGGAAAACATAAAGAAATATTTCATACCTTTGAATTCCTCTTCATTTTCGAACATTGAAATGGTTGCTCCAAGATTTTGACAAATCTCTCTACCTTCGCACTCAGTCACATGTTTTTGAGGAAACACTCCCAAACACCATTCAGATGTGAAATTGTTTTTCTCCGTTGGGTTTCGTTGAAAGTATGTGAATCCTTTATCACATCCGATTATACTTCTCATCGGACAAGTTTGATGAGAACAAAATCCAAATCCGAACAAAAGGCACACAACAAATGAAACAATTTCAAGTTTCATTTTTTGAATGATGGTTTTTTTTCAAAAAAAACATTGTTGTTTTTATACTATCAAATTACATTAATATAATTATTTTATTAGTTTTTGAGATGAAAAATGGGCGGAGAAAATCGGAATTTTTGTCGATTTGGAACTTTTTTTCGACTTGTGACGTTGAAAAAAGGAAACGCGGGCGTTTTGATTGAAAATTGCACATTATATCAATTTAAATTCCATAATTTTTATGAGAAATTTAGAAGAATACGTGGACATATATCATCGAATTTCGTGGAAGATTACTGTAGGCACATACAAACTCACTTTTAAATTAAATTTTTCGAGTTTCAAGGATAGCTTTCTTGAATCTTCCAAAAAAATCAAACTTTTTGTCAAAAACATGGTTGAGAATTCACAGTGTGTCAAATTTGTTTTTCAAAATTCGAATGAAATCCACAGAACCAAAAAAGTTTCAAGTAAATTTTGGGCCGTTTATCGAGTTTTTGTGAAAAATACGTTGTTCTCACCCCGTCAAATTGTATGATGGACTAATTTTTTGCCAGACAAAGGTAACTTAGAAAAATCAATAATTTTTGAATCCGGCCCAAAATATCCAAATTATTAGATCAAAAATTTCTGGGCTTAAAACTTTTTTTTCTTTACTAAAAAATATTCCAATTTTTAAGAAAACTCATACCAATTTCCTGGTCAGAAATAATTTTTTATAATAAAGTTTTCCATAGAAAAATCGTTTTTTAATCAACGTATGGATGTTTGGGAATATTTTCGATTCGATTCGAACATCCTTAAGAACTCAAAGACCAGGACACACTTCGAAGAAACCTGAATTCAAAACAACTTGGCCACCACGATCAACTCGTAGATCACCACGCACAAAGAGATCGGCTTTTCTCAATTCGATGTGATCAACCTTTTCATAGAATGCAATAAATAATTGGAGAGTTTTGTTGTTTCTGATCTCATGATTTCAAAAAAACCAAAAAATGAAAACTTTGTCCGAGGGTGTGTTCGCTAGAGCAACATGTGTTCGCTAGAGCAACATTGTGATTGTTGTTGCAAAACTAAACTTTTCTCCATTATTTTTTCCCCATAGAAAAAGTATCGAAACGGCGATCTTCTTATTTTCAAACATACATGTTTTTACAAGGAAACCTTTTTTCAGAAAGTCATAATTCTGAATTATATCTCGCAAAATTTAGTAGCTGCTAATATATATTTATGATGAATGAAATAAAAATCAATAACGACGAACTTTTGCAGTCAATTGATCAGTTTTCAATTTAATCCAATAATTTGGATAAAAATCTTGTTGAATCATAATTTTAGCAATCTTATCGTTTGTTTGTTTTATATCCTGATAATACACAGCATTTCCAGTTTTTGATAAATATCCAAACCACCAGCCAAATGTTGAAGATGGTGCAGAAATCAAAACAACATCACAATATTTTCTCGAAAATGCTAAATATATTTCCGGATCCGATTTTGGAAGAATTTTCATATTTATTTCCATTTTCGAAACAATTTCAGTTGTTGCAAAATCTTCATCATTTCCGATTAAAATAATTGAAATATTTTCATGTTCACATTTATATGTATCAATCAATAAATTCAATGCTCCAATAATAAAAGTTGAATTTGTTGAATCATGTCGAATATCAGTCATATCTTTATTTTCAATATGAGCACAAATATTAAATGATTCGAAATCCTCTGATTTCATATAAGATTGTGCAATTTCCATGTATTTCTTTGGAGGAATCAATAAATCTCGAATTTCATCACGAAATTCATCAAAATATTTGAAACTTTGAAAAAACATTCCATCCAATTTCAAAAAATCAATCGAATTGTTGAAACGTTGTTTGATATAAGAACAGCAAGTTGTTTGAAATGGAATTATCTCAATTCTTTCATCGATATTACTTTCCATTTTATGAAGTTTGGCCAAAATTCCAGGGAAAGTGTTGTTTAGTCGTTTTTCAACAATAAATTGTCTCGAAGTTTCAATAAACGGAATTCGATTGTTTCGCTTCGCAATTCCATACAAAGCCAACACTTCAAACAAAATATCTCCCAATCCATTTTCATCAAAAGTTTTGAAATCAATTGTCAAATATTTTCGAGGTTCAGTCTGCAAAAATATTCAAATATTATGGATCAATTCATCCGAAGAAAAAATGAATTTCGCGACATTTTTTGTCGCGAAATTGCAATTCGCGAAACGACACGAAATTAATAAAATAAAAGAGGAAATTCTTTTTTCGTGTGTTGGGTCTTGCAGCGCTTACGTGTCCCTTTAATGTTTCTCCTTTATTTTTGTGTTTATTTCGTGTCGTTTCACGAATTGCAATTTCGCGACAAAAAATGTCGCGAAATTCATTTTTTCTTCAAATGAATTGATCCATTATTGATTTATTATTAATAAAACACTAACCTTTTCATAAAACTCAAATTTATTGAGAGAAATCGTCATAAACATCACAAACATCGCCACAATCAGGATTTTTAGGTGTTGCATGTTTTCGAACATCATTCTTTCTTGACGCCAGCTTGGAATGAACAAAAAAATTGAGCGAAACAATCGATTAGCTTTTTGTAATTGAATCATTAAACTCACGGCGCATAAGCGCGACGAAACACTCGCAATTGAGAAAAGGCGGGAAAGAGAATATATACTTTTATATCTAAGTGTGCTTTTACAGTACTCTGTAGAACGTGAATTATTGGTCACAATTAACCGAGAAATTCATCTGTACGAAATAGTTTACTGCTGTTCTCTTCAAAATGACAAATGTGGTAAAAAATCTCGAATTTCCGAAAATTCCTACAAAATCAGATCCATAAATCGCATTAGTTTCTCTTTTAAATTTTTGTTGTAAATGGGAAATTTGTCCAATAAAATCGCTCAAATTTCTTACAATTAGCAAATATTATATATATAAAATTATATATTTAATTTTATTGATTATTTCTTTCCATTTTCTTGCAGATTTTTTTTCCGAAATCACAAAACTAATTTTTCACGTGAACTTTTAGCATTCCACGTTTACCCGTACATTTTGCAATTTTTTTTCATTCATTGTTTGGCTTGAGAAACTATGAAACGTCTGGATTTACAAGGAATTCGTGGAATTGCAATTTTGGCGGTTTTAGGATTTCATTTTTTTCCCAAAATCTTTTCTAATGGATATTTGGGTGTTGATCAGTAGGTTTTTCGTTACACATTTTTTGGATAATGGTATGAAATATAGGTTTCTCTAAAATAAAAATGTTTCAGATTCTTCGTGCTCTCTGGATTTCTCATGTGCATGTTACTATCAAAAAGCGAGAAAACTGAACAATCAACTCTTTCAATGATCCAAAATTTCTATATCCGTCGATTCCGCCGAATTCTTCCACTATACTATCTCATCATTTTCATCTCCCTTATATTTCTCTATGCCATTTTCCCTGATTCCGCAATCGTCATCAATGAAAAATCAGCGAAACAAGCCATGATTTTCCTATCAAATCGTCTGAAAACCGACGAAGAAAGCTATTTCGAAATGCTTTCGATTGCTGTTGATATTTTCACACATACCTGGTCACTTTCAGTCGAAATTCAATTTTATTTACTGGCCCCCTTAATATTCCTAATTCCCTCAAGAATCGCCTCAATGGTTTATTTATCGATCGGAAGTTTGATTTATTTTTATTACCTCCCGCCAAGTTTCGCATTTCTCAATGTTTTTTCGAGGATTTGGCAATTTTTAGCGGGAATGATGGCGTTTATTTTGTGTTGTCAAAATTCTATGCAAGAAAATGCGTATAAATTATTGGAAGAATGTGAAGATATTGTGGAGAACGAGAAATCGGATAATTCGAAAAATCCATTGAGATTTTTTAAACCTTGCTCGAAAATCAGTATGGCTTTGACTGTTTCGGTGATTTTCGTAAACTTCAATATGCTCACTTTGCCGGCGGATATTGTGAGGTATTTTTCGAAATTCTCAAAGGGTTTCTAAAAAATAAATCTGAATTTTTGACGTTTTGGGTTAATTTCAGACCTATCGCCACATTTCTAACAACTGCAATTATAATCTTCTCAAATAGTGAAAACAACAAACTTCTTTCAAACAATATTCTAACATATATTGGTGATATATCCTATTCATTATATTTAATTCATTGGCCAATTTATGCTTACTGGAAGTTGACACAAAATGAAAATATATTAATGTTGATTATCGCAATAATATTATCAATTGCTTCGGCGGCTCTTGTGTATAATTATTTTGAAAAATGGTATACTGTTTTGTCAAACCGGAATGTTGCGATTTTGACTGTTATTTTAATGACAGGAAATGTGATTATTTTGAACCATGAAACAATCAATGAACATATTGAAAATCAAAAAAATCTGCACAATTTTACAAGTCTCGATGGAATTATTGAAAATATGACACTAGAAGATGCTAAAGCCATCAACTATAAATGGAACACGCATGACACCGAAAATTTGATAATAAAAGCTTGCAATTACTCTTCTACACCACCATTGTCTTGGTGCAATATCACTGGATTGGATCAAAATGACGAGAAGAAATATAAAATAATGGTTTTGGGTAATAGTTGGGCGGCGAATCATGCGAATCTTTTTCATCAAGAATGTGGTCATAAAGCGAGGATTATGTTAATTGGTGCGAAGTATGGGTGTGAACCTTTTTATCCGTCGCTGAAGCTTGATAGATGTCAGAAAGATATTGATGATTTCAAAAAACATATTGAAGAATTTCAACCGGATTATGCTTTTCATATTACAAGGTATTTTAAAATTTTCCAACTGCGGGGAGGGGTAAGAAGATAAATCTAGCTTATCTTAACAATTTATGGAAACCAGAGCCTTCGCAAATATGGGCGGTGTCCAAAAGGCAACATACTTTTTCATTGGATTTTCGGTTATCTTTCTTGAATCTTACAGTATCAAATTGCTTAGAAGTTTTCAGCTAGTTCCGAAAAAATATATTTCAGACATATTTCATACGGAGAACCATTTCGAAAAGCTGGTGATTTTGTTAACGATGAGATTTACAATATCATGTTAGATAATCTTCAATTCTACACGAAATATATCAAGAAAAAATTCTATATTCTCGATGCGATACCGAGAATAAATGGAGATATGGGGAAACTCGTAGAATTTATGAAAATTAATCTAACACTTTTGGACATTGATGTGAGTTTAGTATTCAATGATGACTAGTCGACTAGTTTCATTTTTTAATAAACTGGTTTTTACAGAACAAAATCACTGACTTGCAATTTTATGAAACAGCGCGAGTGAGATATCATCAATTAGTCAAAGATTGTGGTGAACAATGTGAATTATTTGATTATGCACCTAAATTCTATAGAAATTCGACAAAACATTGGCGCTTTTTTGATGATCGTGGATTTGAATACATGACTACTATCAATCATTTGTCATTCCATGGCTTAGAACTTGTCAGAGATGTTCTCCGAGATATCTGTCGGAAATTATGAGGAAATTTTTAAGAATTAATGTATCTATTATTATTTAATTAAATTCAAGCAAAAAGTAATTGTCAATAAATACAAAATTATTAACTACTTAAGTAAAACTGAGAAACAGCCCCGCTCTGATAAAAAGCTAAAACTCAAAGAAAACCAAATTTTTTTTAGTTTTAGTTTTTGGCCTAAATTCAAGTTTAATATGTGAATTTCAAAGTTCTGGTAAAACTTGCTGCTGGATCCTAGTCGGGGAACAAGCTTTATATCTTTTTAGCAGTCGTGAACAATCAATTTCTTTATAAGTAGGGCAACACACAAAAAAAAACAAAAAAAAAAGAAAAAAAATTTTGGCATGCATTTCGTCCGAGAGAAGTACGCACACACATTTCGCTGCAGGACCACATTGCATAAATATGCGCGCCTTTAATCTATTGTTTTCGCGCACCAATTAGTAGTGTTTGGTGATAAATAGTTCGCACCATTCGATTCAGAATTTCACGCTGAGTAAAATGATATAAAAATCATCTCTATCTGTGAAAGTTTTTGAGTTCACGTTTTTGGGAAAAAAATGCATGATTTTTGGGCCCCTGGTGTTATTTTTTTCGAAGCTGATGGCTATCACAACAATATTCTTCCAAAAAATAATGAAAATTATTGCCCCTGCACCCAATACTTCTGATTTCTATGAGCCCTTGTTCTTGATAAATCAAGAATCAATCAATACAACTGATAGATTCGAGATAGGTCTCTGCTCGGTATCAAATAGCTCCAAGATAAGTCAAAATGATTTTAGTTGAAGATTTGGGGCTGTAATTTGCGCCAATGGTGAAATTGGTGTGAGTGGCGCCATCATTCACCAAACGAAGTATTTTACTCCTATTTATTGATTCACCAGTAAAAAACATGGAAATTCATCAACCTAACTTCACCAAAAGCCGCAAAACGACACGTCTGTCCAACAACATTAAGATTTTCGAAATTTTTTCACAATTAAAATTTTCACTCATTTTTGGCCAATTTCTGATCATGACAATTTTGGGTGTAACAATATTTCAACCCCATTAGGTCCACCACATTCTGTATTTCCGTTTTTAACTGCAAAACTGTGGTTTTTCAAGCTTACAAGAACAGCGGAAACAGAAATGTAAATCATAAATAACGTCTCATGAAAAACATTTATTGCATAAATTTAATTCAAAATCATTTACCCATTCATAACATCTGGCTCGTTATCTCCCTTAGTTGTATAATTGGACGAGTTATTGAAAACAATATCATGCCATGATTTCAAAATAACATTACAATATTTGAATCTTTTAGGACCAGGTGATCGAAACATGCTAAGTTTGATTGGATGCATTGCGACCATATCAACACTGTATTTTTCCGCCCAATGGTCTCGATCAAACCAAAGATATGAAGCATTAAGCGATTTAGACCTGAAAAAAAGACAATTTCAAACCTTCCAACATAATTACACTTACGTTTGATGTCTGACAGATCTGAGGAATCTATTGACAGCAAGTTCAAGAAATAATTTATTTTCGAAGAAAAGGCGCATCAAAACTGAATAATATCCTATCTCGCTTTGTGGGACATAGAAAAAATCGGAAATACTTCTTGATGTTCCATTGAGCAAATCATCAGCGGCGGTTTGATTTGGTTGAATGTAGCCATACGTTTTGAGTCCATTTTCGAATTTGTCCCATGCTTCAAGTTTTCTTACATCGATTGTGTTCTCGATTTCGTCTAAAACTCGTTCTGCAGCAGCAAGTCCTGAAAATACGGTTCTCTTATTTAAGTTAGTGGAAAGTTTGACTTTTCGGTAAATGGATGAGAAAACTCGTTTTCAAATGCTATAAAATTTGAAAAAATCGTTTTTTATTCGGGGAAAAAGATGAAAATGAAAATTGTTTGATAACATTTTCTTCGAGAATCACACAAAGAAGATAGTTCTTTGTAAATTACAGATAAATTCCATCAATTTTCCATTGATTGTTTTTAACTTTTTCATATTTCTGGGTTTCCAATCTATAAAAAACGTTCCAAAACACCTACCATAAACCGGATATGTCCACCAATCTTTAGAACCAATAAATTCAACACCACCCAAATGATGAACCCGTTTGAAATCAATTCGTTGCCAAATATTGAAATGCGCATCATCAGCCATAAAATAATATCCTTGAACATTTTGGAAACCGACTTCATGTAAAAGTGTCAAGCAATGATACCCTAAAAAGCCTTGATAAATTTCTGCTGGATTCATATGAATAAAATTGAATGGTTTGATAGTTTCGGCAAAACCTTGATTAGTTTTCTGATATGTGTCTGGATAATAGGAACCGCAAAAAACAACTGAAGCAAAATATGGTTGATATAATCTTTGAAGATGTCCAATTCCCCACTTCCAAGGATAATTATTGACAATAAGTAGAACATTGTTAAGATTATTCTTCAACACGTAACTTTTAGAGTGTCGTTCTGCCAGTTCCTGCGCCGATGGGAAACTATTTGTGAAATTATTGAAGCCAGCTTCCGTACACCATTTTGAAATCTGTCCAAAGTGTTTGATTTTCTGCTCGGTTCGGATGATCGCTGGCTCGGTAGAATTAACCGGGTAAGTTAGATCGAATTCAAATTGAGCTCTTCGACAATTCGCATTAAATTCTGTCTCATTTGCACTTGCTTTATATGAACTCGTGTTATTATCCAGAATTGCAAATTCATAATTGATTTTCAGAAGATCTTCAATGTAAAGATCAATTAAAAATTGATCATCCTCTTTCCAAAAACCATTATCTGTGAAATCTTTGGCCAATTGGCGCATACAATTTGGAATATCTAGATGACCACATTCCCAATTATCCAAATATCTGATTATCTTGCCAGAATCCTCGTAAACTTGTCTGAAATCATTAATATTTTCATTAATAATATTCTGAAACAAAAACACCAACCGTTCATCTTGAAAATCCTTCAAAAAATTGTGCGAATTGCGAAATTGCACAGCATTGACAGGGATGAACGAAATAGCGAGACCAGATAAATGCAAAATTTTTTGGGCAAAAAACGACCGCCAAATATCAGTTGTTCGAAATGAAACTGTAGTTGGCAACATCAAAATATGAAAAGCCGATTTATGAAACAATGTGTTTTGTGAATTCCAAGGTGCATAAGTTCCAGGTTCCAATAAAATAGACGGTGCAAACTTATTGAATCTCTCATCTAAACCTTTCTGATCAGCATTCAATAATCGATAAACTGCATCAACATCTGGATCATGATGAACTAATCCCTGTTGAACTGCTGATCTTTTCATTTTTGAACATAAAACTTGTCGATCTTCTCCATTATTATGATGTTTTATATATTCCAAAGGGAATCCACGTGGCCACATTTTATCCAATCCAAAAAATCGATAAGGATTGAATAGTTTCTCAATTATTGATTGATTTTGAATGGTAGAAGTTGTATATCTTAATCCCGACATTTCTTGTTCATAATTGAATTGTTTTAGACCTAAACCATATGGTTTATTGTCATCATCTGTGTCATAAATCCATTCTGCACCATTTGAAATAGCATAAAGATATCCAATATTCTTGCGAGTGTAGGATTTATAAGGAAGATAATGAACAATTTGGAAATCTAGACTATTTTGATAATCGACAGATAGAAAATGGACATTTTCAAGTTTCCAGTCGGCTGGTGTTTTTGTATCAGCAACAACAACCAAATTCCAATCATCGAATGACGCAAGTCTCTGAAAAAATGACACTTGAATATGAGATTATTAAGAATATGAGATTATTGATTATATCCCCCTCCTCAAAAAACTCACTTCCATATCTTTTGTCGGATAACTGATACTTGTCACCACAATCCATTTATTTCCTGGTTTGATTTTTGGCATTGTAATATTATTCGGTTTAATTATTGAATATATAATGCGAAACTTTTGCGACTTCCACCATTTCGAATTACTATCAGCGAAAAAGAACATAACACATGTTAAGCAGCATAGTATTATGAAAAGTTTTCTGTGGAACAGCCGCATTTTTGGAGAAAAAGAAAAATAATGAATTGCCTAATTGGATTGGGAATCGATTTCCACATCATTTTTGATGTGGAAATTTCACGTATTTAATTTAAAAAAAATTAGGATTTTTCTTACTTTTTTTGGAAGAATTTATGAATATTGGAACAAAAAAACTTACCTGCTTTTCAGGAACAATTAAAAACTAAAATACAATTTTCAAATTTTTTGGCAAAAGCAGAACACGGTCTTTGCAGTTTTAACAACAAATATTTTTCGAAGCAAAGTAAAAAAAATAGTTTTTAAAATAAAGTTGTTGATGTAGATGTTCCACATTCACAAATGATAACTTATAATTCGGAAAACACACGTATGTTGTGTGCAAACAAACGGATTGAAATGGAATTTTTTACACAAAATAAAAGTAAAAATGCAATGTTGCTCTAGCGAACATGTGCGTGTAGTTCTATCGGACAAGATTTGATATTTTTCCAGCACTAGTACATACATGTTTTTGGTCCGGAAAAGTATAAAATAGGGTCGTTAACTTTTTTTATTTTTCATGAAAAATAGGTCCTTAACTTTTATGAAAAAATTATTATTAATTTCTCAAGCCATCAAAATTACCTCTGCATCAGCTTCTTCTTTCAAAGAGGAGCAGGGTTTCCACAAAAATTTTGCCTTGTTTCATTCTGCATCACGCGAAATATTTCAATATCTCTCATCACCGACAGTTCGCTGGAAGCGCCACACACCATATCTCTCATTGCACCTGGCTCCGCCCACATCATCTTTTCTTTTTTTTTCGTTTTTTTTCACAGACAATCCAAATCAAAAGCAAAACTTAACAGCTTAACGGCAACCAAATGAGCTAAAAATTTTCACAGCTCTACTTCAAGATATTTCGCAGGGTTCGAAGACCTAAAAGCCTCCAATAAAGACCGTTTTAAGGGAAATAAAGACCTATCCGGAAAAGTATAGTGTCATCCTATACTTTTCCGGATAGGTCTTTATTTCCCTTAAAACGGTCTTTATTTGAAAGTTTTAGGTCTTCGAACCCTGCGAAATATCTTGAAGTAGAGCTGTGAAAATTTTTAGCTCATTTGGTTGCCGTTAAGCTGTTAAGTTTTGCTTTTGATTTGGATTGTCTGTGAAAAAAAACGAAAAAAAAAGAAAAGATGAGTGCGTGTCACACACACCTCGCCAGGATATACTTTAAGTGTATTTAAAATAAAATCAGCGATTTTCGCACTGGTATACTTTAAGTACATTTGAAATATGCTATGGCATAAATAAAAGTATACTTTTTTGGATAAAAAAGTAAATTTTTGGAAAAATCGAGAAACATCTTTAGAAGTTTTTGTAAATTTAGTAAATTGCTCAAACAGCTTTTACACGACTGTAAGTTGTTCAAAATTTGCGAAAAACCAAGTTTGGTGCACAAAAATGGCGTTTCAATCATAAAATATGATTTACCCTCCTCCTCGTGGCGCCCACTACTTATATAAATTTAGTGACGGACACCTCGCGGGTTGTGCGAGGTGCTATGTTTAACGTGTAAAATGGGCGTGGCTTATCGCTTTTTCGAGATTTTTGTTATTTTCGCCATTCATGCGATTTCCAGCGGTCTGTGATAAAAAAAATTTTCTAGGCCAATTTACTTTTTTTGAAAGTATACTGAAAAATAAACTTAAAGTATACTTTTGCGGAAACTTTCGAATCTCCACTTTATAGTGTGAAAACCTTAGGCGAAAATTAATCAAATGTCTTCTTTTGATATCATCAAACAGTCTGGAATCAAAAAACTGAATTTATTGATGATAAAATTTTACACGTATTTTATACTTTTTGAAAAAGTATACTCAACGTGTAAAAAATAGACTTTATGTATAAAATATACAAAAATATACTTTCAAGTATAGGAGGGCGAAGTGTGTGTGGTGTTGCATAACAAGGGAAAACAAAGGAGGAGAAAACAACGAGAGCATAGAGCAGTCGGTTAGCCTCGCGCTTTCTAATCCAGCTACAGAGGTTCGGTTTTGGCCTAGAGCTTTTACTTTGATTTTTGGCAGTATTTTAGTTCTTCATTTTTCCGGTGGAGGGTCTTTAACTTTTTCATTTTTGACAAAAAGGGGTCTTTAACCCGAAGGGCCCTCCGGATAGAAAAACATGTATGCACTAGTATTCTAGAAGAGAATTCTCCAAGGGAAAAGCGACATTGGAGAGATTCTCACAAATACTTGATAACTGTCATGGACAACCCGCGAGGACCTTGCAAGAAACCAACATGTTTACATTTTCAGAGAAACAGAATTTCTGCTCAAGGCGCGGTTGTATTATATAAAATTGAATTGAATTGTGTTCCATCGCATTTTTTTTAAATTTTAGGTGCAACTAAAAAGTGGCAGATATGCTTTCAGAAAGCCCAGTCCTAGCATGTTTGAATTTGTTGAATTTAGTCTTTGTTAGGAGTTCACGACGTAAAATTCCAAAAAGAACAATGTACTTCAGATAGCTTTTACCAAATAATAATTGTTTAATTTAGACGAACAAATCCAGGGTCTCCAAATTCCCAATTTTTGGGTTTCCAAAAAAAAATTAGAATATGTTTTACTTTTTCAAAGTGAGATACAAAAAACTTCAAAAAAATGAAAATTATTTTACGTGATCTTTACGTACAAACACGTGGCACTTTTAAGTTGGAATTTTATTTGTTTTAAAACTCGTGATCCTTGTCATTCTGCCTATTTTTACTCCTAGAAATGGGAAAAAGGTTTGATCTTCAAGGAATACGCGGATTGGCAATTCTTGCAGTTTTAGGATTTCATTTTTTTCCGAATTATTTCCCCAATGGATTTTTAGGCGTTGATCAGTGAGTTTCGTATGCATAAATATTAATTTTGAAATCTTCAGGTTTTTTGTTTTGTCTGGATTTTTGATGTGTATGTTATTGACAAAATCTTCGGAAGACGAAAATATTTCTAATCTTCAAATGGTCTATATTTTTTATACACGAAGATTTCGAAGAATATTACCACTCTATCAACTTGTTCTGTTTATTTCTATAATTTTTCTCTATTCATGTTTTGCGGATAAAACAATTCAAGAAATCAATAAATCATCGGCTCAAAATGCAATGATGTTTATCTCAAATCGAATGAAAAGTGATGAAGAAAGTTATTTCGAAAAACTCGCAAATTCAGTAGATATTTTCACACACACCTGGTCACTTTCTGTTGAAATTCAGTTTTATATCATAACACCATTATTATTTTTCATGCCATTCCGAAGTGTTTTGTTTTATGTGATTTCATTGGCTAGTATTGGATATTTTTGTTATTTACCAAACAACTTTTCATTTTTCAATGTTTTTGCAAGGATTTGGCAGTTTATGATCGGTAAGATGCAAATCTTGCAAAAATTTAAATGCAAAAAATCTTTTTTCAGGGATGATCACTTATGAATTGAGCCAGAAAATATCAAATGAATATCAATTATTAGACTCGGATGATTGTGAAAAACAAGAAGAACCTCAAGAAGAAAGGTCATTTGAAAAATGGACTTGGATTTTAGCTTCAATTATAGTATTTAACATTTTTGTTGTGTTCCTTCCAATGTCGTTGAACCCGCTATTTTCGAGGTGAGCAATTCGAATTTTGAAGTCTCGAATAGTTTTTGTTTCAAAAATTTTAAAGTTTGGGGAATTCGGTCTTAAAGTTGATGCAATCCAGCTTTTTTCATTCAACAAATGCATTTCGAGTCTCAACATTTGAGACCAAGAATAAAAGCTTTGTATAGAAATTTCGCGAACGCGGTTAGAGCGGAGCGAATTTATGTTTCATTGCTCGTTTCAATATTTGTTTATATATAATACTTTCGAAAGGAGAGTGCGAGAACCTTGTTTGAGGTTACTGTAGAACATTTTGAGCGTTTTTTTTAAATTTTCTGGATTTCTCTGCGTCTCTCTCTCTCTCAATTTGTTATGTGTGAAATGAGATTCTATGTAATTCATTTTTCCAGACCGCTTATAACATTTCTGACTGGAATTGTGATTTTATTATCAAATGAAGATCAATATTTACTCTCAAATCGTATTCTTGTTTACATCGGAGATATTTCTTATTCACTATATTTAATTCATTGGCCAATTTATTCGTATTGGAAACTTTATGCCGAACAAAATCAATTATTATTAATTTTCAGTGTGGTTATTGCAATGCTCTTTTCAATTTTTGTTTATAATACTTTCGAAAAATGGTATATCAAGTTAGATAACTCTCGGGTTTTTATTCTAACGATAATCTTGATTTTTGCTAATATTGCAATTCTAAAGCTCAATAACGTATCAATATCAAATGAATCCACAATTCCACAACAAACCAACAAAACAATTTTCGTGAATTTGGAAGATGTTGAAAAACAGAATCGTGAATGGAATGCGAATGATATAATAAATCTAGCTGTCAAAACTTGCACCAAACGTATATCTTCGAAATACTGTAACACTTCTGGATTGAGCCCACGAAATCCATATAAAATACTATTGATTGGAAATAGTTGGGCACCAAATCATGGAAATTTGTTTTATGAAGAGTGTAAAGATAAGGCAAATATCTTGGTGTTAGGAGCAAATACAGGTATGTCTGAATAGCTGGAGATTACCCGAATCCTATTGTATTTCAAAAAATACTTTATTCAACTTTCCCAAACTCTCTTACTTCATTTTTGCAAAAGTTATATAGAAAGTTTGATTAATTTATAGCCTGCGAACCATTTTATCTTTCAAAAGAGTGGAATTGTCAGCCAAAAGATTTTGATGAAACCAGAAAACATGTTGAGAATTTGAAACCGGATTATATATTTCATATAACTCGACATATTGCATATGGTGAAAATTTCAATGGAACATCATTTGAAAATGATGAAGTTTATCAAAAAATGTGGAAAGAAATGAAGAAATTATTGAAGTTTGTTAATAAAAAGGTGTATTTATTGGACGCGATACCAACTGTGAAAAAAACAGAAATTGTGAAATTGGTCGGTTATCTTAGAAAAAATATTTCAGCGGTTGAAATAGATGTAGGTTTTCAGCTCAAAAATCACATTTTGAACCCCACTCCTCACAAAAAATCCGAATTTTCTTCAGAAAATCATGCTCGACTTGACGAATTATGAAGGAGCTCGAGCAAGATATGCACAATTAATAAAAGATTGCGGTGATAAATGCGAACTCATTGATTATCATGATATATTTTATCGAAAAGATTCGAAAACTTTTCGATTTTTTGATGATAATGGATTTGAATATATCACAAATATTTTGCATTTAACTGCATTGGGATTAGAAAAAGTTCGACCGATTTGGAGAAAAATATGTGCAAATTTATAATAATTATAATAATAATAGTGATAATGAAAGTGTTATTCATTCTTGAATCGAATCGGAAAAAAATGTGTGAAAACCAAATGAATACTGCGAATTCAGATTTTGCCGAAAATGTTTGTTATCTGAGGATTCCCCTCCTGTCTTCATTTTTATTTTGGATGGAAATTCGTAATAGTGTTTCTGATGTGGCGGAAACTAAATTACAGTAATCAGTTTATCAAAAGCCTCATTTTGAGACCAGACATGATGAGGTTACTGTGGAAAATATCGAGTTCGTAAGCGCGGGTGTGTGTTCCATTAAAATTCCTCCAAAAAATCGCAGCGAGACCCAGAGTACAGTAAACTCTTAGAATACTCCCTTCTTCTCTCTTCCAAACTTCAAACGATGTCACATGACAAAATTTGGTGGAAATTATTATTTTTACAAAAAACCCAATAAATTTAGTTTTTTGATTAAACATCTCACGTTCTGTCCAATTTGATCATACTTACCAAAACAAAATTCAGTTAATTATCTACCTTTTTAATAAAATTTTTTTAAAAATCGATATCCAATTGAGTTATTGCAATCACTTCGTTTATGCCATTTCCCAATCAAAGTCGGATACACATTTGTAAAATTGTTTGAATATTTTCCGGATTTCAAGTTTTGGCACAGTTTACACAATCCATAATTATTGAGAATTTCCGGTGTATAATTGTGATTCCAAAAAATATCATCCATTCTGAAAGAAATCGAACTTTCAAACAAATTAAGCATTTTGAATTTCAAAAACAAAATCTTACTCATACTCTTTCCTCCACTCATGAAATTCCATATATTTCGTCTTGTTTTCAGCCAGATTATCAATAAAACTTTTAAACTCGTCAAGATTCTTGAAATCATCTAATGCAATAAATGCTTTTTCTGGAATTCCAGCATCCAAATAAATTTGTTTTCCAAGAATTATTGGAACTGCAAATCGATCTCTAGCATTTATCCAAAATTTTTCAGTTATGTAATCTTCGCAATATGCATTTTCGATTGCCATATAGAACTTGTATGTAGAAACTAGATTCACTTCACAATCCATTGTTGTCTTTTTCTCACACTTTTTTGGTTTCATTCCGCAACCTCCGAAAATATCGATCTAAAAATTGAGATTTTTCACCTTTTCTACCCCGCAAATTTTCTAGAATACGAAATTTTTCAAAGGAAAAGAAAAATAGCGCTAAAATTGCTCCCACATATCTATTAGAAATTGGGTTTTGGGCTTTCTGGTCTTTTCAAATTCCGAAAGCCTTTACCTTCATTCCCAATGTTTTAATTTTTTCAACAATTTCCATTCTACGATTTGGTGTTATACAATTCGAAACCATCCAGATTATCTCAGCAGCACTTTCATCTGATTTTTTCTTCTTTTTCCAGATGTCTTCAAACGATTTGGGGTTATCCTCGATCTTTTGCTTTTTTCGAATGTTTCCGTAAGGCCAATAAATATCAGCTTTTCTATCATAAGACATTGTTAAATTCATGAAATCCGGGAAATTTTGCTCCAACATTGGTGATTCCATTGTCCAAACAACATATGGAATTTTGGGGTTTCGATTTTCAAACATCCATTGCGAAGTCTACAAAAACTTAGGTGAAACTGGATTTTTAGAAAATCGGAAATTTTGGCAAAATCCAAAATTTCCAAAAAAAAAACTTTCGATCTCGCTCAGAAAAATCTCACGTGTCTCTCGTAATCTTTGGCATGAAAAAGCACAGCGTCCGCGTTTTGGAAATCTAATTCATCGTGCAAAATTTCACAATAACCTTGAATCTCTTTTGAACAAATTTTCATATATGAGTCGATTGTTTCAGATACGTCCGAAAAAAATTTGGTTGCTGCAAAAATTTTGACTTTTTTGTTGTTGTTGGTGGTGGTTTCAATTTTGGAGTGGAGTCTTGAGGAATCTGCAAAAATTATCAATTTTATTGAAAAAGCGCGCAACAAACCTTTAAATTTCCATTGAACAATAAAAAAAACTGTAACCACCAGAATCATAATCAGTATCCATGATTTTATTCCGAATCCTGAAAAAATGATTTGTTTGTCGAGGTTACTATACCAAAAAACGGATTTTTTATAACCAGTTATTATTTATTGGGCTTTCAATTTTCTTTTTCTGTTGAGCAACATTTTAATTTTCTTTCTCATTTATTGGCAATCCCGATTATTTTTCTGACCTAAACAAAAAACATTTTAACTCACTTTTCATAATATTATTTTGAAGCTTTCAAACATAGACCAAACAAAAATATGTCGAATGATTGATTAAGTGGGTGGTTTTGGGTGGGTTTTTTTCGGTTTGACCCGACCCAAACCGAAAATTCAGAATCGGTTCGGAACCCTGGTTCGCACTCCTGTGAAATTCTAAAAAAAAAATGTTTTTCAAAAAACAAAATAAAAATAAAACTACAACACTCCGCTTGCCTGTTGTTTATATAATGTTTTTCTTTTCCCCTCCTCCCCTCACACACTCTATATAAGTTTATCACGCCTCATATTTTAATTTTATTCCTTTCGAATATATATTCGTAATATATATTCATTACGAATATATATTCGAAAGGAATAAAATTAGAATATGAGACGTTTTAATGAATATTGTTTGTCGAACCGTGTGATAACTATAAAAATGGTCAGATTCAGAATTTTTTCAAAAAATCGAAGATGAAACGATTGATTCGTGATGATCCTATAGAAAAAAACAAAAATAAAACGTGACGTGAAATTTGTTGGCGAATATTGCCATTTTGAAAAAATGAGGCTCTCGAAATTCACGCTTCTTCTAATTTTTTCAACAATTATTCTGATATGTTTATGTGTTTTTCAACATCAATCAAATTCCCATTATATCTGCTCCCGAAAAGTTCCTCAACTTCAAAATAAAAATGTTTCATCAAAATTAAACATCGGAATTGTGATTGTTTTGAATCGAAATTCGACGAGAGAAGATTATAGAATTGCATTGGATACAGTTGAATGTTATGCAAAAATTCAAAATTATCAATTTTTATATTTGAATGAGACTGATTTTGATGATCGTTGTAAACAACCTGATGTAAGTTCTCAACGGATTTTCTAGATATAAATTTCGAAAAATATATTTTCAGTATTTATTCCGTCGTCATTGTATTGTTGCTCAAGTTCTCCCGGAATTTGATGCAATAGTATTCCTTGATGCTGATATTGGAGTTGTGAATCCAAATCGGAGAATTGAAGAATTTCTGGATGACTCGAAAGATATTATATTTTATGATCGATTTTTTAATTGGGAAGTTGCGATGGGTTCATACATTATAAGGAATACAAAATATGCGAAAGATGCACTCATGAATTTTTCTGATTATAATTATAAGCTTCCAAACTGTTTTCATGGGAAGGATAATGGAATTTTGCAGCTTTTCCTTGCCGAATTTCTATTCCCACAATCTCAAATGCAAATTGAAAATTGTCAAAAAATTTATAATAAATCAAAATCATGGGATGATCTTTTCATATTTCAAGCTTGTATTCGAGCGATTATGGGAACTTCAACAGAATTCGGGAAAGTTCGGATTATGCATAAAGGAAAAGCTTGGGTTCGAGATAATTGGTTGAGTAATTCAAAATGGAATCCGGAAACTGATTTTATGTTTCATGCTTGGAAAATGAACGAACTTGAGAAGACACCAAAAATTGTTCGATTGGTTGAGAATCGTTATAAATGGTATAATCCATTAGCGGGAGAAATTAATTTGAAAAAATGTGGACCAAATAATTCAACATGGAACTATGATTCGAGATTATTCGAGGATTCTCATAAAATTTTGGGAAAATTAGAACAAATTGAGAAAAGAATTCATTTTGATTTTGTTAAATCAATTTCAAGAATGACGGAAATTCTTAATCGAAAATAAATTTTTTTTGCTACTTAATTTTTAACATTATTCTTCTCTATTCATTTTTCTTTTTACTTATAGTTTTTTTGTCATTTTATGCTATTCTTTTTGCCCTTTTCATTGTTAATTGAAATAGAATTTATGGTTTTTTCAAATAAATTTGTTTTCATGAACTTATAAGCTTCTAGCACTGGTGGTGGGAGGTTGACCAATTTTTGACCAAAAATGCACCAATTCGTTTTTTGGTCAATCGGTGTTTTTGGTCAATTTTTGGCCAATTTCTGACCAATTTTTTGACCGAATTTTGGTCAATTTTTGACCAAAACAAAAAACAGTAAATTGATCGAAAATTGGTCAAAAAATGGCCGAATTTTGACTAAATTTTTTTTGGTCAAAAATGCACCAATTTTTGGTCAGGCTCCCAGCACCTGTGTAGGGAGGCTTGATACACCGTGCCCGGAGGAAAATATAAAATCGAATTATTATTAATTTTCTGTGAATGTATTGTCAGTCCGAAAAAATTTCAATATTTTTTTCTTTCAATAGCAAATCACTATAATTTTTAAACGATGTTCGAACCGATGAAAATTTATCACTATTTAAAAAAAGAACAATTAGAAGAACTTGATTTAACCCTCACAATTGCAACTTGAATAAATATTCTTGTTTATGAATTTCAAAATTCCCCAAAATATGGGAATGTTTTTTGGCAGAATCACATTTCTCACATTTTATCCAAAAACCCAAAGGTCAAACAATTTGACAAAAATGGATTTCCTAAACCATTCATAGTACAACAAGCTATCGAATAATATAAAACACTTAATTTAAATTTACCTTTTAAAACATTATCTCATTTCCTAATCACTTTAAAGTATTGAAAATCAATTTTTATGTAATCATTTTAGAACCCGCCCATAAACACTCACCATCCTTCATACTTCGAAGTTCGAACATTATCCCAAACACCTGTAATTAATTTAACCAAGTATTTCAATCCACATATTCACAGGAAATATTATTTTCAAATAACAAACTAACGACAATTTTATCATCACTTTATTCAAACATAATAAACTCATAACAACATAATAAATCCCACTTAAACAAATTTAAATCTCGCTGACTGCAAATTGTCAGCAAGCTTCCATTTCTCTTCGCCATGAATTTATGCATTATAATGTTTTTCATAACTACGAACTTACTATTCTCGCACAAATGCAATTTTTGAATTCATTTTTCAAGAAATCAATGAAATTCGACTCACATTTCAAAAATGCATTTGACAAAACCCTTAATTCCATAATTTGAGTCGATGGCAACATCCCAACAGTCTGAAAATGCAAAAATTAGTTACTCTTATTAATAAAACTAGCGAAAAATAGAAGAAAAAGAACGAAACACTATTAATCATCATTTTTAAGGTTTTCTACTTCAAATGTCAACCAAAACAACAAAAGGTCTTCTACAAATGGAGAATAACAGAAGTACTTTCACTTGAACAGTGATATTCCAAGGAAAAACTAACGAAAGCTCTGAAAAACTCTGAAAAACACGGAAAAAAAAAGACAAATTTGAAGTTTTTTTTCGAACATACATTTGTGTGCAATTGTGCGTCATGGTGTTTGCAACTGATGTGTGGGGAAAATAATTTTGAATTCATTTTTTCCTTTTTTTTTTCTCGTTTTCAAGTCATCCGGGTCGAAATCATGCTGGACTGGTTCATTTTTCATTGTGAAAATGAAAAATTCACTTAGAATACTATTTGTAGAAGAAATTCGAACAAAAAATAAGTTGTGCTCATTTGAAAGAGCATGTTCTAATTAGTACAATCCTCGAAGGATTTTTCCTGGAAGCTTCTCAAACATTGGTTAAAAAATTACAAAGTTCGAAAAAACAGTGAAACACCGTGTAAAATGGCTTGAGAAAATGCAAAAATGCAAATATGCAAGTAGTTTGGCGATGTGTTTCTCTGTCATCACCGATTTTCATAAAAAATCCTTCGAGGGATCTACTAATTAGAACATTCTCTTTCAAATGAGCACAACTTATTTTTTGCTCGGACTCCACCTTTAAACATGTTTTGGTTGAAATAATCCTTGGTGTGATCCTTGAAATATTTGTATTGGAACATGATCCTTGGAACATGAGAAAATTTTTTAGTGTGAAAAAAAGTGGGCGGAGCTTATTTTTCAGTTTATAGCTGAAAACACTTAAAAATGAAAAAATTCAAGACTTACCAAAAACTTTGTGCTATTTTTCCAGATGACTTTTAGTATATTTTTTGATGTTTTTAATGATAATAAAACACTAAAAATTCCCAGATAAATGACGGTTTACAGATTTACGGCGACTAAAAATTTTACCCAATTTTGTTAAAAAAAAAACAAAAAATTTACAGCTAGTTTCCATTGAAAAAAATAATTTTTTCTCATCTGAATTTTCTGCTGCAACAATTCATTAGAAACTGAAACATTTTATTTTACGTTTTGAAGAAAGAGAAATAAATAAAATATGCGTATTTAAACAAAATCCGTACTAACAAATCCATGATCACTGAAATAATTAATATGATCTTGGAATTTATTCAACAATAAAATATTCAAAACCGATTGATCGTATCGAAAACAATTAGCTTGAACGTTGTATTTACCTCCACTGAAGTCACATGTGAGTTTTGCACCATCCGGGGCCATACATTTTGAATCCAATGCACAAAGAGTCCACCATTTGAGCATTTCTAGAGTTTGACGAGTTCTTGCGAAGTACATGAAACCAGTTCCAAGTTGAGCTCCACTTTTTTCACTTTTAAGAAGAGGTATCGAAGAAGTTGGGAAGTATTCAAGAAGAGTTGTATGAAGGACTGCGAAATTACTATGATAAGTTGGAATTGAAAGTAAAATATCCGATGTGACATTGTTTTCGGCTCTTTCTTCATAAATCGTATTTGTCAAAACTCCAGATTTTAGAAAAACATGAGCATCGATCCACCAAACATTTGGATATTCTTGTAGAACCTCATCAATGATCAATGATTTCCATCGATATTCTTTAATATTTGCCACAAAGCTCGGATAATTTGAAAAGTTGAATTGACGAATTTCGATATTATCAAACTCTTCCAAAAGTTTCTTACTATTCGATTGATCCAAGCCAATTTTGTAGAGAATATATTTTTGATTTGGCAAGTGTTTGCGAATTGATTGAATCTAAATTTCAACGAATTTATAAAAAACTTGGAAATTAAAATGTTGAAAACTTACCGAATTTCTGGTGTATCGATAATGATCGTCAGAAGTTGCTGATACAAATATAACATTTTTCGGGTCTCTTGAGAGTTTTGATGTGTCTACAAAGTTTTGAGAGGTGTTCAGAATTCCTAAATTTTTCAACACTTGCAAACTTGTGCAATTGAATTTTCGGCCAACTGATAAATAATTTTGTGGATCGGAATAGCAGAAATTGTAACCCTCACAATTGCAACTTGAATGATAATTCTTGTTTATAAATTTCAAAATTCCCAAAAATATAGGAATGTTTTTTGGCAGAATCACATTTCCCAATTGACGAACATCAAAATTCCTGAAAAAAATTTCCAAATTTTTTTTCCAAAAATCCAAAAACTTACTTGGGTATAACTGTTCTTTGTTCAGTTTTCAAATACAAAAAATCTTTTTCCGTCGAATTTTCGAAATATACAAATTTGAATCTTGGATCTTGAAGGAAACCTCGATTTTGCACAAATTTCTCATCAACACCAACCTAAAAACAGCAATGTTTCACCTTTTCCTGATTTTCGCACCACTCACCTCAATTTTCCGTATTTGTTCACAACTTCCATTTTCAATCTTCTCCAAAAACTCCTTATCCAAAATCAATACAGGAAAATCCAAGTTATTTTGAAGATTCTCAATTTTTAAGCACTTCTCATTATCGTTTTGTGATTCGTTTCCACTCATATCAATCGACCTCGGATTTTTCATCAAAACAACTGTGGGCGCTTTCGAAACTTGCGTAGTTTTGTGGATAAAAAATGAAAGAAAATAGAAGATTAGGAGTACTAGAAACAACCGAATGTCTTGACGCATTTTCATCTGCAAATAAACTATTTACTACCGGGGGGATTCAAATTGAATGAAAATATTTCTCGGCAAAAAATTCACTTTTAAGACGGAGTATAGTAAAACCAAAAATATGCTGCCTTTTTGAAAAAAATAAAAAATAATAATGACGAGAAAAAATGATAATGAGGAAAATCAATCGTGGCATTTTTTTCACGTCTTCACGTGATTTATTAAAATAAGTTTGTTTGAATGTTTTTATGATACGTGTTCTTAATTATGGGAGAAAAATACATCCGGCTTTCTGACCGAAATTTGATATTTTTGTTGAATTCTCAAAATAGTTTCACTAAAAAATATTTTTAGCACTAAAAGGGTAAATCTCACAATAGGCCTCAAATTTTGGATCATTTCGGAAAAATTTGATAGAAAAAACGAGAACAAACCCCAATCGTTAAAGTTAGAATTCGTGCTAACATTGAGTTCGAAAACAACCAAAACTGTAGTTCTCACTGATACTGAGCGGGAAAAAATAATTTTTCAAAACATTGAGAAGGTGTCGGAAAAAACACAAGGCTCAGAGAAATGGGCTAGCGAACCAGCGAATGCATGACATAAACTATTTTGCTAAAACTTTTGTCCGGCGGTTATCTGAGAGTTCGCCGGCACGTCGTTTCCTCCGTCGGCTCTCCAGCTCATTTCTCTAACAAGTGTGTAAGGGGTTATGCTTGTCATTCTATGGTTGTCAAAAAACAAAAAAAATTAGAAAAAAAATCCATTGGTATTGTTGAGTCGGTTGGGGACGAATCACTGCCAAAAACATACTGTAGCTACTTTCGCTTTTCAGCCAAATCAATAAAGTTAGGCGTGACTGATTGGCGACGGCAATTCGTGTCGCTTGCAATGGAATAGAGAGTGGTGGTGGAGTTGTGGAAACGCAGAGGAATCCGCGTGCGTTTTAGTTCCTCTTTTTTTTAGTTTTACGAATTTTACTTCCTCTTTCGGAATACTGTAACGAATTAATTGAAAAATAATCAAATCAAATTATTTTCGAAAATTGAAAAAAAAAATGGATTTTCATGGAAATAAACATCTTGAAGAAGATGTAGATATTCATACAAGCAGAACAAAAATTAAAAAAGAAAACAATCTGGTTTACAACTTCTCATTTTAACAAAATCAGTTACTGACTTTTGTCGACTTCTGGACAAAAAAATCTGGAAAATCGATATGATTCGATAAAAATGAAGAGAATCTATAAAAATACAGACGGAGGGTCAGAGAAATATATAATTTGTTTGTTTTCAATATTTTTGAATCAGGTCTTTTTTTGCAAGGTGTTTGAATTGAACCAGAGTGGTCCCATTTTCATGCAAAATCGGACTTTGGCTCACTTTTTGTGTGTTTAACAAGTCTAATTGTAAAAATGAAAATAATCAAAAAATTTTAAAATATACATACCTTAATCCCAATTTTTTCCATATTCCGAACAATTTCCATTCTTCGATTAGGAGTTGCACAATTCGAAACCAACCATACAATTTCAGTCGTCCTATTTTTCATATTCCAAATATTTTCGAATAATTCAGAATTGTCCTCAATTTTTTTGTTTCCTACGAATATTTCCATAAGGCATGTGAATATCAGCTTTTCTATCATAAGACATTGTTAGATTCATGAAGTCCGGGAAATTTTGTTCGTTATTCGGCGACTCCAATGTCCAAATAACGTATGGAATGTTAGGGTTTCGATTTTGAAACATCCATCGAGATCTCTTTCGATCATAATCGCGGGCATGAAAAATAACAGCATCGGCGTTCACAAAATCTGATTTTTCAGACGAAAATTTACAATAATCTCGAATTTCTTACGAACAATAAACCGTAAAGTTTGCAATTTCGACATTTTTACCAAACAATTTCGTGCCTCCAAAGATTAAGATAGTTTTGTTGTTAAGAATCTTGGTTTCATTGTTTGGAAGTGTCGAAGCTTCAAATCTATCGATTTTTCTGTCTTCAAATTTCCATCGAAATATGGAAACTACACCAATTAACAATACGGCAACCACCAAAATCCATATTTGTTTTTTAAATTCTGAAAATGCGTTGTTTTTGTTTGTTTTAAAAATGTCAAATTCACTCACTTTTCATTTTCCATGAAAAAATGAAATACATATTTCGAAATGAGTGCCACATATGGTTTCACGTTCCACGTTCCACGTTCCACGTGAATAATGAATAAAAATTATTTCAATTTTTGAAAAATTGCTTCTTGACAAATAATGTAATCATACCACGTTCGGAACCTGAAATTGCAGGTCGAAATTTTTTCCACAAGCCAAAATTCAGAGCGGTAATTTTCAAAAACTGTCCATTTCCCCTCATTTTTGGACGAAATCAGGGAAAAATATTTCTGTATCAGATTCCTGAACGAGGTATGAATGTAATCGAATCACAAATGAAATTACATAATATGCAACGTCCACAAAAACTCATTTCAAAACATTTCCCGCAAATTATTCCAACAAAAATGACTGCAAGGTAAATTTTTCGGGTGCCAACCTGAAATCGGGGCTAACTTTAGGTTAATCTTTGAAAATATACCTTCAACTTTTGAACATTGTTCAAATTTGCATAATTAAAAAATTAAGAAACTGTGATTTTAGGATTCTTAAAAGTGATTCGAAAAACTTCATATTGTTATTGCTGGTTTCCTTGTTATTCCTTCTCAATTTTATGTTCCAATCAAAGTCTGATGATTTTCGAAACACTTTGAAATCGAACTGATTTCATGTTTCATGCTTGGAAAATGAACGAACTTGAGAAAACACCAAAAATTGTTCGATTGGTTGAGAATCGTTATAAATGGTATAATCCATTAGCGGGAGAAATTAATTTGAAAAAATGTGGACCAAATAACTCAACATGGAACTATGATTCGAGATTATTCGAGGATTCTCATAAAATTTTGGGAAAATTAGAACAAATTGAGAAAAGAATTCATTTTGATTTTTTTGGGGCCAAAAATATTTCTTTAAATTTTATAAAAATACTCTTTCAATTTCAAATGTATGGAATTTTTTTTGAAAAGAAAATCTTTACAACAATTCAAATTTTCTCTGTCTCTCTCTCTCTCTCTCTCTCTCTGTTAAAAAATATAGATTCAAATTCTAAAAGATCGTGCACATATTTCCCTAATGTGTTTTATTTCTTGTTCAATAAATAAAAAATAAAACTAAACAAAAAGTATTTTGGAATAAAAAACGTGACGTGATCCACATCACTGTTCCACTTCATTATTTGATTTCTTTTTCGAACTATTCCACAAAACATGGTTTCGAAACGAGCTGATCTGCAATCAATTCGTGGAATTGCTATTGGTGCGGTGCTAGCTTTTCATTTTTATCCAAATTATTTTCCAAATGGTTTTCTTGGAGTTGATCAGTAAGTTTTTCAATGTTTTCCACCAAAAAACGCAAAGTTTGCAGATTTTTTGTGTTGTCTGGTTATTTAATGTGCATGATATTGAAAAAATCGAAAAATTTGAACATGTTTCAAATAATCTGCAATTTCTATATTCGAAGATTTCGAAGAATATTGCCATTATATTATTTGATAATATTTATTTCATTCATTGCCTTATATTCGTTATTTTCTGTAACTTCAGTTGAAATCAATAAAAAATCAGCGAAAAATGCGATGTTGTTTATTTCAAATCAAGTCAAAAGTGTAGAAGATGATTATTTCGAAAAAGTCACATCATCAATGGATATTTTCACACATACTTGGTCGTTATCTGTTGAAATTCAATTTTATTTGCTGGCACCTTTTATTTTCCTGATGTCCAGGTCGAAAATCTCAATTTTTACCGGGTGTTCCATCATAAGTTTCATTTATTTTCAATATTTTTTGCCTGCAAATATTGCATTTTTGAATGTTATTTCAAGAATTTGGCAATTTATGGTTGGAATGATTGTTTATATTATTTGGCAAAAAAAGAAGAAAAATGAACATTATCAAATATTGGAGTCTGTGGAACAACAAAAGAGCAAGAAAAATTATGAGACTGAAACGTGGATTTTGACAATTTCAGCGATTTTTGCTGTATTTTTTCCAATTTCAATTGATGCTATTTTTATGAGGTATGCATTTTTAAAAGATTTGGAGCCATAATAGTTTTTGAAATTAATATACAAAAAAAAATTTGCAGACCAATTGTGACTATTTTAACGGGATTACTTATTTTATTATCAAATGGAAACAATATAATATTATCAAATAAAATTCTAAATTATATTGGAGATATTTCATATTCCTTATATTTAATTCATTGGCCAATTTATTCGTTTTGGAAAACAACTCAACAACATAATCAGTTATTATTATTTTTTTTGTTAATTGTATCAATTGGATTCGCAATTTTAATTCATCAGCTTTTCGAAAAATGGTATATTCAGTTATCAAATATCAAAGTGTTCATTTTAATATTCATTATTTTTGCGGCAAATATTGCAATTCAGAATTACAATCAATATCCAGAATCGGAAAGTATTCAATTGTATACTGGAAAAACAAATGTTTCATTGAATGAAGTTGATCAATATCCAGAATCGGAAAATGTTCAATTTTATACTGGAAAAACAAATGTTTCATTGGATGAAGTCGAAAACCAAAATCGAAATTGGGATATAAGAGATATTGCTGATTTGAGTTATCCAACTTGTCATAGAATATCTAATTGGTGTAATCATACTGGATTAAATTCAACTAATCAATACTCAATTATAATGATGGGAAATAGTTGGTCATTAAATCAAGGTGGAATATTGTATGAGGAATGTAAACATAAATTCAATTTTTTTATGCAAGGAGATCATAGTTGTTCGTTTATTTTGTTAATTTTTAATTAAGGGAATAATGAGATGCTCAGATTAAGAAGAGTATTATTTGAAAATGTTCTAGAAATTCTTCAGAAGATATTTTTGGGATATTGCTCAGGTTGAACAAAAAAGTAATTTTTTGCAGCTTGTGAACCATTATATCCAACAAAAGAATATTATTGCTCACAAGAAACAATCGAAGATTTTCAAAAACATGCGGAAGATTTCAAACCTGATTATTTATTTCATGTAACACGACATATCTCATATGGTGAGAATTATAATGGAAGTTTGGAAAATGATGAGGTTTATGCGAAAATGAAACTGGAATTGGAGCGATTGCTCAAAAATGTTAAGAAGAAGATTTATTTTTTAAATGCAATTCCATCACCGCGCACAGATGAAATTCCAAAAATCGTGGGATATTTGAGAAATAATGTTTCGTTTGTCGAGATTGATGTAAGTATTTTTCACTTTTTTTTTAAATTCATACAAATCTTATTTTATTTTTTTTAGAATAAACTTCTTAATATGACAAACTACGAAGGAGCGCGCAAAAGATATGCACAATTGATAAAAGATTGTGGGGAGAAATGTGAATTAATTGATTATCATAACAGTTTATATCGCAATGACACGAATACATATCGATTTTTTGATAATAATGGATATGATTATTTTACAACTGGTTTGCATTTGACAAAACTCGGAAAAGAACTTATTAGACCTGTTTGGAAAAAAGTGTGCGATAGTCTTTAATTATTTTAATAATTTATTGGGAATAATAAAATTTTGTATTTATTTCAAAACTGTTTTGAGCGATCCTTCGAAAATTCGAAAAAAAAAATTTGGCCTCCCTTTAGCTTTTGTTGAGATTCTCTCAACTTGAGAAGAAAAGAGCCAAGACGAGTTCCACACACACTCTACATATAAGTCTACCACGCCTCATCTTTTCACATTTATTACTTTCATTTTTGGGCCCAGATTTTGATGAACTTTTTTCAATTTTTTCATAACTTTCATTAATTTTTCAATTTTTTGGGTCAATTTTTTTTCCCAAGCTATTTTTCCCAAATTTTTTTCCCAAGTTGATTTTTCATTTTCCCAAATTTTATTTTTCCCAAATTTTTTTCCCAAGTTATTTTTTCATTTTCCCAAGTTTTTTTCCCAATTTTTAGTTTTTTCCCAAATTTTCGGATCGCATGAAATTGGTTCGTTTTTTAAGAACATCAGGGTTTTTGATTCTCTGTATAGAAGGGTCCGTCAAAAATAGCTACTAGAAAAATAAGAGTTTTTCTTGTATAAAATGTGGTGTGTTTTTTTCAATTTTTGGCGAGTCTGTATGTTTCCAGGAGGGTTTACTAAGCCTAAGCCTAGAAAGAATAATAGAAAAATTAAAAAATCTTATTTTTGGCTTCTCAACTTCAGAATTAGGCTTAGGCTTAGTTAAAGGGTTGGTGTTTTCCTGGTGAAAAAATCGTCTGCAAAAAGGCGTCACAGTGTTGTGTTCAAAGTTGTGTGCAAACACACACACACGAAAATTCAAAAACAAGTTGTGCGCTGGAGCGCATTTACATGTTTTATTTCGTAGGTTTTAACTCACTTGTGTTTTTGAGGAAAAACATGGGCTGAATTGATACTAGAATTTTTTCTAAAACTGGAACCTTCCAGGAGCACCTTATTCCTATCTAAACCAAGCAAGATTCCCTGGCGGAGCACCAACCCTTTAAACGCCCAGAAAAGTGAATGTTGGTACATTTTTTAGAGTCGGCCTCTCAAAATATCAGTCTGAATCTGCTGTTTTCGTTCCGACAAACTTGTGAAAAATCACAATTTTCATTCCAAAAACAAAATTCTTTTTTCGATTAATGTTAGCATTTTCGCATTGAGGAATTGCATAATTTCAGGTTATGACCGGGAGAAGCTGATATGTGGGATCAGTACTCAATTGGCTTTGAAAAATAGGAAATACCGGAAAAAAAACTTGAAGAATTGGGGAAAAAACGAAAAATTGGGAAAAAAACTTGGGAAAAACAAAAACTTACTTGTGAAAAAAATTTGGGAAAAATAAAACTTGGGAAAATGAAAAATCAACTTGGGAAAAAAATTTGGGAAAAATAGCTTGGGAAAAAAAATTGACCATTTTTTGCGATTTTTTCAATTTTTCCGAAATCCCTCCCCAAAAAACTCACCAATCGCTTCTATTTCTCGAATCACACAAACATCATTGAAAATACCAATCCGAAATCTTCCAAGTTTTCCAAATCATTTTGACCCTGAAAACACAAAAATTTCAATCGAAAGAGTGTTTCTCTAGAAAAAACTCACATTTTTTCGATAATCCTCGGATTTTCCGTTGGAAGCGATAGTTCCAGCCTTGTAGAACATCTAAAAATTCAATTTTTGACTGAAATCCACTGATTTTCCCCGGAAACCTGAAAACCCAGCGAAAAAAAACGAAAATATTCTCGTGTTGCGCTAAACAACGGGCAAGCCGGAGTGTCGTTGTAAATGTCAATAAATAAATTCATTTTCTATTTTTGTGCCAAGCACTGTATTTTTTTTTTGCAATTCGATGGAGACGCAGACTTTAACGTGTGCAGACAAATCTCTCGCCGAAAAAGGGAGAGAAAAAGTGTGAAGCTTTTCCACGGCTCCTATGTTTTCGAATCAACAACGTTTAATAAATCGACCGAACTTGTAATTTTTTCAAAGTAATGATCCGAAGATTTGATTTGATACCAATAATATTGTTCTATTTCCTGATTCCAGTTTCCCGTATTTGTTGGTTCGAATTAGAAAAAAAGAAATGTTATTCATGTATGAGCATGAAAATACCATAAATAATTTCTACAACAAATAGAATGCTCATGTTTTCCTAATTCGATAAACGAGAAATCAGTGAAATGATTATTTTGATTTTGACGACGTTTTAGATTTGCAGTTATTTTCAAAAGAAAAATTCTTTTTGAAAATACATTTTAAAAAAACGTGACGTGAATGATGTGCCAACATCCACAAAATCTCATTTCAAAACATTTCCCGCAAATTATTCCAACAAAATGGTTGCAAGGTAATTTTTTTTTGAAAGTATACCTTCAAGTTTTGAACATTGTTCAAATTTGCAAAATTAAAAAAGTAAGAAACTGTGATTTTAGGATTCGTAAAAGTGATTCGAAAAACTTTATATTGTTATTGCTGGTTTCCTTGTTATTCCTTCTCAATTTTATGTTCCAATCAAAGTCTGATGATTTTCGAAACACTTTAAAATCGAAAAATCTAACATCTGCAAAAGGTTGGATAAGTTATGAAGAGGCAAATGAGAATGTTTTCAAACCATTTGGGTATGAAATAACTGAAGAGTCTTATCCCATTCCAAAACTTCGGAAAATTGAGAATCAAAGTTGTGCAACTGTGAATGAGGAATGGTTGACAATTGCAATGCGAGATCAAAATATGACTGAGCCACCGAAAAACATCCCAAATTCGCAAGAAGATTTGTATTCTCTGAATGGTTACATGCATATGCAATTTGTAAGTTGGCCTTTTTCCGAATATTTAAAAAAATGTTTATTTTCAGCGCTATATGAATGATCGAAAAGTTGGTACGAATCATCCAGTTCATTGGAATGATATCAGTTATCGTATGAAATCACCGCCCATGGATAATTATGCAGAAGATGCAAAATCTATAAATAACGCTATGAAAGCTATTGATGTTAAAAACCAAAGTGGATTGGTGGTTGGAAGTTTGTCACCATGGGTTGAAGTTTATGCTTTGAAAAATGGTGCTTCTCATTTGCTAACCGTTGAATACACCACAATCATCGTTGAAGAAAAATGGAAACATCAAGTTGAAACAATTCTTCCAATTGATTTCGTCAAGCAATTCGAGAAATTTGCCAATTCTTTCGATTTTGTTGCCACATTTTCATCAATCGAACATTCTGGCTTGGGAAGATTTGGCGATCCAATGGATCCAATCGGCGATTTTAGAGAGATGCAAAAAATCAGATGTGCTCTCAAAAAAGGCGGAATTCTTTTCTTGGGTATCCCTATTGGTGTTGATGGCATTATGTTCAATTTACATCGAATTTATGGACAATTGAGATTGGCTATGATGTTTAGTGGTTTTGATTGGATTGCAACATATTCCGGAACATCTGAAAATCCTATTGATTTGACTGAAACTGTTACGAAACTCAAACCAATGGAATATGTTCAATACACTTTAGTTCTCAAAAAGTTGTGATTAATTATTAGAGCTTTAATTTATGTTTTTCTTTAAATTTTCTGTTCGCTAAATAAAAATTCAAACTTTTCTCAAAGCTTTAATTAATTTCTAAAAAAATTAGCATTTCAATCATAAAACTGTTTATAGTTTGTTTTTCTAAAACCCTTTATTTCTAAACATAGCCAAAAAATTTAGTACATTAAACAAAGAAATATTCTACCAAAGTTTTGAAATACAAATAGAATCATTCAAAAAAAATCTAAAGGTACACGATAACTCAAAAGAACCACATTATATTCATCCATACACAATTCATTGATATAACTATACTCACAACATTGTGGACACAATGGATTTGGTTCGAAATTGAAAAGGCGGAATCCTAAATTGGCAATTTGACTCATCAATTTCATTTGTTGTGTAGGAGTGTAATGAATCTCCAAAAATATTTGACAAACAAAATTATTTTTTAAAAATGGAATAAGTGCATAATGTTCAGCGCCTTCGATATCGATTTTCAAAAAATCAGCCTGTTTTTTAGAAGATTCGTCGAGAAGTTTAGCAATCGGATAGTTTTTACCGATTTCTCCAACATACGCTTTTCCACCAATATTTTTGTAGCTCTTCAATGTCATATCATTTTGTTGGGAAACATCGATTCCAAATAATTTGCATTTTAATTTGGTTCGATTTTGGAAATCTTCTTCGAAAGTTATCTGATTGTTGAGACCTAGAGATAATAAGCTGTAAATTTTAGGTATTTGGAACCTTGCTATTTTTGACCTTTCAAAAACTCACATACATCCTTTTCGCGACAATTCAGGGTTACATACAAATTTTCCGCCGTCTCCACTTGAGCCAACTCTTTCAATATTTGGGCAAAACGCTTCGATTGTAATTTTTTCATAGAATAATTTATTATCCATTTGTTTTGAGGCATTCAACAAACTCTGCCGCGCATTTTTCGCATCTTCCAAAAACGATTTTCTTTTCTCGAAGTTGGTTTGATAAACATCGGAAAGATCTTCGGAGTTGGTTTGATAAACATCGGAGAGATTTATAGGATTCTGATTTGACCATGGAATACGAATATTTTCGGTTTTTTTGAAAAATGCTAAATATATGAAAAATACGACGAGAATAGTAGCGCAAATATTTAGACTCTTCATTTTTCTGAAACTACATTTTTTTTAGATTTACAAATTTAAAAAAAAAGTCCGTATCCATGGCAAAATTAGGAACAATTCCTGATTTTTTTTTCAAAAATTCTAATGGAAAAAAAAAGATTTTTGACACATTGAATAAGGTGACGCTTCAAATGAATATGTTTTGCATATGTAATTTCATTTGTGATTCGATTATATTATTTGTCAAGATGCAATATTTCAAAGTTTTTGAATAATTGGCTCCGGGAATGGCGAAATTGTCCTGGCCAATTATCTCGAACCCAACCTGTTCCTTTATGCATAATCCGAACTTTCCCGAATTCTGTTGAAGTTCCCATTATTGCTCGAATACAATATAATAAAATCATAACACCTTAAACAAATTTAAAGAAAAACAATTTCAAAAAACAAAATAAAAATAAAACTACAACACTCCGCTTGCCTGTTGTTTATACAACCTATTTCTTTTCCACCTCCTCTCCTCACACACTCTATATAAGTCTATCACGTATCATCTTTTTACTTTTATTACTTTCATTTTTGGGCCTAAATTTTGATGAGTTAGCTTGACTTTTTTCAATTTTTAAAGATTTTTTCATAACTTTCATATATTTTTCAAATTTTACAGAACTTTTTTAGCGATTTTTTCAATTTTTCCGAAATCCCTCCCCAAAAAACTCACCAATCGCTTCTATTTCTCGAATCACACAAAAAACATCATTGAAAATACCAATCCGAAATCTTCCAAGTTTTCCAAATCATTTTGACCCTGAAAACACAAAAATTTCAATCGAAACAGTGTTTCTCTAGAAAAAACTCACTTTTCTCCGATAATCCTCGAATTTTCCGTTGGAATCGATAATTCCAGCCTTGTAGAACATCTAAAAATTCAATTCTTGACTGAATTCCACTGATTTTCCCCGGAAACCTGAAAACCCAGCGAAAAAAAAAAGAAAAATGAAAAATATTCTCGTGTTGCGCTAAACAAAGGGCAAGCCGGAGTGTCGTTGTAAAAGTCAATAAATAAATTTATTTTCTTTTTTTTTGTGCCAACGTTTAGAATCTAAACTTTAGATAGAGAACATCTCAGGGTTCCCAATTGTTATCATTTTTAGGTGATAATTTCTCTTGATTTTTTGAAAAAAACGAAGCGGTGTTTGCACACATCAAAACACTTTTTTCAGTGATTTGGGTACTTTTAACTGTCCTATTTTAGTTCTACTTCTTCCCACTTAATCCACTCTCTCTTTCTTTTATATATGTCGAATTATGACCCTAATTGATTGAAAATTTCGAAGCATTTTCGAGAAATGGAGAAAAGTTGTGATTCGAAATTGGTTTAATCACTTTCGAAAATGACGGAAATAATTAATCGATAATAAAATTTAATTTTTTTATAATATCTAAAACACAATATTAGTTTCACATAAAATATATAAAATACCACCATGGTCTTACATAACGAACATCTTTCATTTCATCAGATTTCCATTTTCCAACATTTTTCGCATTATTTCCAGACGATTTCCATCTGTATTCTGAACTATGATGATCTTTGAACCAATTTTCACCATATTCCAACTGCAAAATGTATTTTAAAACTTTTTTTCGCAAAAATTTTGGTTCGAACCTTAACATGATATTCTGGTGTACAAGTAACCCAAAAAATATGTCCTAATAGTTCGGCAGCACACCAAGGATCATAATTTGGATAATAAAATCGGATTTTTTCACCTTTCGGACTCATTCCACCAATCCAATTCATATTTGTACCATTTTCAAAATCAGAATACATGAAGAAAATATCCGTTTTTACTTGATATCCTGATGTTGGATATACAGAGAATTCAAGCGAATCATTTATTCGACCATACTTTGTTGCTAATATCAATTTTGAATCTCTTGAATTGAAATAATCAATAATTTTTGGATTTAAATCTTCGATAAAAATAGATATATCCATGTCAGTTGTGTGTGGAATTATATTGCATTCACGATACCAACCCAAAAAAGTTCCGCCATTTAAAAACGAAAACATTCCAAATTCTAATAATAGATCTCGAAGTTCAGCCAAAATATCAACCGATTTTTGAGCATCCAAATATCTTTCTTGATCTTCTCTTGAAATTTGCATATTTCTACACTCCAAAAATTTGGATCTTCTCAAAAATCCCAAAAACATTGGAATATCTTTTGGCACCATCAAGTTTCCAAAATGATAAACTTCGAAATTCCTAAAAATTAAAAATATTTCGGAAACTTCCACGTGGCAACTTACTTTGGTATAATTTTACTTGGCTCAGTTTTCAGAGTTAAAAAATCTTTGGTGGTCGAATTTTCGAAAAATATTATTTTGAATCTTGAATCTTGAAGAATTTTTCGATTTTTTGAATATTTCAATTCAACGGCAATCTGAAAAAATCAATTTCATATTTATTTTTTTCTAATAAGTTACCTCAATTTTCCGAACTTTCTCGCATTTCTCATTCTGAAGTTTTTGCAAATACTTTCGATCCAAAATCAATATCGGGATATCCACATTTTTTTGAAAGTGTTTCAGACATTTTTCGTATTTTTCGCGATTTACGTTGGAATATCTATGAGCAAAAATCTGAGATTTCTTGGGAATTTGCATTGATTTATAGATGAGAATTGAAAGAAAACAACAAACGCATAATAATAACAAGCGACGTATTTTTCTCTGAAAATCTTTTTTTTTTTTTGAAATTATGTACTTATTATCGAAAATCTCATCGGTACCACGCGCTCCACCGAAATAAACACGCAACGCAGACCGCGTCGCGCCACAACACACACAAAAAAGGGAGGGAATTTGAATCGTTCCCTTATTTGTGTGTGTGTTGTGGCGCGACGCGGTCTGCGTTGCGTGTTTATTTCGGTGGAGCGCGTGGTACCGATGAGATTTTCGATAATATAAACATACCATGTTACCGAGAAGATTCTGGTTGTGTTTTCTTCGAAAAAATGTGAAACGAAAACTCTAAATGAGCAAAATACACGTGGCATTTGTTTTCATGTTTTCACGTATTTGAAAACTATTTTTTGCATCTTTTTTTATTTTTTGAATTTTTTTTAATGTTGAAAACTTTTTTCGCCGCGTGGATTTCAATTTTCAGAAATTTCGAAGTTGGAAACTTGATGTTTTCTAGGTTGAAAAAAAAATAATTTAAAAAACTATTTTTTTTCCTATTTTTTCACAATTTTCCACACAAAAATTTAAAATATCTCGCGGCGAAAAGTTTCAATTAAAAAAAATCAAAAAATAGGAAAATATAGTTTTTTTGACATTTTCTAAATCGAAATTGTTTCGACATGATTCATCCCACAACGTCACATTTTCAATTCTCTCCATTATTTCGATTTTCAAATCAAAAAAATTCATTTCGTACCAAATTGAGATCAAATTTACAGAAAGTTCCCGCAAGCTGCGAACTCGTCAAAACCCGTCAAATGTCGGGTGCTCGAAAATCAAATGGATGGATGTACAATACAATTACACGGTGAATATTTTTGACGTCACATATGTGACGTGTCGATTGGCTTGCGTCGATGATTGTGCCGCACGTAACGCATCTTCGTAGGACGGAAGATGATTGTCTTTGTCGGCTTGAACGCAATGATGATATGCTGGTGGATTCTGCAAGATTTATTGATTTTTGGGTGGAAAATTCTGAAAATTGGTTAGTTTTCTGTTAAAAGGTTATGAAAAACATGAATTTCCAGATTTCCGAGATGAAAATTAAAGTTTTAAAGTCTTTTTTGGGGTTGAACAACATGAAAACGTTGAATTTTCATGTTTTTCATCACTTTTGAGTCATAAACCATGAAAATCTGATGTTTTTCAGCTAAAAAGTCGAGTTTCACATCAATTTTGAGCGATTCTCCTAATAAACAAGACCAACCTTCTCCAAATCCTGATCATCCTGCGTATAAATCGGGCAACAGATTTTCTGCCAAGCCGAGAAAAATACACGTGCCTCAATGGCCAAAATCACGGTACAAGCGACGGCGAAGAATGGCAGAAGTGGATAGCGAGCGGATAGTTGACGCCAGACTGCAACACTTCGTGAAACCTGGAAATTTGGAGCTTTTTGAAAGCGTTGCGGTCAAAAAATCACCAACCTGCACGCTGTCGGTCAAATCTTGCTCGGAAGATGTCGAAAGTTCGGCAGGGAATTCGGGATTTGGTGGCGGAAGATTGGCGGATTGAAACGCGTCGATAGAAATACAGCCAACGAAAAGAAGAAACAGCAGCAAGATGCATTTCCAAATCACAGCCGGCAAAATCATCGACGAAATTCGCGCATTTATTCCGAGCATCGCCAACAAAATCAGACTGAAATTGACGATGAAAAGTGCGGCTGGAAGGAGCGAGTCGGGATATACGAGGTATAATGAGACGGCGAAAACGCAATCGGCTGGAATTGTGCATGCTGCGGCGATGAAGGCCTGGAAATGTAAGATTTTTCGTGGGGGGTTTTGAGGAGGGACGAGTGTTTTGTGTGGGTGGCCTAGAAAACCAAAACTAGTCCCTCACAAGATTTCTAATCGTTTTTGCAAAAAAGTTAGCGCAAAAACCCGATTTTCAATGTTTTTAAATAGGTAATGACCTAGAAAACCAAAACTCTCACCTTATTGTCAAGTTTCTCAAAACTATTATGTGTATAATAAATAGTGAACATGTTAAAAATTGGAGAAATACAAATTTCTCGTCGTCAAAAAGAAAAGAAAAAATCAAAAATAGTTGGAAAATGGAGAAATGAAATGATAAAGGGCGTTCCGGGCCGCTGTCTTTTCTTATTTTTCTCAAATTTTTTGGGGGGAAGAGAAGAAAGAAGAAAGAAAGAAAAGTTCCTAATTTGTGACTGGAACCGGTATTTTTCATCTTAAAAATGGCGGGAAATGAAAAATTGCGCTGTTTTTCGTTGTTTTTCACTCACTTTTCGATTCGATGGCCGTAACTGAAGACATTGTGAGGGAAGACTGCCAAACATCTGCAAATTTGTGATTTTCAAGAGCAACAAGGCAACCAATGTGTGAAATGTTATTTTTCCGCCCATTTTATACAGATTTTTGGGGGGAAACGTTTTGGCCACGTGAGGTTTTTGCATAATTTAGAGTTTGGGCCGAAAATGCGGGGATTATAGACATCAGCAAAACTGGAACGGGTTATGGAAATTTGAAAATATCGTGTGTTTTCAGAGGGTGACGTGACAGAGAACAGTTTTTCCTTTTTATTGAAAATTTGGTTTTGTCACGTCGAACTTTAGACCAATTTGAGTTGGCGCTTTTTTTTACAGAAAATTTGCTGACGCTAATTTTGTAGCTCCCTCAAAACGCTAGCGCCTTTTTGGTAGCCCAATATTGTTTTCAACCGTAGATCGTTAAAACCTCGTGACGCATAAAATGTCTAAATTGTCACAAGTTGTTTTGCTGACGTGATTTTTGTAGTAATCTTACATTGATCAGAAGTTCCTGCGCACTTTTGACTGACGTGATTTTTGTTGGTTTGCTGGCGTGTATTTTGTAGGTACTAGTTTTGGCGTGAAGCTTCGGAATTTGCTGACGCATTTCTAGAAGCTCTGGATTATGCTGACGCATTTCTAGAAGCTTGGAAATTTGCTGACGCCTTTCTAGAAGCTCTAACATTTGCTGGCGAATTTCTAGCACCCCAGCTTTGATCTTTTCGAGACCATTGACGTATAAAAAAGAATGCGAATAATTCGAAGCACGTGAAATTCTTGCTAATTTGATTAGAACTTTTACGATATGTTTCCGGTCTTCCACAAAAAAAAGTTACTCACCATTAAACCCTGCGAATAAGTTGTATATTGGTCCATTTTCAATTGGAATTTAGGCTAACTCTGTGATAGTAAATCGATCTGAAATTCAGAAAAATTGATCAAAATTAATAAATAGAAATGAAATCAGAATGACAATCGGTTATCTTTTTGAAAAACAGCGGGCAAAAATAGAAAAAACACAGAATTTTTCATCCAAGGTCGTTCTCGTCCCAAAAAATCAACTTTTTATTCTCTCCGGTTTTTATTTTGAAGATTTTTTTCGTCATGATGCAATTTATAGATTGTCAGGTAGGCATTCTAGAAATGGATGTTTGAACTTCGCATTTTGGACCTTCTAGAAACACGTCAGCATCCCCCTTGACACCAAACTTGTAGCCCAGAGCATTTTTCCCACACACAAAAAACACATCGTGAAGTCCTTGAACCTGTCCAAACACTTTCCCAGAAAAAAATCGTGAGCACTTTGGGATACTGTAGATGTTTTTTTCCGAAATACAGTACTCCTACAGTAATTCAGGAAATAAAAATTTATTTATATATAATTTTTGAGCAAATATTTACAAACAAAAAAATTTTGGGGGGGAAAATTGTTTACCTGCGAAAACTTATGCGTGAAAAATGAAATTTGAAAAAAATAAAAAGCTACAGTATTTTTTGTGGTAAGCGTAGGCAGGGTCTTGACGCGATTGTTCTGGCGCCAAAAAAATATTTCAAAAAAAAAACAAGTCTACAGTAATTAATATCGGTAATTATCGCGGTCGCGAGCCGGATCGTACGAAAATTGTTCGGGATAGTGAGTTGGAGTTGGAAGTGGTGTCGGAAGCTGCAAAAATTTCAGATTTTTCGGCTGAAAATTGACCGGGGACTAGTTTTTGGGAGAGTTCGGTCACGTTGGATTCTAGGCCAGGGAGGCTTGTTTCTACGATTTTTATAGAGTTGTGCAGCTCTTGGAGACTTTGAATAAAATACATTTTTTTGAAATGACCGAGAACAGGGTCAGGGGTTCGATTCCTCCCCGGCCCTACAATTTTTTTTTTAATTTTCAGTTGAAAAACCAGTAAATCTGGTTTTTTTGCTTAAAAAAAATAAGAGAAAAGTTAAGAAATCGCCAAATATTTGCTCATTTTCTCAGAAAAAATGAAGAAAGTGTTGCATCATTTAGTCACTTCCGGGGTTATGTGTAAATATTTGAGTTTGGCGCCAAATATCGATTTTTTGAAAATTTTGGAAATTCAAATTTTGCGCGAAAACATTCCACATGGATTTCTGCTGCCAAATTTTTAAATTCAAAAAGTTTCAGTAGATCAAATTCTCCTACCGAAGTACTGTAGTGATTATTCTCCTCATAAGCCATCGATTGTTCGTACAACTCGCGTTTCTGTTGCTTGTCTTTGGAACGATTGAAAAGCCAAACGACGAGCCAAATTACGAAGGCAACAATGACCAATGCGCAGAAAATGACGATCAAGGCGACTGCCCAGCCATAGCGATTGTGCCTGCAGAAAATGAGCAATTTTAGTGGGCTCTTTGAGCTCCGCGGGGTCGAAAACCCCGGGGGCTAGTTTTGCGGGAAGTTCGGCCATGGGGGATCCTAGGCCATCTTGAAACATTGTTTTACCCTAAACATCGTTTCTACAAAAACGCAGGCCTAGAAATTGAGGCGGACTAGTTTTCCCGGGTGGATTTCTAGTCCCCGACTTCAAACCCACCAATATCCATTTTTACAACAACCATCCGCACAGCATCCAATATCCTTATAACATCTCTCGATTACCGTATTCGCTGTGTTTGCGATACTGTAGATACAGTCGTAAAATGCGGGATCGATGGCTGCAAAAAGAAAATGGGGTAGATCAAAAAAGCTTCTAGAGATGCGTCAGCAACTTTACAAGCTACTAGAAAAGCGTCAGCAAATTTCCGAGCTTCCAGAAAAGCGTCAGCAAATTTACAAGCTACTAGAAAAGCGTCAGCAAATTTTCGAGCTTCTAGAAAAGCGTCAGCAAATTTCCAAGCTTCTAGAAAAGCGTCAGCAACTTTACAAGCTTCTAGAAAAGCGTCAGCAAATTTCCAAGCTTCTAGAAATGTGTCAGCAGACTACCAAGCATACTGTAGATCAAAACTTGGCGCCAAAACTTACTGTTGACTTGTTGCTCAACAAGCCCGCTTCTCACAAAACTCGACGGATTCATCACATTTGTTTGGGTGTCGAATTGACGATTGTTGGTGTTGGAAAAGGTGGATTGGGTTACGGTTTCTGAAACAAAATTTCAGGGGTACTGTAGATTTCGGCGCGAAATCCTGAATTCAAAATTAAAAAAAAAAACAACTCACGATAACCTTCCCAACGAGACGCCGACATAACTTTTTTGGTCTGAAAAAATTACTGTAAGTTACTGTAGAGTACTGTCACAAGCTTGAAAAAAATCGTACAAAGTAAAAAAAATCAGGAAATAATAGAAATGTCAACCTGTGTGTGTGTGTGTGTGTGCACAATGACTGAATGTATGCTCAGGCTCGAAAAATTCCGCGCGCGCAATTTTTTTTTTGCCGCGCCCAAGCTCCGCCTCTCATTTTTTTCGTAGTAGTACTGACTTAGCCTAACTGGTCTCTAATTTTTTTTTTGTTTGTTGACAAATGTTTTACAAGTGGAATTTTGGACGCCAGAAGATTATAGGGTAGATCATGAGCTCCTAGAAACGCGTCAGCGAATTTTCGAGCTTCTAGAAATGCGTCAGCAAATTTCCAAGCTTCTAGAAAAGCGTCAGCAAATTTCTAAACTTCTAGAAATGCGTCAGCAAATTTCCAAGCTTCTAGAAAGTAGATCAAAACATTTTGGCCCAAAAATATTTTTCCATGTTTATTGACACATTTTTAAGAAAGTAATGTTTTACGTGAACACACAAGTGGGAAATTTTGCGCGCGCGGAAAAATCAGTAAAAGAAAAAAGTGGTTTTTTTGTTGCTCTGGAGATCACACTTGAACAAGAAGATTAGTAGAAGGCACGCGTTTTGGCAAATATTGGGAAATTTTTGACGCGACACAGGGTGCGGTTGAGGGTTTTTGAGTTATGAAATCTTGTGGGGAAACAGGGGATTTGCTGACGCTTTTCTAGAAGCTCGAAAATCTGCTGACGCTTTTCTAGAACCTTGGAAATTTGCTGACGCTTTTCTAGAACCCTGGAAATCTGCTGACGCTTTTCTAGAAGCTTGGAAATTTGCTGACGCTTTGCTAGAAGCTCCCTAATTTGCTGGCGCTTTTAAGCAGCGAAAGTTCTCAAATTCCAAAAAATTTCCCATGATTCTATCCATTTTCTTCCAAATCGAATCAAAATTTTGCATAAAAATCAAATTTCGCCGCTTATTGGTTCAATCGAAAATGTTGAAATGTTCACTGCTTCCCGTCATTTTCTTGATGTTCTTCGTCACTTCTACGATTTCTCTCAAACTGTGTCTAACACCAGGAGAGTGTACTCCACCGGAGCGTTGTATTAAAGGAAGTCGTGGCGGAGTCGGATACTGTGGATTGTAATTGGATTTTTTCGGGGTCTAATTTAAGAATAAAGCATTTTTCTAGAAGGTCGGAAGTTGGCTGACGTTTTTCTAGAAGCTCGTAAATTTGCTGACGCATTTTTTGCAGCAAAAAATCCACAAAATCAAAGATTGTTTCCAGAAAAACTTATCAATCCATCAAATAAAATCAAATCATTAATCATTGAAAAAATCGAAAAAAAAACCTTTTCTATAAAATCCAAATTTCCACGCTCATTTTACATTGCTGAAAATGTTGAAATCATTACTTTTCTTCATTTTGCTGGTCTTCTTCATTACTTCTACATTTGCTGCCCTTCAACTCTGCCACAAACCTGGGCAATGTAAACCACCGGAGCATTGTATCAAAAGTTATGGCGCAATCGGATTCTGTGGATTGTAATGGGTTTTTTTAAGGGAAATGAATTGTTTCTGGTGTCAAAAATAGATTTTTGTTGTTTTGGAGGGAATTGGTATATGAATGTTTTACGCCCCCATCTTTTTTATTACGTGCCCCCACGGTCATTTATGGTTTCATGCCCCCACTCATTATGACTTATGCCCCTACCCATCACTGAGCGTAGTGTAGTTCAGCTACCCAGGTATTGTGGATTAGCAAACCGACTACTGTAGATTAGCAACCAGATTACTGTAGAAGAGCGACCCAACTACTGTAGATTAGCAACCCAAGTACTGTAGATTAGCAACCCAAGTACTATAGATCAGCTACCTAGGTACTGTAGAATAGCAACCCAAGTACTGTAGATCAGCTACCTAGGTACTGTAGAATGGGAACCCAAGTACTGTAGATTAGTGACCCAACTGCTGTAGATCAGCCACCCAGGTACTGTAGATCAGCAACCCAACTGCTGTAGATCAGCGACCCAACTACTGTAGATCTGCTACCCAAGTACTGTAGATTAGTGACCCAACTACTGTAGATCAGCGACCCAGGTACTGTAAAATAGCAACCCAAGTACTGTAGATTGGCAACCCAATTACTGTAGATTAGTGAACCAACTACTGTAGATCGGCGACCCAAGTACTGTAGATTGGCAACCCAAGTAATGAAGATTAATTTTTATATTATGGATTTTTTTTAGGTCAATACCAACTAATTTATTTCGAAAAATATCGACACAGATACGTAGCAAACTTTAGATTAATCTACAGTACCTGGGTTGCTAAACTACAGTAGTCGGGGGTCTAATATATAGTAGTCGGGTCACTTATCTACAGTAGTTGGGTTAATTTTTATCAAATTCTATTTTTTTGGCTTCATTTAAAAAAAAATATAAATAGTGACATTTAATAAAATGTTGGCACGTTTCCGTGAAAAATCCAACAAAAATGAATCATTTCAAATTTTATGAAGTCGGAAAAATGGTTGGAGTTTGAGTGATGTGAGTTTCATTGGGAAAACTGAGTCGTCAATAGTTTTGATCATTCACAAATAATACATTATTCGGGTCGATAATCTACAGTACTTGGGTTGCTAATCTACAGTAGTTGGGTCACTAATCTACAGTACCCGGGTCGATCTTCTACAGTAATCTGGTTGCCAATCTACAGTAACTGGGTCGCTGATCTACAGTACTTGGGTTGCTAATCTACAGTAGTTGGTTCCCTAATCTACAGTACTTGGGTAGCCAATCTACAGTAGTTGGGTCCCTAATCTACAGTACTTGGGTTGCTAATCTACAGTACTTGGGTCGATCTTCTACAGTAATCTGGTTGCCAATCTACAGTAGTTGGGTTGCCAATCTACAGTAGTTGGGTCCCTAATCTACAGTACTTGGGTTGCTAATCTACAGTACTTGGGTCGATCTTCTACAGTAATCTGGTTGCCAATCTACAGTAGTTGGGTTGCCAATCTACAGTAGTTGGGTCCCTAATCTACAGTAGTTGGTTCCCTAATCTACATTACTTGGGTTGCCAATCTACAGTACCTAGGTTGCTAATCTACAGTAGTCGGGTTGCCAATCTACAGTACCTAGGTTGCTAATCTACAGTAGTCGGGTTGCTAATCTACAGTAGTCGGGTTGCTAATCTACAGTAGTCGGGTTGCTAATCTACAGTAGTCGGGTTGCTAATCTACAGTAGTCGGGTTGCTAATCTACAGTAGTCGGGTTGCTAATCTACAGTAGTCGGGTTGCTAATCTACAGTAGTCGGGTTACTAATCTACAGTATCTTGGGTAGTTGTTGTGACATCGTCAGAGTGGAAAAAAACCCTGTGGGGGCACAAAACATTCTGCTCCTGTGGGTGCATGAAAAACAAGTGGTGGGGGCTTGAAAAACACTTGTTCCACAGTGGGACGTTTCGTGCACCCGGCACAATACATTTTCACGCGTTTTGCGCCCCCACAATAAAAAAAGTGACCTGTTTTATGCCCCCTAAATTTTAAGCCCCCACTGGTTGTTTCGTGCTCCCACCCTTTTTTGTGCCCCCATCAATAAATGGGTGGGGGCATAGGTGGGTGCGCGAAACAACTGGGTGGGGGTGAAAAACAGGGTGGGGGCGTGAAACGCAGATTTACCCTAATCTTTATTTTCTGGCACATTTCATAGTTCCGAACTCTGAAGAAACAGCTACAAATTTACAGTATTCGCCCGCATCACAATCCGAATTTTGTTGACAATAAGCTCCTGGAGTTGCCGAAGAAATAGTGAGGATGGAGAGGAGAGTGCAGAGAAGCAGACTGATTTTTAGCATTTTTTGAGAGATTTTGTTGTGATGTACCACTTTTATAGCAATTGTAAATCGAATCAGCGATTTTTTCGGGGTTTTTGCAGAAATTTTTAAATTTTTCGCGAGAAATAACAAAACAAATGATAAAACCTTCATTTCTCCACAAAAAAATCACAAATTCTTCAAATTTTCACCGGACTTTTCCATTGTCGACAGATTCCCCACTGCGAATTCTGAACCATGTCACAAAATTCGAACGGCCAAACACACATCGATTGATCTTGGCATTTTTCGCCAATTTTTGCGACGGCCACCAATGAGAAAATAGTGAGGAAATAGAGGAGAGTGTAGAGAAATTTCAGCATTTTTCGAAAAATTTGCGGAATTTTGAAGAATGAAATGAAATTGAAGACATCTGGAGGTTTTTTTCTCAAATCGAATCAATTTTCCTCGAAAAAAATTCGATTGGATTTCCGGAAAAAATGTTGAAAATCGTGCAATCGTTAAAAGAATTTGTAGACAATTTGAATAAAGATTTTTTACGTGAACTTTTGAATTTTTTAAAAATTAATTTATTAAAAATATCTAGTTTCAGCATCAGTTCAGGTTTTTTGACATGTAATAAATGCCAGGTAGGTTTTCTAGGCCGCGGAAAACTAGACCAGACAGTTTTTGATCTTTTTTGTTTATAATATTTCAAATAGTACTATTTTATGTATATAAATGCTCTCATGTGACCCTCTTCTCAACAAAAAGCGACCAAAACTTTTTTTTGATAAGCTTCTTCACAATTTTATCGTTTTCCTACGTTTTTTTCCATATTTCATTCCAAAAAACACATTATTGGCACTGCGCCATATTTTAGTCTCTTCATTTTCCATACTATTTCATCGCCTCGTTTGGCACAGGTCATTTGTTGGCGTCGCCTTCTGTCACATGCACTTTTTTTGCGAGAAAAAAAACATTTTCAAAAAAAATAAATAAAAAAGTTACTACGGTTTTTTGAAAGACGCAAAATTTTTTGTGTGTGGGTCTCGTCGTGATACCCGCGCCTCCCGGTGTTTTGAAAAAATATTTTCATTTCTTCGTTTTTTCGCACACTTAACTTTGTCTTTTTTTACTTTTTTAAAAGTGCAAGTGCATTTCTCTGTTTGCACAAACGAAATCAGACCATAGTTTAGACCATAGGAAAAACCATAACCAAATAAATATACAATTTTTGACTCTGAAACATGTGATTTTCAAAAATCTCACGAGATATTTTAAATCATCTCAATAAAGAAGATATTTATGAAAAGAACAGTTGTCCAGAAGAAATTTGCCATTCATTTCGAAATTTCGTACACGTTTAGCTTTTCCTATCATTTTTTAGCAAAAGGTCAGCGTTTTTATGGTGAAATCGATATTTTTAGGATAATAAATTGAATAAACTTTTTTTTGAGAAAATTATATTGCAAGAAAAAAACGGCGCAAAAACGACCTTCAGAAAAATCGAACGATTTCTCTTCTTTTTCGTCTGTTTCTGTTTGAAATGAGATTTTAGATTTTACATGATTTTTTCGTTTTTGCAGAGAAATATTTAGACAACAATTGTAGTTTATTAGAAGAAAGAAGCCAAGATTCAGGTCAGTTTTACTTGTTTCTGATAAATGAATTTGAGACTTATTTCAACTAAATTCTAATTTAGGCTTGTAAGAATTAAACCCACCCAACAAACTTAACACCAAATCAAATCAAACATGTTTTTCCTGGAAGATGAAGAAGTTCAACAAGCGCCCGTTGTTGCTAGAAATAATCAAAGATTTTGTGAGTTTTTTCATTATTTCTAGAGCTTTTCTAAAAAAAAATGATGCAATATCTGTTTTTGACGGAAAATTTGAAGCTAGAACACGTCTGTAGCTAGGCTTTCCAGCCAAAATTCTGATTTTCAGAGAAAATCCGAGTTTTGGCTGAAAATCATGACTTTTCCAATTTCAAAGCTGAAAATTATGATATTTAGCTTTGAAAATGAGATATTATACCGAAATTCGTCTGTAAATTTGCCTGAACCAGGAATTTTCAGCCAAAATTGAATTTTTAACTGAAAATTCCGGGTTCTCGCACAGGGGAACCTATCGCCAATTTTTTTTAGCTAAAAATCATGGTTTTCTCAATTTCAAAGCTGAAAATTGCTGAAAATCATGATTTTCAGCTCTAAAATCGAGAAATCAACCTGTAAATCTGCCTGAACCTGGAATTTTCAGTCACAATTGATTTTTGCCTGAAAATTCGGGGTTCTCGCGCAGGGAAACCTATCGTCACTTTTTTTGAGCTGAAAATCTTGATTTTCTCGATTTCAAAGCTGAATCTCGCTGAAAATCATGATTTTCAGCTCTAAAATCGAGAAATCAACCTGTAAATCTGCCTGAACCTGGAATTTTCAGTCACAATTGATTTTTGGCTGAAAATTCCGGGTTCTCGCGCAGGGAAACCTATCGTCAATTTTTTTTCTGATTTTCCTATCTTTTCCCACAGAAAACCGTTCAAAAAACCAATTTTGTACAAAAAACTACTATTACTACCAGGCAGCCGCTTTTTTCAAAAAAAAAAATTCGCTATCATCTTTTTTCCCATCGTCTCTCACACTGCATTTTAATCTCGTGACATGTATTTTATGTATAGAAAAATTATGGCACATGATCTTATTCTTCTTCTTTCAAGTTCAAAAAAGTGTCACGTGGCAAAAGTTTTGTGAGAAAATGACCTTTGAAAAAAGATGAAAATAGACAGAAATTGGATTTTCTAGACTAAAAATAATTAGTTTTTGGCAATTTCCTGGACTTTTTCCGCGGTTTCGTACAAAAACACGAGTATTTTTTGAGTGATGTCATTGTTTGGGACGAGATCATCTTGACGGAACTCCTGAAAACCAGTCAGCTGTTGATTTTTTGGGGAAGAAAACTGAACACTTGAGAGAGATAAGGAGATTTAGAAAGTTGGAGACGAAAAGTGCAACGTCGCCTCTGTTGAAATGCTGAAAATTTGATTCAAATTTTTCTAGGATTCTCCAAAATTTCCTCCAGATTTGCCCTCAAGATTTGCCCTCCAGATGCATTTGCCCTCCAGATTTCAAGATATTTTTTTCTTTAAAACAAAAAACGTAAACACGTTCCAACTCAAATATTTGTCCAAAAGTCACTTTTTTCTTCTTCTCCTTATACTTTACTTTTTCGCTGTCTATCTATATTGAACGAAAAAAATGGAGAAGAAGAAAAAGGCAAAAATCACATGACACAAAAATTGTATGGCGAAAAATAAGCACTTTTTTTGGTCAAGTGATGTATGTGCAAAAATGAATTTTTCATGTAAAATTAGCATTTTTTTTTGGATTTATTATGAAACAAGTTCAAAATTTGTGTAGCGCTTGAGTAGTGTTTGCCACGTGGATTATCAGTAGAGCGCACTTTTCTAAAAATTTGTTCTGGAATCTGCCTGAACCTGAAATTTTCAGTCAAAATTGATTTTTGGCTGAAAATTTCGGGTTCTCGCGCAGGGGAACCTATCGTCAATTTTTAAAACTGAAAATCGTAGTTTTCGCTATTCCTAGGCTGAAACGTGCTGGAAATCATGATTTTCAGCTCTGAAATCGAGTTAGGCTAAGTTTCCCTGATCTGAAAATCTGACGATTTTTTTCCGCCCCACTTATTGAATCATCCGATTATGTGTTATTTTTAACACCTTGTCGAAAAAAATTAATCTTCAATTTTTCTGCTCTGCGTTTCTCGAATCTTCACACTATCTCACACACTGGCTCCTCAAAAGTCCCTCATTTTGACGCGAAGAAAGAAAGAAAGACCATACAAACAATCGCACTCTCTGCTTCTCTGCACCCTCTCGCTCTCTCTCTCTCTCTTGGTCGCCGTTTTTTGCCGCGTTTTTTTTTCATGTAAAAGAAAAACAGTCTGGAAATATGTTTCTCTTGAACTTGTAGTTTGGACAACAAAAATTCCGGGACGAAAAATTTTTGAACCACGCTTCTCGCGTCTGCGCCCTCTTCGTCTCTCGCTTGTGGACCCTCGTGACCAGAGTTTTTTTGTTGTGTCGCTTCTTCTTCTCTTGCAGAATAAAAAGGAATTCTGAAGAATTTTTTCGCCCCGTGTATCTTTTGTTGTTTTATCATGTGCCTATTTTTGGTCGATCGCACGAAAAAAATGTTATAAAAAATCGAATATAAACAAAAAATTTTGATCTATCATTTGTTAGGAATTGGCCGTTTTTTTGCACTTTTGGCTTATGGTTTTTGATTTTTTAGCAAGTGAGTTATAGCTCTTTTTCTGGATCTATTTGAAATAAATAGACTATTTCTGACTAGACTAGTTAAATTATGAAGTTCAAAAGTTGCCTGAACCTGGAATTTTCAGTCAAACTCGATTTTTGGCTGAAAATTTCGGGTTCACGCGCAGGGGAACCTATCGTCAATTTTTAGAGCTGAAAATAGTTATTGATGGCTCTGAAATTGAGATCCTAACCTAAAATGAATTTAAAATTCCGCCTGAACCAGAAATTTTCAGTCAAACTTGATTTTTGGCTGAAAATTTCGGGTTCTCGCGCAGGGGAACCTATCGTCAATTTTTCAAGCTGACAATTAGGATTATTAAGCTGAAAATCATGGTTTTAAGCTTTGAATTTGAGATCGTAATCTAAAATTCTGCCTGAACCTGAAATTTTCAGTCAAACTTGATTTTTGGCTGAAAATTTCGGGTTCTCGCGCAGGGGAACCTATCGTCAATTTTTCAAACAACTACACTGTAGCCGAACTCCCCTCCTCGCTCTCCCAGATAATCCCATTTTCTTATTTTTATTGTTACATCTCGGGTAATATAAATAATTCACCCCCACTCCCCTTTTCTCCTGGCTTTGACCAGCTGAGAGGACAAAGGGGGGAGAATGGGTCAGAAAAGGTCAAGCCGATCTTCTCACCATTGGGAGGAGACAGAAGGGAGGGAAAAAATGATGTCATATTTGAAATTTAGGTGGGCGTGTACTGTTTGTATTAGGGTTTTTTTTTTTTTGAAAATTATGGGTTTTTTCAAGCTTCTAATTCCGAAAATATGAAAATTTACGTATTTTCTGAAGGATTTAAAGTTTTTGTGTAGTTCTCGAGAGATTTTCTTGGATTTGGGCGGGTTTTTGGAGTCTCCATGAATTTTCTCAGTTTTTATGACCCCGAGTTAAGATTCTTATCAATTTTCTATTTTTCAGTGATAAGATTTTGTTTTGCTGACCTCAAAAAATGGGTTTTGAAGTTTTATGGCTTAGCCTAACTTGAAAAGGGGTTCTGAACGATTTTCAAGAAGTTCTAGAAGTTTTTATAACTTCCAAGACGATGCTGAACGTTTTACCGGGAAAATTCGAGTTTTCCTAAAATTTCTGGTTTCTCCAGAAGTTCTAGGAGTTGGCCTAACTTCCGAGGCTGCTTTTTCGGTGATTTTCACAGTATTTTCTTGATTCGCTCTAATTCTCGTGTTTTTCCTTCAAAATTCCCACAGCAATTTGTTCAATTTCACTTGTGAGAAGTTATTCTAACTTCACATCTAATATTTCGCCCATTATTTTCGAGTTTTCCTAACTCCCAAGCCTGTATTCTTGAATACACACAGAGAAAGCGAAAATCGAGTTTTCGCCAAGATTTTTATCAAAAAGTTTTTCTGTTCCCACGAAAAGCTACCGTACTACAATTCCTTCGTTCATTCCATCGCCCGATCAATTTTCACGGTGTGTTTATTTATTTTCGCCATACATATTCATCCAAAAGGAAACTTTTCGTCTGTTTTTCGTTTCGCGCTCGTCCAGTCAGTCAGCCAGAATGTTCTATTTTCCCTCTTTTTTTCTCCTTCGTTTTCCCCCCATCATCACAAGACTTTTTCAAGGCGAAATAGCGAGAGACGCAGAGAAAGGCCCACCTCTCCTCGGTCTCTCCCGTTTCTTTTCCCTCTCTCAACATCTCGCCTAGGTTTTTTCTCTGTTCGCTTCCCGTCAGTTCGCTTTTTTGCGGTCTGTCGTTTTGTTGTTGGTTGTTTTTGAGTGAGAAAAAGATCTGGAAATTGTAATTATGTCGACCACCCATGCCGGTTATATTCTTCCAAATACGGTTAACTTTAATCCTAATCCTAATAATAGTAGACACAGAAATAGAAGCTGGTTGCGACATAAAGGTGGGTGTTTTTCGATGGATTTTGAACTGTTTTTTGATTCTGTACGATTTTTCTTGCTCTTTCTGACTTCCTTAGAATTTTTGGCCGGTTTTCCGAGTCTCTAGAAGGTTTTCTGATAATTTTGAGCGGTTTTCTGATTCTGTACGATTTTTCTTGCTGTTTTCGGCCTTCTGCATAGTTTTGGTCGATTTTCTGAGTTGCTAGATGTTTTTCTGATAATTTTGAGCAATTTTCTGATTCTGTACGATTTTTCTTGCTCTTTTCGGCCTTCCAGCCTATTTTTCGTTACTTCTGACGTTTTTCCGTGGTTTTTTCAATGATGTTGATCAATTTTCTCAAAAAGTTTGTATTTTTTGTTCTTTCCTAACCATTGCTGATGTTTTTGTCCAATTTTTCGTCATTTTGAAGTTTTTCCTGAAAATGTGTGCTAATTTCCAGTCCTGCAGTATTTTCTGACTGTTTTAAAACTTCGGCCGATTTTTTCTGATTTCTAGTCATTCTCATCAAGTTTTGCTGAAAATCACGAAATTTTCATGCCAAAACACAAAAATCGTGTCATTTCCGCACCAATTATCTTATCAATCATGTTTGATATGATTGGTATTGACAGATTTTCCGATTTAGCCTAACCAGGGGCCAAGTTAGGCCAACTCAGCCACAATTGTAAGGAAAAAAAGAGAGAGAGGTGCCAGATGTTTGCAATATGACTTGGCGGCTGGATGCATATGTGTTTATAACAATAATAATAATAGTTGTTGTACGATTTTTGCGGGCTGGTCTCATGACTCTTTGCTTCTCTGCGTCTCTCTCCCAAGAGATTGGAGAGACGCAGAGAAAAAAGAGTGCTATTCAAATTTTGACTGTAAACAAGATGGAATGATGCAATTTCTTTTGCACTAACCTATTTTTTGTTTACTTTTTCGAAAGTTAAGATAACGTAAACAAAATAGGTCGTAAATTAAGAATCTAAGGTCATTCAGTTGTCCCATTAAACACATGTTCCTTTAAAGTTGGCGCACATAATAAAAACCATATGAGGTTGACCGCTGAACTCATTTTCTTATCGGCTTTTTTTGAGTAGACTTTATGGAGTCATATGATTTTTGAAATGAAAATTGGAGAAAAATATGTTTGGCAAAGAAAATCACGTGATTCTCCTTGAGATGATGTGTTTTCGTTTTTTTCTGTTTCGATGTTCGATCTTATTGATTTTTGAAATCGATGGGAATCTTCAATCTAGTTGTCTGCGTCTCTGACTTTTTAAGGATCTCTAGAAGTTGTCTGGATGTTTGCGTATTTCTATATCTCCAACTTGTCTGAAATTCTCATATGCCTGTTATCTCTAGTTGTCTGACTCTCTCGAGATGTCTGATTCTCTCCGTCTCTTACAATCTAGTGATCTATAGCCCGAATGTTCTAGAAGCCTATGGAAGCTTCCAGATTTTTCTTGATCTTCCAAAATCAACCAATTCCTGATTCTAGATTCGGGTTCAACATCATCCTCCTCATCGGGATCAGGCCAAAAACAACAAAATCAACATCAACATCAAAACCCACACCAACGGGTTCCACTCGCTGGTGTTGTACAACCATCAGCGGTTGTGCCGATTGGCGGCGCAATTGGCGGCGCGGCGGATATGGCGAATTCGCGTAAGATGAGCGACGACACGTCGTCGATTGGATCGTTTGAGAATATGTCGAGGTTGGTTGAGTTTTTGGGCTAAAATTGACCTGAAATTCAAATTCTCCATGAAATTCTGATTCGAAAACATGCGCACTCATGGGGAATCGAACCTGTGACCTTTTTTCTTGACAAAAATCATCATTTCCACGAAAATTATCGATTTTTTTAGGCCAATCTATCAAGGCCGAGACACGGATCGTTTTTTCGGCGGCGGCGAATTCGAGTTCGACGAGGAAGAGGATGATTTTGATGGAGGACATCAACACCATCATCATCAGGATCGTGGTGGGTTTTTTGAGCGGGAAATTTGGGATCTGGAGCTCTAAAATGAGCTAAAATTCATGGAAAATGGAATTTTGCATTGAAAAATTCGAAATTTTATCCATTAACTCCGAAAATGCGTTATTTTGACACCAAACTCGCATTATTTCTTGCCACGTGGCACCTCGTTTTGTAGCTCTTGAAATTGCCTACAAAATGACCCCAAACACCATAGGAACTTTTTTACCTGCCCGGGAAATTTTTAGCGCCAAACTAGCCGTGTTCGGGGTCATTTTGAAGCTCTTCTGAGCCTGCGAGCTTCGAAATGAGCCTAAATTTGTGGAAAAAGCTCAATTTTTCACAAAAATTTCCCCCAAAAACCCTGATTTTGTTCCAGACTTCGGCTACGATCTCGAAATGGACGACGACGATGACGACATTGAAAATGAGCCAATTTCGGAACTTGTTCCACTCGGAGGAGGAACTCGTCGAGTTCCACGAACTCCGAGACGAAAATCCACGTCGAAATGCGGATTTTATGGTGAGATTTTTCGGGAAAATTCGATTTTCTGGGAGAAAAATGAGCTAAAATGCTCCAAAAATAGATTTTTTATGAGAAAAGTTTGATTTTTTGAAAACAAAAAAAAAATGTGTTTACACAGACCGAAAATGGGAAGCAAACAAATAGCGCAAAGAAATTTCGAGCGTTTTTTGAGCTTGGTTTTTCCGGGACGCGGAAATTTGATAGTTTTTCATTTTGGGCGAGGCATTTTCCAAGATTACTGTATGCTCCTTTGAAATGTTCTGAAAATGTTGAAATTTCCATGAAAATTTGGAATTTCATAATTTTTTCCTGAAAAATTTCGTCATTAGGTTTTTTTCGAGAATTTTCAACTGATAAGCTTTTTTTGCAACAAAGTTTAGTTTAGAGAAAATATGGGAGGGATTTTTGAAGGTTTGTTGGTTAAAATTGGGCCCAGGGGCCTTTTTTGGGCCCAAGTTGTGTTCCTAGATCTATTTTCAGCCCAAAAATCATGAAAAATTGACCCCAGGTTTCATTTTTGACCTGAAAATCTCTGAAAATCTGAAATTTCCGAATTTCCAGACTTCTACAAACTCACGGACGAACATCTTGGCTCCGGAGCTTACGGAAGTGTTACCACTTGTACCCAATTATCAACCGGCTTGGAATATGCCGTGAAAATTGTGGATAAACAAGGCGAAACGCATTCGCGACAACGAATTATGCGTGAAGTCAACATTTTCAAGACGTGCAAAAATCATCCGAATATTGTGCAACTTGTTGATGTAAGAGACTGGAAATGGGCTGAAAATGAGCCGGAAATCGAGCTTTTTGGGAAAATTTGAGCCCGGGAACTTTTTTTTTTGAATTTTTGGGACTAAAATAGGTCTAGGGACTTTTTTGTGTCAAAATCGAGTGAAAAATTCGAATTTTCACTCAAAATTCACCATTTCCCACCAAATTTTCACCTAAAAAACCCCCAAATTTTCCAGTGGTTTGAAGACGACGAATCGTTCTACCTGGTGATGGAAAAAATGCGCGGTGGACCACTTTTACAACACATTTTGTCGCGCGGATATTTTACCGAAGAGGTGAGCAACAATCATGGATTTTGAGCCAAAAAATACGTTTTTTGGACGTTTTTCACCCAAAAACCCAAATTCCAACCTGAAATTCAATTTCAGGAAGCTCGAAAAAGTCACCAAAGACGTCGCCACCGCTCTCAAATTCATGCACGATCGTGGAATTGCTCATCGTGACGTGAAACCGGAAAATGTGCTGTGCACAGATCCCGAAATCGTGTCCCCCGTCAAACTTTGCGATTTGGACCTCGCCAGTCAACGACATCCGCATAAACAGGTTCGTCGCGAGATTTGCTCTAGAATGATACTAAATTTGAGCCGGGCACGGTTTTGTGGGCGTGGCCTAATTTTCCCGCCCGAAAATTTGGAGAATTTTGAGACCAAACAACGTTAATGTTAATGTCTGGGTCCTGAAGCGATTTTCTTACTGTATCTTGAGATTTCTTATTTCCACGTGGCACCTCGTTTTGTAGCCCTTCGAATTTCCGACAAAATCACACCAAACACCAAAACTAGCCGTGTGTGGGCTCATTTTGAAGCTCTTCCCCCAGCAAGCCTCAAATTTTTCCAGGAAAAGTTACCACAAGTCGCATCGGAGCCGGATTTGGCGAGCCCAGTTGGCTCGGCCGAATTTATGGCGCCCGAAGTTGTCGATGCATTCGTCGGCGACGCCTTGAAATACGACAAAAAATGCGATACGTGGAGTTTGGGCGTGATTTTGTACATTATGTTGGCCGGCTACGCGCCTTTCCAAGGAGAATGTGATGATGAGAATTGCGGGTGAGTTTTTTTTTTTGGTGGGAAAAAATGAGCTATTTCTGGTGAAATTTGCACAAAAAAGAGCCATTTTGGGTGAAAATTGCTCAAATTTGACGAATTTTGCACCAAAAAACTTTGAAAATGATGAATTTTCAACCTAAAAATCGATTTTTGCAGATGGTCCGATGGTTCACCGTGCGACGAATGTCAACAAGTGTTGTTTCATCGAATCCAAGCCGGAAAATACGAGTTTCCCGAAGACGAGTGGGAAATGATTTCGGACGAGGCCAAGGATTTGGTTAGCAATTTGTTGAAACGTGATCCGGTCGCCAGGTACGGTAGATTTTCCACGTGGCCGTGAAATGTGGAGCAGAATGAGTATAGTTTTTCTCTGCACCCTCTTCGATTCTCATACTCTCTCGCCCCTCGCATTTTTTCGCTATCATCTTTTCTTGACATTTTTCGCACCGCTTCCCCAACTCACCGTTTGGCTGAGTGGTTAGCGCTTGCGCCTTGCCATCTTGAGGTCACGTGTTCGATTCCCCGTCGGCCCTACTCTTCCTTCATATCCTACACATTGATCAATTTGTCAGTGATGTCCGGAAAAGGAGGATATACCGTAGTTCACTGAGCACCTTACCGAATTTCAGACCCGGCAAGGACTGGAATTTAAAGCGTTTTCAGACATTTTTGCGATTTTTCGGGGCTGGAAATTCTGAATTTTCCACATGAAACTGGGATTTTTCACCGAAAATTAATGAAGAAAATTTTTTGCAGATTCAATGCCGATCAAATTTTGTCGCATCCATGGATTCAACAATCGGCACCGCAAACCATTCTTCAAACACCCTCGAATTTGATTTATAGGTTGGTATTTGGGGGAAATGCAGTTTTTCGAGCTGAAATTCAGGAAAATTGGATAATTTTCAACAGTTTAAGTCAAGAATTGAAATTTTCGGGTTAACATGAGCAATGCTTCAAAAATACCCTTTCAAAATTTTTTTCACTTGCAGAAAAGATTCGGCTCGCGACGTTCAACAAATGTGCGAACACTTCAACGTAATGTCGCGTTACGTTGCCGCGCGGCTTTCCGCGCGGATGGAAGATCTGAATTTGACGGAAGAAGAAGCCGCCGCGCACGGAGAATTGCAACATTTCGGCGGCGGAAGCGGCGCCGCAACCGACGCACGCGGCTTCCTCTGCGTCTCCACAACTCCACAAACCCCACTCTCAATTCCATCGCAAGCGACTCGAATCGCGGCCGCAGGCGGCGATTTTACACCGCCAATCAGTCGCGCCTCACCAACTTCGCCACCAATGTGTTTGATTGATTCGGCCGAGAAGCGAAACGATTCCGGCTGCTACAGTATGTTTTCGCCACGTGGCAGTGATTCGTCGCCAACATCCGACTCGACTACAGTACACCAAGCCACGCCCACAAATCGCGATTCGATTCAATTGTTCGGCTCGGGAATCGCTACGGGACCAATTACTGTCAAGGATACTGTAGTCGCCTCACAAATTCACCAATTAGAAGCAGAAGTCTAGAGAATTTTAGCTCTCAAGAGAAATGTACATTTTTTAAGCCCCGCCCCCTTTTTTTGTCTTTTGTAAATAGTAATTTCACCCCCTCCTACTACTGTACAGGTTTACGTTTTTTTTTGAAAAAATTTTGAATTTTTATTTTTAGCGCTAAAGAGTACTGTATCGCGCGCTAAAAATTTTGATTCAATCCACACTTTTCTTTGCGTGTACAAATCCGAATTCTTTGCATTGCTGGTTATTTTTCTCCCCCTAATTAATTACTGTAGTTTTTGGCTGAAAATCTGAAATTTTTAGATTTCCACCTGCAACATCTGTAAAATCCCCCGTGAAAGATCTGGGAAATTTTCTATTTATTTTTTTTCTCTCAAAAAACACACGTTTTTTGCGAATCTGTCAAAAATCCTGTTCCATCTTACTGTAGGGCTACTGTAGATCCACATAAATCCGCATGTACCTTTAATTAATAATATATATTTTTGTCCAATTCTTTTTGGTTCCACCGAATTTTTTATTATTTATTTGATTGTTGAGTTGTTTCCCCCCTATCGTTTTCTTTTTGGATTTTTAAAGGAGCATAAATCTGTGAATTTTGAGAGGTCTTGAAGCGTGTTTTGCCACGTCACAATTTTTTTGAAAAATTATTTATTCAAATTTTCTCCCAAATTTTGAAAACCAACTTGAAAATGCGTGAATTTCGAATTTCAGCAATCAAAAATAATAAATACAACAGCAGCCACGTGGAAAATTTCATTTTTATGAAAAAATTGAATTAAAATTCACATAATTAGCATTTTTTGCAATTCAAATCGTGCAAATTCCAAAAATCGATTTAGTCGAATATTTCCAGCAATTCTTGGTGCGCGGGCAGTCCGAGTTACGATAACATTGCACGGCGGGAAGAACATCGCATTGAATTTGGGTGAAATTAATGGAAATCATGAGAAGCATAAGAAAAATCAAGAATTTCAATTGCATTTTTCAACGAGAAATGATGATTTTTGACAAAAAATGAGAGATTCACGTTTTTCGACGTCATTTTGTGCCTTTTTCGATGAAAAAACCGAAATTTGAAAAAAGAGAGGGACGAGTTTTGCGCGGACTAGTTTTCCAGAGCACGTGTAGTTCTCCCGGAGAATTTTGAATAATATTTTTTTATTTTTTTTGCTGGACGCGTTTTAGAAGAACAAGAGTTCTGGGATCTCTCGAGAAGATTTTGGAGCGACTGACATTTAAACGGGACCGGCAATGTGCTATGTATTGCAGGTAACAAATTGCTATAAACGTTTATTCCCCAAAAAACCAAATTCAGGCAATTTCAACGTATCGATACGCTTTGTAGCCCCCTTTCACAGTAGTGTCACGTTTATACAACAATAAACTTTTGAGCTTCTCATTTTCATGGTCCTTGACATATAGCATAGCGTCTTTGGTGAACTCGAATGTGAATGGAAAAGCGACGGGAATGGCCAATGGAAGAGTCAAGTTTCTCAACATTCCCAAAACCCCCACTCTTTTAGCGATGTCCGAATCACTTAATGCCAGGATTTCTTTGTCCGCTTCGCTTTTATGAGAGATCACTCCAAATTTATCAATCGCTTCGTAATCAGCATGGACGAATTCGGGATTTCTTTGCGATTCGCACTCAAACATGTAGATTAGCAAATCGATGCCAGCTCTTTCAGCGGCGGTTTCAGTTGAAACCAATTTTTGAGTTGATGAAAGCAAGAAGATCAAGATTAGGAATTTCATGTTGAATTTCGAATTCAAGATTCTTCTACCATTTTTATATAGAATACTAATTGGGAAAATTTTTTTGGCAATAGTATGTCCGGGACCCGTTCTCAAAACTGTGCGCATAAAAATTGGTGATAAAAAAAAGAAAAAGTTTCTAAATGTTGGCAGCTCGATGCGCTTCCTATTCATTCTTTCTCAAAATGTATGTGAGTGCGCGGAGAATCAAAAGTTTGAAAACTCCAATGTATTTTTCGATTTTAAAATGTGTCGCTCGACTTTTCTCAATTTCCAGAAGACCGTTTTTGATGGGACCTTCACCATTCGATCCCAAATTCTTTCCCATCGAGGCGCTAATATTCGATTTTTCAAAAAGTGCGCGAGTTTTCACGTGAAAAATCAAAACTTTTTTCATGTAGAAAAGAATGATCACGTTTTTATTCCAAAAAAATTAAAGGACACGTTTCTTATCTGATCTTTCTGTTTTCTGAGAAAAGCGAACAATTTCTGGGCATTTCTCACTGTTTCTCTTTACCTAACCGGAAAATAAATCAAAAGTAAGTCAATCTACTGTAGATGGCGTTAGCCAGCGAAGCCCTTCTAGTTTTTATAGAATTCGAATTTCTAAATCGAATGAAATCAATTTTATCAAATCACAATGTGGGCGAAATTTGAGCTTCCCACGCAAGACAAGAATTCAAAAATTGCCAAAATTTATCGTCAGGATGATTTTTGTGAAAAACTGATTATCAGATAATAATAAGCGCAGTCAAGTTACCAAAAAAAAAAGCCGAAAAATGAGAAGACTTAAAATTTTTGGTTTTTGAACCGGAAAATTCGGAAAATTTTTCGAAATCTTAAATTTTGATTTTCAGCCTTAAGTTGACACTAAAACTTATTTTAACTACAATTCTTTGAGACGTTTTACGTTCAAAAAAATAGTAAAATTTGAAAAATTCAAAAATTTCATTTTTTTTTTCATCATAGACTCAGAAATGTTCCCAATATTTAGGCAACATTGAAGATTATTATTACTAAAATTCATTTTCCGGAAAACTGGAAAATTGATTTTTCCTTGAAAAAAACGGAAAATGCGGAAAATTTCCGGCACAGGCCTGATCGGTTGCTTAACATTATTCTGTATAATAAAGATCTTACACGTTAATGTGATGTGCTTATGAATGGGACTGGGTAATGGGGATGAGGTTCCGACCGTTTGAAGAAATTTTAGCCCCAGAAATTTCGAAAAAAAATTATTTATCAAAAAAAAAAATTTTTTTTTAATTTTTTTTTCATTCAGCCACAGCTTTCAATCCGCAAACGACTGCAAACGCCCCATCAGTTGCTGGAAAGGAAGCTAGATTTCCATCTTGAACTGCCAAAAGTACATTGGTCGAACAAACATCATTGACACATCCATCCGGATAACCCTCGGCCCAAACAAAACCATCCGTCCCAGTTGTATAACCATCCGTCCATTGATATCCATTCTGTGCCGTACACGTACCAGCATCCCAATCCGCCTGTGTTTTACAAGCATCTGTTAAATACACGTAGAAAACTAGAAATGTGTGTTCGTAATCGTAAAAATTTGAACGCGCGTCTTTTTTCAAAGTTGTGTGTTGTTCGTTTGAAAAAAGAAAAAATAAATAAAAAGTGGTGGTACGGTATGCTAAGAATGCACACATGTGCGGCAAATCACGAACATTTGTGCAAACACCAAATTTTGCGTCGGCTGAGCGATTTCAAAAAAGGCAATTTCTTTTTTTGACTTTCGCTAAACTCATTATTTTTCAATTTTGTTTATGTACTTCCACTATTTGAAGGATGATAAAAAACATGCAAATAATGATTTTTGAACGATTTCTAGTTTTCTACGTGTCTTTAACCCAGCGCCAATTTCTATTGCATCAATTATATCGGTTATTGCGAGTTGTGCTTTTACAATTGTCTCTAGTTCATTGACATTTTGAAAGCCGCTTAGAACTGCTGAGCTATCGACAGTTTTGCAAAGCGAATCTCCGTCAGATAACGCAGCATATTGTTCAACCAGGATCATACACCATGAATAAGAACCACGATCAAATAAAATCCACGTGTCATTCAAGCAATGCCAGACCAGTGGAACTGTTGTAGTTGTAGATGTTGATGTTGTTGAGCTGGATGTGAAAGTTGATGTTTCAACAACAGTTGATTCATGTGAATCAGATTCCAATGTTTCCGATAATCCCACAATTGCTTGAGTGCTACTAGTAGGAAAACAAGAATCAGCGGCGGGAAATATTGTGAGAATGGCTGCGATAATTATGTTGTAAATCATTAGAACATACTGCAAAAATGAAAGAACATGCAGCTTATATATTGCTGGAATTAACCTGTTTATCTCTGAAAATCGCGGCGATATTGTCAAGAAAAAAGCGTCGAATCATATATGCAGTTTCTAGTTTTATCACACTTTTGCTTGAAGTTTGGAAGTTTGGTTAATATTTTTAAAGCTTAACATGAGCAATGCTTTATTCCCGTTGCAAATCAATAATCAATAATTCGATGGACCTTAAAACCGCCCTCAATAAAATCATCGGGAACTCCGAAAGTTTCCGATGCCAATTTTCCACCCGCGTTATAAATTTGCACCAAAAGAAAACCGTCTTCGGTGAATCTGGCGAAATTGTTGGTCCAAAATTCGTGCCAATCCTGATTTAGCAGATCTCGGTAGAGATTTTTGAGCTCGGCGAGTTCCGGTGCACTGATTCGTGAAGCTTCTCGGATTGCGTCATCTGGAGTAAAAAAAATGTTTTTAAAAAAAAGTTAACATGAGCAATGTCAACCCAAAAAAAACCCACTTTTCGTCACAAAATTCCCGCTTCTCTCATCGATTTTTCGATATTCTCGATGCAAAATGTCGAAATTCTGAAGACTGGCATGTTTCGCGATGGAAATCAGAAACTTTTTGGCCGATTTTTGAGCTGGAGTTAGGCCAAGTGCCAGGCCAAACATAATTGTGAGGAGAATTGGACAAAAATTCATTTTTGAGAAATTTGCGGGAGAAGCTTAGATTTTTAAATGTGGAAAATCGAATTTGGAGAAATTTTTGATTCGATTTGCAAATTTTGTGGGTGGAAAATTTGAAAAAATCGGGCATTGCTCATATTAAACTTTCCAAAAACCCTGAAATCCAGATTTTTGAAAGCATTGCTCATATTAAATGGTTTATTCGAGTCAAAATGTACAAAACAATGAAGATGTGAAAGGAAAAATATATAACAAGAAGGAGATCAAATTTTTTCTAGAAAATTCCAAAATTTCCCGAATTTCTTCACGGTGTCTGAAGTGATCTCCATTGATCTTCAGTAGTTTGTCCGATAACTGCGCCGTGCAAAAGTCGTTGTTTCACAATTGGTTGCGCACCTTCCAATGGTGAAGCCATTTCACCGCATGTATTTCGGAGGCCCACAACTTCGTCCGCAACGGAATAGATGGCGAACATATTTTTTCCGTATTGGAAGGGTCTGAAAATTTGAAAAAATTGGTGAATTTGGACCCAAAACTCATGAAAATCTGACAATTTTGAGCTAAAATTCGAAAAAAAATTGAAAATTCCTATCATTGCTCAGGTTAAACCTGAAAAATTGGATTTTATTGAAATCTAGGGTTAATATGAGCAATGGTTCAAAATTTCCACGTGAAAATTTTTAAAAAATTTTCATATATCTTGTGCCTAACATGAGCAATGTTATAAATTGCTCATATTAGACTCAGACATTTGAATTTTCTATCATTGCTCAGGTTAAACCTAAAAAAACTGGATTTTATACGAAATCTAGGGTTAATATGAGCAATGCCATAGATTTTAGGAAAAAATTCAAGCCACGTGGCAAAATATTTTTTTGGAAATTCCGAACATTGCTCATGTTAGGAGCAGAAAAATCTGAAATTTCCGAACATTGCTCAGGTTAATCGAAATTTTTGAGCCTTTGCATTGCTCACGTTAGATGTTTCGATAAAAAATTAACCTGGTTATATCAGTATTGCTCATGTTAACCCGAATTTTTAGGATTAACCTGAGCAATACTGAAAATTTTTAGAATTTTATGAATTTCGCATCGAAAAAAAACTCACTGCGAATTAATTTCCTGAATAAATTTCGATCTACAATCCAAGCCATGCACCGGACTACAAACACCAGTTTGGAACGGTTTTTGAGAGCACAAAATTGCTCCGTGATTCGCGCCAGCCACCGAAACATAATTATGAATGAGATGGTTGATGGGGCGACCCAAATTCACACCGGAATCCACACAATGTCCGCCAATAATGGCTTTTCGGGTGATCGGGGAACCCATTGAACAGGCGACAATGTTCACTTGTTTTTTGGTGTATTCGTGGACGGCGAGGATTAATGTGCGAATCTGGAAGGAATTTGGGGGATTTTGAGCCAAAATTCGAGATTTTCTGATGATTTTGAGCCTAGAACCGTGAATTTTGGAGCATTTTGAGCACTATTATTGATTTTCTAACGATTGCTCAGGTGCTTTATTTGATTTGTGGCCAAAATCGGAAAATTTAGGATTTTTAAAAAAATAATATGAGCAATACACCAAAAACATTGGTTTTGGCCACAACTTTTGATTTTCTAGAAGCCTTCTAGCATTGCTCATATTATATGACCAAAAAATGTCCCATACATTTAACATGAGCAATGCATTTTTGAAATTTTTGAGCTAATATGAGCAATGGAGGCAATTTTGGACTCAAAAATTGCAAGCGCGCTCCATTGACAACAAGGCAAAGTTTTTGAAAATTTGAAAAATTATTTTTTTTGAAGATTTTCTAGAAGCTTGAGGCATTGCTCATGTTATATGACTACAAATACATTTAACATGAGCAATGCATTTTTGAAATTTTTGAGCTAATATGAGCAATGGAGGCAATTTTGGACTCAAAAATTGCAAGCGCGCTCCATTGACAACAAGGCAAAGTTTTTGAAAATTTGAAAAATTATTTTTTTTGAAGATTTTCTAGAAGCTTGAGGCATTGCTCATGTTATATGACTACAAATACATTTAACATGAGCAATGCATTATTGAAATTTTTGAGCTAATATGAGCAATGGAGGCAATTTTGGACTCAAAAATTGCAAGCGCGCTCCATTGACAACAAGGCAAAGTTTTTGAAAATTTGAAAAATTATTTTTTTTGAAGATTTTCTAGAAGCTTGAGGCATTGCTCATATTAAATCCCAATTTTGTAGCCTACATTCTCCTCGAGAACTACACAGAATGTTTACATTTTTCATAATTTCTGATTTGTCAGGCTACAAAATCACAGTGTTTCAAACCGATTTTTCTCGATGTTTTGCTTTGATCAAGGTTATTTTTGTTGTCATGAAAAATGACCAGATAAAAACTTCAGACATAAACTACACAAAACACAACACAACAAAAAATCGAAAATATTTGCGCGAGATTTTTTTGTGTTGATAGACGGTGGTGACGTTGATTAATGGTCATTTGTGTGTAGTTCTCGAGGACAAACCGTATTTTTTTGTGTAAAAAATTGTAGAAGAACAAACAATGGAACGATTTTTTCATGTGTAATGGTCAGAATTTTGTGAAAAAATCATCAATTTTTGGAATTTGAAGAAAAAAATCGGTTGTTTTTTGTTGTTAGAAAGTTTTTTTGATGACGTAGAATTGTGGTTTGTGTGATTTTTCGTCCGCGAAAAAATCAAGAAAAAAGGAAAACATGTTCGGATATCAAATAAACAAGTTATAACGTGGCGCGAAAATTATAATTTTTTGCAATTTTAACGCGGAAAAATCGATTTTTCAAAAAAAAATTATAAACATTGCTCATGTTATTTTAAAAATAGCGCTTTTCAAAATATCAGGATTGCTCATATTTAAAAATGGAGCATTGCTCATGTTAGAGTGAAAATAAATTAAAATAAGAAATGCTCATATTAAAGCAAAGCTTCCAAATTTCCCGATTTTTGTATCAAAATGTTCACGAATTTCAAAGCATTGCTCATGTTATCCCAGAAAATCCAAATTTTAAAAATTACCTTGAGCACATAATCGCACTGCATTCCGTGTTGTAACGAGTCCATCAATTTTCCTTTCGCATACGTCGTGGCAAATACCGTACCCTTGGGCTGACCGTAGGAATAGTATTTTTTCAGCAACGATTTTTTGGATAATCCAGCGTAACCGGCTAAGCCGTGAATTACAACAATTGGTAAGCCGCTGCAACACAAAAAAATAGGATTTTTTTTGAAAGTGTAAAAATTTTGGATTTGGGAATGAAAAGGAACGTGTTCTGATCAGAAAACTGGTTTTTTGGTGGTTTTTTGATCAGAAATCGACTTTTTTGAGCTAATATGAGCATTTAGGACTCTAAAATTGCAACTGCGCTCCATTGACAACAAGGCGAATTTTTTGAAAATTTGAAAAATTTTTTTTTTCCGGATTTTTCGAAACTTTCACTCCCCCAATTTTTCTCGGCCACAAAACTACACAAAAAAAGGCGCGTCACAGTTGATCAATTAATGATCATCACCAAAACCACTTGACCCAGTTTTTGCGCGCGGGGACTAGAAATTTGGGAACCGTGCTTGGAAACCTAGTCCCCCCGCTGGAAAACTCACGTCGCATTCGGATTTCCGCCACCAAAACTGCCACGTGTTCCCAAATCGGCTCGCAACAAATCATCAGCAATCGGTTTGCCGAATTTTCCCAGCAAAAAATTGTAGAAGCTCGGATGGAATTTGGCGCCAACAAGGTTAGAAAGCAGCGCGACGCCCAATAAAATTTGAATTTGAATTCTCATCACTCAGGTTTTGGTTTGTTTGTCAGACTGGCTGGTCAAGAAAAAAATTCACACAAAATGGTTTAAAAAGTTGTGTGTTGTCAAGGCCGCCATCAGGCTCCGCCCACTTTTACCTCCTTGTAGCCTAGATAGACAGCAGCTTTTCTATTGTTATTTGTTACACAGCTACAAACATACGCCTGAAAAATTGACCGCAATGTAATCTGATAACAAATACCTCTTTGTTCTATTATACTTACTGCTGAGGAGAAAGTTGGACACGAAATGTATCAAACCACAATACTTTCAATAAATAAATAAATAATTGCGATTCTTGTATACAATTTTATTAATTGTAGTCATTTTCTGGATAATAAGCAGCATCATAAATAATAATTGCGCCGCATACGCGAAAAAGAAAATATTTTTTCAAACTTTTCGGAGGCGCGGGATGTGATCGTGTTGAGACCATGATGTGTGTGCATCGTGCGCCTTTGAGGAAACTACGGTTTTCTTTCACTGAAAAAAATTCTGTTTTCTTCTCGTTGTCAAGGAAAACTGGAATTACTTGTGAAGGACTTTTTAATTGTGGTCAGCGAGACATTTAATTTTGTCTTACACTTTTCTCCCAGAAACACTTGAAACTATAAAAACAGCAAAAATATAACCACCGACAAGGAAAATTACACATTTTTGGGGTTTTCGGGACCGCTGCAGATCGATAAACCCTCCATTTCATCTGAAAATCGGCCCTTCTCCAGTTTTCCCAGGCGAAAATGCATTTTCCGATGAGTTTTGGAGTACGGTATGCAACGCGGCGGTGTCAACACAGCGACGCACAATTGCACACAATCGACATTTCATTTCCCAAATTTTTTTCGTTTTTCGCTGTCTTTTCGGGGTTTTTGTGTGTTTTCATGGAAAAATGTGTGAAATTTTGAATTCCACGTGGATGTTTTAGTAGGGGTGATGAGATTTTGGGGGGTTTTTGTGATTTGTTAGGGGGTTTTGTGATTTGTTAGAGAAAAAATTGGATTTATTGATTTTTCTCAGTTTTTTGGAATTTTTTAGGGTTGTTGTGCATAATCATGAGAATGTATGTGCAATGTTGAATTCCACGTGGATTTTTCAGTGAAATTAGCTAATTTTTGAAGTAAAATGAGATTTTTTCGAGTTTTCATGAGAAATTACTCGAAAATTCAAATTCCACGGGGATTTTTCACTAGTTTTTCCAAGAATTAATTTTTCATAGAAATTCGCAACTTGATTCGTGATTTCTTCACATTTCCCACCTGAAACCCTCATTTTTGCAGGTAAAATGACAAATTTGTCAGCGATTCAAACAGCTCCAGAAGTCGGAAGTTGGGCCGAGGCTGTAGAGCAAGAAAATCAAACTCAAGTCGAGGAAAGCGAGGATGGCACCCGCACAGAGACCGCTTTCACCGTGGAAGACGGAGTTCGCTACAAAGTCGTCACCCAATTCAAAGTCATCAATAAACGAGTGCCAAAAGTGGTGGCGGAGCGCAAGAAGTGGGTGAAATTCGGTGCTTGTGAGGGTGAAGCTCCGGGACCACATGTTGCCACAACTTATGTTGCTGAAGAGGTCGAAATGCAATTTACCAGAAATCGCGCCGGCGAACAGATTTTGGATGTTCAAGAGGATAAACAGACTGTAAGCTTTTGAAAAATCTCATTTTTGGAATCAAAATTTTACCCAAAAACCAAAATTTCTCCAGGCCAAAACCACATCCCGTGAACATTGTCGTCATTGCAAAGGAAACGACCATTGGTCCACTCATTGTCCATACAAAGTTATGTATCAATTGGACGAGGAAGCGGACGCGGAAAAAGACGCGGATAAAGATCGAAATGCGTTGGGACTTCGAGCCGACGGCCGACAAATCGATCGGAATCGAAGCGATGAGAATACTTGTCGGGTTACGAATTTGCCGCAGGATATGGATGAGACTGAATTGAGAGAGGTTTTCGGAAGAATTGGACGGATTACTGTGAGTTTTTTGATGGGGAAAAGGGGGAAAATATCGATTTTTCATGAAAATTTGATAGAAATTGTGATTTCTCCCAAAAATATGGATAAAATCCCATTTTTGCAGAGAATCTTCATCGCTCGCGACAAAATCAACAATTTGCCAAAAGGATTCGCCTTTGTCACCTACGAATCCAGAGATGTGAGTTGTTTTCAGACAAAAATACAATTTGGGCTGAAAAAATTGTGAAATTTCGATCTAGAAATTGATTTTTCTGTCAAAATTTGAATTTTGAGCCCAGACTCAATACTGACGCATTTCTAGTAGGCTTTGAAAGAATCTCTATGAGAAATGCACCAAAATGAGTCTGAACTCAATACTGACGCATTTTTAGTAGGCTCCGAAAGAAGCGCTGTAAGAAATGTTTCAAAATGAGTCCGAACTCAATACTGACGTGTTTCTAGTAGGCCACAAACTTCACGTCAGTTAATCTCAATGCTGACGCTGAATTTGTAGCCTTCAAAATCCTCACCAAAAATTCAAAATTGAATTTCAGGACGCTGCTCGAGCCATCGCCGAACTCAACGACATTCGAATGTATCACATGGTTCTCAAAGTCGAATGGACTCGTCCGAGCAACGCCTAAATCTAGTTCCAGGCCCGATTTCAGGCCTAAAAATCTGCTAAAACTCGGTTTTCTCCCCGTTTTCTTCTTCTTCTCCTTTTGTTATTCTCGTTATGATGAATTTTTGGTCATTTTTTTTTAAATCGAGGTTTTTCAGTAGTTTTCAGCTATTTTTATATCTTTTTCGAAGAGTTTCAGCCATTTTTTAGCTAGGAACTCTGAAATTTCCAGAAAATCATGGGATTTCTGAAAATTCTACGAAAACAGCGAGCTCGCGAACGAGAAATGAGGATTTTGATTTTGGGATTGGATAATGCTGGAAAAACGACGTTGATGAAGAAGTTCTTGGGAGAGCCGACAGATACGATTGAGCCAACTTTGGGTGAGCAAAATGAGCCCAGAATCGATGCTGACACTTTTCTAGCAGCCTGCAAAATATGCGCCATGAAAAATGCTCCAAAAAGAGCCTAAACTTGATGTTGACGCAAATTATGTAGGCTACAAAATTTGTGCCAACAAACAGTACGGAAAAATCACCGAATTCACACGTGGCATTTCAAGGAAGACAACGTGGATTTTTTGACTCAACACGCAGATTCACGTGGAATTTAGAACCAAACTACAGTAAACTCCAGCTTTTCGGCTTTTCTGTAATAAGCTGAAATTTAGAACAAAACTCTAGCTTCTCGGCTTTTCCGCAAGAAGCTGAAAACAAAAAACAAACAAAAATTACAAAATTAGAATTTCTCTGCCATTTTGTGGTCGAAAATTTGAAAGAACTGAAATATTTTATCGTCGAAATAGCGTTTGCCTCGAAAATTTCACGTTCACGCAAAAATTTTATTATTTTTTCTGATTTTTATGTTCTTTTTGCTGACAGAAAATAGTGAGATTTGCTTCAGTGGATATCAACGCTGACGCATTTTTTGTAGCCTACAAAATAAGCGTCAATCTCCCCCATTTCCAGGTTTCGACATCAAAACAGTGCACTTCAAAGAGTATCAATTGAATTTGTGGGATGTGGGCGGTCAGAAAAGTCTTCGATCTTATTGGAAAAACTATTTCGAAAGTACAGATGCGCTGATTTGGGTTGTAGATTCGTCGGATCGAGGTGAGTGGCTGAAATTCGCCAATTTTTGACCTGAAATTCATGAAAAATGTGAAATTTTGACCCAAAATTCATGAAAATCACTAAATTTTCAACCAAAAACTGTGTTTTCAACAACCTGAAATTATTTTTTCTCAGAACGCCTCAATCAATGCTCCGAAGAGCTCAAAAAATTGTTGGGCGAAGAGAAATTGGCTGGCGCTACGCTTCTGGTTTTAGCCAATAAGAGCGATTTGACGAGTGCGATTGATGTGGAGACGATTTCGGAGGTGAGAAAATGCGCCTAGACTCGATGCTGACGTATTTCTGGTAGGCTGCAAAAGATGCGTCAGCAAATTTGCTTCAAAATGAGACCTGACTCGATGCTGACGTGTTTTTTGTAGGCTACAGAAAACACGTCAGACTGCAAATTTTGCGTTAACAAGATAATTTTCTGACGCAAATTTCGCAGCTACAAAATCTGCGTCAAGAAACCCCTTACTGACGCATTTTTTGCAGGTTCTCGACCTCAAATCCATCAAATCACATCATTGGAAAATCTTCAGCTGCTGTGCACTTTCTGGCGACAATCGATTAGTTCAATCGATAAATTGGCTTTGTGATGACGTGGGAAGTCGGATTTTCATACTGGATTAGGCCACGCCCATTTTTCCGTGCCGCAAATTGCATTAGCAAAATCTTTTTTGATCTCCAAACCTTTATGTACATAAAAATTGACACTTTTTGAAAAATTTTCATATTTATTCAGCTTTTCACACAAAATCCTCTAATCTTCACAAAATTTTATTTTCATTTCCAAAAAATGAAACTTTTTTGGTTCTTCCCAATGTTTTGGGGTACTGTAGGTGCTACAGTACCTTCTATCAAATGCGAGGCCGATGGGAAGTACTGTAGTCAAATCATGAAGTCGGTCATACTGTACACCAGGAGTACGGTAGAGCAAAAATGCTCGTTTCCGATTTTCCTGGCTCGCCCCACGATTTCGTGGGAGGACCCGAAAGCCACGTGGACATCGACGATTGGAGACTACTGTAGGAAGACGTGTTGCGCCTTTAAAGGTGATACAGTAATCCGAACCACAACTACAGTAGTCCCTTCCACTCAGGACCCGGTTGAGGATTTTTGGAATTTGCTGGGCTCGCAGAATGTTTCGGATTCGCAAGCGAGATTTGAGAAATATTCGGCGGTTCGGGAAAATGTCCAAAAACACAATGAGGATTTTGAAAAGGGGCTGACGAGCTTCAAAATGGCTACAAATAAGTTTTCTGTGGAGGTGAGTCCTGGCGCGAAAATTTTGACCTACAGTAATCTTTGCAGCTCGACTCTGAAATCGCTCCACTCTCACTGGATTTATCCACCCTAACCCCCACAAAAATTCAAAATCCAACCAAAAATCCCCGCCAAAAACGTCAGACTGCAAATAGTACGGTAGACTGGCGTTTCGCGATGAGACCCGTCTTCGATCAAGCACAATGTGGTGGTTGTTGGGCTTTTGCCATGGTGGCGATGGTCGAGGGAGTACTGTATTTAAAGGGACACAATGAGACGGGCGATTTGTCGGTGAGAAAAAAAAAATAAAAATTGGTGGGAGGTAGTGGGGATCGAACCTGCGACCTTGCACCCCGCGTTAACCCGAGAAAATCGAGTTTTCTTCGAATCACAAGGCCGCTGGATCGATCCCCGGTGTCTGCGAACAACATTTTTTTAATTTTTTTTTTCGCAGATTCAGCAACTTTTGTCTTGTGACGTGGCATTTGACACCAATTTCGGTGTCAAAAATCAAGGATGCCATGGTGGATATTTGCAAGTGGCTGCCGATTATTTAAAGGCGCATGGTGAACGAAGCGCATTGGATATTCCGTTTCTGAGTACGGTAGGTGAATTTTGGAGCGAGAAAATTTTTATTTGAAATCCTGATTTTCAGCACCAAAAATCCACGTGTCTCACCGCGCAATTCGCACCAATTGCACCAAAAATCGCCTCATTCCAAAGCGCTTTTCTCGAATCCACAAATGACACGCGAATTTTGACGCAAATGGCGAATTCGATGGTGGAAATGGTGAAAAATGGACCGGTTGCTGTTGGAATGGCTGTGAGCAAGGATTTGTATAGTTATGCGGAAGGTAGGGCTCAAAATTCTGCGCATTTTGATGTATTTTTTCTCGAAAATCATGGATTTAAAGGGAGATCGTTGCGAGACCCAAATTATCTATGCGCCTTTAAAAATCTCTCTTTCCAGGTGTCTACGATGGTGCTTGCGGTGACAAAATCAATCACGCTGTTGTAATCGTCGGATTCACTGACGATTATTGGATTGTTCGCAACAGGTTGGCCTAGAAACCCCAGACTCGGCCACCACCATTTTTTTCCAGCTGGGGATCGAATTGGGGCGAAGATGGCTATTTTCGTGTGAAACGCAGTGACAATATTGATCGCTGCCGGTTTTTGAGATACTATTCACAAGCCACTGAAATTGGGGAGCTGGAAGATTTCGAATTTCCAAGCTCAACTTCTACTGAAGTTTCCTCCAACGATACTTGCGATATTTGCGATGTTTGTGATGAAGAAGACGATGAAGATGAAGAAGAAGATCTGCTCTTTACATCTACAACTTCAGATTTTGCAAAAACCTCGATTTTCACCGAAAATTCCGATTATATTTACGATGACTTTTATTATTTGTGAATTTTTCAAAAAATAAACTACTTTTTGTGCGCCTTTGTGTGTCGAAGACTGACGCGTTTCCCGATGCGCTGACGTATTTTCAGTTTTTTCTTTTCTTTTTTTTTTTGTTGCAAAACTTTTGTTTTTTGCGGGAAACTTGGTTTTTTTTAGAATTTAAGATGAAAAATAAAATTTCCAGTTGATTTCAGACTATATAAAATGCCAGTTCCTTCCGGATACGCTGCACAACAAGCTGGAAATCAACCAACATGCTTTACAAAAGTGAGTGTTTTAAAAATGAAATTTTGAAGTCCTTGAGTGAAACTTCGAGTTTTTTTTGGTGAAAACAATCCTTAAAGCATCTAAGAAGTATAAGGATTTCATAGAAAATTTTAAAAATATGGAAAATTGCATCATTATTCATAAATTCCATAAAAATCTGAAATTTTATGCTGAAATTTTAATTTTTAATTTTATGCTCATTGAAATAGTGTCTCTACGAAATCTTAAATAATGGAAAATCTGAAATTCTTCTGAAAACCTGGTTTTTGCTGAAAACCTTTAGAAATTCAGAAATTCCAAGGGTTTTCATGAAAATTGAGTGTTTTTCGAAAAATTGCATCATTCTTTCCGAAAATTCGATAAAAATGAAAATTTTTAATGGAAAATTCAGGTTTTTACTGAAAATTTGCCTGTAAACTTCCTAATTTTCACAAAAATCGTAAATTTTTGCAGATTCGAATGGGTTTAATGATGGGTGCAATGATTGGTGGAGCCACAGGCATTCTTCTCGGCGGATTTATGGGTTTTCGAATGGGATTGCGCGGACGTGAATTGCTTCTTCAAACCGGCAAAACTGTGGCACAGTCTGGCGGATCTTTTGGTGTATTTATGGGTGTTGCACAAGGACTTCGATGCTAATATGAGTTTATTGTTGAAATTTGTTTTTTGTAGTGTTTTTATAGCCCGAAATGAACAAAAATTTGAGAAAAATTCATTTGAAAAACCAGTATCAATGCAAAAAATATGAGGAAAAAATCAAAAATTTCAAACTAGACAAAAAATACATGAAAAAATTGGCTGAAAACCTGAAAATATTTGAAATTTGAAAAATTTTCTAACTGAAGAATGGAGTGAAAGGTCAGGAGTTCGAACCCTACTGAAAATTTCCAGATTTTCAGCCAAAATCGCTCATTTACTACTCTGCGAATCATGCCTGAACCGTTTCAATTGTTCATGCGTGTTCGCGGGTAGCATGCGACTTAGCCGTCGCAAACCGGCGCGACTAATTTCAGCCGATTCGCGTCGTAGATTCACCGAGATCAGATCATCGTTGTCGCTTGTCGCATAGTCGTCGCAGGAGACGATGCAAATCGCAGGAGTTGGCGACAGGTTTCGCGGGTTTGGTGGTTCGAGGAGGCGAATTTGTTGTTGAGATGTTGATTGGCGGGGGATTCTGAATAAAATTGAGGGTATTGCTCAGGTTAGACAGGATTGCTCATGTTAGCTCAGAAGTAGAAGGGGGGTTAGAAGATAGCAGTGGGAAATTGGGATTTTCTTGAAAAAAAATTCATTGGAAAAATTAGACATTGCTCAGGTTAAGAAGGAGCATTTTTGAATTTAAAAAAAGTAACATTGGAGCATTGCTCATGTTAGAATGGCATCCTTGAGTAAAAATGTTAGAAAATCGCGTTTTCCATGAATTTCAGGTAAAAAATCAGCTCCCAGGCTGAAATTCCGTGAAAAATCCGATTTTTTCAATAAAAATGGTTCCAGGGTCTAAATTCTCCAATTTCCATGAATTTCCAGCATCCAAACTCAAAAATTCTACAAAAGCAACAAAAAGCGCCTTTAAAAATGAACCAAGGAAAACTTAAGCGAACTCAAAAATAAGAAGCCATGCTGGAAAAATTCGGAAAAAAAGAAACTTACCTCGAGTTACTCTAACTTATTGTTAAAACTGTAAAAAAGCGGCGTAAAAAAATAAAAATCATTTGTAAAAATAAATCGTGCTGAAATTTTCAGACCAAAAAAAACGTTCTGAAAACTCACATCGAAATTTCCTGACCAGCCGTGTCCAATTGAACATTTCGCAATTTACTTCGCTCTTTTCGCGTCCCGCCGCGAAACCAATTCAAATACTGTAGAGAAAACAAGTTAAGGTAAGTTAGGTCTTAGCCTAAGCCTCAGCTTCAGGCTCTAAGCCTTAAAGGGGCCTACCGTACCTTTCCTAGAATCGTCAATTTCAGTCGAAATGCGTCGTGTCGAGACTCGATACAGTATTCACCGCACGCCAATAAAAATGCAACAATTAGACCCGTTAATAACACGTAAAATATTCCTGTAAGAAAAAAATTGGGGTAAGGCCTAAGTGGGCTTAGGCTTAGGCCTAGAAAACCCACCAAAAATATTCTGCGGACTTTTGGCCGCAGCTTTTTCATTCGGCGGCGCACACGATGGTCCCTCCCTTCGATCTCGCCACCATTTATTTTTCAGAGCCTCGAGAATCGTGCGCTCTTGTAGTTGGAGTACGGTTCGAGATAGGATATCTCGAAGTGGTGAGCCTTTGGGAAGAGCAATACCGTAGCCCTGGAATTTTGGAGCATTTTAAGGTGCTTTTGGAGCATTTTAAGGGCTTTAAGTAAGAGGTCGGGGGTTCGAGCCCGGCTGCCCGCGACCATTTTTATTTATTAGCTCAGATGGTTAGAGATCAATTTAAGAAGTGAGAGGTCAAGGGTTCGAGTCCGGCTGCCCGCGAACATTTTTATTTTTTGAAAATTACAGGTTTCCGGCTCAAAATTTCCCAAAAAACCCATTCCCGCTCAAATTTTCGCTCAAAAACCTCACCTTGGAATCCAAAAGCCCTCCAATACTTTGCAGCTCACAATCGCGTTCCAAATAATATTCCAACATCGAGCTTTCCATCATATAAGCATAGCCACCGGCTTTTACACGAGCTATTCCTTCGCGCGACGAATTTACAAAAACTCCAGGCGAAGAGGATTCCATTACTGACCACCTGTAAGAATTTCAGCAATTTTTAGCTGAAAATTTGGGATTTTCAGCAAAACTCACATTCGTTCGTACATCGGAATTTTGGATTCGCGGAAAAAATCCATCGTTGAGCCAGATTTCAGGGTCCCGTAGCGGATTTTTTGTTGATTTGCCAGATCTTGCGTGGATTCTGGAAGAAAGAGCTTTAAAAATGGTCAATTTTGAGCTTAAAATGGAATTTTCATGAAATTTTGAATTTCTGAGGCAAAAATAGACTAGAAATAGCAAGTGCGCTCCATTGAACTCTCACCTTTTTGTTGAAAAATTCAAATTTTTTTTTCCTGATAAATTTTGGTAAGATTTATCTAGATATGAGCTCATGTCAAGCGGTTAGAGCTTGATTTTTCAAGTGAAAGGTCAAGGGTTCGAACCCCGCTGCTCGCTAATATTTTTATTTTTTGGCTCAGTCGGTTAGAGCTTAATTTTTGAAGTGAAAGGTCAAGGGTTCGAATCCCACTGCCCGCCTAAACCTCATATTGCGTGGCTCAGCCGGCTAGAGCTTAAATTACCGAGTAAAACGTCGCAGGTTCGAACCCCGCTGCCCGCAAAAGTTTTTTTTCTTCAAAAACCCACCAATTGGTGTAGACATTCTTTCCACCGTCAAAAACGCTGCCAACTGAGCAGTATAACTCGATATAATAATTTGGGTGAACATCCACCAAACCACCGCAATCAACCGCGTCGCGGCAGCTCGCGGAATCACATCCGAACCTTGTTGCATCAAAGATCCCATGGTGAACCAGAACGAATTCAGGATTGTAAATTGATTTTTCTGATTTTTTATGCTCTCAAAGTCGCGTTCATCGATTCGCTCAATATTATACCTGGAAAAAATGAAGCAGCCGGTTAGAGCTCAATTCATCAAGTGAAAGGTCATGGGTTGGAACCCCACTGCCCGCAAATTTCTTACCATTCATAAGGACTAAATTTGGCCAGCAAATGCATCGAGTACGATACAATGATATAACTGGCGAGAAGAGAGACCCAGACCGTTAGAGAAAGTGGTTCCAGAAATGTCCAAAGTGATCCTTTGTCGGTTTCTTCTGATGTTCTGGCTAGTAAAATTGATATTCCAAGATGCATGAAAGGCAGTGTGAAATCTGGAAAAAATTGGATTAATATGAGCAATCCATGCAATTTTGAGAGTCGGATTACTGTAGGGCTACTATAGGGCGAAAAAATGTGAAATTCTGACACCAAACATGACCTATTTTGGCGCCAAGTTCGTATCTACAGTAATCCACGTGGAATTACGGTTATTTCAAGTGTAGATAATCCCATGTTCCTTTAAAAATTCCAAATTTCCGTCCTAACATGAGCAATCCCTCAAAAATCCCTTTTTAGTTGAAAAAAAAAACAAAATTTTTTTTCGACCGAAAAAAAACTAGAAAAATTAGCTAAAAGTGAAAGTTTATAATATTTTTTGCTGGTCAAAAAAAAGTTACAAAATCTGATTTTTTGGTAAAAAAATCATTGATTCGTAACGAAAAAAACTGGGTAAGTTTAACATGAGTCATGGACAATTTTTTATCAAAAATTGAGAGGAAAATCGTCTCAAGACCCAAAAATCCCTGATTTTTGCTCCAAAAATCCACTCACCAACAACTTCAGCGCGACTATAAGTTATGGTAACTGCGGAAAGTGACAAATCGGCTTCGTGCCTTTGCAAAGCTCCAATAATTCCATTCCAACGACCGTGATCATCCTGGAGAAAATTTGAATTTCAAATTTTGGCGCCAAAAAAAATGTTGGTGCCAAATAATTTGACCCACCTCAATTCCATAAGTTCCATCTTGAACCTCAAAAATCGTATAGTTGAATTTGAGCACTTTTGCCATTTCGTTGAGCAAATCGATACAGAATCCCTCGTATTCATTTTCACCATTTTTGATCACAAATGGTTCTTCCTGTAGAAAAATACGGTCATTTTGAGACCAAATAAGGCCATGTTCCTTTAAAGTTTGGTTATGAAACGAGGCTCAAAATGCTCCAAATTTTCTCGCGCCAAAAACTACAGTACTTTCGGGCCCAAAAAACTCACCAAATACACTACCACTCTCAAATGAAGACCTTCTAAATCCTCGGAATCTGGATCGATGTTGAATTCCCAGCGATTTGCGTATTTCGAGTCGAAAATCCAGCCACGTTTTTCGCTCCAATTTCCGAGCTGCAAAAAAATTTGATTTTCATCCAAATAATCCCCCAATTTTTCGTCCAAATATTTGTTTGATCAACTAATTTTTCACCATTTTTTGTGATCAAATAAATAAAAAAAATAAGAACCTTTTGAACTTTTTTGTGCAAAAATTCCAGTTTTTCAGAGCAAACATCAAATTTTCCCTAGAAAATCGCTCTTTTCATTTTCCGTCAAAATGACCAAAATTTGGTCGTATTTATATCAGAGATAACGAAAAATCATTGAAACAAATTTGAAAAACGAAGAAAAAAAAAGTTCAAGGTCAAACTTTTCTTTCAAAAAGTTTGACGAAGAAACAGAAGAGACAAAAACTGGATAGGTAGGTAAAATACCGTGTCATTTTTGACAAACTTTTCCGAAAAAACAATACAATTTCAGGAGAACTATGATGTCAGTAGGTAAAATACAGTGTTCTTTTTGACAGCCTCAAAATTTTTGATAAACTAAATTTTGTGATTTGTAGGTAGGGCAAAAACGATGTAATTTTTGACAGAATTTCTGCCAAATTTCATTTTGTGATTTCTAGGCTGATAAAATCGGCAATCTCTGAATGGGTCCCCTGAATGGGGTCTTCCTCCTCTCAAAATGGGGCCTCCTGAATGGGGCCATGCGTTTGTCATTTCTCCTGAATGGAACCGCGCGTAGCACATGTCAAAAAGGGTGAAAAAAGGGGCCTTTGTCACTTTACCTGAATGGGGCCTCTACAAAATGGGGCCAGAAATGCATTTGGCGTATTCCTGAATGGGGCCAACCCCTTATTTTGTCACTTCCCTGAATGGGGGCTCCAAAAAAGGGGCCAATTGTGTTTTTGTCATTTTCCTGAATGGGTCTTGTAAGTTTTTTCTTCATTTATTCATGTTTTTTTCCGAAATTGATTACATTTTGAAAATAATTATTTCGAAATTCAACTCACACAATTTTCAAAAAATCTAATTTTGGTTTGTCGATATTAAAAATAATTTAAACATTTTGGTTTAAGGATTATCATATAATAATTCTGAACAGCATAAAAGCAGTAAGATTGTGAAATATTTCTAATATTTGCAAGTTTTCTCTGAGAATCATAATTCAGTAGAAAACTCAATTTCACCTCATTTTTAATTTTTTTAAATTTGCTTTGAAAATTAGCTTGCGGAAGAATTTTGTACTATAATTTCGGTTTGTGAATGAGTTGTGAGCTCTGCATATTCTTGCCAAAACTTGATTTTCTAATTTCCCCTGATTTTTAGCTAACTAGGTTTTTATACTCAATCTCATTCAACTACGTAGGAAAAACTTCCCAAAATGGTGATCTCACTCTCCAAAAACACGCACTATTTCTTCTTGGACGCATTCATTTTTTGGGGCCAAGGTGCGAAAATTTTTGACAGGTGTGAAAATAGAGATGATATTTCTATATAATTTTGAATTTTGTATGATTTTCCGAAATAAAATACTCTTATGTTGCAAAAAATTTCTATTTTAGGATGTGTTTCTTAAGCTAGTGTATGTTAGTTATATGAATTTTTGAACTGCTGATTCTGAGACTTGTGTAACGTTTTTTTCGGCAAAATGTTTAAATTATTTTTAATATCGACAAACCAAAATTAGATTTTTTGAAAATTGTGTGAGTTGAATTTCGAAATAATTATTTTCAAAATGTAATCAATTTCGGAAAAAAACATGAATAAATGAAGAAAAAACTTACAAGACCCATTCAGGAAAATGACAAAAACACAATTGGCCCCTTTTTTGGAGCCCCCATTCAGGGAAGTGACAAAATAAGGGGTTGGCCCCATTCAGGAATACGCCAAATGCATTTCTGGCCCCATTTTGTAGAGGCCCCATTCAGGTAAAGTGACAAAGGCCCCTTTTTTCACCCTTTTTGACATGTGCTACGCGCGGTCCCATTCAGGAGAAATGACAAACGCATAGCCCCATTCAGGAGGCCCCATTTTGAGAGGAGGAAGACCCCATTCAGGGGACCCATTCAGAGACTACCATAAAATCTTTGCCAGCCTTCATAATTTGATCTACCAAATTCCAGCTGACGCAATTCTAGTAGTCTTCATGATAATCTACAATTAAAACGGGCTACCAAATCCGCGCCAACAAATTTTGCTGACGCAATTCCTGTAGATCCCTCTCTATCAAAAATCATCGCACTAAACCCGGAAAATCTTCAACTTTCTAATTTTACTGCCCAAAAAAAAGAGATGACTTGATTTGATATCAAAAATCGTGCGCGCGCGAAAAAAGTCCATCTGACCTTATTTTCCAAAGACGCAGAGAGAAGTTTCTCTGCGTCTCCAATCTCTCTCAAAAAACTATTCTGGAAAACAACAAAACAGCACTACGAAAAAAGGGCGGCCGGTTCCAGTGGAACTCTATAAATGGTCTGAAAATCGGTGTGAAACTCTATCAAAAATGTTCAAAATCATTTTCTCCGCAGTTTTGGTGGTTTTGGCGGTGAGCCAAAACACCGGAAGTGATGTTCCACCATTTTTGCGTCGCGCCTCTCAAGCCCAACTTCAGGCTTTCCAGGCGCTTATCCAAAATCACGGACATTTGACTGAGGCCGGTTTGGAGGCCAAAGTTCAACAATGGGCAAAGGCTCAAGGTGGAAATGTTGCTGTAAGTTGGGGCTAACTAAATCATATTTCATTTGAAAGTCCGTGAAATTCTCTACAAAATGATTCTTGAGAGAAAATGCGCTCCAATGCAAATAGTGCAATAGAGCGCACTTGGTTTCTTCGGGTTTTCTCATCGATGTTTTGAGTTAGGCTAACTAAATGGGGTTTCATTAGAAAGCCCGTGAAATTCCCCATTTTTCAGTACGACTTCGCCGAGTTCGAAAAATTCGTCACCGGCGCCAAACACCAAGCCAACGCTGCTCACGACGCAGCTTTGGCCAAATTCACGCCAGCCGCACGTAAAGCTGACGCAGATTTGTCAGCAATTGCGGCGCAAACCAATTTGCCAGTTCGTGAGAAGGGAATGAAGATTCAAGCTTATCTCAACAGTTTGGCACCAAGTGTTTTGAAGGAATTGCAAGCGGCACATGAGGCTGGACAAGGAAGATAAACTAATTTTTTGAGAATTTTGTTTTGTGTAGAATAAAAATTTGAAAATTCAGCAACTTTGTTAAAACAAAAGTTACAGAAAAAAAGTTTCAGAGTCGAAAATTCTTGCAAAATTAACCTACCCTGAATTTTTGAGATGTTCAAAATGATTTCGGAAATCTCCTCGATAACTTCAAAAAATTGGAGCCTGTCAAAAATCGCACTATATTATTCCTACCCAGATTTTTTCCGGAGAATTTTAAGGCTATCAAAAATGCTCACAAATTTTTCCTACCCAGATTTTTTCTGGAGAATTTTGAAGCTTTTAGAAATCCTGTCATATTTTTCCTACCCTGGATTCCTGGATGCTAAAAATCACAGCAGAACTTCACAAGCCTGAACTGATTTTCTCGATTCAGGTTCTCGAACTTCAGGATGTCAAAAATCCTAGCGGAATTTGCCTAGTCAAATATCGTATCAAAATTATCCTAGCGATTCGTCAGGCTGTCAAAAATCCCACCATTTTTCTCCTACCCAGATTCTCAAAGTTCCAGAAATTACACCAAAACTATCTCAATCTGAGGTTGTAAAAAATTGCATCAGAAGTATCCTAAGGCTACCAAAAATCCCACAATTCTTCTCTTACCCATCCAAAGATCAAAATAACAAGAACCTCCAATCTCTAAAGAACACAACAATAAAACTACCTAACAAATAACTAGCAGATCTGGAACCGACCATCGAAACAACCCAGCCACTATAAAACGGCAGAATTTTCCAATGAAATACAACCATATCAAAAAATGTCTCGCTGTATTTTCCTAGTTTCCGCCATTTTCGTCGCCGTGGCTTTGTGCCAAAACGATAATCTTCCACCATTTTTACACCACGCTTCTGCTGAGCAAGTCAAGGCTTTCGAGGCGCTTATTAATGATCACGGACATTTGAATGAGGTTCAATTAGACGCCGAGGTTCAAGCTTGGGTGGCTAAACAAGGAGGAGAAGTTGCGGTAAGTCCAGAGAGCCCAGAAGCCCCTAAAACAAGTCCAAAAATTGCAGGCCGATTTCGCCAAATTCCAAGAATTCATCAAAACCTCACACGATCAAGCCGAAGCCGCCCATCAATCCGCAATCGCCTCCTGGAGTCCAGCCGCCAAGAAGGCCGACGCGGATTTGACAGCTTTGTCTAGAGATCTCGAATTGCCAGTCAAGGTCAAGGCCGAGAAGATTCAGGCTTATTTGGCCGGGCTTCCAGCCGATATTCGCAAGGAGATCGAGGGAAATCAACAATAATTGATAATCTTCTGATTTTTGTATCAATAAAGTTGAGAAACCTAGAGAATTGATCTTTTGATTTTCAAAAATCATCTCTATAATAATAATAAAGTTACTTTTGGGAAAGCCCCAAAAAATAATTAGTCATGATGTATCATGTTTTAGGGTGGTTTAGCGAAGAACACTACATGATATCATCTTTTTTTCTCACCGCAAAACATACAAACAATAAAACGATGAGGGCGGAGACAACAAGCTCCGCCTTCAGGTGTCGCGCACCTATAAAACGCAACAAAATTTCGGCAACCACAAGTTATCCCAACTCCAAATCATGTTCAAGTCAGTCCTCGTCGCTTCTGCTTGCCTTTTCGCTTTGGCAATGTGCCAACCAGCTGGCGGACAAGACGATGTTCCACCATTTTTGCGTCGCGCTTCGCAAGCTCAACTTCAATCGTTCCAAGGGCTTATCCAAAATCACGGACATTTGACTGAGGCCGCTTTGGACGCCAAGGTTCAACAATGGGTTCAACAACAAGGTGGAAATGTTGCTGTGAGTTTGGGAGGAGGGGCAAGTGCGCTCTAGCGAAATTTGAGTTGGGATTTTAGGTACCATTTCGTAGCCCGTGAAATTCTCTACAATTTAGGCTAACTCTAGAGCTCTCGGAACATCCAGGAACTTCCCAGGCTTATTCTGTATCAAATTGTAGCTCTCAAAATCCTCTAAAAGTTAGGATAAGTCCCGAAGAACCTAGGCATGTTGGATTCCAAAATATTGCTCTCAAAATCCTCTAGAAGTTAGGCTAAGTCCCAGCAAAACCCAGACACAAGTTATCTTAAATTGAAGCTCTCAAAATCCTCTAGAAGTTAGGCCAAGTCCCAATAACCTATGGCATGTGAGATTTCAAATTGAAGCTCTCAAAATCCTCTACGAGTTAGCTGCAAAAATCCCAACCAAAATCCAATTTCAGGCCGACTTCGCCGAATTCCAAAACTTCATCAAGGGAAACAACGCTCAAGCTGAAGCCGCTCACAACGCCGCCATCGCCAGCTTCTCACCAGCCGCCAAGAAAGCCGACGCCGATTTGACAGCCATCGCTCAAGATCAAAGCCTTCCAGTTAAGGCTAAGGGAGAGAAGGTTCAAGCCTACTTGGCCCAACTTCCAGCTAACGTCAGAGCCGAATTGGAAAAAGCTCAACAAGGAAAATAAGCCGCGGATTGATTTTTCGCTTCGAGACCCTTTAATATTTATGTATAAATTTTCTGTTTGATGAAATTAATAAAAACCTTTTTTTGGAACTCGTGAACAACTTGAAATGTTTACCCAGAATATTCTGAAGTGCTCACGAAAAAAGTGACACTTTTTCGGGAAAAAAACACATTTTGATTTTGGACAAAAAATTTTGAAACAAAATTATTATAGTCTTATTCTCAAATCAAGGTCATTTTTGCATGTCCTTGATCAACTTTTTAAAAGACCAATAATAAAAAAAAATGAATAAAAGAAAACTTTGGTTAAAAAATCAACATGTTCTAGATTTAGTGTCAAAAATCACAGTCTCTAAATCGATATTTTTGGTCAAAAATATCACCACTAAATCCCTACTTTATCCCAAATTCTGGTCAAAAATCACCCCACCCAACTCCTACCTTCACAAATTTGTTGCCAATTCTTCCAACTCCATGATACATAATTTCGTCGCGTTCACCATTTGGCCGAAATCGAACATCGCCAGTCAACTGATTGGCAACTTTTAGCTGCAAAAATGGATTTCTCAGGTTATACTTTGGGTGAAAATGGCTCATTTTTGAGCTATTTCCCTCAGATTTCCAATTAAAATATTGAGAATTGACTGAAATTAGTGAAACTTGCTTCTGTTAAATCGAAAAGTGAAGAGATTAGGAGAATTTCTCATATTAAGGTTAAAAATCTGAAACTTATCCAAAAATTGTCTAAAATGGCTCATTTTTGAGCTAGAAACCTCGGATTTGCGCTAAAAATGCTCATTTTCTAGCTAGAAACCTCACCTTTCTAATCCCATCATTCAAAATCGCCCCATCCACCCATTGACTATGTCCCCCACACTCCAACTTCTCCTGTCTTGGCGCATGTCCAAACTCCCTCAATCGATAAATCGCCATACCAATCACATAAATCGCCTCGGAAGTTAGCGCAAGTTGCGTTTTCATCATCGGATCATTCTTAACCAATTGTAGCCCGGTTATGTTACACGTGAAAATCGGATCGTTTTTTGGGGAATTATTGTTGAGAAAATCTTCCAGCAGGGATAAATCAGTGTTAGTGAAAACATAGGAAAACGGAGGTTCGGCCATATTTAAACCACGTGCTCGATCCAATAAATGATATAGAATTGTGATGTTGTTGGAGTGGATAATCTGTAAAAATTGGGAATTTTTGAGTCTAAATATGCATAGGCTTCAGCTTAAACTCACAATATTCGTCTGTTTCAGCCTCGTCTTAACATGCTTTAAAAATGGTTCATAATCGGCCGTGTTGTTCGGAAGTCGTCGAACTTTTATCAGCAACTTTCGGCCGCCCGTCTCGGCAATTTGTTTATATTGCATTAGAGGGCTCAGATCTTCCAAATCGCTTCCATCTTGATAAGCCAACAAGAAGCTGGTCCAACGCATTGAGTCAAGAAATTCCGCCGTGGCTCGCGCTCCTGAAATTGATCATGTTTTTGGTGGAATTTGAGCGGGGGACTAGATTTTTCATGATTGGAAACCTAGTCCCCAAGCGATTTCAAATTTCCCGCCAAAAATCACCATACCTGACCCTCTTGATGGTCCAATCATTGTCACAAAATCCGAAATCGAATCCTGAATCGAGGTGGCTTGCAAAGCAATGCATGGAATCTGTAAAAATCAAGCTTTATCTTATATTTAGGCTTATCTAAAATCCTGGCTTACATGATGAAAATGGCACATTGATTTGATGAGTTGCGTGTCTTTTTCATCTTGCTCATTTGATAGAATTATTGCCACCACACCTTTTTGGAACAGATTGCAGACTGGAATTATTTGAAAATTATTTTTGGCGCATTTGTGATTTACGCTAAACAACGCGCACAGCGGAGTCTCGTTGTTTTACTTTTGTTTTTTTTGTTTGTTTCGAAAATGTTATTTTTCTTGTTTTTGATGGAAATAAACACGTTTTTCAAGATTTTTTGTTGTTTAGTTGTTCAAAATCTGCTTGAAATCCTGCAGAAAAGCTATATTTCTATTAAAATCGAAAATTTCAGGGTAAAAATCGAGTTTTTGGTGAAAAGTGAGTTTTTTGGGGTTAAATTTATCAAAAATTCACAAAAACCATCTTTGTTTCTTACCTCGATCCTCATAATTCCGGCTAGGATAGTCTGGAGAGGTTAAATTGAAGGTGATTTGGGTGTGAGCTCCATTTTCAGTGTTCCAGCGATGAATTGCGTAGCGTAGATGTTCGAACGGAAAAGTTCCCGCCATTGATGTTGTGCCTTTAAAAAAAGCGGCATTTCTAGGTAACAAAAAGTCGAAAATACTGATTTTTCGGGAAAATCAGCGGAAAATTATCTAGGTCACGTTTTTTCTCAAAAAACCCACCAATATTGAATTCTTCGTCGGCGTTCACCGAAAATCGCGCGAAAATCCAACAAAAAATCAATAATCGACATTTTTCTTGCATTTTTTTCACGAGGCGGAAAGAGAAGTTGACAAGTTTATTTTAGATCATCTGAAAATTGAGATTCAGAAAATTTTTGGGGAAAAGAAATCTCGGGGGAGTTTTGATTGGGTGGATGTTCTTGGAATTAGATTTCCAGATTTTTGGAAGAAGATATGAGGGAAAATGGGGGGAAAATCAAGATTTTCTTGAAGATTCGGATTCTAAAAATATCGCATAAGCTATAGCCATAAACTATGAATTTCCTAGGCTTGTGAGATTTCAGAAAATCCCGAATTTCTTAGAAAAACCCAGATTTTAAGCTGAAATCTGGAATTTTTGAGAAAATTTAGCAAAAAAACAGTCAATTTTTCATATATGAAAGCTAAAAAATGAGATGAGATGCAAAAAAGTGCACACGGAATTAAAATGAGTAGTGAAAAATTGGTGGTGGCTCCGAATTTTTCCTCTGTTTTTTGGCTGGCTCAATTCAATTTTGGCAAAAGGCCGAAAAACGTATGTTCTTCGCGTGCGATACAAAAAATGTGAAATGAATAAATTTTTCGGGTCACAAATTTCGCTTTAAATCGAGCCCGAAAAATGTTTTTGAATGAATTATTCAAAGCCACTTAGGTTAAGTGAAGCCAAATTTAAAATTCCGTAGTTTGGCGCCAGAAACACCAGAAAATGTTGTTTGAAAGCAAAAATGTCATTTTCAGGCGGCGCAAAAAGGTTTTGACTGGTTTTTTTTCGAGAATGAGAAAAAAATTATTTATAATAAGTAGGAAAAATCGTAGAGTTCCGACAACTCCAGGAAATTGTCAATCTTGGCTGGTTTTTCACCTTAGAAACGATTTTTCGGTGAAAAATGACTAAAATTTCGAGATTTTGGTGGAAAAAGCCCCAAAAAACCAGGTTTAGACTAAAAATCGTAGTCACAAAGTTCTGGCTCAACAAAAATTTCCCACGCAACCCAAAAATCTCAAATTACCTTTCTTCTTCCAAAAAACCTAAAATTTTAGTTGTTTTTCTATTTTTTCAGGCTTCTAACTAACAAGACGAGCAAAAAATAAGTAACAAGTTTTTTTCAGCCAAAAAAACAGCAAAAAATTTAATTTGGTTAACTTTTCCCATTTTTCTTCGGCTCTTCTTGTGTTTTTTACCAGAAAAAAATGGAAAAAATTGGGGGAGCAGCTCGGAAAAATAAAATAAAAATAGAAAAAATTCTGTTTTTCAAGTGCGTTTTTTTATTGAGAAGAAGAAGATTGTTCAAGAGAAGATCAGATATTTTTCTTTGTTTTGCTTCAGGATTTTTTGAGGCGTAGATTTTGAGCTCAAAAATCTGAATTTTTTTTCAAATAGCTAAAATTTTGCACCAAAATTTCAATCTCACTTCAAAAAATCCAGGAAAAAATTCAAAAAAAAAATAAAACGCGTCGTAAAAAAAGTCGAGTACAACTCAAAATTTTCCTTCTTTTTTCTCGGTCGGATAAAACGAGATAATCCCATTTTGATGGCAACTTTTTCTCTCGTTTTCTCTGCTTCTCTAACCCCGCACACTCTCTCGCATGTCTGCGTCTCTTCGAATTGTATACTCTCTCCAATTTCCATATGTAAATTTTTTTGAAGTGCAGTTTGAGATGAATTCAAATTTTGACTTACATTAGGTGCTAAAATTTTTCTTCAAAAATATAAAACATGTGTTTTATAGACCAAGAAAAATATGTCTGCAAGATTTTTCCAAAAAATTTTTTTTCAAAAAAAAGGGATACAACAAATCAGGTTATTTTTTGCTTTTTTTCTGAGCAGAAAAAGGCATTTTTCACACAAGCTGGAAAAAAGGCAGAAAAATAGGCGGGAAAAATAATTATTTATTTTTTTAGGAACGAACGAAGAAGATTTGATTAATCTGTTTATTTTCGAGGGTTCGTATAGGAATTTTTGCGGCATTTTTTAGTCTAAAAATCGAATTTATTTTCAAAAAAACTCAAAACCCGTGCAATATTCAATACAAAATCATCTTGCTCAATTTTCTGAATTTTCTCACATCGAATCTTTTCTTCCATATCCATGCAATGCTCTCAACAACTTCCAATATCGATAAACAACAACTGTGGCAAAAAATCGGGCGACAAACCAGAAAATCATGATCGAACCCATAACAATACCAAAAACTCGTGCATTATATTCATTTCCTTTGTAGTTCAAAACCTCATTTGTATAGGCAATTGGGAGGACCGAAATACAGAAGAATGCGGCGGCCACAACGATATCCCAGAGGAATGTGAGAGCCTGGAATTAAAATTTGACATTTTTGAGGAAAAATTAATGAAAACCCCCAATTTCTATATGAAAATGAGTAGAACAAATGATATTTTACCTTAAAATTGCAAAAATCCTGCTAAAAACCACGTATTTTCAGCAAAAAACCCTGAAACTCGGGCGGAAAATGACAAAAAAAAAAATGAATGAGAGTACTGTATTCGGCGTTTGTGTGCAAACACAAATGCAGACACCTGCATTTTATTTGACGCGCACGTATTTTTATTCTCTCTCACGCATTTTTTTTCTGAAGAAAAAACGGCAACGGCAGTTTAAAGGGACATGAATCGTTTGTAATGGAAAAACTCAGATTGGCTGAACCGTATGAAAAGTTATATACACCATTAGAATCTACGTGAAAAACTGCATCGAAATAAGGTTCGAGTGGTGGATTTAGTGTAACTTTTTTCTCGCGGTATTCGTGACGGGACCCTATTTCTTTTTCGAAAAAATTTCCTTTAAGAGAGAGCGTGCGAAAAAGAGAGACGCTATTGCGCAGAGACATTTTGTGTGCAAACACGCTGACGCACAAATGCACCACACACGTAGGGGTTCGAACCGTAGTTTTTTCAGCAATTTCCTCGCTTGAAAATACGTGCTCTTTTTTTTGTTTTTCCTGGTTTTCAACGAATTTTCGAGATTTTCAGAGAACTCACCAAGAAAATCAAATGAGTTTGCAAAAATTTTGGATTTTCGTTGATGGCGCCCAGCCAGAGGAATGCGACTTGAGCTGTGAGCATTAGCAAATTCACCGAGGTGAAGACGATGGTCCCTAGGAAAATTTGATGATTTTACGATTTTCAGGCCAAAAAAAACTTACAAGCCGGTTGTTGATGAATAATTGTGAAGAGCAGAATCACACCATAATACATCCAATAAACAATTTCGAAAAGTGCCACCAAAAGACAAGCGGACTGCAAGAAATCAATAATTTTTCTAAGGCGTACTGTAAGAGGAGCTACCGTACTTTTGGACTCAATTTACCGAAACACGTGCGTTTTTCGTCTTCGTAGTAGACGTCTCGAAGAGGCGTCATTTTGTAAGACATTGGAACATTATTCATTTTTGGCGGCTGAAAATTCGAATTTTCAAATTTTGGCGAGAAAGTACGGTGAGTGTTTGGCGGGAGATTTGAATTTGAAAGGCGCGAAAAATCACACAATTTTCTCTGAAAATCATCGCAAATTATAAATTTATCACAAATCGAATCAAAAACTGGTTTGAAATAAATTTTTTCCGAGAAATCGGAAAATTTTTAGTGGAAAATTTTTTTTTTTTTGATAACGGAAAATCGTTAATTTTCGAAGTGAAAATCGTTTTTTAACTTAGAAAATATCGAAAATTTCAAAAAATTTCTTTTGAGAAATGGTTAAAATTCAACCAAAAAATTCCAAATCTTTGATTTTTTGGCCGACAAAAAAATTTGTCGAAAATTGTCAAGTATGATAACAAATAAAACACAAAAAACTAAAGAAGAGAGATTTTTCTGGTCAAAAATAACATTGAAAAATTAATTACATCTTCCCGTTTTTTCTCTAACTTTACAATGAAATTTTTTTTGTGAAAGGCGGAAGAAAAACGAAAAATCAAAGATTCGTGATTTCTGGGGCGGAAAATTGAGATTTTGGCGAAAATTTGAGCATTACTCATGTTAACGAGCCAAAATCCTAATAAAAAAGTTCAAAATGACTCGATTAGTCAACAGAAGTGCTCGCTATATACTCAATTTTCCCGCCAAAAAAATTTTGATCACAATTTTTTTTCTAAAATTTAAAATCAAAGTGATTGATAATGACTCATAAAATAGTGATAAAATATCGATTTTTCAAAAATAATTTTTTTTTGAGAAAAAAAAAAAGGAAAAAAGTGCTAAACTGCTCACTAAAAGTCAATAAATAAACAAAAAATTTTGGAAAACAAACAAATTTCGCAAAAATTTTTGTGGGAAATTTTGGATCTAGAGGTCATTGGATCGAGTCTGGGTGCCTGCGGCTATTTTTCTTTTAAAAAATGATTGGTAAAAAATGTACGTTTTTTTATTAATCTAAAGGTCAAGGGTTCGATTCCTGCTGCCTGCGAAACTTTTTGTTTTTGTTTTTTTCGCTGCAAAACCAAAAAAAATCCACTTTCCAATTGAAGTAGGTACTTCTACTAGTTATATGGCTTATTACCATTAACTTAGCCTAAGTCGTAATTTTCCCCGCAGTAAAAATACATGTTTTGTTTTTGGCACCAAAACCCTTTTTTTGTTCTTCGAAAAAAAATTTTTTTTTTTTTGAAAATTTGAATTTCTTTGTTATCTTAGATTATCATCTTGCGAAGAAAAATCGGGTTTTTCGGAAAAATTATTATTTTTTTTCGAAAAAGAAAATGGAAAATTTGCATAATTTCAAGTTTTTCTGGTTTATCAATTTCATCGAAATTTTTTTTGGCAAAGATTTTTGATTTTTTGGAAAAACAAAAAATGGCGGGCATGAGGAAGCGAACTCGTGACCTTGTGACTGCAAATTTTTTGGAATTTTCGTGTTTTGATTTCGCCAAACAACGTTTTCTTCTCATATATTTATTTATATGAAAAAAGCCGATGAGAGATGATTTAAAAGGGAATAATTAATTGCCTCATTAAAATTTAATGAACAAAAAATTCTTGATTTCATAGGGAAAATGGCGGCTTTTCGTGGGGGAAAATCTGGAATTTTCTATTGTTTCCTATTGATCTCACAATCAGATTTTGGTTGAAACAAAGTTGAAAAAACTGCATTTAAAATTTAAAACGTGAACTTTTTTGTGGAATTTAAAATTTGAAATTTTCAATTTATTTTGTCATTTCTGAATAATGGTTGGATTAAAAACGGTAAAATGTGAGTTAACAACAATTTTTATGCCACTAATATGAGCAATGATTGAAAAAACCTTTTTTCCAACCAAAATCCAAATTTCGGTAGATCAAAACGTCACAACTTATGTTTTTTTTTTCACAAAAAAAAAGCCAAAATTATCTGGGCGGAGCCTGAAAAATCCCGTTTTCCTCTTCAGTTTCCAAATGTGATCTGATCACTTTTATTCAGGCAGGCAAAATGCCGTGTAATCAAGCCGAGGCTCCGCCCATTTCTATAAAAACACCGTGTTTTTGGTCATTATTAGATTTGAATTGGCTTTTTTATTTAAGCTAGACAGATTTGGGCTTAGGCTTAGGTCTGAAGTTAGGCTTAGCTTCTAGACTTAGGCTTTTAAAGTTACGCTTAGCCTCTTTAATTAAGGCCGAATTTTAGGCATTTTTTATAGGAATAAAAAATTTTATGAGTTTTTTAATGAGAATTCTAGGCTTAACCTTATTCCTAAGCCTAAAAATTTTTCTGAAAAATCTATTTTTTCAGATGCGAAATCATTTATTGGTGGGAATTTTGGTGATTTCAAGTGTCTACAGTATTCCTGTGGACAATAATGTGGAAGGAGAGCCCGAAATCGAATGTGGACCGACTTCAATTACAGGTGGGCTTTTCGGGATGGAACATTCGAGATTTTCAGATTTTTCGGGCTGAAAATGTGAAGAAAAAAGAAAAAATCATCAAAAATTAATGACAAAAACAAAAAAATGCGAAAAAAAATCGATTTTTTTTGAGGAAAAAAACAACTTGAGAAAAGTGAAAATTTGCTTTTTAAAGAGGGTAGATCAAAAAACAATTTGTCAAAAAAAAACTTTGTTGGAAAATTCTTTTTTGAATTTCAAAACTTTACGCTTTTCAGCTGAAAATTAGCAAATCTAGACGTTACCTGAATTTTTGAGCATTGCTCATATTAGCACTGAATTTTTGAGCCAAAAATTAGGTTCTCTGAATTTTAGAGCATTGCTCATATTATATTTTTCACTGAAAAATCCATTTCCAGCTAAAAATCATGATTTTTAGCTCAAAATTGTCAGATTTTTATGATTTTTAGCTCAAAATTCGCCAAAAAATCCCAATTTTCTTCCAGTAAACTTCAACACTCGTAACCCATTCGAAGGTCACGTTTACGTCAAAGGACTTTTCGATCAACAAGAATGTCGAAATGATGAAGGCGGAAGACAAGTTGCCGGAATCGAGTTGCCTTTTGACACGTGTAACGTGGCCCGAACTCGATCGTTGAATCCAAAAGGAGTTTTTGTCACTACAACTGTCGTCGTCTCGTTCCATCCACAATTTGTGACCAAAGTTGATAGGTAGGGAAGGGTTTTGGGGGAAAATTGGAAAATTTGCGAAAAATGATTGATTTTGAGCCAGAAATCGTGAAAAATAATGAATTTTGACCTTAAATTTGGTAGTTAACGTGAAATTGTTTTAATATGAGCAATGCTCCAAAAATCACTTTATTTTAAATTTTGATTCAGAAACATCTGGAAAATTTTAATTTATTGATTAACATGAGCAATGCTCAAAAAATCACTTTGTTTTGAATTTTGATTCAGAAACTTCTGGAAAATTTTAATTTCTTGATGAAAAATGCGAAATTTTGTCCAAAAGCCGATTTTGATATGAGCAATGTTTGAAAAATTACAAAATTTCGAATTTTTGACCTGAAAATTCAATTTTTATTAATATGAGCAATGCTAATAATTTTTTGAATTTTATATCAAAATTCACTAAATTTTCCAGATTAACATGAGAAATCCTCAAAATTATTGAAAATTTCGATATTTTAGTTTAAAATTATTCAAAACCCCTGGATTTTGCCTTAAAATTCATCAAATTTTCCAAATTTTACCTCGAAACACCCCAAATTTTCCTACAGAGCCTACCGTATCCAATGCTTCTACATGGAAGCCGACAAAACCGTCTCAACTCAAATCGAAGTCTCCGATTTGACCACCGCCTTCCAAACTCAAGTCGTTCCAATGCCAATCTGTAAATACGAGATTTTGAACGGTGGACCGACTGGAGAACCTGTGCAATTTGCCACAATTGGACAACAAGTTTACCATAAATGGACCTGTGATTCGGAAACTGTCGACACTTTTTGCGCTGTCGTTCATTCGTGTACTGTTGATGATGGAAATGGTGATACTGTACAGGTTGGTGGGAAATTTGGGCTGAAAATGACCTGGAATTCGATTTTCAGACTGAAAATTACCTCAAATTTGACCCTGAGCTTTATCTAAGCGTTAAAAATTCGAAATTTTCGAACACCGGAGGTATTTTCAGTGTGAAATTCAGGTATTAACGTTGAAAATGACCTAAAATTGACCTGAAATAAATTTTTCCTTCAATTTTCATCTGAATTTGAATTTTTACGTTGAAAAGACCTGCAGCATTGATTTCAAACAAGAATTTAACATGAGCAATGCTCCAAATTTCATATTTTGTTTAACATGAGCAATGCTCAAAAAATCACTTTATTATAAATTTTTGATTAGTATGAGCAATGCTTCAAAAATGCTTTTCCATCATCAAGCTTAAAAAATAACTGAATTTCGAATTTTGGACTTGACAATTTGAATTTTCATTAATATGAGCAATGCTCCAAAAATAACCGAATTTCGAATTTCGGACCTGAAAATTCGAATTTTCATTAATATGAGCAATGCTCCGAAAATCACTGTTCTAAATTTTTGAACAAAAATTTCAAATTTTGTTTAACATGAGCAATGCTCCAATAATCACTTTATTCTAAATTTTTGAAAAATTGTATTTTAGCTTAAAATCTAATAAAAATTCTGAATTTTGGCTCAAAATGATCTAAATTTTCGAAATTTCATGTCAAAATGCTCCAAATCTCCCCAAAAATCCAAATTTTCTTCAGATCCTCGATGAAAACGGTTGTGCTCTCGACAAATTCTTGCTCAACAACCTGGAATATCCAACAGATCTAATGGCCGGACAAGAAGCCCACGTCTATAAATACGCCGATCGCTCACAACTATTCTATCAATGTCAAATTTCGATCACAATCAAAGAGCCAAACGAGGAATGTGCTCGACCAACATGCAGTGAACCACAAGGTTTTGGAGCACAAAAACATAATGCAACTCAAGCGCAATTTTTCCGCGTTTTGAAGAAGAGATCTGCGGAGAGAATTGAGAATGTTTTGGACGTGAGAGCTGAATTGACAACTTTGGAAGTTTTGGAGAGCGATGTGAGTTTAGATGTTGAAAGTTCGGGATTTTTGGGTTAAGATGAGCTGAAAAATACGGTTTTTAACTTCAAAAAGAGCCCGAAATGCTCCAGACCTTGAATTTCATATCAAAATGTTCCAAATCCCGGGAAAAATGCAATTTTTGACCTGAAATTGATCTGGAATGCTCCAAAATCGCCCCGAGCTGAAAAATGAGCAATTTTGACTCATTTTGATTCTAAAGTTCATGGAAAACGCGATTTTGAACTGGAAAAGCTCAAAAATGCTCCAACACCAGTGAAAAAGCGAATTTTTAACCTGAAATGCTCAAAAAATGCTCCGAGCTGGAAAATGTGCATTTTTGGGCTCATTTTGACTATAAATTTAGTCAAAATGCTCCAGACCTTGAATTTCATATCAAAATGCTCCAAATATTGTGAAAAATGACAATTTTGAACTGGAAATGCTCAAAAAAAATGCTCCGAGCTGAAAAATGAACATTTTTGAGCTTCGAGCTCATGGAAAATACGATTTTGAACTGGAAAAGCTTAAAAATGCTCCAACAGCAGTGAAAAATGAGAATTTTTGACCTGAAATGCTCAAAAAAATCGCTCAGAGCTCAAAAATGATAATTTTTGGGCTCATTTTGACCTCAAATTCATGGAAAACACGATTTTGAACTGTAAATGCTAAAAAATGCTCCAAATTTTGTGAAAAACGATAATTTATGACCTGAAATGCTCAAAAATTGGCCCGAGCTGAAAAATGAGCATTTTCTTGTTCCTAAAATCATGAAAAACGGGATTTTTGACCTAAAAATGCTCAAATCCGGATTTTTTGTATAAAAAATGAATTTTAAATTGCCACCTATAGGTCACTCCCTGAAAATTGTTCAAAAATGTATATTTTTCAAGTGTTTAACATGAGCAATGCTTCAATTTTTGACCTAATTTTCAAGAGCTCGAAAGTGCTCTAAATCCCCAATTTCCAGCTGCCCGCCTCTCTCCGAACCTCCCCACAAGCCCTGATTTCCCAATCGGAACGTTTCGAGGAGAACATCTGTATGACACCGTATGTTGCTAGTCTTTTGGTCGCCGGACTCTGTGTTTTGATGTTGGTCTCTGTCATCACAACATTCTTCTGTTTGAGAATCACACCAGCCACCAAAAAAGTTCAACAAAGTTGTTAGAAACTTTTTTTTTTTTGGATTTTATTTATTTGATCACCATGTCTTTCATAAATTATTGATTTTTGAAAAAAAAATTGGGTCTGATATGAGCAATGTGCATTTTTTTTGAAATGAGAATAGAGTTAAGATAAATCCACCAATCTTCATCAACACCCACTTTACACTGTATGTACATTGTGTTCTGCGTCAATTTGTCATTTTTTTGCTGCACACCAGAAAAAAATGATTTATTATCCGGGTGGTCTGTTGTTTTGCTTGTGTACTTCTCACGGACAAGAGGATTACGGTACCTCCACACGTGTTTTCGCGCCAAAATCAAAGTTCTGTAAAGAAAAACAAATTTCACAGCACAAAAATAAATTTGCAAGTAAAAATTGATGAGAGCTACAGTATACCTGACAGAATTCGAAAGGGGCGTGGCCTAAGTTTAGGCTAGTGAGAGAGTGTGGGTTTGGTGAGAGACGCAAAGAAAAAGAAGACGGGGAAAAAAGTTTTTGGAGGAAGAAAACAGAAAAAGTGTCAGTTGTTGTGTGGCTCGGCGAGCACACAACTGTTCGGTTTTTGGGAGATTTTAGGTAGGCCTAGAGGCCTGGGCCTAGGCTTAGGCTTAGGCGCAAGGTCTAGGCTTAGAACCTCTGGGAAGTTCTAATGGCCTAGGGGGTTTTTTTGGGAATCTTTTCAGTTTTGGATAAGTCTAGGCTTCAAAGTTAGGCCTGATTTTCAGAAAGCAAAAAATTTCCAGGTATGAACGACTCCACTGCAGTGTCCGCAGATCAACCGCAAGCCGGTGCTGCAGCTGCCGCAGCAGCCGCCGCCGCCTACGATCCCAGCATCTACTATACGCAACAGAGTCCGCGCATCAACACGGACATCACAACGCTGACGAGTTTTGCCGCAGCGCCGCAGCAAGCTATCGATTATTCATCGCAGTATGATATTTATCGGTAAGTCGGGATTTTTTTGGGAATTTTCCTACCTTGGCGGTTTCTGGGGCTACCAAAAATCTTTGCATTTTCTACCTTCTCTAAAAATTTTTTTTTGAAAATATTTTGGCTTCGATATTTTTTTCACAACAAAAAAATCAATAATTTTTTCGTGCCAAAAACGATTTTCTAAATATTTACATTCTAATTTTTGCGGTCCTTAATCCCTCAGTTTCCGCTAAATTCATATAAACTAACTAATTTTGGAGCATTAAAATGCTCCAAATAATAAATAATGCTCCCAGGGAACTTTTTTGCACCCACACACACACACACCAATTTGTCACCTTGTCACCTTGTCACCAAAATTTGTAGCCACCACCACCCAACCGCAGAAAACCGGGTGGTGGGTGATTTATCGGTGACCTAGTGACCTATGGGAAATACACAGTGCCGCCACATGGAGAATGCGAGGCCTGAAATTGAGATGAGCCTGAAAAGCCTAGAAAAATGAGCCTTAAAAGCCTCTAGAGTTAGTCTGAATATAGAAAAATGATCAAAAAATAGGCTCAGAGCCCTGAAGTGCTCCTGGGCTCTGAGTGAGCTCACCGGATTCCCAAATGAATCCAGATGCGACTGAATGAGATGTCCGGGGCGAAGAAGCATGTGTCTTTTTCGTCAAACATCAGCTGCGCAACCAACTGATGTTTTGTTTCTAGGCTCAGCTGCCACCTGAGTTGAGCTAAGTTGAGCAACTGTGCATGCAAAACTGACTGTTGCGGCTCCAGGAGCAGCAGAAGCTCATCATTTTTTCGTGTTGAAACATAGGTCTTTTAATTTTTTGGACAAAAATCCGGAGATTTCTGTCCTAACATGAGCAATTCTCAAAAAATTTCAAAATATTTTTTTCTTGTAAATTTCTGTCCTAACATGAGCAATGCTCTAATATTTTCTAGAATAAAATGTTTTCTAGATTTTTATCCTAACATGAGCAATGCTCTAGGAATTCTAGAAAATTGTTTCTCTAGATTTTCATCCTAACATGAGCAATGCTCCAGAAATTTCAGAATATTTTTTTTCTAGATTTTTGTTTCAAAATTTTCAAGTTTCCAGATAAATTTGCCACGTGGATTTTCCGATTTTCATAAGTTTACCGTAGTTCTAAATATTATCTTTTTTTGTATCAAAAAAATATCTGACTACAGTAACCCCCACATCTAAATTCCACGTGGCAAATGAAACTACCGTACTTTTCCAAATTCTCAATTGCTTCAGCTTCATTCCCCTTCCAAAATCTTGATAAAAACTACAGTACCCCCCTCAACTTCTGCTATCTCTCTTTCTCTGCGTCTCTTCGCCAGTCATTTAGCTGTTCATCAAAAAATAAAAGAGAGTATCCGAAAAAAGCGCGACGACAGCTGCTCACTTTTTCGGAGCTGCTCGGCTACCTTTATTTTACAACAACATGATGATATAGGTGTAATAGAAAGAAAAATGGATAGATGGATATATGTATTTTGATGGGAAAATAAAGATAAGGGGATTTTTGACGGGTAGGAAAATTATGGTGCGATTTCCTACAGCCTCAAGAATCCAGGTGGACAATTTGAATACTGTTTTTTATCTCCTTAAATTTTCTTGAAGTAGGAAAGTTATGGTGCGATTTTTGACAGCCTCCAGAAATTCTAGAAGTAGGAAAATTATGATAGGATTTTTGACAGCCTTGAGAAATTCTAGAGGTAGGTAAATTATGATAGGATTTTTGACAGCCTCAAGAATCCAGGTGGACAATTTGAATACTGTTTTTTATCTCCTTAAACTTTCTTGAAGTAGGAAAGTTATGGTGTGATTTTTGACAGCCTTGAGAAGTTCTAGAGGTAGGAAAATTATGAAAGGATTTTTGACAGCCTTGAGAAGTTCTAGAGGTAGGAAAATTATGAAAGGATTTTTGACAGCCTCCAGAATTTCTAGAGGTAGGAAAATTATGAAAGGATTTTTGACAGCCTTAAAAATTCCACAAGTAGGGAAATTATGGTGCGATTTTGGACAGCCTTAAAATATTAGGCGAATTTGGGTAGGATTTCTGAGAGCCTTGAAAAGTTTTGTCCCGAGTAAAAAATCACAACGCTCAGCTCCTACCCCCCCCCTTATTTTACCTCATTTTGTACCCCCTTCTCTTCCCCTCTCACCTACCGTAATCCCCTACAGTAACCCACCAATTTACAGTAGTCAAAACACGTTCTACTATCAACCATACGGTCAACCAACTTCATCTTTCTACCCGGATTTGAGCAGTTTCAATGTGCCAGTAGCTGCTCCGCGAGCCCCTCAAAATCTCTCGACTTCTTCTCAACAATCCGACAATTTTGCGTCTACCGTAGTCCTTGAGGCGAAACCTACAGTAATCTCGAAGGCCGAAAATGGTCCCGCGGCGAAGAAGCGCAAGAGTACTGTACTTCATCATGATGAGGACGGAGGTGCGAATAATGGAGATGGAAATCCGCCAAGGAGAACTAAAAGTGAGTACGGTGGGAAGAGTACTGTAGATATGGGTTACTGTAGGCACAATTTTTTGATCTACAGAAATTTTTAGAAAATTTAAATTGATGTCTACGAGTAGCTACAGTAACCCAAGGGTACTGTAGGGTTTTTGGCCGGATTGTTTCATCTACAACAATGCTCTTAACATGAGCAACACCAAATTTAGGTTCAAAATTATGCTCTTAACATGAGCAATGCCATATTTTCACTCAAAATAATCGATTTTAGGCTCAAAAAATCGCAAATTCTCCCAATTTTCAGTCAAATTAAAGCTCAAAATTTTGCAGTTTCAGTGGATCGTCGAAAAGCGGCAACAATGCGCGAACGTCGCCGCTTGCGCAAAGTCAACGAGGCTTTCGAAGTCGTCAAACAACGAACGTGCCCGAATCCGAATCAGCGACTTCCGAAAGTCGAAATTCTGCGATCCGCCATCGAATACATCAATAAATTGGAGGGAATGTTGCAGGCGGAGGGGAAAATGACGAAAATCATGAGCCAGAATCAGGCACTACAAATGCAACAGCAAATGAATGGACATCCGCCGCATGATTATATGGTGAGTAGGGGGGTACTGTAGTTTTTGGCGCGAAAAATTTGAACCATTTTATGTTAAAATTGATGAAAAACTAGCCTAGGAAGTTTTTCGTGAGTACTGTACGACCCTAGAAATCCTTAAAAATTTTGTTAATATGAGCAATGTCCCAAATTTTCGAAAAATTCCAAATTGTCCCTTTTCTCATACAAAATCCTAGAATTTTCGTTAACATGAGCAATGACCAAAATTTTCTAAAAGTTCCAAAGCAATCCCTTTTCTCATAGAAAAAAATTCAATTTTTGGCAAATACTCTGCGTCTCTAACTCCTAATTTTCTAGTGATTTCTAACCGTCTAGAAGTCTAGCTTCTCTAACATGAGCAATATTATCATGTCTGGTGTCAAATTAAAGCGCTTAACATGAGCAATGTCATATTTAGGCTCAAAATGATGCTCTTAACATGAGCAATCCAAAAATTCCAGACTTCCTCTCATTTCGCCTCAACCTCATATCATCAAGATGGTGGAGCTGGCGGCGGAGCCTTTGATGATGATGACTTATCAGATTCGGATGTTGATGACGTCATCGATTCGTCGAATCAAACTACAAACAACGCGAATTCCAACCAACAAAACACGAATCAAGAGCTCGGTGAGCATCTTATTCAAAAGTAACTTTTTTGGAAATTTGGACTAACCAGCCATTTTTTGAAATTCAATAAAAAATTATTGATTATTTTTTGCAGCTACGGATTCGATGCAAAAGAGAAACTCACTGGATCGACTTACGCGAATAGTGGAAAATATACGTGAGTTTTTTGGCGGTAAAATCTTAAATTCAAGTTTATTTATTTAAAAATATCGATTTTTGCAGCCAACGAAGATCAAATGGTCGAAAACATTCAACTTCAGCCGCAAAATGAGCTGGACGACAAAAAAATGGCGCTCCTTTGAGCTCCAGATTTAATTTATTGATTTTTTAACTTGAAAATGCTCTTAAACCTTTTTAATGTGCCTTTAATTTTTTCCAAATTTAGAGATGTTTGAGCGCAATATAAAGCAAAACTTCCGAATTTTCAGGCATGTTTGAGGCATGTTTGGGCTCAAAATGGAGCTAGAACTCTAAAATTTCAGCTCGAAACCAAAAATGATTCTTCTTATGCTCAAAATAATGCAAAAAATCAGATTTTTCAAATCTAGATATGCTCAGGCTCAAAATGAAGCTGAAAATCCGACTTTTTAGCTCAAAATCGATAGTTTGAAGTAAAGCCATGTTTGGGCTTAAAATCGAGCTCAAAATCTGAAATTTCAGCTAGGAATCAGATTTTTTCGAAGTTCAGTCATATTTGGGCTCAAAATGGAGCTATAAATCTGAAATTTCAGCTAGAAATCAGATTTTTCAAATCTAGTCATGTTTGAGCTCAAAATGGAGCTAAAAATCTGGAAAACTCACACCAGTCGGTGGTGTTCCCTCAATCGGCGCATCCAAAAAGTCCCAAATCAAAATGGTATCATCATGTGAGCTCGAAACTATTTGAAAATCATCAAATTGCAATCTGAATACTCTGCCAGTGTGTTGCATGAGTGACGAAAGACAAATATCTCCGGGCATACTTCGCGGATCCAGCGCCGCTTTCAAATCCCAAACTTTGATTTTTCCGTCGTAGGCTCCGGAAACGATGCGTTTATCATCAAAGCGGATGCATCGGACCAATTCTTCGTGACCTTCGAGAACTGGTAAACATACTCCAGAATGGATATTCCAAAGTCTGCAAAAAATAGAGGGTTTTGGGGAGCATTTTGAGCCCAAATTTGACTAAATTTGAAAAAAAAAAGTGATTTTCAGAATCCTGAAGGCTTTCGGAGCATTTTGAGCCTAAATTCGACTAAATTTAGAAAAAAATTGAGATTTTCAGAATCTTGACAGCTCCAGGAGCAAATAGAGCCCAAATTCAGTTCGTTTCTGTTCGAAAATGTGATTTTCAAAATCCTTAAGACTCCAGGAGCATTTTGAGCCCAAATATGATATATTTTGGACCAGAAATGTGATATTCAGAATCCTGACATCTCCAAGAGCATTTTGAGCCCAAATTTGGACAGTTTTGGACCAGAAATGTGATTTTCAGAATCCTGAAGGCTCCAGGAGCATTTTGAGCACAAATTTAGTTAGGTCTGGAGCAAAAATGTGTTTTTGAGAATCTTGGGAGCTTTTGGAGCAATCTCTACCGAAAATCCAAATGTTTAGGAAAAACCAAAGTCCATAGAAGAGAAAGTTGCTTCCCGACTAGGTAGTAAGAAATTCTATAAGTTCGTAAATACGCGGCTCAAAACCAAGCCTGAAATCATCAAATTAGTTGATGAACAAGCAGGTATAATATTGACTGAACCATTGGATATATCTGAAAATTTGGCGAAATTTTTCTTTAATTCTTACGCGTCAGAAGTGTCGGGAAATTTGACCGACATTCACCCCCCAGATACATCTGATGGTTCGGAAATGCCCTGGATCCTATATTCTGATGTTGTTGACGCGCTTAAAAAACCAAATCAAGTAACACGCTGACATCCGATGGTATTCCGTTCACTTTTATGAAATTGTGCTCTGACTGGTTAGCGGCTCCACTTTCTCACATATTTAATTTATCAATGATGCATGGAAAAATTCCATCACGATGGAAACATTCCATAGTAACTCCCATTCCGAAGGAAAAAAATGCATCATGTTCAAACAAATACAGGCCCATTTCAATAACCAGTCAACTATGTCGTATTTATGAACGGTTCTTGAAAAAAAAACTCGTCAAAATTCTCGACGATCAAGAAATACTATCGGATAGCCAGCATGGTTTTCGACCAGGCAAGTCAACAACAACTCAAATGTTGGAATGTATGAATGATTGGACCCGCTCTTTAGATAATTCCAAACAGATAGACATAGTTTATTTCGATTTTTCTAAGGCATTCGATAGAGTAGATCATTATATTCTGTTGGAAAAATTTAGAAAGATTAAAATTCACAGAAACTTCTGGCTTTGGATAAAAGAATTTTTGACAGATAGATCTTTTACAGTAAAAGTTGGCTCTTGTTTCTCTAATACTTATCCAATTATATCGGGCGTCCCCCAAGGGGGCGTACTTTCGCCACTTTTATTTGCTATCTATGTCAATGATATTTCTAGTTCCATTACATTTCCAGGAGTAACTATTTCGCAATTCGCGGACGATCTAAAAATCTACGCGGAAAACTCTTCTTCTAGTAATCTCCAAAAAGCCATAGATTCTATAGTCACCTGGTCCCAAATCAACAAACTGCCACTAAATTCTGGTAAAACCAAAACAATCTCACTCAAAAACAAACCCATAAAGGTGGATTATTTTGTTTGTGGCAATACAATTCAGCGGGAAAGTGTGATTAGAGACCTAGGCTTTTTTATCTCTCCTAAATTATCGTTTGAAGAGCACTGGAAGCAACTCATCTCTAGGGCAAACTCTCTAATATACCTTATATTCAAGTGTTTCTCAAGCAAAAAGCCAGCATTTTTCATAACTATCTACAAAAGTCATATTCGATCCCTGCTCGAGTATGGAACTCCAGTTTCCTCACCAAAAACCCAAAAACTGTCTAATTCCATCGAAAATGTTCAGAAAAATTTCACTCGTAAACTCTACAATCGTGTTAAGGGTAGAATAATTCGGTACAATGATCCCGACGCCCTCAAATATTCTCAGCGTCTAACACTTTTCAATCTTCAACCGCTATCGGTAAGAAGAACACTGCTTGATCTCAAAGTTTTCGGGAAAATCTTGTTGAATAAAACCAAAATTCGGTGGCGTAGGCTTTTCTCTTTCCAAAATTCGAAATGTAGATCAAAATTCAGCATCTCGACGGAAAGGGCGAAGACTTCGCATAGGGGAAAGTTCTTTGTGTCAAGAACAATACCGCTCTTCAATGAGCATTTAAAAAAGCTGAACCCAACAGCTAGACACCTATTACATTCCAGTATTTGCAGCAGTTTAAACATATCAGATTAAGTTGAGTCACCACCTAAAAATTCAAAAACAATACTCAAATCTCATAAAAACAACCCAAAACGCGTATTCCCGACTCTCAATCTCCCCTTTTTTTTCTTTCTTTTTTTCCCCATCTCACTACCACTTGCATGATTCTTAATTTTATTTTGCCCTTTGCATTTTACTCTTTTTTTTAATCCCAATTATCACTTTCTTGTCGAATACTTGCCTAATCTCAAAGTTTTTACTCTTGATGTTTTTCATTTTCACACGTTTGCCTTTCCGCAGCGTAAATAAAAATAAAAATTAAATTAAATTAGAGCTCAAAATATCCCAAAAATCACAATTTTTAGCCCTAATTCAAAATCCATCTCAAAATTCGTGAAATTCTCTCAGGAACCTCAAAAAATCCAAATTTTCAGGGAAAATCAAGAATCAGTACTTCACAGAGCTCAAAAATCCTTATTTTCGAGCCATATATCAAATTCTATATCAATATTCCTAAAATTCTCTCAGGAATCCCAAAAAAGCCAAAGTTTCAAAAAGGTTAAGAATTAGAGCTCGAAAGAGCTCAAAAATGATAATTTGTGCGAAATATACTAAATTGGGTGTCAAAATTCCTGAAATTCTTCCAGGAATCTCATAAAAATCAGGAAAATCAACTCTAGGGTTATTTTTGGCCAAAATCATTGAATTTTATGTCAAAATTTGGCAAATTTCTCAAAAAACTCACCTAATAGTATTATCACTACTTCCACTAACAACCAATCTTCCACGATATTGTAAACAAGCGATTCCTCTTCGATGTCCGGACAAAGTTCGCAAAAATTCCAGCGTGTCCATCGACCAAACTTTGATTGTTCGATCTCCGCTGGCACTGACAATATAGCGATCATCGAAATCGACAACATTTACAGCGGCTCGATGTCCGGCCAAAACTCGGCGAATATTGATTTCTCGTGCCGAGACCATGTCCCAGACGGCTATTGATCGATCTTTTGAGCTGGAAATCGGGATTTTCAGAAGATTCAGTGAAAATGGAAGATTTTGAATCCAAATATGAAAAGCTGTGAAAAATTTTACAGCACTTCGAAGTTTTCTAGGGTGAAATAAAGTTCTTGGAATTCAAAATCAAATTTTAAGCTATAAATAGTGATTTTTGAGTTTTTCAGTGAAAATGAAGCATTTCGAGCCCAAACATGATAAGTTTTGATGAATCTCACAATTTTCTGGGTAATTTAAAAGCTGGTGGAAGTTTAGAGCTTAACCTATATTAAAATCAGGTTCCTGAAGCTCTATGGATTATTTTGAGCTCGAAATGTGAATTTTCATAAGGTTCAATAAAAATGAAGCATTTTGAGCCCAAAAATTGGGATTTCAGTGATTTTTAAGATTTTCTAGGTTCTGAGAAGCACCAAAATATACCCTGTTTGTGCTCAAAATTCTCGCTAGGATCTCAGAAATCCCATGGAGCCCTCGAGAATCGTTGAAATCCCCCGAAAAACCCACCAAGTGACCATAGTTCCATTGCTGAATCTCAAATGAAGAACAGCTTCACAATGATGAATCAGAGTTTTGAGACAATCACCGGTTTCCACGTCCCAAACACGTACTGTGGCGTCTGATGAACCTGGATAAAATTTGGGGTGAAATTTTGCCACTTAAAATTTTTTTTGAGCATTGATCATGTTAATTATTGCCGTTATATTGAAATTTCGAGTATTTCGACACCAAAATCGATTATTTTTGGAGTTGAAAAAAATGGAGAAATTAACATGAGTAATGCTCAATTTTCATTGAAATAGAGTAAATTCCAAAACTAACATGAGCAATGCTCAAATTTTCATCCGAATATATCAATGTATGTGTCGAAAAGCTCCAAATTTCATGAAAAATTCAAAAAATAACATAAGCAATGCTGAATTTTTATTGAAAATAGGTCAAATCTGGTGTCAAAAAAATTAACATGAGCAATACCCATTTTCATCAAAATCAGCCGAACTTGGTCTCAAAAAGCTTCAAATCTCTCCCAAAATTCAATTTTCCATGAAAACCACATAAGTTTGGTCTCCAAAAGCTCCAAATCTTTTCAAAAATTCAAATTTCCCCTAAAATCCCAACATACCCAAAATAATGACCCGATTATCTTACTGCAAACACAAAACACTTCCCGTATGTCCGGTCAACGTCATTCGACACAAATAGTCTTTTCGATCCCATATTTTGATGGTATTGTCGCGGAGTCCCGATACGATTTTCTCATCGTCATTCTGTAGACAATAAACACCTTTCGAATTTTCGGAATGACAATTGACACGTGTCAATTTGTAGTTGCCACGTCGCCAATTTATATCGATTACAAACGCAGTTGGAAAAAGGGTCCTTTAAGGATGCCGAAAGTATCCTTCAGGGATGAGCTCATGTGTCAATTAAGTACCTCACAAAGATCAAGTTTTCAGTTTTTGCTGCTCAACAAAAATCACACCTCGGCCAAAATCATGGTTTTCAAAATAAGAAATTGTACGTGAACTTTTTACAGTATGAAAACTGTGAATTTTTCAGTGTTTGACCTCTAAAAACTCTGAATTCGTCAATTTTTGACCTCTGAAAACTGCAATTCAAAATTTTTCAAAAGTGTACTCCGGCCAGCCACAGATTGGCCGAGGTGTGACAAAAAGTGCAAAAAGTTGGATAAATTTAAGAAAACGCAGTTTTTAAATTTAAGAAAACGCAGTCCTCATGTCAAAAATATTTTATCGACACTGAATAATGACGTTGTTCAGGAGGGTCGACTTATCCAAGTCGCAATTTTTCGATAAGTAAATCTATGTTTTTTAAATTTGTAGCTTACAAGGGAAGTAAAAAGGGTTCTGAAATTAACTTCTGATGAAACATAGTGAAATATAGTAATTCGACCATGCTGAAAACGATCCCGAAGTCGAAAATTGCTATAACTCACTCTGAGCCATCTTTTGGAGCTTGGTGTAATTTAACCGCCAGACAAACACCAAAAAAGGTCGGAGAGTGTGCAAAAAATGAAAAGTTTGGAGCTCCAAAAATGGCTCAGAGTTCGTTATAGCAATATTTGACTTCGGGATCGTGTTCAGCACAAATACTATATTTCACTACGTTTCATCAAAAGTTAATTTCAGAGCCTAAATCACTTCCCTTGTTAGAAAATAGGCTGATCCATTTCGAAAATTTTTGGAAAATTCTGTCAATAATTTTGACTTTGGTGAATCGACCGTACTGAACATTGTCATATGCTTAGTTTTTGATAAAATTTTCGTTGACATGAGTCATGGACCCTAGAAAACGCGTTTTTCAGAAAATTCTCGATTTTGGGCTTATTTTTGTGCTCTTCAGAGAGTTGCGCACCAAAAACTAAAAACAAGATATTTCTCTGCGTGAAAAACTGTAGAAAATATGTCTCATTGAAAATCTTCGGTGACTGGCAAGTTATCAGTGGTCACACATTTTTCCCGTCATAAATTTTTTCTCGAGTTTCGGATAAAAATTATATTTCAAAAAACTGACTTTCAAAAAATCCTCCTTTATTTGGTCGAAATGTCCAGTGAGTCGAATCGTCCGGCGGCTTTTCTGAAAAGTCAAATTTTCTAGGTTTTCACAGTATATTTGTTTACCTGTACAATGAGCATCGTTGAAGGGTTTAGACTGTCTGTAAAAATAATTTATTGAGATTTCCGAAGATTTCAAGAGAGAAAATATTAAGATAAGAGGTTAACAGAACTAAAGTTTTACTATAGGACTATACTTTAATAAGATAGGTGGATATTTTCGATGTTTTTCATACTTTTATCATGTCTGCTGCTCAGATGTAGAGTTTTATTTTTAATATTTTGGGCATATCAGATGACAAATTTTGACAAGATTTCGCCAACTCGTTTTTGCCAAAAAATTATTTTTGAACGAAATTTTCGAAGCTGTTGTCAAATTTCGACCAAAAAGCCAGATGGAACGAGTTCAGTCAAAAATTAATCAAGCTTTCACTATCTGTGATGTTTTACACATTCCAATAGTCTTGGACAACTTAAAAAGTTATTTATATCAAACGGATCGTCGCTTGTTATGAATAAATAGGAAAAATAATGAGAAACAATGCACAAACGCACAAAAAACTGATTATTGAAATCTGAATGTATTCTCCTTGAAGAACTTATCGGAAATAGCAACAACACATGAAATAGGTTTTACCGAAAACTTTCTGAGTCTGATAATCAAATATTTCTATTGAAATGCATTCTTACATTTAGTCGTCGAAAAACGGGTGTTTTCAAACATGAAATCTCGCCACAGACACACCGACTAAAACTTTGAAACTCGTGTATGCAGAGAATTCACTTTATAATTAATCGCATGATAATGAAACGTAGCTTCTTGAAGTCAAAATAGTAAAATTGGTTGGTTTACGGAGGGCTAACGGTCAATTAGTTGAAAATGTAGAGAAGTCCTAAAATCGAAAATTTCTCATGTTTTTCAAAGTTTATTCCTTGAATCTCAAGTAACGCACTATCAATAGCAGTTTACATTTATATCGCAACCTGTTTCACACGTTCTACGCTCGAAAACAACACAGAAAAAACGAAAAACAGAAACAAAGAAAACTCAGACAAGTTGAGCGATTAATCGGCAAGCAAAGTGAGCTGACGATTAATCGTCTGAACAAAATTAATACAGGCGATTAATCGCTCAGCCAGCAGCTAATTCAAGTTGCTTAGCGATTAATCGCCCAACTTGTCTGAGAAAAAACGAAAAAACGAAAATGAATTCCGAGAGAAGTACACACTCTGCGGACAACACACGCTAGTTGACGCGCAGTTACACATTTTCTTGTTTTTATCGGAAAATAGGTTTTCGGAAAACCCCTATTTTACAGGATGAGGAGAGAGTATTGCAGGAAAGATAGAAGTAAGGAAAAGGAGTTGGGTGAGTATTTTGGGGTTTGGGTTTTTTCAAAAAATTATTATTGAAAATTTGATAAAATTATAATTATGAGAAACATTTTTGTTTATTATTTAGGTTAGTTATAGGATAGTTTTTAGAGAGATCAAATCTATATTTTTTAGAAATATTAATTTTTTGGTATTGTCAATCCGAAATTTTTTGACCCTTGGAAGAGAATCGATATGGCCCAGAAAACCAAACATTTTTTTTCAATACAAAAGATGAAAGAAGCCGTCTGAAGTCTACTGTAGTGGTTTTCTCTTCCACGGCTCTAAATTTTCGAATTGACAATAGTATTTTATAGTTTTTTTGTTCAACAAATTATTTATTGAATCCATTTTTGATAAATTGATTGATCATATTTTTAATCCTAGGATAATAATATGTGCATGTATTGAATATTCTGATAATTTCGGTATATATAGTGTTAAGTGTCATTCGTAATGAACTCTACAAGAAAATTATAAAAATGTTATAAAAAGAAATAATCATGGAGGTACTTGACTTATCTGTGGAAACTGTTTTTAATAAAGATTCATTCATTCATCTAATTCATTCATTCATCTAAAATAGAAAAAAAATTGTGTTGGTTTTCATTTGTTTCTCGTGATTCGACTTCTTAAACTTCTGGCTTGCATCCCATAAAATTGTTCGACTTCTTTAACCAATTGCGCAAAAAATGAACAATTGTTTTTGTAAAGTCTGAAAATGAAATAAACAAATGAACAAATAAATAAATATACTTATGAAAACTTACGTTGTTAGTTCAATGCTCACATTGTCTGGGCATATTTTGGTAATATGACCAGGATTTGAAAATGGCATCACACAACAATTTCGTTTCAGCGCCACCCAATTTCCGGATTTTCTCGATAACCTGAACTCAGAATATTACATCAGTTTCATCATCAGTTAACCCTAATTCGCTAAAAATCTTTTGAAGCCTTTCGAAATAGATTTAAAATATTAATCATTTTTTCATTGAATTTCGTCGATTTTAGACCCACAAGATTGTATCAGGTCTCAAAAAATTGGGGTAAATGTTTCTGGTAGTATATTACACTCTGAGTTTCGTAATATTCCCAGAAAAACTCACTTTATCCGTTGGTGATTCCAATTGATGAACCGTACTTCCAGCGACGCCACGATTGGCTCTGCGAGATTCAGATTCAAAGTTTATTTCTGGATTCACATTTTGGGTGTTTTCGCGACGCGTCAACTGAAATCATCATAACATTAAACTTTATCGGAAGCTTGTTAGTCAGAAAATTTGGGTTTTTAGTGTAGTGAAATTCAAATGGGTTCGCATCTCCCCATAATATTTTTCAAATAAACATAGAAATATTACACTGAACTGGGCGTGCTCACCACATTCCGATCCTGGAATCACACGGCGAAATTTTTTCAGTAAACTTATTTTCAAAGCGAAATTTGAAAAAAAAATCCATATAAACGGAATAAAAATGGTTTCAAATTTCACAGATTTGGCATTACGACTTACTTCATTTCCTAGTGACCAACTATCATTACTTCCAATTGTCGTTTCAGTTAGTGTATTCTCGCCACTTTCTTCATCCCAATCTGTAGAGTTTGTCATATTCATCGATGATGATTGATTTGAGATATTCCAAAGTTCCTGAAAAAAATGAGGTCTTCTGAAAGATGTCGGCGTAGACAAATGCTTATAGTTGGACCAGTTTTTCGGTTAGTTCGTTTGTTTGGTTTTGAGTTTGTTCATGTGAAATAATTTAGATTGATTTCCAGTTTTGGGTTTTGTCATAAGACTGTGCTGGAAAATTTTCCCGAAAATAATTTTTAAAGTACAATTTTTAGGAATATCTTAAAAATCGTTGGACAATTTTCTCAGAGTCTAGCAAAACTGGTTGATTTTCCCATATTTTAAAAACAAAACTAACTTTAGCTGAACATGTGAGATCGACAATTGATGTTGGCTTTTGCTCAATTGGTTTCGTTGTTGGTTGTTGTTGGGTGTTGGATTTTGATGGTGTAATTGTGGAAATGTCAGATCCTTTCATAACACGATTCATTTGTTCGACCGAAAGCTTAGCCTTGTTTTCAATATGCTTGAATATCAAAATCAGCTTCAGCTTTGATTCCACCGGCAAACTTAGCAAATTGACACATCCATAATTTTCCAAATTTCCAATGATCCAAGTAAGGAACTTGAAAACATCGATGATTTTTGCGCACACATTTTTGTCATTTACCTAAGAAAAAACAATTCAATTTCAGAAAAAATTACTTAAAATCATACCAATGGACAAAGAACACCAATATTAGATTGAGTCATTGAATTTCGAAAACTTGACAGAATACGAAGTATTGCTTGTCGTTTCCAATGCGACCTCAAATCTTCATTCAAACTGCTGGCAAATGCAGGATATTCTTCTTCTGAAAAAGTAAAGATAAAAATGATTGTTGTACAATAAAATCTTACTTGAACCATCAGATGAAAATACGGTGACAAATGACTTCAGAAGATGAAAAGCAGTCTAAAATAATAATATATAAACTAAATAATATCCGAAAATTATCTCACTTCAAAAACCATCAAATCCAAATCTTCGAACATTTTTGATCTTATATTATCCGGAAGTTTTTGGATGTATGTTTTGGCGAATTCTGGTTCTTGAGTCAATGAAATTTTTAGCAGAATATACCAAACGTCACATATGTATTGACAACAGATTTCCATTGTTCCAACATCATTTTGATTCAACAACGGGTTGATTTTGTCAATCAATTTGATATTTATTTCATCCAAATATTTTGGAAACTCATTCATTAGGCCAACAACATCATTCGACGAAATTATTTTTCTGAAATAAATAAATCATGATCAACAAATTAATTTGAAAATTAGTCTCAACTTACATTAAATTAACTAATTTTGGTCGACCGTTTTGTAGGGAGCCCAAAATATTGGTCCGAATCAGTTCGAATTCAGTTTGTTGATATTTTTCTAATCCGAACAATTTTATCA